TATAAAACTATGGGCCTGATAGGGCAGGGGGGGGGGGGGGGGACAGCACATGCATGACCGTTTTCCTACCTGTCGCTGTCCAATTAAAAGCCTACAGTTCATAACGTGCTTTTTGGCTTGGCTTGGTTAAGGAGGGTACACAACACAGGTAATAATTGGCCTCGCCTGCGACGCATAAGGTATTTGCTGCCTGGTGCGGTTGTGCATCTAAATCAAACGAAAAGAAGGTTGACTTTGATGCTCTGTACATAAAAATTGTGTTTGATGCTTGATGTGATCCGCACAACCTTCAAAGTTACTTTCAAGAAAGACTATCCATTTTAGAGTATTTTGGATAAGGTAATACGGGTTACTTCCCTTTAAATGTAGCGGAAGCAAGCCCTTAGGTTTTTATGTATTACATCTACTTTATACATTTCTTTTTTTAAGTTTTAAAGCCAGTTAAAACAAGTACAGTACATTTAAATAAATACAAGGACATCTGTTTGGTGATAATCAACATGTTGAATTTTTTGTTGTTGTAATTTTCATATTTTTTTTTTAAAAAGCAACAATTGTTTTTTTACTAAGTTCATTATAGTACCTGGAACTGGAACTTCATATTGAAACACATTTCGGACGGTTTTAAAAAAACTTAAAGTGTTGTGCATTTTTTACGACGTCCTCACGTAGGGGTTAACGTAGGGCAGTGGGCCCTAGAGTTCGTCATTAAAATATGATTTATAGACACATACGAAATGTATACATTTAAGCGACACGGCAGCCTACTGCCCGTGCTTAAAAAAAAAAAAAAACTACAACAGCTCGGCAGGTATTTCTATGAAATTTATTAGCTACAGTCGTTAAAATAAAACAAAGTGAAAATCTAGATCTATAGGCCTAATGAACAGTGTTTCTTTCAGACTTTTTAAAATAAATTTCCGGTGGGGGGGGGGGGGGGGGCGGACGCAGTGTTTCTTCCAGACTTTTTTTTCTCCGAGGATGCACTTGATATTTTCGGGGGGGGGGGGGGGGGGGCGGTCAACATTTTCCGGGGGGGGGGGGGGCGGACACTAGTAAAAGTATGTTTACTATATAAATTCCATATCGTTCGGCGGGGGGGGGGGGGGGACCCCGAAGAGATGCCTGGAAGAAACTCTGGGCGGACGGCTGGTAAAAGTATATATTTTCTTTATAGATTCCATTCTGTTCAGGGGGGGGGTAGACTTTCTTCGGGGGGGGGGAGCAAGTAGAAATGCCTGGAAGAAACCCTGCTAATGAATATTAGTAATTAAAATTATTTAACGATTAGCAAGATGTAGGTCTAGCTAGAGGACCTAGTTTATGTGTTTTTTTTTTAAATCAAAGGCATTAGAATCGATTTACAGCCGTATATGTAGAAGCCTACGTTTTTCAGTCATCCAACCACATATTTTGATTCTTTATTAATAGAGTAGATTGTAAAAATAAAATTCCATAGCTCTAGAAATCTAGTCAATTTCTGGATCAATATTTGTTTCTCGACCGCTAGAATTTACTCCGTTGACAACGAGAAAGCATAAAAATGGCGGACCGACGTAGAAGATCGATATCATAACTAAATTAAACCTAGACTAGATCCAGATCTAGATCTACTTCTCGTTAAATTTTTTTGTATTGCATGTTTGGATGCACAACTAAACTGAAATATAAATCTAGATCTAGATTTCTATCTGAAGTGTTGTATTCCTGCTTTTATTCGTTCTCAAAAGAACTTTTTGTAAGTTAAAAGTTTCAGTTCCTTTGTGAGTTTGTTACCACTTGTGTTCTGTACTTGTAGTGTACAGTAACCTGTGTACAAACAAAGTGAGTGTACTACTGACACTGTAATGAGTAAAATATAGTTTTTAGGTCCTATTTGTATATATTAGGTACATAAACTATTTAATGTTTAATCAATAATCATATATAGTATTATATATAGATCTAGTTTAGTATACTGTATACTGTAGCGTACGCAGGGGGGGAGCAGGGGGAGCGGCCGCTCCCCCTCTGGCCATTTTCAGCAAAGTGGCGCCTTTTTGGAAACTTTTTAAACTCAAAGTTTTAAACAATGATATTTGTTAAAAAAATATTTTTGGTCGGCATATCTATGTAAATCACAAGATTTCTTTTCATGCAGCAATTAAGCATTATTGTACTAGTCTAGTAGTGTCTACGTTTACAACACGTATTAACAGCTGCATCAGTTAGCCATTCTAAAAATAACCATTAAGATGCATTGGAATTTTTAAAAATCCTCTACCGGTAGTACCACTTTGCAAGAGGGGTGTTAAGTTTAAGGCAACTGTATAATGTATTTGCTTACAAATAATTGCATTAGAAAATGTTATACATAAAACTTCACACATAATTACTTTATTTATACAGTTTGAATCGTGTGGTTAATTTTTTGAAAATTACAATACAGAAACAAATACAACTGATGTGGCACCTTTATTTAAATTTACTTATGGGCAAGCTGCGTAGCGGTGGGAAATTTTGACACGGCCAACAAGGTCATTGTCATCACGATGAAGAAGTAGTATTCTTACAGTTTGGGCGATAGTGATACGATTACAAATTATATGAAACAGTTACAACCCATGGACCCCTCTGTAAAAAAAAATTATTGTCATAATACCACTGCTACTATTTCTGAATCAGTATACATGTGTAATATATATGTATGTTTAGAACAGTCATCTAAAAACTGACGCTATGTTCACTCTGAGTTGGTTATCTTCCCCCCCCCCCCACACCTTACCACCACAATTGTGTAGAGCGACATTATTGTCACACCTAGGTATACACTGGGTTGGATAATTGACCTAAAGTGACCGGACAGTAAAAAGGTGTGTGAGCAATACAGTGATCTAACCCATACCTATCACTATATTAAATAAACCGGGAGTGATCTCCCCTAAACTTTCTCGAATATTCTTATATAAAATAACAGGGGATGGGAACTCGGGCTATAGACATGATTTTTAATCTATTTTAAATACTTAAAGTTTTAAAAATAGAATAAAATCTCGTAGACAAATTAATTGCACACCAAGTGAACGCCAAATAAAAAAGCGCATAATAGTGCGCAATATTATTAGTACTTCTAAAATTTACATTAGTTTTTTGAGAAATCGAAAGTAGCGTAAATTACTACTTCCAGTCAACGGAAATTACTCAAAATTTAACAGAAGGTAGAGAATTAGATCTTTTACTTACATGTGAAATTTCATGTATCTATCTCAAATAGTACTCAAGTTATAGTACCACTTCCGGTTGTCGGAAATCGCTCAAAAGTTGATACGGATCTACGATTTTGATAAAATACTTATATATGAAATTTCATCAACCTAGCTGTAACGGTACTCAAGTTATCGTGTTTACACACAGACACACAGACACACACACAGACATACGGACAAGATTGCAAAATTATGTTTTTCCGTATCAGTGAGGTGTAAAACGTCGAGATTTGTAAAAATCTCGATTTTTTTTTTGCACGATTACAATACTTTCTCTATAGTACGTATATACGAGAAAGTAAAAATGATCTTTAAGGAACACAAAGAAGCAGTAGTTAAATAATATAAATATGACCTGAACTAAATGACCGACATATAGTTAATTGTAGGCTATTATTCCGATTGCTTATCTGTTATAGTGAAAAGCGTGCTTTTATACCAACTCTGATTTAAAAAAACTTTCATTATGCTGTAATAATTTAGCATTTATAATGACAATATATTTAATTCTGATTATAGACAAAAACATTTTGTTAACACGAATAGTTTTAAACAATTTCATTATATTCTAAAGTAACTATTTATTTGTTTTGACATTTATAATTAAATGTGTAGATATATACATATTTATATTAAGAGAGTGATTATTTCCCCTATTGCACATGTCTTGAATAATTTCCCAGGAATTATTAAGTAAGAAATTTTTTACAAGAATTACAAAACAGATTGTGTTACGTTCATTGTTTTTGGTTGTAGTGTGTGTATATTTTGTTTGTTTTTTGTTTAGATTGATACAATTTTTTTTTTGTCGGCCTACATTGTGTGTTTTTTCTGATTTCTTCAGAGTGCTACTTTCAATTTATTTTACATCATAGCGAAGTAATGACATACAGCTAGTAATTATATATATATATATATATATATATATATATATATATATATATATATATATATATATATATATATATATATATATAAATACACGTATATAGAACTTGTTAAAAAATCGGCGCCTTTTTTTGCTCTTTTCGCTCCCCCTACAACGAAAACCTGGATACGCCTCTGACTGTATACTTTATAGGATAGGCCAATATATATAAATTAGGCCCTATTTACTATTTTTTATTTTATTTTTGTGTTAGTTTAAATTTTTTAAGTATTCTAGTAGTATTCTAGTTAGTAATTAGTACTATCCTACTAATTAGGCTTAATTGTCATAATTGATTCAATTAAGTACATTAACTAGGCCTATTTATTTTAAGTAATTATTTATTTTTAGGCTAATATTTTGTATTTATTTTATATCTTACCTGAAGAAGCCTAATAATAAATAACATAAATTCATTTTTTGGCTAAGAGTTGCTTAAGGCCTATTATTATTATGATTTTATAAGCCTACACGTATGTAAATTATATATATATATATATATATGTATATATATATATATATATATATATATATATATATATATATATATATATATGTATATATATATATGTATATATATATATATATATATATGTCATTAAATATGTTTCTTTGAAATAAAAATAAAATAGTAGGCCTACTTTTTTTCTAATTAGCAACTATAGCATACTATAGAAGAACTGCTAAATTTGTACGAATTTACTGCTTATTGTAGGCCATTTTATTTCTTAATATAATTTATATCATAAACATTACTCAATTTTAATCCTTGCCTTTAAATAGTATAGTTAAAGTAATGTTTGCATGATACCTACCTTGTGCTCCATAGATTTAACAACTTTAAAATATGGCCTCCTGTCAAATCTAGTGTCCTATTGGTCATCCATCTGTTCCACCTTCCAACATACAATGCCTTCACATGTTCATAGAAAGCTCTAAAAACTTTCTTTTGAAAGATAATAACTTTTTGAAAAGGAAAATAAGGGAAATGGATACTTACTCCCAAAAGATTTCATTTCCCCATAATGGAAATGTTAAGGACGATGAAAAAGATTTAGTTGAAGGAGAAAATAGTAGTCCGATACACACTAAATCTGGTATCAGACAAAATGGTTTACATAAACTTGATGACAGGAAATATATAGAAGCATTTGTTCATGGAGGATTTGATTCTTATGTGGAAAATGGCTTAGAGTTCCAGCACAATAAGTTTCTACAGAATGGCAGGACAGCAATGGATGTGTTAAATGGCAAGAGGGTGGCTAAACAAGCCTGGGGGGATCATAGAGACAGTGGCTCCGTTTGTAGCAGTGATGAGGCCACGGCCAACACACAGTTGCAGGATATTCCAGGGGGATTTAGGGCCAAACCCAACACTCCAGCCAGCATATACCAGCCAAACAGAAACATAAAACCCAGCTCAAGGTAAGCTTTGTGTGCAAGTTTTATACACACTAAACCCAGCTCAAGGTTAGCTTTGTGTGCAAGTTTTATAAACACTAAACCCAGCTCAAGGTAAGCTTTGTGTGCAAGTTTTATAAACACTAAACCCAGCTCAAGGTAAGCTTTGTGTACACGTTTTATAAACACTAAACCCAGCTCAAGGTAAGCTTTGTGTGCAAGTTTTATAAACACTAAACCCAGCTCAAGGTAAGCTTTGTGTGCAAGTTTTATAAACACTAAACCCAGCTCAAGGTAAGCTTTGTGTACACGTTTTATAAACACTAAACCCAGCTCAAGGTAAGCTTTGTGTACAAGTTTTATAAACACTAAACCCAGCTCAAGGTAAGCTTTGTGTACACGTTTTATAAACACTAAACCCAGCTCAAGGTAAGCTTTGTGTACACGTTTTATAAACACTAAACCCAGCTCAAGGTAAGCTTTGTGTGCAAGTTTTATAAACACTAAACCCAGCTCAAGGTAAGCTTTGTGTACACATTTTATAAACACTAAACCCAGCTCAAGGTAAGCTTTGTGTACAAGTTTTATAAACACTAAACCCAGCTCAAGGTAAGCTTTGTGTGCAAGTTTTATAAACACTAAACCCAGCTCAAGGTAAGCTTTGTGTGCAAGTTTTATAAACACTAAACCCAGCTCAAGGTAAGCTTTGTGTACAAGTTTTATAAACACTAAACACAGGAAGTTGTATACAGAACTTCACATAAAGTGTCACTAGCAAATAGCTGGTGTGTTCACATGTAAACTGCTCTCTGTTTCTTTGCTGGTTTTGATTTTTTAAAATTGGCTTTTATTTCTATCTGTTAGTACTTTAAAGATTATAGCAGGAGAACATAAATTATATTCTAAAACTTTGACATATATATAATACTAACTGCTACAGCTTTTGATCAATATTAATGTAATGTATTTATTTTGGCTTTTCTGCATTGCTTTTTACTAAGTTAGATCTAGATACTTTTATAAAAATTAATGGTATTATTTATAATGTTCTGAATATACTTCTCAGAGTTTCTTCCAGGCATCTCTTCATCTACTGACCCCCGAACGAAATGGAATTTATATAAAAAACATACTTTTACCACTGCCCCCCCCCTCAAATATTAAGTGCCCCCCCCCCCCCTCTGAGAAAAAAGTCTGGAAGAAACACTGATGCTACTAATACTACCATGCATGTAGGCCTAATTTTTTGAAAAAAATATAAGTATAACGGTCATTAGTTAAGTTATACTTTTGAAGTTAAATACAAAATAGTTTTAAAAGTCAGATTTAAAAAATCTAAAATTTATATGACAGATTTTTAGAAAACTTTGTGGTCAGTTTAGATTTCTGGTCTTGCACTGCAGTGAGGATATTATAAATTGCTGGGCATTTGTTGGGGAACTACAACTGACTTTGTGAAGGGGAGGTGTGAAAGTTGATGTTTACTGGAGCTGACAAGTCATTGCTTATATTTTGGAGCACATTACACTCTGGTGTGTTTTGATAGTGTTGGCACGACCTTTGACTTGTTGAGCCATTATTCCGTGATTGTTATTTCAAAATGCCACCCGATTTTTATGATGTACTGTGTGTTAGCATTAGCACATGTAACTCTGAGTTTGGGCTTTGTTAGCACTTGTATCTGTGTTCTGTGAGTTAGGGTTCATTAAATTAGGTAACTATTGTAATTAACAGTTAAAATGACGCATTAGAGGAGTCAGCATGAGAAGAAGTTTAAAAAAGACTGAGTCAACACTTTCAGATTATGAGATTAATTTTTTAATTAAGAAAAAATGGAATAGCTTTTTCCGTTTATAAAAAGTTCATAATTTTAGAATGATTTGAAATGCAAATTCCAGGCTAATGGTGAATGCACCACCGGATATAAGCTTGTCAACTGAGTAAAATACTGGTCTAGACAACGCATTTGATGGATTGGATTCTCTGCTCTAAACCTGCAGCTAAGTCTGCTGGTCTATGCGCGTGCAGGCAGGTTATTAAAAAAAAAACGTGAACAACAAAGGGCCATAATAGGGCCTTTAGGAATATGAATTTTTTTTTCATGAATTAAAGCTGAGTTAGTGTCACTGTGACTCATCCAATTTTAGTTAATCGATCTATTCTAGCATTTGGGTTGATTTGACTGTTTATTGACGACATAATAGCTTTGTCTGTTTCACTGAGTTTTATATTAAGTGTATATGCACGATGTAACTTCATTTTTAACTTGTCGAGTTCTTTATACAAGAATTTTATTTAGAGACTGCCGATCGCTTTCCTTTTAAGTTTAACGCTTTACTCTCGGCCGCTTTGTCTCCGCCGGTCTCGCATAGAACAGATTAACATAATGAACCTCCGACACGGGGCCTTCATACAAAAACGCCGCACAGATTCAATGAGCCAGGTTTTTAACCATTTGTGGTTTACCCCAAGGGACTCTATTGGACCCGACACCATTGATCATGGATATTTTTTTTTCATTTGCTTTATTGATTAATCTGTACGAGCCATTAAGAAATAAGGAACTGATCCGATCGGTCGACTGGTTCGGTGTGTCTGCTAGTTTATGATTTTAATCCTCGACCGACCAGTTGGCCAATTGCTTTAGCTTATGAATCGATTTTTTTTTCATGAATTGCCTGGTTGGATTTTAGTTGGGAGAGTATGAAGTCGTGTTTTACAGACCAATTTATTAACGCTGTGAGTTAAGCCTAGTGCTATTTGCAGAGATTTTAGCTGTGAATTTTTCGTGTCACGTTTGGTGTCGTTACTATTCGGATCTTGTGTTTTTTCTGATGACTTTGTGTCACACACGTTTCTTACACGAAGTAACATGATAAGATGTGAATTGAAACCAGTGATCCTTTGGTGCATTTTATTTACTGGTTGCAAACCGATATCATAACACGCCTACATCTGATATTCAGTAAGCAATTACATTCTCAAATGGTTTGTAAGTCTATGTAGATATTAATAAAAAAAAAGCCCACAAGGCTTACGAAAGTGTTGTGTTGTATTTGGTAAGAAGTGTTGTGTTGTGTTAGCAGTGTTGTGTTGTGTTAGCAGTGTTGTGTTGTGTTAGCAGTGTTGTGTTGTGTTAGCAGTGTTGTGTTGTGTTAGCAGTGTTGTGTTGTGTTGTGTTAGCAGTTTTGTGTTGTGTTAGCAGTGTTGTGTTTGATCAGAAGGGTTCTCTTGTGTTACTATTCGATAAAAGGTTCCAGTGCAGCAAGGACCGCTATTGGTAGATATACAGATGGCCAAGACAGCTATGATATTGTAGATGTAAACTGGAGAAGTTTAGCGCCATATCATAGTACGGTCTGTTGTAGGACTGGACAGTGGCCAGAATACGGTCTGCTGTAGGACTGGACAGTGGTCAGAATACGGTCTGTTGTAGGACTGGACAGTGGCCAGAGTACGGTCTGTTGTAGGACTGGACAGTGGCCAGAGTACGGTCTGTTGTAGGACTGGACAGTGGCCAGAGTACGGTCTGTTGTAGGACTGGACAGTGGCCAGAGTACGGTCTGCTGTAGGACTGGACAGTGGTCAGAATACGGTCTGTTGTAGGACTGGACAGTGGCCAGAGTACGGTCTGTTGTAGGACTGGACAGTGGCCAGAGTACGGTCTGCTGTAGGACTGGACAGTGGTCAGAGTACGGTCTGTTGTAGGACTGGACAGTGGCCAGAGTACGGTCTGTTGTAGGACTGGACAGTGGCCAGAATACGGTCTGCTGTAGGACTGGACAGTGGTCAGAATACGGTCTGCTGTAGGACTGGACAGTGGCCAGAGTACGGTCTGTTTGTGGACTGTGCCGTGTACTTTGCCTCACCTCACGGGCGTTGTGCCCAATAGTGTTGTTCACACAGAGGCCACTTAGCACAGTGTTTTACACCGATGACGTCACTCAACATAGTATTGTACACGGCGATGTTTTGACTCAATTAAAATTGCTATGCTTAGCATATTGACCTAAGAATTTAATATTTATTCAATATAAATCAATAATTAATTTTACACGTACTTCCCATTGTTGATCTTTCTTTAATAAAATGTTTTTCGTCACTCTATCAGCCAGGAGCGTCCCCGAGCCCACCCCAGTGATTCTAATCTAGCAATAAAATAACTCGCGATAGCCGTAAAATCTTAATCAGCTGTGATGTTTTAGTTTTATATTTGTGTGAGGCCTAAGTTAGATAACTCACGGTGTATGTTCATATTCAAACGTTTAAGAGTGCTTGCCCTTTTTAGACAAATTTCAGTAAATTTTATTTTGTTTTCTAGGGTTGATGGCTGGGAGGATCCTGAGAGGATGATTCAGAGTGTGAGTTCTGGTCTGTCAGTGAGAGATGATGTCATGACACATGACAGGCAGATGATATTTGACTCATCGTTGTCCGGCTATTACCTGGTCACACAAGACAAACCGGCACCAATGGAACCTCTCCAGGTAGGGCTCTAAACTTTTAGATGGAACCTCTCCAGGTAGGGCTCTAAACTTTTAGACATGAAGAAGAGTTTGTTGGTAATTCTGTGATTGTTATAAACAATATAAATTTTAGTTATTCTCACTATTTTACAGGTAATAAAAGCTTATGCACTGCTTCAGTTATGTCAAATTTAACTCTGTTATTGAGCTATGACTTTTCAGCAGTATGTCATGTTGATGTATGGCATTTTGTCAGCTGTATAGCTGTATCGCGTCATTTGGGAATGCCTTTTCAATGTTTGTTTTAATTGTTGCAGGTATGGAGAGGATATAAAGGCAATGTTTATTTCCAGCCAATTGTAATTAAAAAATTGAACAGTGCGCCATCCAGACCCTCGACGTATAATCAGAAACATTCATCAAGGCCAGTAATTCAGCCTAGATCTGCCTCTTCAGGGCCAGTAACTCATGCCTCAGGCAGCACCACTAAACCTTATCGCTACATCAACTCCTCCCCTCAGGTGTATGTGCTGGACAAGGAGGCGGTCATCAGCTCGTACAGCGACAAAATGCACGAGGAGCTCAGGTCCATTGAGAAAATAGAGTCCACGGGTAGCCTGGCTGTGAGACCAATCAGCCACAGCTTCATCACGCCGAGGGGCAAACAAATTCAAAACATGAGAGACAGGATATGCAAGGGAAGTAACTTCCACACTTCCAAACCCAACAACCTCAAAAATAATGACAATAGAAAATTCTTGAGCGCTCAGGTTTCAAACAGGAAGCAATTTTTTCTCGGCTCCGCCCCAAAACGCAGACCTAACGCTGCAGCTGTCAAACAAGATGCAAATCTTGTGGTGAATGGCGACAAGTTCTCCCCCGCCCCAGTTGTGTCCCCCCAGTTTAAAAACTCGCCATATTCCAGCAGCGTGCAGCGCGCCACCATGAACACCCCAGACTCACACGCCTCCTATGATAGGTTACCTACCCTGGAGGAAGTGAGCTCAGGTTTGCAGAAGGTCGAGGTCAGTGAAAATTTGCTGCACCAGGATGAGCCTCATTCTGAATCTCTCAATCAAATCACTCACTCAGGAGATAACAAAACATTGACTCGTTGAAATGAGATTTAAGGGTATCTAACTCTTATCTAGTTAATTTAAACATAATTTAGAAACAAATTTAATACCTTTTTTATTCAAACTCTAGAATAAATATAACCAACTTACACTTGAATATTGTAATAAACTTGGACCTGATATTCATTAAAAAATAACTAGATCTTCGTTAAAATAAATCTGTTCTTTGTAGCAATTAGATGATACCACACTTTCCCTATTGCCATAACTGTTGATGTAATAGTAGCAGGAACATCACTAAGATCTCTAAACTAGATCCCTACATGGTGATCTGAATGTGTTTATTCTACAACTCCAGCGACCTGAATTATATAAAATGTTTAATTGAATTACCCACTGTTATAAGAAAATGTGTATCTTTACTAAATTAGATGTGACTGGTAAATGTTTATTTATTGTATTTATTGCTTTCATTATGTTTATTACAGTTTATTCTATTAACAAATTCTCAGACATGGAGTCAGATTTTTTATTAATTTATAATTTTTGATGTTGACAAAAAGTTTTTGTAAATATTGACCTTTATGAAAAATCTGTATTGATTTTTTACGCAATCAAAATGTATTATTATACTTAGCTTATAAATACAATTTTTGTACCAGATGAGCAAAGTTCCTTACTTAACCCTGAGTCCATACATAATCACACAAATTGGGGCAGGTAATTGCAGCTGGGTATTGTAAGGATATCACTCCTGTCTCGTCCATGGTCCCACAATTATAATAATGATAACAACAATAATAACCATGTGATGTATTTTTTAAAATAGTTTATTACAACTTACAAGGAGTTAATGTAAAGATATTATCAGAGCAAATAGTAACTATGCTTTTTTTTACATTTGTTGCTAAATGTATTTTGACTTGCCAGTATTAATTCTAAGACTGTCCAGTATTAAGTCTTGATCCATTTAGAATGATATAAAATTTGTTGTATTTATATGCTCATGTTACCAATTTTGTAACACAATATTTTGTATGTGGGAACCTAATTAAAATGTGAAATTTAAAAGAGACTTGTTCATTTATTTTCAATTATTGATTGGTTTTTGCTTTGTTAATTGTCACTTTTATGATAGGTTAAAATGAGATTGAATATTTCTCTGATACAACTTTTTAAAAGCTCAATAACAGAATTTATTGATCTCATCAAACAATGAACAAAAACAAAAAGTCCATGTAATAATAGAATTTATTAGACAATTTGTGTAATAATTAAAAGCACTAAACTCACTAACCAATAATAAACACAAGAAATGGTCCATATATTATCACAGTTTCAACCTGCTTCAAACACTTGCAGTGGACGGACATCAGGGGTAGGTAAATAAATCAAACTTTATACATGTTTTTTAAACACCTCTATTTAAGGCATATATCAGAAAATAGACATCTAGCTTATTTCATTTAAGTACATGTATATTTATATTTTACACAACAAAAAATTTTGAAAGAATACTTTCAGAATGTAGAAAAAAAATGTGTAAATAGCTGAATGTTAGATGTAGATCTAAACAGCTGAATAATGGTTCAGTGGACAGATTCTTTCCAAATATTAAATTCAAAAAAAAATTATCAAAACATCACAAACTTTAACTAGCAGTAATAAATTATTTAATATTTTAAAAATGTAACAAAATAATTACAATATGAAAATCAATACGATGTATCACGTAGATCCACATATTATTGACCTGACCTTTTCAAATTTAGAACTAAACATTTTATTTGATATGAAATAAATCAAAACAAATAACAGATTACAGAAATTTACTTTAAATCCAGTCTGAATTCCGTCATATCTAATAGTCCCAGTCCATTTGTTTACAGTTAACCCTGTGCTAATGTTATTCATTCCTTAAGAACAGTGCTGCCCCAGTCTGCAGCCATTGGTCAACATTTCCTCCACACGGGACGTCCAGTCTGGTCACTATCCTGTCTCTGGTACTGGAGTAGTAGATGGGCAGAGAGATGGTCTCTTCAATGCCGTATGGGTCTGGGGCATCCTGCAATATCAAATAATTTATTTTCTTATGGCTTTCAACTTGAAATAGGGTTGGACTCAAAAAATGTAAAATGTCAATAATAAAAAAAACCCGTCTTTTTTTTTTGTTTTTATGCTAAGAATTTTTGCCAAATCAACAAAGCCACTAAAACCTGCATCACTATTTACAAGCAGGATTTGCTGTTTCTCACATAAAAAAAAGTATCAAAAATTATTTCTAGTAATTCTAGTCAGTCATTCAGACATCTAAAGCCTTGACCCTACCTTTGGCACCCATGATACCATGCAGGGCGGTATCGCAGAAACTATGGGTGAGTCTCTCTGGTTTTCTGACAAGCGACTGCCATCAAAGGTGCAGCCTTCCAGCTGTAGACCCCCAATTTTCACAGTCACACGCGCGCCCTGAATAGACCCGCGCCAGCTGCAAGCAAACTTTAAGCTGTCCATGGAACACTTGATTTCCCTGAGGCAAACAAAATTTTTATAATTGAACAAAAACATACAGGTGGTGGTGTGGTGTAGCTGTACTGGTTCTAAGGGATGGCATGTTTGGAGGTTAGAGCTTATACACTGCTCCATAAAAGTACATTAAGATTAGGTTAATTTATGAATGAGTCTTAGACCTTCACCTTGCTATCTGCTGCCTGAAGGCATTGAGGAATGTGTCAGGTCTGAAGAGTTCAGAAAGGTCAAGGGTTTCTTTGAGCAGAGTCCCAGACTGAGCCCGCTCGACCCAGGTCTGTATGGCAGCCGCACGGGTCACCAGGCCACGCAGGTACTGGACTGGGTCTTCTGGCCCGTCCCACTTGCTCAGCCAGTCCAGGGGAGTCTGACAACAAAAGATAGGGACACCACGGTATTCATCAGCACAAAGGATTTATGGAAAGTTTTTTTTTTACAACAGCCAAAATAGATGTTTTCTTTATCTACGGAAATTCTATGGAAAATTTATTTATATGTTGAAAAAACAGATACTCTACTCTATCTGTCTAATTTGAATGTTTAAAAGGATACTTTATATGACTTTATTCTAATAATGTACACAAGGCAACCAAATATTTCAAGAGAAGCTCCAGTGAAAAGCAACCGACCTCCTGATTAAGAAGAGCAGCTGCCAACATCTGCACATCAGAGGTCAAGAGTTGTGTTCCCCTGATGACCTTGCTCAAGGCAGCCAAAGAAGCGTGCACCGATTGGACCAGCTTGATGGCGTTGTAGCTCTCCAGCTTTATGAAGGTCAGAACTGGGGACTCATTGGTGGCTTTCTCAGATGGTGGCGCCACCTTTGATTGGATGAGACTCAGCCCCTGTGTGATATACAAGGGTTTATACATGAAACTTTCTTCAAATAATTGTATGTAGTCCAATTAAACATTTGTTTGATTACCTATAATAGTTTGAAGTGTGATAGCTGTGTCTAATAAAATCAATAAACCCCTGGGTTAATAAATGGAGTGAACTGTGACCCCTGACCTGGTTGACCTTCTTCCATATGTTAAGTATAGGTCCAAGCTCTGTAGCCCACACTTCCTTGTCAAACTTGCTGGCCTTGATGTCTGAGCGCTGCAGCACACGCAGCTGGTTGATGACCTGTAGGCTGGTGACCCTCTGGGTTGACCTCTCAATGTTCTCCGGCAGGCCAAAGTAGGAAGGTTTGTCGTACTCTGGCAGCGCCTCAATCACATCGATGTAGTCCTGGCATTAACAAACAATACAGTAGACCAATAACAATCACATCAATGTAGACCAATAACAATCACATCAATGTAGACCAATAACAATCACATCGATGTAGCCCTGACATTAACAAACAATACAGTAGACCAATAACAATCACATCGATGTAGACCAATAACAATCACACCAATGTAGACCAATAACAATCACATCAATGTAGACCAATAACAATCACATCGATGTAGTCCTGGCATTAACAAACAATACAGTAGACCAATAACAATCACACCAATGTAGACCAATAACAATCACATCGATGTAGACCAATAACAATCACATCAATGTAGACCAATAACAATCACATCAATGTAGCCCTGATATTAACAAACAATACAGTAGACTAATAACATTTACACTGACAAGGACACAATGTTATTATTATATGATAGTACAACTGAAATGGTGAAATTGTATTGGAATATATTTTAATTGGAAAATATCAAGCCTTATACTGAATTTTACATTCCAATAAAAGTATTTCTTCTTCTTTCTTAATTGTAATGTAATTAAGTATTACGTGTAAAAATGTTATGCATGATATAAGCCACTGACTCCAATGTCAGCCTGCTTTCCTTCTGGATTTGCAACCAAGAACAAACTACAAGGCATCAGTTATTTGAATTTGGAGTTCTCTCCTAGAAAAGTTGCTGTCCCCAGTTAACAGGCCACATCTGGCTGGGGGTTCGAACTCAGGACTTTTCGGTTTAGAAACAAAGAGCTTTACTGATCCAACTACCCCTAATAAATGTATTAAAAAAGTCCTTACCCTGACATTTGTTGAGGTGGGCATCTTGAGAGGCCCCAGCCTTTTGCCCTTGTTCTGCTGGGAGATGATGGAGCTGTTGAAGAACTGCTGTAGGTAGGAGACCATGACCCCCATGTCCAGTGGGTTGTCCACCCTGCCGCCATAGATGGCAAACTCAAACAGACCATGCACAAATTTCCATTGAATTTGATCTTGGCCTGAAATTGGTGGCAAATATTTTTTTTTATTCACAAAAAAACTAAAAAAAAAATCCATCTAGTTCCACTTTGTGGTAAACAGAAATAGAACTAAACAAACTACCACAAAAATTTAAAAGATGAGCCACACTTAAACTAGGATTATCAAGTTGAATTTATCTTTAATCTACAAGAAAATGATTTAGTAACCTAATTCTAATGCTCTATTCCTATTCTAACCCATTCAAATGTTTTATTAACCCTTAATGGATTTTTAAAAGAAACCCAGAAATCTTTGTTAAGACAATCTGCACACAATGAGTACATTATTTGGCTAAAGTAAAAATTGTAAACAAGTTTGTAAGGAATCCAAGCAATATTAAACCATGTTAGCAGCAAAATCTCCACCACATTAGGATACACACACACAATGTTAGAGCATAGATCAAACCACATTAAATGTGTATTACACATCTCACTTTTTTTTCTTTACAAAACATCTCTTCTTATATTTGAACATAATAAATAAATATTAATGAGTTTGAGATATATGAACAGAAATCATATACATTGATTATTCCCACAAAAGCTGTGAATATAGCAAGTGTTATTTTACACACTTCACACAACACAATTTAACACCTCCTTCTCCAACATCATAGAGAGCTAGATCAATAAAAAAAATGGGTAAAAGAATTTAATACAACAATTATATCAGACACTTAGGGTGCATTCATTACTAGACCAAGTAAAACAACCTAATATTCAGCAGACGTTTGTCTAAACACCAGATATAGGTAACTGTCTGCACCAGCTAACACAGAACAACCTCAGACAACTCAACTACAATAAAGATTTACTACTAGCTGTTTGCACACCCAACAAGGGAGAGTACCAAGAAACCAGCCTTACCTCCCTTACACAGCCTGTCAATGATGTCGGCCCCTGCCCTGATGTCTGACGTAGAGAACAAGAAACCAGCCTTACCTCCCTTACACAGCCTGTCAATGATGTCGGCCCCTGCCCTGATGTCTGACGTAGAGAACAAGAAACCAGCCTTACCTCCCTTACACAGCCTGTCAATGATGTCGGCCCCTGCCCTGATGTCTGAGGTGGAGAACTCGTAGAACTTGGTCCAGCCCTGGGGGATGTACATCCTCCTCTCCTGCATGACAGCGTGGAACCAGGCCAGGGCAAACAGCGCCTGCGCCCGCAGCACGTTGCCTCCCCTGGCGATGTATTCTGGCGTCCAGCTCTCATAGCTTCTCATGAGGTTACGCTTGACACCAGGTGGCGCCTGGTGATTGGACAAAAAGGGGATCACAGGATTAAAATGATACAAAGTGTAAGGTTATTTTGTGTTCCTTCAGCAGTTGTTAAACCATCCTGTCATGTGACTAATGGGACAATGACCTTGTCTTACCTCATAAGTGACCTTGAGACTAGACTGTAAAAGAACAGTTGGAAATTTGGGGTGGACTTCAGACGTCATCCAAAGTCTGAAGTCATTGTGTGGTTGGAGGGTGTTCATTTCCTGGGGAGGGGGGGGGATAAAATATTGTTTTTAAATTTGTTATATCATGTTATGTGAACACATCATAGCTGTGTACATAAAATCTACACAAAGAAACTGGCTAAACCCATCTACTGACTGCTTACAAGCTGTAGTAAATGAAAGAAATTTTACCTTCTCAAGGGCAGGTAACCATGAGGTGACCAGATGAAGATTTTTGAGACACAACCAGTTGCCGTTCTTGGCACAGTCATGGAGGAGTTTCATGGCCACTTCTGCTTGACCTTGACCCATGGCAACCTTTGACATAGTTTTGGTGTTGCAATGAACTATATCAGCATAAACATATTCTAGACAAAAAGATTACTCAACAGGTTATCTGACTATTAATGTTAGACCATCACCACCAGAATCATCACAACTAGACCATCACTAACAGACCAGCATCATTTGATCAGCACCACCTGCCTGATGGTACCTCTCTATGGCAACCACCAGACCATTATCACTACACCATCACCACTATACCATTACCATTATACCATCACCACCAGACCATCACTAGACCTACCTGATGGTACCTCTCTATCCCAATGGTCTCAGCCGCCAGTTCCTGCAACTCCTGTGAGGGGTCCACACCAGGGGAGATCACTATCAGGATGGGCTCCATGGCGATGGATTCTTGGAACAATTTCTTCAGGTTCATGAAGGGTGGGGAGAGTTCTTTCATGTCTGGTAGCCAGAAACATGCAGAGTTTTTATTTTAGCAGAGTCACAGAAACAAGTGGGGATCACAATTAAGATTAAAAATACAAATTTTTTTGTAAACACATATTGTATAACAATTTTTAAACAAATATAAAATGTGCACATACTTAACGCCCTGCATGCAAACAAGCCCATGGCGCTGACCAGTCGGTCAGGTCTGGTGGCCTGTGTGATGAGAACTTGCTGGAACAAGGAGACCTTCCTCTCAACACTGCTGGGAAACTCCTGCTCACACTGACTGCTGCGGGCAAAGTTTGACCACAGGCCAGCATCCTCTAGGTCCAGCATCTGGTACAACTTTGGGAAGTTCACCTGAGTGATGGAAAAAAAAAAGGTCAGAAATAAAAAATGTAGTCAGATGTGAACTGCCCTAAGTGACTATTTACCTTGAAGTAACCAAGAAGTCAGAAGTGACTATTTACCTTGAAGTAACCAAGTAGTCAGAAGTGACTATTTACCTTGAAGTAACCAAGTAGTCAGAGAAGTGACTAATTACCTTGAAGTAACCAAGTAGTCAGAAGTGACTATTTACCTTGAAGTAACCAAGTAGTCAGAAGTGACTATTTACCAAGTAGTCAGAAGTGACTAATTACCTTGAAGTAACCAAGTAGGCAGAAGTGACTATTTACCTTGAAGTAACCAAGTAGTCAGAAGTGACTATTTACCTTGAAAGCTGCAATAGCTGAGTGTCTCTCCTGATCCACCCAGGACGGGCCACGCCCACTGTCAGCTTTGACATCAGCTACCAGCATACCAGTGAAAGCTTCCCACTCCTGGACACAGAACAGCAAGTTAAATAATTAGATTACAGCATCAGTCATCAAAACTATCAATTAAATAGATTAAAATCTTTAAGTTAAGAAAAAAATTAACTAACTAAAATGAAAGTAAAACCATATGAAAAAAACCACAAAGTTTAAGTATTTTAAAAAACATTACAGATCTGGTATGAAAACGCTTACATTTTCCTCAAACAGCTCTGGCTTACAGCCGTGCACCATGTGTATGGCAAACATCATACGGTCAGCCTTGAACAAGGAGCGGCACACATACTCGTAGACCATCATGAAGAGCTTTGAGCTCAGAGCTTTCAACCTCAGCTCAGTGCCACTACCATCCTGCATCAAATATTTTGGTTACACGTTACAGTGATCAATTACATGTTACAATGATCAGTTACAAGCCAATAATCTATAGGCTATAATTTTTTAAGTAAAATTGATTAAATGATGTTAAAATGTGAATATTATCAACATTTTAAAACTAGAAATAATGTTTAAAACCGCATGGAAAAATTATTTGTGTACATGATAGAATAGAAAATGCAAATGGGGAGACAGAAAATTATTTCTGAAGTTAAATTTTGTTTTGAATTGGATAAAGTTTATTAAAATGATGAGCCCCTGAACTAAAGTTCAAGGCTGTCTTACATGTTTAGACTGCAGCGCCCTCTGGAAGAGCCTGAGGAAGGCAGACAGTGAGAACCTGTACATGTTGTTGATCTTAGCCAGGTCGCTGATGACAAAGTACAGACAACTCCCACTCTCCGCCAGGGGGAGGTAAGTGTTGCGCTCCTGGTCCAGCGACGTCTGCAGCCTGACGGACTCGACCAGGGAGTCTGTGATGGTGATACTGCTGGCCTTGGTTTTGTTGAGGGAGTCCAGGAGTTCCTTGTTCTCCAGAATGTTCCCTTTAGCATTGGCCAGTTCCTGGGGGGAAAATGTTTGAACCAAGTCAAACACTGGCACAACAGTCCTTTAAAGATAAACTGTAGGCTACCACATACTTAAATGTTTGGGTATTTAGGTCCAAGGATGGGTGTGGTTTATATGAGTGTGGTTTGTGTGTGGTTTGTGTGTAGTTTGCATGGGTGTGGTTTGCATGGGTGTGTGGTTTGTGTGTGTGTGTGTGGTTTGTGTGTGTGTGTGTGGTTTGTGTGTGGTTTATATGAGTGTGGTTTGTGTGTGTATGGTAAGTGTTTGTGTGGTTTGTGTGTGTATGGTAAGTGTTTGTGTGGTTTGAGTGTGTGTATGGTTTGAGTGTGTATGGTTTGCGTGAGTGTGGTTAGTGTGTGTGTGTGGATAAAGCTCAAACCTCCAACAAGCTGGACTCTAGCTTGGCCAGCTGTATCTTCAGATCTTCCTCCTGCTTCAGCAGCTCTGTCTTCCTCAACTCCAGTTCAGGTTTTTCATTTTGTAACGTGTTAGCAAGCAGCTAAAATAAACAAAGTGTTAGCCAACAGCACAACTTTTTGTTTTAAATTACTGTTTTCATGTATACCTTTTAAACAATTACAGAGTAAAAATAAATGATGGCAAACTCAATGAAAAATGTAATGTGTGAGATTCAGCATGGGGTAGAGAGGGTCAAAGTGGGGGGTCAAAGGTCAGCTACCTGTCCAGTAAGTCCAGCGCGGGTGGTGGTAAAGTTGACCTCTGTGATGATGGCCGCAGCATCAGGTGGTATCTCAGGGCTGGGGTTCCTGGTGGTCAAGAAGAGACGGAACTCTTCGTTGTAGTCAATGGTTTTCTCCCCTATCTGGACAACATACCTGGGACCTGGGATTGGTACAAGGTCAAGGTTCATACATATCACAACATACTAAAACATACTACTACACACCAGAAGATACGAGCACAGACAGGTAAGTGGAGCAAGCATAGGAGGGGGGAAAGGGTACTAGCAGGAGTATTGCAGCACAAAAAGCATAACTAAACAAAGTTGTCTAGAGCCAGCATCTGACCTTGAGCCGTGAGATCTCCTCTCAGGAGGGGAAACAAGACAGGCTCTACTCCATCTACCTCTTGGACAATCAGGGTCTTGCCAAACCTGACAGCCAGCTCTAGCGCCGTGCTGAAGTTGGCGTCCTGTCAGGTAAGACGTAAGTCACATAAACCATGTTACAGCAAGCAACACAATCAACAACATAGTTGGTAACTGGCCCACAAGATGACCCACCAATTGACCCATGAGATGACCTATCAACTGACCCATAAGATGACCCACCACAAGACCCATCAACTGACCCATAAAATGACCCACAAGATGACCCATCAACTGACCCATGAAATGACCCTACAACAAGACTGACCTGCTGATTAATAACTTCCAGCCTGTTGGCCTTGAGATGAACTTTCAGCCACTCCGTGGCTCGAGATGACGGGTCAACCAGAAAAGGTCGCAGTGAACTCTGAAATAGGTGACAAGTTTATAGCCCCAACATGGAGATAAATCTTTAAAACATGTGACATTTTATAGGCCCCAACATAGAGATAAATACATCTTTAAAACATGTGACATATCTATAGTGCTCACACAGAACTTAGCAAACTTGGACTGAAATCATTTATATAAAGCCCAATTAGATACACACAAAATTTAGAGGGACAAATGGTTAAAAAAATTAGTAATTTAAAATTAACATCAAAGCTATTGTATTTTAAAAGTAGAACATTGTTTTATGAATGATTTATCAAAGCAAAGTTGATAAATTATTTTTTGAAAAAAAAGTTTTGAAAGCGGATGTTTTAAACAGAGTAAAAAAAAAAGCCTTAGTTCAAGTAACATATAGGGCCTACAGTAAAACTTGTTTCACACAAAAAAAAGTTATCATTTTTAACAGATTTAAATAAATAATAGCCATGCTTAACTGTGAAAAAATGAAAACATTTAAAAAATGTGTAGGTTGATAATAGAAAAACATTTTAAAAATTCAATCCACAAAGTTGTCAAACATACATTCTATACACTCAATTTTGTGTTCTGTTGTTTGTGCAGATATAAAAAGAATAAACCGGGAGTGATCTCCCCTAAACTTTCTCGAATATTCTTATATAAAATAACAGGGGATGGAAACTCGGGCTATAGACATGATTTTTAATCCATTTTAAATACTTAAAGTTTTAAAAATAGAATAAAATCTCGTAGACAAATTAATTGCACACCAAGTGAACGCAAATAAAAAAAGCGCATAATAGTGCGCAATATTATTAGTACTTTTAAAATTTACATTAGTTTTTTGAGAAATCGGAAGTAGCGTAAATTACTACTTCCAGTCAACGGAAATTACTCAAAATTTAACAGAAGGTAGAGAATTAGATCTTTTACTTACATGTGAAATTTCATTTATCTATCTGAAATAGTACTCAAGTTATAGGCTTTTAAAAAATTCAAAGTAGGAAAAGTACCACTTCCGGTTATCGGAAATCGCTCAAAAGTTGATACGTATCTACGATTTTGATAAAATACTTATATATGAAATTTCATCAACCTAGCTGTAACGGTACTCAAGTTATCGTGTTTACACACGGACAGACACACACACGGACAGACACACACACACACAGACATACGGACAAGATTGCAAAATTATGTTTTTCCGTATCAGTGAGGTGTAAAACGTCGAGATTTGTAAAAATCTCGATTTTTTTTTTTTGCACGATTACAATACTTTCTCTATACTACGTATATACGAGAAAGTAAAAAGGAAAGCTTGGCTTAAGTGATCAATTTACAAGGAGCAGGTCAATAAATCAAACAGTTTAAAGCTTCAGACAGGGGAAAACATAACTCAAAACAAACTGATTGCAATTTTTTTAAATTCAAAGAAGCCCACTCAGAAAATGAATTAAAAGTTGACCACACAAAAAATTAAAAGTTGAGCACACAAAAATCAAAAGATGACCACACAAAAAAAAAAGAAAATTAAATGTTGACCACACAAAAGATTAAAAGTTGACCACACAAAAAATTAAAAGTTGACCAAACAAAAAATTAAAAGTTGACCAAACAAAAATGAATTAAAAGTTGACCAAACAAAAATGAATTAAATGTTGACCACACAAAAAATGAATAAAAAGTTGAGCACACCAACACTAAATGCTTAATGTCTTACCCCAATAGGAATATCATGCACCTGTTGTGTGTGTTGAAATTAAATATATTAAAATTGATTTAATTTAAACATGTGCTACATGCTCTCATAATGTGGTAGTTAGAAAACAATTACCAAGTGGCAAAACTTGGGTGAAATGGAGGAGTGGGAAGGAATGAAAATTGGGGTCCACATAATAGTTTATTACCAGTAGCTGCTTCATTGAAAATTGATTTGAAATTATATGTGGTTTATCCAAGTTGCAGTAGTTTTGAAAAAAAAAAACCATTCAACGCACCAAAAGGTAAAACATTCAAACATCTGAGCTTAAACCTTTTGACATTTACACAACACTTCTGTAGACCAACCATTCAACCCACCTGTAGACCAACCATCCAACCCACCTGTAGACCAACCATCCTACACACCTGTAGACCAACCCTACAACACTCAACCACCTACCCACCTGTAGTATGACCAGAGCATTCTCCATAGACAGGTCATCAGAGGGTAGACCCTCATTTTTCCAGATCAGCTGTTCACTCTCCGTAGAGAGGAACCTCCTCAGGTCAAACTTCTCCACACCTACAGCCTCCTGCCACTGTTGCAGGTAGTTGCGTCGTGTGTCCTCAGGTGCAGCAGACAGGTACGTGATGAAGGCCGCAGCCAGCAGAGCTCTCTTAGGCAGCACTTGCAGTTCTGTGGTTAACTCACCCACCTGGGGCAGGGCAAAGTTTTAGTGTAGTTATTAGATCACCAGCAGTTCTGTGGTTAACTCACCCACCTGGGACAGGGCAAAGTCTTAGTGTAGTTATTAGATCACCAGCAGTTCTGTGGTTAACTCACCCACCTGGGACAGGGCAAAGTTTTAGTGTAGTTATTAGATCACCAGCAGTTCTGTGGTTAACTCACCCACCTGGGACAGGGCAAAGTTTTAGTGTAGTTATTAGATAACCAGAAGTTCTGTGGTTAACTCACCCACCTGGGACAGGGCAAAGTCTTAGTGCAGTTATTAGATAACCAGATTTTTAGGGAAAATTATAATATCAACCAAAGACTCCAGGACCAAGCCATCACAAAAAAAAAAACAACACAACTTTGAACACATAATACATCTATCTGAATTACAGGGAAAGCAATGGTAGCCACCTGATGTTTTGGGCCAGTGTAAGAAACAAACCCCGTACCAACTTCCCTACACACTAGTTTCCTCCCTCACCTGCATCTCCCCCTCTCCCCTACTAGTCCCCCCCCATACCAACTTCCCTACACACTAGTTTCCCCCTCACCTGCATCTCCCCCTTCTCTCCTACTAGTCCCCCCCCCTCACCTACATTCCCCACCCCTTCACTTGCTCCCCTCTCCCCTACTAGCCCCCCCCCCCCACATCTTCATCTCCCCTTCTCTCCTACTAGTCCCCCCCCTCACTTGCATCTCCCCCCTCTCACCTACTAGTCCCCCCCCCCCTCACCTGCTGGTTCCAGCGCTGGTACTCCCCCTCAAGTTTGGAGACCAAGGTCTCAGCCGCGTCAATGGTCTCGTTCTCCCTGTCCAGCTTGATCTTCAGCTCCGCAGCTTCTTTGGTCAAGGTCTCAAACCTGTTGCGCAGGCTGGCCACTTTACGATCCACCTCCCCCAGGGCCTCGCTCAGCTTGGACATCCTAGACACAGCTTTGTCCAGGTTTCTGACAGGTTCAATTTTTAAAATTTCAGGCTGAGTTTTGCACAAGTTTTCAATGAGAAATTGTATAACAAGCTGAAGACAAAATTACATAAACTACGTGAAAATGTCAGAAATTACCTTTTCAGCTCATTCTGCTCCTTCTCAAGTGGCTCGATCTTCTCCAGGACGTAAGAGTACTTGACGTTGGCGGTCACCCAGGCTGCCAGAGGCTCTGCTGCTTGCGACGCTCGTCTTGCATTCTGGGAAACAACGGGAGTAATTTTTTTAATTGGAACAAAACTAGGGACAAGGTGTCTACAAACAACAGGAATCTGCATTTTTACTTTTTTTAAGACAAGGTGTCTAAAAATGGTTTAATGGGTTGAGATAGCAATTAAAAAATCAAGAGGTTTGAGGTAAGATTTTAAAAATTTAAGTTCTGACTTTAAAAGTTTGAAATGTGACTTGCTAAGTCAACACATGTGTCATGATCAGCTGGTGTTACCTTTGGTCAGTTGGTGTTACCTTTGGGTCAAAAGTCAGCTGGTGTTACCTTTGGGTCAAAAGTCAGCTGGTGTTACCTTTGGGTTAAAAGTCAGTTGGTGTTACCTTTGGGTCAAAAGTCAGCTGGTGTTACCTTTGGGTTAAAAGTCAGTTGGTGTTACCTTTGGGTTAAAAGTCAGCTGGTGTTACCTTTGGGTCAAAAGTCAGCTGGTGTTACCTTTGGGTCAAAAGTCAGCTGGTGTTACCTTTGGGTCAAAAGTCAGCTGGTGTTACCTTTGGGTCAAAAGTCAGCTGGTGTTACCTTTGGGTCAAAAGTCAGCTGGTGTTACCTTTGGGTTAAAAGTCAGCTGGTGTTACCTTTGGGTTAAAAGTCAGCTGGTGTTACCTTTGGGTCAAAAGTCAGCTGGTGTTACCTTTGGGTTAAAAGTCAGTTGGTGTTACCTTTGGGTCAAAAGTCAGCTGGTGTTACCTTTGGGTTAAAAGTCAGTTGGTGTTACCTTTGGGTTAAAAGTCAGCTGGTGTTACCTTTGGGTCAAAAGTCAGCTGGTGTTACCTTTGGGTCAAAAGTCAGCTGGTGTTACCTTTGGGTCAAAAGTCAGCTGGTGTTACCTTTGGGTCAAAAGTCAGCTGGTGTTACCTTTGGGTCAAAAGTCAGCTGGTGTTACCTTTGGGTTAAAAGTCAGCTGGTGTTACCTTTGGGTCAAAAGTCAGCTGGTGTTACCTTTGGGTTAAAAGTCAGCTGGTGTTACCTTTGGGTTAAAAGTCAGTTGGTGTTACCTTTGGGTCAAAAGTCAGCTGGTGTTACCTTTGGGTTAAAAGTCAGCTGGTGTTACCTTTGGTCAGCTGGTGTTACCTTTGGTCAGCTGGTGTTACCTTTGGGTCAAAAATCAGCTGGTGTTACCTTTGGGTCAAAAGTCAGCTGGTGTTACCTTTGGGTCAAAAGAATCTTTGTTTTTCCTCAACAGCTCCTCCACACTCTTCCTAATTTCTGGTGAAATATTTCTGGCATCAAAAGTCTGAATCTCTTCTTTCACACCTCTCTTGGCCAGAAAACTGAAAGGATGGAAAATGTTAAACTCATTCCAACCATATAGATTTAAATTTCTTTTGTCCTCACATTTTAAACAATGTAATGCTATTATTTTTTCATTTTTTAATTAACAGACTGTACAGTTTAAGTTGGCTATTGGCATGAACATAGGATGGCATGGTCAAGTGATAGAGCACTTGACTGCTAGCCCAAAGGTTCAGATCTCAGAAAGGGAAACTTTAATGTTTATATTGGCAATGTTTGTATGTTTAATGTTTGTATTGGCAAGAGCACCCACCTCTTCATGCTGAGCCTTAATGTTTGTATTGGCAAGAGCACCCACCTCTTCATGCTGACCTTTAATGTTTGTATTGGCAAGAGCACCCACCTCTTCATGCTCACCCTTAATGTTTGTATTGGCAAGAGCACCCACCTCTTCATGCTGAGCCTTAATGTTTGTATTGGCAAGAGCACCCACCTCTTCATGCTGACCCTTAATGTTTGTATTGGCAAGAGCACCCACCTCTTCATGTTAATGTTTGTATTGGCAAGAACACCCACCTCTTCATGTTAATGTTTGTATTGGCAAGAACACCCACCTCTTCATGCTGACCTTTAATGTTTGTATTGGCAAGAGCACCCACCTCTTCATGCTCACCCTTAATGTTTGTATTGGCAAGAGCACCCACTTCTTCATGCTGAGCCTTAATGTTTGTATTGGCAAGAGCACCCACCTCTTCATGCTGAGCCTTAATGTTTGTATTGGCAAGAGCACCCACCTCTTCATGCTGACCTTTAATGTTTGTATTGGCAAGAGCACCCACCTCTTCATGCCTTAATGTTTGTATTGGCAAGAGCACCCATCTCTTCATGCTGAGCCTTAATGTTTGTATTGGCAAGATCACCCATCTCTTCATGCTGACCTTTAATGTTTGTATTGGCAAGAGCACCCACCTCTTCATGCCTTAATGTTTGTATTGGCAAGAGCACCCACCTCTTCATGCTGAGCCTTAATGTTTGTATTGGCAAGATCACCCACCTCTTCATGCTGAGCCTTAATGTTTGTATTGGCAAGAGCACCCACCTCTTCATGCTGACCCTTAATGTTTGTATTGGCAAGAGCACCCACCTCTTCATGCTGACCCTTAATGTTTGTATTGGCAAGAACACCCACCTCTTCATGCTGACCCTTAATGTTTGTATTGGCAAGAGCACCCACCTCTTCATGTTAATGTTTGTATTGGCAAGAACACCCACCTCTTCATGTTAATGTTTGTATTGGCAAGAACACCCACCTCTTCATGCTGACCTTTAATGTTTGTATTGGCAAGAGCACCCACCTCTTCATGCTCACCCTTAATGTTTGTATTGGCAAGAGCACCCACTTCTTCATGCTGAGCCTTAATGTTTGTATTGGCAAGAGCACCCACCTCTTCATGCTGAGCCTTAATGTTTGTATTGGCAAGAGCACCCACCTCTTCATGCTGACCTTTAATGTTTGTATTGGCAAGAGTACCCACCTCTTCATGCCTTAATGTTTGTATTGGCAAGAGCACCCATCTCTTCATGCTGAGCCTTAATGTTTATATTGGCAAGATCACCCATCTCTTCATGCTGACCTTTAATGTTTGTATTGGCAAGAGCACCCACCTCTTCATGCCTTAATGTTTGTATTGGCAAGATCACCCACCTCTTCATGCTGAGCCTTAATGTTTGTATTGGCAAGAACACCCACCTCTTCATGCTGAGCCTTAATGTTTGTATTGGCAAGATCACCCACCTCTTCATGCTGACCCTTAATGTTTGTATTGGCAAGAACACCCACCTCTTCATGCTGAGCCTTAATGTTTGTATTGGCAAGATCACCCACCTCTTCATGCTGAGCCTTAATGTTTGTATTGGCAAGAGCACCCACCTCTTCATGCTGACCCTTAATGTTTGTATTGGCAAGAGCACCCACCTCTTCATGCTGACCCTTAATGTTTGTATTGGCAAGAACACCCACCTCTTCATGCTGACCCTTAATGTTTGTATTGGCAAGAGCACCCACCTCTTCATGCTAACCTTTAATGTTTGTATTGGCAAGAGCACCCACCTCTTCATGTTAATGTTTGTATTGGCAAGAACACCCACCTCTTCATGCTGAGCCTTAATGTTTGTATTGGCAAGATCACCCACCTCTTCATGCTGACCCTTAATGTTTGTATTGGCAAGAGCACCCACCTCTTCATGTTAATGTTTGTATTGGCAAGAACACCCACCTCTTCATGCTGACCCTTAATGTTTGTATTGGCAAGAACACCCACCTCTTCATGCTGACCTTTAATGTTTGTATTGGCAAGAGCACCCACCTCTTCATGCCTTAATGTTTGTATTGGCAAGAGCACCCACCTCTTCATGCTGACCCTTAATGTTTGTATTGGCAAGAGCACCCACCTCTTCATGTTAATGTTTGTATTGGCAAGAACACCCACCTCTTCATGTTAATGTTTGTATTGGCAAGAACACCCACCTCTTCATGCTGAGCCTTAATGTTTGTATTGGCAAGAACACCCACCTCTTCATGCTGAGCCTTAATGTTTGTATTGGCAAGATCACCCACCTCTTCATGCTGACCCTTAATGTTTGTATTGGCAAGAACACCCACCTCTTCATGCTGAGCCTTAATGTTTGTATTGGCAAGATCACCCACCTCTTCATGCTGAGCCTTAATGTTTGTATTGGCAAGAGCACCCACCTCTTCATGCTGACCCTTAATGTTTGTATTGGCAAGAGCACCCACCTCTTCATGCTGACCCTTAATGTTTGTATTGGCAAGAACACCCACCTCTTCATGCTGACCCTTAATGTTTGTATTGGCAAGAGCACCCACCTCTTCATGCTAACCTTTAATGTTTGTATTGGCAAGAGCACCCACCTCTTCATGTTAATGTTTGTATTGGCAAGAACACCCACCTCTTCATGCTGAGCCTTAATGTTTGTATTGGCAAGATCACCCACCTCTTCATGCTGACCCTTAATGTTTGTATTGGCAAGAGCACCCACCTCTTCATGTTAATGTTTGTATTGGCAAGAACACCCACCTCTTCATGCTGACCCTTAATGTTTGTATTGGCAAGAACACCCACCTCTTCATGCTGACCTTTAATGTTTGTATTGGCAAGAGCACCCACCTCTTCATGCCTTAATGTTTGTATTGGCAAGAGCACCCACCTCTTCATGCTGACCCTTAATGTTTGTATTGGCAAGAGCACCCACCTCTTCATGTTAATGTTTGTATTGGCAAGAACACCCACCTCTTCATGTTAATGTTTGTATTGGCAAGAACACCCACCTCTTCATGCTGACCCTTAATGTTTGTATTGGCAAGAGCACCCACCTCTTCATGCTAACCCTTAATGTTTGTATTGGCAAGATCACCCACCTCTTCATGCTGAGCCTTAATGTTTGTATTGGCAAGAACACCCACCTCTTCATGCTGACCCTTAATGATTGTATTGGCAAGAACACCCACCTCTTCATGCTGAGCCTTAATGTTTGTATTGGCAAGATCACCCACCTCTTCATGCTGAGCCTTAATGTTTGTATTGGCAAGAGCACCCACCTCTTCATGCTGACCCTTAATGTTTGTATTGGCAAGAACACCCACCTCTTCATGCTGAGCCTTAATGTTTGTATTGGCAAGAGCACCCACCTCTTCATGCTAACCTTTAATGTTTGTATTGGCAAGAGCACCCACCTCTTCATGCTGACCCTTAATGTTTGTATTGGCAAGAACACCCACCTCTTCATGCTGAGCCTTAATGTTTGTATTGGCAAGAGCACCCACCTCTTCATGCTGACCCTTAATGTTTGTATTGGCAAGAGCACCCACCTCTTCATGTTGACCCTTAATGTTTGTATTGGCAAGAGCACCCACCTCTTCATGTTGACCCTTAATGTTTGTATTGGCAAGAGCACCCACCTCTTCATGCTGACCTTTAATGTTTGTATTGGCAAGAGCACCCACCTCTTCATGCCTTAATGTTTGTATTGGCAAGAACACCCACCTCTTCATGTTGACCTTTAATGTTTGTATTGGCAAGAGCACCCACCTCTTCATGCCTTAATGTTTGTATTGGCAAGATCACCCACCTCTTAATGCTGACATTTAATGTTTGTATTGGCAAGAGCACCCACCTCTTCATGCTGAACCTTAATGTTTGTATTGGCAAGAACACCCACCTCTTCATGCTGAGCCTTAATGTTTGTATTGGCAAGAGCACCCACCTCTTCATGCTGAGCCTTAATGTTTGTATTGGCAAGAGCACCCACCTCTTCATGCTAACCTTTAATGTTTGTATTGGCAAGAGCACCCACCTCTTCATGCTAACCTTTAATGTTTGTATTGGCAAGAGCACCCACCTCTTCATGCCTTAATGTTTGTATTGGCAAGAACACCCACCTCTTCATGCTGACCTTTAATGTTTGTATTGGCAAGAACACCCACCTCTTCATGCTGACCCTTAATGTTTGTATTGGCAAGAACACCCACCTCTGCATGTTAATGTTTGTATTGGCAAGAACACCCACCTCTTCATGCTGACCCAGGAGGTGTCAAAGATGCCCATAAGACGCAGGACACCCTCCAGGATGTCCCTGATGACATCGGGTGGAGCACGCAGGGCTCTGATCTCTGACAGGGACTCAGTCTTGATGCTGCCGATGGCTTTACGCGCTTCTTGAACCAGCGGCTCAACCTAAAGTTTTTTTTAAATAATTTAATCACAACAAACAAACTTAACTTATTCCAAGGCTTAAGATTAAGGTTTAGACAAAACTGCCCACTAGTAAGTTAAATCAAGACACGTACCTCAGCCATCTCTACATCTATTGCCTTCTTCCTTTTTTCCAGAACTTTGTTTTCCTCTGCCGCCACTTTCTTCAGCTCCTCCATCTCCACCTTCTGGTCCCCTGCGTTCTGCATGCTCAGCTGCAAGATCAGATCACAAGTACATTTTAATACACAACATTTTATTATTTTAATATACAAGTACAAAACTAAATGAAATTTATTTTATTAGGTGCTCAATATATATTAAAAAAACAAACATTTAAAAGACTAAATTAGATGAACCATAAATGGAAGATGTTTATTAAAAAACGAATTTTAAATATCCACACAATCAAAGGGGATTCAAAAGTAAAAGTGAAAAAAGAACTGAAGAGGGTTTAAAATATAATTCTGTGCTCACAAACTACTGGTGTCATTTTTATTTTATTTGTAAGACTATGAGAGTGATCTTCTCTTGCTTACACTAATCTCCTTGAGGGCAGCGTCTGCCTCCCCTTGTTTCTCAGCCAGTAAAATGCTCTGTTCACCAGCTTTCCTCTTCAAGTCATCCACCAGAACTTTGGCGTCATTCAGCTTGGACACACCAGCCTAGGACAGAATAGAAGAGAATATTAAATACTTGGCCACACATGCTTAGCATAAAATTATTGAGAATATTAAATACTTGGCCACACATGCTTAGCATAAAATTATTGAGAATATTAAATACTTGGCCACACATGCTTAGCATAAAATTATTGAGAATATTAAATACTTGGCCACACATGCTTAGCATAAAATTATTGAGAATATTAAATACTTGGCCACACATGCTTAGCATAAAATTATTGAGAATATTAAATACTTGGCCACATATGCTTAGCATAAAATTATTGAGAATATTAAATACTTGGCCACACATGCTTAGCATAAAATTATTGAGAATATTAAATACTTGGCCACACATGCTTAGCATAAAATTATTGAGAATATTAAATACTTGGGACACATGCTTAGCATAAAATTATTGAGAATATTAAATACTTGGCCACACATGCTTAGCATAAAATTATTGAGAATATTAAATACTTGGCCACACATGCTTAGCATAAAATTATTGAGATATTAAAAACTTGGCCACACACACCTAGTATAAAATAACTGAGAATATTAAAAATCTGGCCACACATGCTTAGCATAAAATTATTGAGAATATTAAAAACCTGACCACAACAAACTTGCACTAAAACTTTGATGGATATTAAAACTCTGGCCACACTAGCATAGCACCAAACACTTAGAGAATATTAAAAATCTGGCCACACCAATCTAGCACCAAATAATTAAAGGATGTTACATGGTTACAGTTACCTGCAGGTGGTGCTGCTTGTCTATGATGCTCTTCTTCTTGGTCTGGTACACAGACTGGTATGTGTTCAGGAACACCATGTAGCGCCGGGGGGTGGAGCCAAAAGCCTGACAGGACTCGTGAACATGGAGAAAACTTTTCAGTAGCTCCTCCCCCCCAGACAGTTTCTTCTTGTGACCTTTGGCCTCTCCAATAGACCCGCCCTCAATTTTGGGTGGGCGAGTCAGCAGCATCCAGGGAACCTTACAAAATTTTTTTATATCAATATCAGTCCTTTAACAAAAATTTATATTACATTTTTTATGAATAAATCCTGAAACTACAGGGAAGTGACATGAAGGGAGATAACTAAAATAAAAGCTGACAGAGTTACTCAAGTAAAAAAAAAGTATTTAAGCATGCTCTCCCTGCTCCAGCCCACCAAACAGCACACTGTGTGTACAGTTGAGGATAAATTTAGGACCACTATGATGTGAAGGGAGATAACTAACATAAAAGCTGAGAGTAAACAAAAAGTACCTTGAGCATGCTCTCCCTGCTCCATCCCTCCATCCACTGAACAGCACACTGTTTAAACAGGGCTGGGTTGCTCTCACAGTTGAGGATAAAACTGGAGTTGCTGCTGTCCATCACTAGCACAATGTGAAGGTTGTGCATCACACCTGGGGGTGAGGGGGGGGGGGGGGGAAATTGGTTTGGACTCATTTTTTTCTAGTTTTTGTAACACATAATTTTTTCTTTCTAGAAAACAAATCATATGACGGGGACGTAATGCTGAGGTGTAAATTTACTGATCCTCTACAAAAATCAACCATCTAAGCTTCCAGTCTACCAACCCTCTACAAGAGGTAACACTCTTATTTTTTAAAATTTATTGATACAGCAAATTGTTTTCCCAACAAGAGAACTATTCAAAATGAAGGTGACGGCTTTGCTAAAGAAAACATTTACAATTGCATTAAAATTGAAACAAACTATACTATCAAGTATTAATAATAGAAAAATATATGTGACATATATAAAAAGATATTTTATCATAAAATTGTGTAGCTATTAAACTGTGTGGAATAATCAGTTTGGCAAATGTTGGTACAAAATTGTGTGGAGTTGTCCTTATATTCATTGCTATAAAACTGTATGAAATGGGCCTTATATACATTGCCATAAAACTGTATGAAATGGGCCTTATATACATTGCCATAAAACTGTATGAAATGGGCCTTATATACATTGCCATAAAACTGTATGAAATGGGCCTTATATACATTGCCATAAAACTGTATGGAGTTGGCCATATATATACATTGCCATAAAACAGTATAGAACTATCAGCCTCTAATGTTAGCCCAGCCAACTTACGTGCAGCAAAGAAGCTGATCAAAGTTCCTCTGAAGCCAGCCTCTGACGCCATGTCTCTCAGGGGGCCCAGCAGGGACTCCAGCTCCTCCGTGGTGTACAGGCCTGGCACCTCGCCAGCAGACAGCAGGCTGTTGACCAGTTCCAGGAACTGGGGCTCTACAAACTGGTGGTCCTCCAGCAGCAGCACCACCTGCTCACCTTCTATACCTGCCTGCTGCATCACCTGCATGCGGGGATGACAAGGTGCATCAGGTGATGGAGGGGCAAGGTTCTTTGGGGAGGTCAAGGTCAAAGTGTAATGGAATGGTCAAGGTCAAAGTCTAATGGGATGGTAAGGTCAAAATAGTGTTGTTGGTTGTTGAAAGTCAAGGTGGTGTTTTAGGTTGATGAATGTCAAAGCACTTTCAAAAGTTTTAGGCATGGAAGTTCTATTATACATGGGATAAGTTGAATGGTGTTTGATCAAGTTCTTAAATGTGTAAATTTAAGTACACAAAAACTAATCTCAATAAAATCTAAACTAATAAGTAGGTAGTTAGCTATTCATTTAAATTTAATCTTTTAAGTTTTCTACCATTATGAGTTGTATAGAACAACAATGACTTGTATTTTGTACAATGCTAATAAGTGTGTTGAGGCAATATAAACTTTATATTTCAAACACTTTATTATTGAACAGTTTAAATTTCGTTAAACTTTGTAGCTTTCCATTTTAAGACAGACACATCTCAAACTACAGACCTGTTTGAGGTCATTCTTGAACTGTTTGATGCCGTAGCCTCGGGACACGCGGGGTGAGAACATGTGCATCTGGTGCATGTGGGCCACCACACTGACAGCCGTGCGCCGGCCCACCCCGCTACTTCCTGCCATGAGCAGGGAGCCGCCAGGTTTGGTCAGGACACGGTCCACTCTGGCCATGTTGTCTAGCACCTCACGGAAGATCAGGATGTCCAGCTGTCTGTTCTCATGGCCTGGGGGATGGCAGTTAAAACAAAAATATGAAGAAAAATGGCATGTCAGACATGTCAAACATCACTGACATGACACAAGTGACATGACACAAGAGACATGACACAGCAGGCATGACATTACTGCCATAATGTGACAAAAACAGAACATTGTAACAAGGACTTACTGTAGAAACGGATCCCCTTTTCAATGACCGCCTTCAAATCTTCCTCGGAGAGCTTGCCCAGAGGTTTACCATGTGGAGGGAGGGGGGCCCCGGCACCCACGGAGGGGGCGCCAGACTCCAGCCTACCACCCCACGTTACAAAGTAAGTATCTGAAAATTTTGATATTTCCAAACACAGTTTTTAAAAATCACATTTGAAACACATTTTAAAAAAAATTACTTTAATGTCATATCTTTGACTTATCTTTCTACTAATGTATGCTTTTTTAGAATTTAAACTTACTGTCTATATCATCGAAGATGTTGGCTGACCAATCCGAGCGAATGACTGACTGCAGCATGTTGTCAAACTTGCTTCTGTTGTCCTGGCCCACGATCCTGTCACGGAACAGCCTGCGCGCCTCGTAGGCCCACACCTCCAGCACGGTGTCGCAGGTGTTGTCCTTGGCACCTGCGGTCAGGTCGTACCTGAGCAGGCTCATGGCCCAGTTGGTCAGGTCTCTGGGCGTGAACAGGTAGTGACTGTAGTCATCCACTGTGAACCTTGACCTCAGCTGGGGAGGGGAGGTTTTGAAAACAATTAACTTCATTAAATTTATAATTAGAGACCACATAATCATCTCTATAAGTATATATTAACTGACATATCTCTAAAATATTGTTAAAAATGTTAATAAGACACCTAAAGGCTAAAGATAAAATTCAATGAAGGTCAAATTAAATTTTTCAATTGAAATCTTTTTTAAACTCAGTCTAACCATGCTATCCTTTTTTAAACTTATTAACTACTCCATTTTAACATCCATAATAGGTGAAATATATTCTTACAAATATTGAAAATTAGTTTTCCATCCAACTACTATGAAAACAGGTGTTGAAATGATTGTTTGTGAAAAATGAAATGAGAGTTACCTGCTCATAGAACTGGATCATGCTGTTAGCCAGGGCATGAACTTTAGCACTGCTGCCCCAGATGGTGTGTTTGTTGAGCTGTCTGTGGAGGATGGGCTTCAGGTAGGCGGAGTAGATGGTCTGTAGCTGGTCTCTGTCTGGGTATCTGCCAGATATAACATAAATCATGGGGTGATACAGAAACACACAGATATGACATAAATCATGGGGTGATACATTCACACATATATAACATAAATCATGGGATGATACATTCACACACATATATAACATAAATCATGGGGTGATACATTCACACACAGACAGAACATAAATCATGGGAAGTAAAATTCACACAGAGACAGAACATAAATCATGGGAAGTAAAATTCACACACAGACAGAACATAAATCATGGGAAGTGAAATTCACACACAGAAACAACCAAAACAAAATGATGTTTTCAGTTAAGATGTTACATAAATTAGTTTATCTATATTGGATGAGTTACTTACTGTAAACGTATAGAGTTGCTTACCCTACTTTAATAGAGTTAATTACCCTACACTAATCAAGTTACCTACCCTACATTGAGTTACCTGCCCTAGACTAATAAAGTTACTTTCCTACAAAAATCAAGCAACTTACATAACACTGATTGAGTATAACCTAGCCAGTGACAGACTTACTTACCCCACGTTGCAAATGCGGACGACGGATGTAAACCTGGGGGTCAGCTTGTGTCGGCCAAGTGTTGACCCAGCGTTCATGCTGGCCACAATCTGGACACCCTCAAGGCCAACCCACTCAAGGTTCGAGTCATAGAAGCCATTGTATGTCACAACCTGGCAACAGTGACAAGACAATTAAAAACCTGGCAACAGTGACATGACATTTACAAATCTGGCAACAGTGACATGACATTTACAAATCTGGCAACAGTGACATGACATTTACAAATCTGGCAACAGTGACATGACATTTACAAATCTGGCAACAGTGGCAAGACATTTACAAATCTGGCAACAGTGACAAGACATTTAAAAAACCTGGCAACAGCGACAAGACATTTAAAAAACCTGGCAACAGTGGCAAGACATTTACAAATCTGGCAACAGTGGCAAGACATTTACAAATCTGGCAACAGTGGCAAGACATTTACAAATCTGGCAACAGTGGCAAGACATTTACAAATCTGGCAACAGTGGCAAGACATTTACAAATCTGGCAACAGTGGCAAGACATTTACAAATCTGGCAACAGTGGCAAGACATTTACAAATCTGGCAACAGTGACAAGACATTTAAAAAAACCTGGCAAGTTACAATATGTATAAAAATCTAGACACAGTGACCAGCATTATTTAACTATCTACAGTCTATTGCAGCCATTACATTTCTTTTGAGTGCCAAGTTTTAAACCAAAAATTTTCTGTCATTACATTTCTTTAGAGTGGCAAGTTGTAAACCAAAATTTTCTGACATCACAAGCCCTGACCTGCTGGAGGAAGGCAATCATCTGACAGGTGCCCCACTTGTCTGGCTTGGGCAGGTTGATGTCCTTCAGGTACAGCAGCAGACGCTCGCAGTCCTTGGGCCGGTACACCCTGCCCATGTTGGAGGAGATGGAGATGCAGCTCTGGTTGAGCTTCTGCAGGATGTGCGAGGGGCTGGTCTGGGCGCTGCAGTGGACCATGGCCACCTGGGTGGACCTCAGCTTCTCAAAGGCATGCCTCAGTAGAAGTCTGTCATGTTGAATAGATCAAATAGATACTACAGTGATGGGTGCTTTATATGTTCAACCAAATATTTTACATGGTAAACAGCTACACACCAACCAGTTACACACCAACCAGCTGTACAACCAGCTACCACGTGTGTACAAAGACTGACCCCTTGCCACAACCCTCTGGTCCACAAATGATGAAAGGTTGTTTGTTGTCAGCCTCCAGCCAGGGCAGGAAGTAGTCTAGAGCCTTCTGCACATCTCCAGTTTGTATGACAGGAAGTGATGACTGAAAATCTTCCACTCGCAGCTCATCTTTTTTCTTTAAAAATAATAATTCAAAGATTGTTTTAGTACAGTCATAAAATAGCATCTATCAACTTAATGAAACAATATTTTAATCTACTGAGTCTGTCGAGTTACAAGCAGACGTGGTCACCTCAATGTTGTACTGCATCAGGCGGCCCAGATTGTCGTCGTAGTAGGTGTCCAATGGGTGTCTGGCATCTGGTGGACTCTCATTGGTCCAGGAAAAAACCTAAAGCATCATCAAGTTTTTAACATTAGCTGGGGGAAGGAAAACACCAAAGATCTCAACAAGTTTTTAAACAATAGCTGGGGTGAGGAAAACACCTAAGATATCAAGATTTAAACATTAGCTGGGGTAGGGGCACATTTCACAACCACTTGCTGGTGGTGTATATTTTAATGTGGCCAGGTACAAGTTGGTGGCTTATGTTTTAATGTGGCCAGGTACAAGTTGGTGCTGTATATTTTTATGTGGCCAGGTACAAGTTGGTGCTGTATATTTTCTTCTTCTTCTTCGTTCTTAATTATTAGTGTTGAAGGGGATCGAGATTTATCTGCCAGTGGGTTTGAACTCAAGACTTTGTTCGAATTTATCAACCATGAGCTTTTTGCCGACTCGACCACGCCTCCAACACAATTAAGCGTTACGTGTCAACTGGTTATGCGCCATTGAGGCCATTGACTCCGATTTCAGCCTGCTTTTCTTTTTGGATTTGGTTCCATAGCCTTTGTCCAACCAAGAACAAACTACAAGGCAGCAGTTGTTTAATTTTGGAGTTGTCTCTCCTAGAAGAGTGGCTGTCCCCAGCTAACGAGCCTCATCTGCCCGAGGGTTCGAACTCGAGACTTTTCGGTTTAGCAACCATAAGCTTTACCGACTCGACCACGCCGACCCCTAGCTGTATATTTTAATGTGGCCAGGTACAAGTTGGTGCCTTATATTTTAATGTGGCCAGATACAAGTTGGTGCCTTATAATTTTAATGTGGCCAGATACAAGTTGGTGCCTTATATTTTAATGTGGCCAGGTACAAGTTGGTGCTGTATATTTTAATGTGGCCAGGTACAAGATCAACTTTACCTCTTTGGCAAAGATTTCCCTTGAGCCCTCTGTGAGGTTCCCACCCAGCCCATGGATGAGGCTGACAGCAAAATGGGCTTTGGTGGAGATGTGATGCAGGTGGGAGAGGCCATTCAGGACTATCCCCACAAGGCTGGTCTCAACTACAAAATCATTCTACACAAAACAAAAACAAAGGATTACTTTTAAACAAGATCAGCTTTACATTGGCAAAAGAAAAATATTATGTAAATAATAGGACTTTTTTTCTCAAACATTTAATTAAGTAATATAATTTTGAAAAGCTGATGTAAAGTTTTTCAAGAAAATTATTGAGTTATGTGACACCCCACCTGTTTCTGCACCCACTGCAGACCCCTGTAGAAGTGACCCCCCCCCTCCCCCAGTAAACTTGGACCCACCTGTTTCTGCACCCACTGCAGAACCCTGTAGAAGTGACCCCCCCTCCCCCAGTAAACTTGGACCCACCTGTTTCTGCACCCACTGCAGACCCCTGTAGAAGTGACCCCCCTGTAAACTTGGACCCACCTGTTTCTGCACCCACTGCAGACCCCCGTAGAAGTGACCCCACCCCCAGTAAACTTGGACCCACCTGTTTCTGCACCCACTGCAGACCCCTGTAGAAGTGACCCCCCCCCCCCAGTAAACTTGGACCCACCTGTTTCTGCACCCACTGCAGACCCCTGTAGAAGTGACCCCCCCAGTAAACTTGGACCCACCTGTTTCTGCACCCACTGCAGACCCCTGTAGAAGTGACCCCCCAGTAAACTTGGACCCACCTGTTTCTGCACCCACTGCAGACCCCTGTAGAAGTGACCCCCCCCCCCAGTAAACTTGGACCCACCTGTTTCTGCACCCACTGCAGACCCCTGTAGAAGTGACCCCCCAGTAAACTTGGACCCACCTGTTTCTGCACCCACTGCAGACCCCTGTAGAAGTGACCCCCCCCCCCCCAGTAAACTTGGACCCACCTGTTTCTGCACCCACTGCAGACCCCTGTAGAAGTGACCCCCCAGTAAACTTGGACCCACCTGTTTCTGCACCCACTGCAGACCCCTGTAGAAGTGACCCCCCCCCCCCCCAGTAAACTTGGACCCACCTGTTTCTGCACCCACTGCAGACCCCTGTAGAAGTGACCCCCCCCCCCCCAGTAAACTTGGACCCACCTGTTTCTGCACCCACTGCAGACCCCTGTAGAAGTGACCCCCCCCCCCAGTAAACTTGGACCCACCTGTTTCTGCACCCACTGCAGACCCCTGTAGAAGTGACCCCCCCCTCCCCCAGTAAACTTGGACCCACCTGTTTCTGCACCCACTGCAGACCCCTGTAGAAGTGACCCCCCCCCCCCCCCAGTAAACTTGGACCCACCTGTTTCTGCACCCACTGCAGACCCCTGTAGAAGTGACCCCCCCAGTAAACTTGGACCCACCTGTTTCTGCACCCACTGCAGACCCCTGTAGAAGTGACCCCCCCCCCCCCAGTAAACTTGGACCCACCTGTTTCTGCACCCACTGCAGACCCCTGTAGAAGTGACCCCCCCCCCCCCCAGTAAACTTGGACCCACCTGTTTCTGCACCCACTGCAGACCCCTGTAGAAGTGACCCCCCCCCCCCCCAGTAAACCTGGACCCACCTGTTTCTGCACCCACTGCAGACCCCTGTAGAAGTGATTCCCCCCCCCCCCCCCCAGTAAACTTGGACACACCTGTTTCTGCACCCACTGCAGACCCCTGTAGAAGTGACCCCCCCCCCCCCAGTAAACCTGGACCCACCTGTTTCTGCACCCACTGCAGACCCCTGTAGAAGTGATTCCCCCCCCCCCCCCCCCCCCAGTAAACTTGGACCCACCTGTTTCTGCACCCACTGCAGACCCCTGTAGAAGTGACCCCCCCCCAGTAAACTTGGACCCACCTGTTTCTGCACCCATTGCAGACCCCTGTAGAAGTGACCCCCCCCCCCCCAGTAAACTTGGACCCACCTGTTTCTGCACCCATTGCAGACCCCTGTAGAAGTGACCCCCCCCCCCCAGTAAACTTGGACCCACCTGTTTCTGCACCCATTGCAGACCCCTGTAGAAGTGATCCTCCAGCCAGCCAGCCAACTTGCTCTGGTCACTCTCAGGCTGCATCTTCAGCCACGAGTTGACCAGTGCCTTCACGTCCACATCTTCATCACTGGTAGAGACAACAAGAAAATCTATTGACATTATACAGACATCACTGGTAGAGACAACAAGAAAATCTATTGACATTATACAGACATCACTGGTAGAGACAACAAGAAAATCTATTGACATTATACAGACATCACTGGTAGAGACAACAAGAAAATCAATTGACATTATACAGATATCACTGGTAGAGACAACAAGAAAATCTATTGACATTATACAGACATCACTGGTAGAGACAACAAGAAAATCTATTGACATTATACAGACATCACTGGTAGAGACAACAAGAAAATCTATTGACATTATACGGTCATCACTGGTAGAGACAACAAGAAAATCTATTGACATTATACAGATATCACTGGTAGAGACAACAAGAAAATCTATTGACATTATACAGACATCACTGGTAGAGACAACAAGAAAATCTATTGACATTATACAGACATCACTGGTAGAGACAACAAGAAAATCTATTGACATTATACAGACATCACTGGTAGAGACAACAAGAAAATCTATTGACATTATACATACATCACTGGTAGAGACAACAAGAAAATCTATTGACATTATACAGATATCACTGGTAGAGACAACAAGAAAATCTATTGACATTATACAGATATCACTGGTAGAGACAACAAGAAAATCTATTGACATTATACAGACATCACTGGTAGAGACAACAAGAAAATCTATTGACATTATACATACATCACTGGTAGAGACAACAAGAAAATCTATTGACATTATACGGTCATCACTGGTAGAGACAACAAGAAAATCTATTGACATTATACAGACATCACTGGTAGAGACAACAAGAAAATCTATTGACATTATACGGTCATCACTGGTAGAGACAACAAGAAAATCTATTGACATTATACAGACATCACTGGTAGAGACAACAAGAAAATCTATTGACATCATAAGGTCACAAAATACTTGCAGGGGTAATCAATCAAATATAAGCCAGCAACAACAGAATAATCACAATTACTTGCTATTTTTAAACTAGAAATATCTTGTTCAGATTGTAAAAGTCAGATAAAGATCAGGTCTATTATAACATGATTCTGATAAATGACAGTTTTTTTTAAAAGTTTACTCGCTATAACAACTATTTTTAAAAAACTAGAAATAAATAAAAACTTTTTAAAACATTTGGTAGGTATGGGAGAAAGATTCACTTTTTAATTTGTAAAACAATCTTTTCTCACTCAAGTGCAACAAATTTCATGTCAAAATGTTTCAGCAGGCAATAGTAGCCACTACAGGTCAATATAAACAGCTTAGTGTATCACACTGAGTGCTACATTAGTGTGATAGCCAGAGTTTCTTCCAGGCACTTTTGACAGTGTCCGCACCCAGACCCAGAAAATTGTTGTCCGCCCCCCCCCCCCCCCCCCCCGAAAATTTCAAGTGCACCCTCCGGAGAAAAATGTCTGGAAGAAACACTGGTGATAGCCATTGCTACATTAGTTTGTGACCATCAACTGACCTGAGGAAGATCATGCCCATTCTAGATATGGTAGCAGGAGAGGCACAGCTTAAATCATGGGTCTCAAACAGGAAGTTGATGTTAGGACCAAACTGGATTCTCTCCCCTGATGGCATGGTCAGCAGCCGGTTGTCATCTAGGACAGAGTTCAAGGACTCGATCCACTCAGGGTCAATGTCACCATCACACACAATCCATGACTGCACCTCTAAGATGTGTGACAAAATGGGAATATTTTAGGTAAAAATATCTAATGTAACAGTACTGGTAACTATATAACATAAAAATATCATATAACAATATAGGAATAAATTTTAGGTAAAAACATCAGAAGTACCAATATTGGAATATATTTAAAGTAAAAATATCATTGATGTATCAATACAGAAATAAATTTAAGGCAACAATATCGGAGGTGTAACAAGATATATAAATATATAAGAATTAACCAAAAATATGTTTAAAATGTTACTAATGTTCAGTACAAAGATTGACCCTATAATAATGATTTATCCTGAGTCAAAATAAATATTATGATGACTGAAACAGAATATTGTGATACAAACTAAAAGTGGAAATTGGAGCATTGACTTTGTAAATTGTGATAAAAACTTAAAACTGCCCCATTTGATGACCAACCTTGCGGTTCCCTGACCACCTGTCTGGCGCTGTAGGTGAGTACACCATCTGTCCACTCTCTGGTGTCCATGTCAATGTGACCTAGAAGCTGCAGGAAAAAAAATCAGTGGATGTTTGGAAAGAATTCTTAGACATGTGTTGTCAGTGTAATTACTGGACTAAATCAAACTTGTAACAATTTGATCTGGCTAAATAAAATAATTGAAAACTATAGTAACTGTAATTCTCTGGTGGCTGACAACGTACCTGTGTTCTGGGCATGGCTTTAGGGTTCATGACGTACTGCTTGACCTCTTTACCCAGCTTCATCATGGCCTGGCGCAGAAGTTTCCACAGGGTTGTCTTGCCAGAGCCACTAGGGCCCACAACCACAACTCCCATTCTCTGACGCAACTGCTCGTACAGCTCCAGGGCTTTCTTCACCTTCAGAGATTAGAGAAGTTCATTATTAGTCTTTCAATAGAGTGTTGATGAGAAATGTTTTAAAAGAATACGTTTATCCAGTCTGTCTGATAAAAATGAAATAGAAGAACAGTCAATTAAATATCAGTTACAATTAATATAATATCAGAATAAGGATTAATTTAAAATAAAATTTTAATAATGGGATGTGATATTTAGAAGTGTAGTGTTTTAGTAATTTAGTTTAAATATTGAAGGATACAAGCAGTATCACAACTGTATGTAAGCAGTGGAGACCTGATAAAACTATGCTACAAATCCAAACTAAGTCCAGTCAATAGTTGTCTCCCTTGGTTACCTGGTTTTCATTGACCAGCAGGTTGTTCTCTAGGCAAACTTCCTTGAAGGCGTTGCCCAGGGTCTCGTACTCAATGTCCTTGAACTCCACACCAGGGAAGACGTCCCTGACCAGAGCATCAAACCTGGAGCTGTCCGAGAAGGTCAGCTTGGACAGCGTGTTGATCCTCAGGGCCTGGACCACAAGTTTGGCCTCCAGGCTGCTGTCAGCTTTCACTGGGGGAGGACATCAGACAACAGATAGAGACTTGGGGTTAAAGGTTTCATGGAAGGGAGAAAACTCTAAGATTTTTTTTTTAAACTACAGAAGTTTTTTTTTTTTTTAAAATTCAGAGTGACCTACCCTTGCCTGACTTTTTGACATTCTGCAGGAGGTTGCCACACCCACTGAGCACAGTCTTGAGGGCTCTTAGACCCCAGTCATAGTGTTGTTGGGGAGTCAGCAGCTCTCTATAAGAGTCAGGGGGTTAAAAAACAGTGCTTTAGGGGAGTCAGACAGGAGTCATTGGGTTACATTAAAATCTTACAGTGTTGTTGGGGAGTCAGCAGCTCTCTATAAGAGTCAGGGGGTTAAAAAACAGTGATTTAGGGGAGTCAGACAGGAGTCATTAGGTTACATTAAAATCTTACAGTGTTGTTGGGGAGTCAGCAGCTCTCTATAAGAGTCAGGGGGTTAAAAAACAGTGCTTTAGGGGAGTCAGACAGGAGTCATTGGGTTACATTAAAATCTTACAGTGTTGGGGAGTCAGCAGCTCTCTATAAGAGTCAGGGGGTTAAAAAACAGTGATTTAGGGGAGTCAGACAGGAGTCATTAGGTTACATTAAAATCTTACAGTGTTGTTGGGGAGTCAGCAGCTCTCTGTAGGAGTCAGGGGGTTAAAAAACAGTGATTTAGGGGAGTCAGACAGGAGTCATTGGGTTACATTCAAATCTTACAGTGTTGTTGGGGAGTCAAATGCTCTCTGAAGGAGTCGGTTACATTGGAGTCATCAAATTAAGAGTCACTGGTTACATTAAAATTTTATCCACAGCAAAAGTTTTCAAGACAGCATTTCTGCTAACTTTGAAAAATGAAAAATCTCAACAGATTGAGCTGAACAATTAAGAAAACAAACTGACCAACAGACTGGGCTGACCATTTAAAAAACAAACTGACCAACTTACTTTGAGAGATTAAAAATGCTGACCAGCTTCCTGCCCAAATTCTCCGCCTGTTTAAAGCCTTCAGAGAAGAGAATGACCTCAGCGATGAGGTCATTGTCTGGCTTGGACATGGCCACTGGCCGGAACAGCTGTTTCAGGTTGTCAGGTAGCTTCTGCCGGCCCCCGTAGCCCTTACCTGCAGGGTTCATGGTGATGAAGATTCCAGAGTTGTGGTCGATATTCACCTGTGGGTTGTTCACCAAACATTAGCCATTGTTTCAGTGGGTTTTGCTTTCATCAATATTTACATGTAGGCAAATGACAAAAATCAATAATTACAAAATTGGTACTGATTAATACTTATACGTACAGATACAAATCTATAATTAATGTGATATTAAAAATTAATTGATACCAACCAAATTATAGGTGAGTTATTAATTGGACCAAAACCTAAAACTGCAGCTTTTGGTTGGGGGAGTATTGAAAGGGGTTGATTGATCGGGGGGGGGGGGGGGGGGGGGGAGAGAAGTCAGGGGGGAGGAACGATTAGGGAGTAATTGACAGGGTAGCAATGTCCTGCTGTCCAAATAATGCCAGGATCCAAATGATATAATTAAAAAGAAAATAATCGGCAAATGTCCAGGTTCCGGTCACTCACATTTCTCTCCAAGAGCTCGATGGACCTGGCCTTGTTCTTGATGGCATCTTGGATGACCTGGATCTGCATGGAGACAGCGGACAGCACGGCCTCTTCTAGACGGTTGAACTCGTCAAAACAGCCCCAGGCGCCACACTTCACCAAGCCAATGAAAATTCTTCCCATGGATTTCAGATCAATGCCCTGTAGTTTGGTACAGAAGGTAGAGTTAGACTGTTTCAACTGTAGTTTGGTACAGAAGGTAGAGTTAGACTGTTTCAACTGTAGTTTGGTACAGAAGGTAGAGTTAGACTGTTTCAACTGTAGTTTGGTACAGAAGGTAGAGTTAGACTGTTTCAACTGTAGTTTGGTACAGAAGGTAGAGTTAGACTGTTAGAGCACCCTCTAAGTCACAAACAGCAACTAGACAAATTAATTAACTAACATCATCACCAGCAACAGCAATCAGACAAGTTAATTAACCCACTGACCTCATCACAGTTGAAGACCAGAACTTGACGACCAAACAATCCACCCAAAGCTTTGACTGACTCTGTTTTACCTGTACCAGCAGGGCCATAAGGGTTGCCTCCCAGACCCATGTGCATACCTGGCAACAGAAAATACCATGTGGTTACCATGGCAACAGAACATACCATGTCCACAGTTAAAGTGGTTACGATGGCAATGGAAAATACCATGTCTACTGTCAAAATGGTTACCATGGCAACAGAGTATACCATGTCTACAGTTAAAATGGTTACCATGGCAATAGAACACTATGTCTACTATCAGAATAATTTACAACAGATTTTAACATGGTTTAAAATGAAAGAACCCTCCATTTGTCTAGTGGCTACATACCTTGGGTGAGGGTCAGGTAACATTTGTCAGTCAATGGGGTGTGCACCAGTTTGGCTGCGTTGCCCTGGTACTCATACGTGTACTCAAACTCAGAGTCCACCATCTGCATGATGCACATTCCGTCCTTCCTCATGTAGTACCTGTTTGACAAAGTCAGAACTTTAGCTGCAGGGTACTTCTAACATTGCAGTAAAAGAATTTAAATTTGTTATGCATAATTTTAAGGTAAAACTAAATTCAAATCAGTTTTGTGTTTCTGATCTTAAATTAAGAAGGACATGTGTTGAAGTTAATCTGTTAGAAAACCAGCATGTTTTAAAAATTCCCTTATATGGTTAAATGGGACAATTCTAGAGTCAAGTCTATAGGATGTCCCTGAGTCCACCCAGCTCTCATGAGAACCTCTCACATTTGGGAAAGTACATAAGGCTGGACATCGTGCTGACCATACTATCGCTCAGATGAACTCTGCTTCACCTGTCCATGGACTGCAGGTTGAAAAGGGTAACTTCACTTCATGGTAAAGTTCATCTTAGCTCAGACAAGTCAACATCTTCAAGCAACCAACCTGAGCTGTTTCTGCCACTGCCACTCCTGTGGGCTCTTGACATTTGATGACATGAGCTGTTTGACGACATCTCTGTTGTGGATTGTGTCCAGGATGAGGGCCTTCAGCTTCAGCTGTAGTACTGGGGACAGCAAGGGTAATGTCAAACCAAACAATCATGTCATTTCATGTCACAACACATAATCATGCCACTTGATGTCACAACAATCATGTCATTTGATGTCACAACAAACAATCATGTCATTTGATGTCACAACAATATTGTCATTTGATGTCACAACAATATTGTCATTTGATGTCACAACACACACTCATGTCATCTGATGTCACAACACACAATCATGTCATTTGATGTCACACCAATATTTTCATTTGATGTCACACCAATTAATCATGACATTTGATTTCACAACAATTATTCAAGTCATTTGATGTCACAACACAAAATGATGTAATTTGATGTAAAAAAACAATCATGTCACTTGATGTCACAACAAACAATCATGTCATTTGATGTCACAACACACAATCATGTCATCTGGTCACAACAAACAATCATGTCATTTGATGTCACAACAATATTGTCATTTGATGTCACAAAAATATTGTCATTTGATGTCACTACAAACAATCGGGTCATTTGATGTAATGACAATAGCCATTTGATGTCACAACAATTATCTATGTCATTTGATGTCACAATGTCATTTGATGTCATGCCAATCAATCATGTTATATGATGTCACAACCATTATCTATGTCATTTGATGTCACAATGTCATTTGATGTCACAACAATATTGTCATTTGCTTTTCACAACAATTATTCATGTCATTTGATGTCACAACAAACAATCATATTATTTGGTATCATGAAAATAATGTCCTTTGATGTCACAAAAATCAATCCTGTCACGTGCTGTTGACCCCAACCTTACCAAGAGCCTCTGTGCTCTGCATGCTGCCCAGGTCAACATTTGTGTAGCTCTCCAGCTGACCGTCCACCTCGGCCATCAGCTCACGCAGGGAGCCTCTCTTGATGGCCTCCTCACAGTTCTCTGTGAACCTGATGTACTCAGCCAAACACAAGATCTGCAAAATAGGATTTGGTCAAACATTGGAGCAAAATCTGGCCAACAAGTTCTCTGTGAACCTGATGTACTCGGCCAAACACAAGATCTGCAAAATAGGATTTGGTCAAACATTGGAGCAAAATCTGGCCAACAAGTTCTCTGTGAACCTGATGTACTCGGCCAAACACAAGATCTACAAAAACAGGATTTGGTCAAACATTGGAGTAAAATCTGGCCAACTAGCCAGCCTCATGCCAGTACATAATAGTCATGTTAGTCTCAAGAAATCTTCCTGATCTAAAGCAATAAGGATAGACATTTGGTACAACAAATTTGCCCAAAAAAAAACTAACCTGAGAAGGATATTTATTTGGATCCAGACCACCTCGACTTGACTTGGCATCTTTTAGACAGGCTGTCAGACATTCCTTCAGGGTGTCTTTCATTTCATCTGCCAGTTTGCCCAACCAAACCTAATGGCAAGAGAAAAAATAATCTCTTTTTATATGCAGTTTACCCAACCAAACCTAATGGCAATAAAAAAAAAAAGTTTCATTTCATGTTCCAATTTGTCTGACCAAACCTAATGGCAATAGAACATTTTTTTTTTCAATTTGTCTTGCTAAACTTAAAGAAAACCAGATTTTAAAAATTTAATTTCATCTGTCTATTAGCCCAGCCATTCCTAATCAAAACGATAGAAAAAATTATTTCTATTTAATTTCAACTTGCATGACTTGCAATACTGCCAAGTATTTATGTGCTGAGAGCTTACCTCTACTTCAGGAGTGACCTTGACCTTTCTTTTCAAGGGCACAACTTCCCCATCAAGAGATTTCATGGCAACAATGTGGCTGTTGTCCTGGTCAAACTCCACAGCATGGATGCCAGCAAACAGCTTCTTCAGGTGGGACTGGATCACTAGGGAGAGATGTGACAGGATAAAGGAACTTTGGACCCAGCTTTAAAACCACCTTTACAGTGTGGGAAAAGAACAAATGCAATGCATGTAATGTTATACAATAAATACCTGTTGGGTTGGTGGCTTGGCCCAGAATTTCCAGCAAATCATCATCACCAATGAAATAAAATCGTGGAAACAGAGATCTTTTCTCCTAAGAAACAAATAAAAAAACACAAAAATATACCATTACACCTTAAAAGTGTAAAAAATAAACCATTACATCTTCAGAATAAAATACTTAAAAAAAACTTTTTAAAAAACCACGTTTTTCTTGTGGACTAAAAAGTAGAAAATAAATTTTTCTTTTGTGCTTCCTCGAGCTGTGCAGGTTCTTGTGATGACTGACAAAAAACGTGGGAGCGTTCACCATCAAATTTCCCGACCCATCTGCCCGACCCACATTTTTTGTCAGTCATCACAAGAACCTGCACAGCTCGAGGAAACAAAAGAAAAATTTATTTTCTACTTTTTAGTCCACAAGAAAAACGTGGTTTTTTAAAAAGTTTTTTTTAAGTATTTTATTTTCTCCTTTTTAGTCCGTTGCTACACATGAAAAACGTGGTTTTTAAAAAAGTTTTTTATATAGTTTATTTTCTACTTTATCTAATGACTTGATTAAGTATGACTTGACTAAGTGTTTATAAATACACGGACTAAAAATCTTGAGCGACCAGGATTCGAACCTGGGTTGTCGCGGCCACAACGCGAAGTACTAACCACTATACGATCACGGCCAGCGCGCTCACATCGATTGGGGCCGAAGTAACTGTGTCAATAGGCCTCCAGTCTTGTCGGTATCTTTAGAAATCATGTCCTCAATTTTATGGTCCTTGGGGCGTAATTAAATTAAGCTAATTACGGTCACTAATTGCTAGTTTTTATGATTGCATCTGAAATTGTTAGGCGAAAGTAGCATGCATGCCAAATTTCAGGTCTCTAGAGCAATCAGAAGTGGGCTAATTTTCGATGTCAATTTTAACAACAAACAAATCCACAAACACACAAACGCGAAGCTGAGTTAAGAAAAACGTGTTAAAATTATATACCATTACACCTTCACAAAGTGTTTGCTACTAAAGTATGATAAAGTTGCTGAGACATGGAGGAACCTAGACACTGACCTCGAGGAATTCGTTGAGAGATTTCTGGCACCTCTGCAGCTGGTCAAGCATGGTGACCAGGAGGTTTCTGAGACCTGACTGGTTGACCAGGGACAAGACACGGTTGTCACGGTTGACATCTCTCATGATAGCCCTGCTCAAAAGATCATTACATTTTAGTAAGGGTTGACATCTCTCATGATAGCCCTGCTCAAAAGATCATTTAATTTTAGTAAGGGTTGACATCTCTCATGATAGCCCTGCTCAAAAGATCATTTAATTTTAGTAAGGGTTGACATCTCTCATGATAGCCCTGCTCAAAAGATCATTTAATTTTAGTAAGGGTTGACATCTCTCATGATAGCCCTGCTCAAAAGATCATTACATTTTAGTAAGGGTTGACATCTCTCATGATAGCCCTGCTCAAAAGATCATTTAATTTTAGTAAGGGTTGACATCTCTCATGATAGCCCTGCTCAAAAGATCATTACATTCTAGTAAGGGTTGACATCTCTCATGATAGCCCTGCTCAAAAGATCATTACATTCTAGTAAGGGTTGACATCTCTCATGATAGCCCTGCTCAAAAGATCATTTAATTTTAGTAAGGGTTGACATCTCTCATGATAGCCCTGCTCAAAAGATCATTACATTCTAGTAAGGGTTGACATCTCTCATGATAGCCCTGCTCAAAAGATCATTTAATTTTAGTAAGGGTTGACATCTCTCATGATAGCCCTGCTCAAAAGATCATTTAATTTTAGTAAGGGTTGACATCTCTCATGATAGCCCTGCTCAAGAGATCATTACATTTTAGTAAGGGTTGACATCTCTCATGATAGCCCTGCTCAAAAGATCATTTAATTTTAGTAAGGGTTGACATCTCTCATGATAGCCCTGCTCAAAAGATCATTACATTCTAGTAAGGGTTGACATCTCTCATGATAGCCCTTCTCAAAAGATCATTTCATTTTAGTAAGGGTTGACATCTCTCATGATAGCCCTGCTCAAAAGATCATTTAATTTTAGTTATGGTTGAAATCTCTCATGATAGCCCTGCTCAAAAGATCATTAAATTTTAGTCAGGGTTGACATCTCTCATGATAGCCCTGCTCAAAAGATCATTTAATTTTAGTTATGGTTGAAATCTCTCATGATAGCCCTGCTCAAAAGATCATTAAATTTTAGTCAGGGTTGACATCTCTCATGATAGCCCTGCTCAAAAGATCATTTAATTTTAGTTATGGTTGAAATCTCTCATGATAGCCCTGCTCAAAAGATCATTTAATTTTAGTCAGGGTTGACACTGTAAGCTAGAGGTAGCGCTCTAACTACATGAGTTTAATTAAAGACAGTCAGAACTACAAACCTGAAGTCATCGTCCACTCTCTTGAACCTCCCCTGCTCCTTCGGCAGCGCCCCCCTGCCAAATATGGGCTCCAGGTAGACCCACTTGCGCTGGATCTGGTTCAAGTTGTGCAGGTACTCATCCAGGTCAGCAAGTCGTTGCTCCCAGACGGAGGATTTGTCTTCAAAACTTTTGTAGTAGGGCGAGTCCTTCAGGGACTGGAGGAGGCTTTGGTTGTCTCCAACCTGACCAATGGACAACATGTTCAATGTTAACATTCAGGGACTGTAGGAGGCTTTGGTTGTCTCCAACCTGACCAATGGACAACATGTTCAATGTTAACATTCAGGGACTGGAGGAGGCTTTGGTTGTCTCCAACTTGACCAATGGACAACATGTTCAATATTAACATTCAGGGACTGGAGGAGGCTTTGGTTGTCTCCAACCTGACCAATAAAAAACATTGGTGATATTATACTTGGATCACCATCAAATAAGACAGTGGTGACATAATGGCCTTGTATAATCACAGAAAACACATTGTGACAATGTAATGAGATCACCATGCAATACAATGACCTTGTATACAGTTACCTGATTGACCAGGTCCTTCCAGTCTTTGATTAGATTTAATTTGTTCTTGCTGCTGTCCTCGTACTCCGTGAAGACAAACACGGCCCCGGCCCCCCACAGCTCCAGCTCCCTGATGGCCTCGCGGATGGTCACCTCCCCCTGAGCCCTCTGGTTGAGCTCCTTGATGGCGTCAGCGTTCCTGATGATGTTGTCACTGACAGACAGGATGTGGCCAAAGGTCAGTTTCTCCAGAGTGGTTCCCCTTGGCAGTTGCAGCAGTCTGAACATGTCCAGCCAGTGGTCCTGGGACAAAGGTTCACCCCGCACCCACTTCAACACTGGGAGAACATTCTGGAAAATATTTGGGAAACATTAATGTTATATTATAACTATTAAAACACTGGATAAGACATTATAGGAACAAAAATGTCACCAATTTAACTAGCTAATATAGCAATCTTTAAGTATCTTTAACATAATAAAGGATAGTGTAAATTAAAACTGAAATCCTGAAAAAAAATCAAACAAACATTCACAATCACATACCTTGTAAGTCTCTATGTCCTTCTGGATTTTCACAGTCATGGTAGTAGTCTCCCTTGCTTTGAGCTTCTCATACCAGCCACCCAGGAACTCTTCAAACAGGTAAGCTTTAGATCTGTCAGCAAAAAATAGTTTTAATATTCACACTTCCATGAATATTGTTACTTCCAAATTAGGAACATACATTTTTAAAATGACAACTATTGAATTTTTTAAAAAGAATATTTTTGCTATCATATTAACTTCTGCCCCAAATATGTGGCCTAAAGCACACATAAAAATTAAAGTGTATTTTTTACTTTAAAATAACGCCAATCCATATGTTACCTGAAAGAAATCCAGTCCTCTTTGGCCAGATCCTGCAGCCCAGAGTTAAACTCTTCATAGAGTGACCACATTCCTTCACAGCGTGCCATGTCCTCTTTCAGCTCCTCAACATTAGAGAAATCTGGCACATCAATGTCAAAATGCTGGCAATCTGAGCTGTGTACATAAACAATTGTAGAAAATGGTAGAGAAATCTGTTACATGAAAGGGCTGGCAATCTGAGCTGTGGACATACACAATCTGAGCAAATGGTAGAAAAATCTGGCACATAAAAGGGCTAGCACAAACTGGGGTAAACTTTTTAATATTTTACATTTTTTTCAACTTCAACACATTTTAGTTAGTGAAATAATTAAATCTTTTAAGCTAGAACAAAAATTAACTATAATAATCAACGGACATTTAATCTTTCTATTTAATTCTTTTACTACTAACTAAAATGATTTTACGTTCATAATTAATCAAAGTAAATACTTTGGCTTACGAAAAAATAATATCTATCAACAAATCATAAAATGTTAATATCTTAGAGCTTGAATCTTTCATTTAGACCAGGGGTCTCCAAACTTTTCACCCAGAGGGCCGCATTAACTATCAAATATAAGTTTGGGGGCCAGAGTTTCTTCCGAGCATCTCATTGGGGTGGCATTTTTCCGCAGCCACCTACAACAAACATTTTTTTTTCGTGGACTAAAAGATCTCTGATGGCTGGATGAGAGGACCTAGCGGGCCGCATCCGGCCCGCGGGCCGTAATTTGGAGACCCCTGATTTAGACCATCAAAAAAATCTAAAGAATAGTTACACAAGTTTTTTCATGTTCTCTTCAATTTCCAGGAATTCTTGGCGCTTCTCCTTGATTACAGCAACAGCTTTGTCCAGAGTTGCCTTGTCCCCGTCCAGGGCGTCGTCACCTGGCTTCAACTGGTGCCACCTGGCAGCAAACTTCTCAACTTCCTGTTGGAAGGCTTTCACGCGTGACTGAACATTGCTCTTCATCACTTCCACCTGGCAACAAATCAACCAACAACGTTGTTTCATCATACATTGAAAACTAAAAACTGTCAGTTGCCTTAAAAAAAACTGGGTAAGATATTAATATCTTTAATTTTTGTTAATTTAAAAATTATTTGAAAAGGGAAGAAAACTGAGGAAAAAGGGTTGGGTTACCTGCTCTTTGACCATCAGCTGGTGTGACTCCATCATGATCTCAAACTTGTCCCATCTGCTCTGTAGCTGGGTCAAGGAATCCACCCCACCCCCTGCTACTGACCTCAGCAGTTTGTTTTTACTTTCAGCTTTATCAAACAATGGCTTCACCTGCAATACAATGTTATCTTGTTTCTCTGTTGTTTTTTTTTAACTGATAATTTAAAAAAATAACTACTCAAAGCTATGTCCTAAATACAGTTTTGATGTGAAGAAGTCAGGATCACAGACCAACATAAACTTGGGAACCACTGATGCGACTATCACTCACTTACTTCCTGGGGGCACCCACCATTAACTTGGGAACCACTGATGAGACTTACTTCCTTCCTGGTGGCACTGAACTCTGCATGTTTGGCATTAGCAGCTCCAATCTCCTCAACAGTCTGTGGTCTCTGCGAGAGGGTCTCTGTGGCGCCGGACACGAACGTGTCAATCTGGGTGACGTCCTGGCTGATGGACTTGCGCAGGGAGCTGAGCAGGGCATCAAACAGCTGCTGGATGTGGTCGTCCACCACAGACTTGACCGGCATGGTGTTGACAATGATGCAGTCCACTTTCATTTGGCTGGATGGAAATATAGAATTATTGAGATCATGTTGAAACGTCAAAAAATTAATTTAAAATTTTTTTTTAAACTTATTTTTTAAAACCACAGAAACAAAAAATCAATTTAAAATCTTTGTGATCTAAATTTTAGTTAAACATCTGAAATGAAGCTGGGGAAAAATTAAAATAATAATTTATAATATATTTTGTATGGGTAATTTCCACTTAGATTTACCTGGGTAGTTTCTCCGCATCTCTCCCCCTTGCTTTCAAGGCTCGGAAGTTTTTCTCCCAGTCTGACAGCTCCTGTAAATTGTCTCCCACAAACTGGTCCAGGTCTAGAGATCCCAGCACAACCCAGTCCTGGTGATGTGGACAGGACATTTAGTCAAACTTTTCTACAAGTTCAATCAATATTCAGTTAATGACACTTAACTCTTCCCAACACATTATAGAATGTTAAGAAACTGTCAACCAGAATTTTACTTAAGACAGAAATCTGGAGGAGATTCACTTTACCTTAAATTGGTCCTTAACAGCAGCCAACCTGGTAAAAAGTAAATCAGCTTTTCTGTAGCAGGTGATAAAACTCTGGCCATTGTGGTCAATGATGGCAGGGAAGATGAGCTCAACTGTCCCATCTCCCACACCTTTGAAGACATTTGGGGTGTTGATGAACTTCTTCATCTCTCTAAAATACCTAGCTTTGATCTCTTCAAATGGTGGGCGGAACTGAAGCTTTTGTTGCCTGTCAGTGAGATATTAGATAAATGATTGATGTTTTTTTTTTAACTTTCCAATGGTATCAAATGTAGAATCAGGTTTAAGATTTGGGCTATGGTTGATTATACTAGCTTAAAAATAGGTTTCAGTATAACTGCCAGTAATTTAACACACATCTATAAAAGAAATCATGGGATGGTGTGGTCGAGTGCCTGACTTCTAACCCAATTGTCCTTGAGTAAAGGCAGCTGGGCACTATGTTGAACACAACATTCCTTCATATGCCGAATTCAAGAAACATATGAACTCTACTTCATCTGCACTATGAAAGGGCAACTTTACATTACCTTTTTATAAAAGAAATCAATACAAATTGTACTTTGCTAAAACTTTTGAAATAGATTTACAATGAAATGCCATTTTGTTACCACAATACAAATTGTATTTTGATTAAACTATTGAAATAGATTTAGAAAAAAAATGAGATTTAGTCACCTGAAAGTGAGCTCGACCTTGATCTCTGGCAAGTTTTCATTGAGAGCCTCCAGCCCCAGCAGGTACTGGTGCTCCAGGGCCTTGTACAGCTGCCTGTCCCAGTGGGCCTTCCACGGGGTCATGTTCTCGCTGGCGAAGCCTTGCTGAACCAGCGAGGACATGAGGTGCCTGACCTCCATGACCCCATCCTTCCAGCGCTGGGGCTGGCGCAGCAGGTCAATGCCCATCAGCTGCTGGACCTGTGACATCACAACATGGCACAAAGTTTGTTTACAGTCAACTTCCCTTTTTATAACATTTTAGTTGACTCTCTTTGGGGGGAAAGCCCAATTGGAATTTGATAAAAAAGTGCTATGCTAGTATTGACAAATGCTAACAGCACTTCAGTGAAAGTGATATGGTGTTTTGTATATAAAAATAGAATTATATGAAATAAAAAAGAGGTTTTTCCAGGAAAAATAAGTCTATAATTTAAAAGTTAATTTTAATGTAATTTATTTTCAATAAATCCCTTAACGCTAATGACACAACTATTTTTAGAATAATTATAAATAGTGAGAGTTACTTTTTGTGAGATGACAAAATGGACTTTTCTCAGCTTTCTGTTCTCAGTTGTGAGTCTGTCTGCTGCTGTCTGCAACTTTTTGATGTAGCTCTCCATTTGTTCTGGGTTGTCCCATGTCACTTGGATGTCTTCACCTTTGGCCTTGTAACCTTCAAGGGCAAGGACAAGTCCATTTCTATTGTACTATTATACCTGATAAAGATCTATATCAAACTAATTTGATCATGTACTTTCATATAAAAGAAATTTAAACCCTACATTTCTTAGCATCTTGGTAAGATAGTACATGAGGTAAAAATATTTAAGCCTTAGCAGAATAATATAACCCAACTACATCATCAGATGGTTAAAATGTAGTATAGTACCCTCAGCATTGCATGCTGATAGTGTCTTGCGAGGCAAAGGAAATAGTTTTCACTTGTCTCTAAGAGTGTGCTGCCAGCTATATTTATGTGAGGTGAACTGTTTACAAATACGACCAAACAGCCATATTTAAACATCCAACTGGGAACCTTGAGTTCTAGCCCCCAGCCCCTGAACAGGAAACAAATATGTGGTGGGGGGGGGGGGGAACAGTTCAGGTTACCTGCTTTAGGGCTCTTGACCAACTTTTCAAATGCCATGGCAGAGTCCAACATCATGGCCTGCTGACAGGGCAGCATCTGTTGGTCTATGGTGTTGTAGAAATGGGCCACCTGTGAGAGTCAAAGCATTTGTGTTAGATCAGTCAAGTTATTGGTCTATGGTGTTGTAGAAATGGGCAACCTGTGACAGTCAAAGCATTTGTATTAGGTCAGTGAAGTTATTTAACTCCTACACGGGTCTACTGTAGATTTCATCAGTTTTTCATGACAGTGTATTTGTCAATCTACAGATATTACAAAATAAGTTAAAACACAATAAACAAAACATCTAAAATACATACTGGAAAAAATATTCCCTCAAGTATGGAAGAGATGTTTATATTTAATTAGAACACTAACAGCCCCTACATACAAACATGTCCAGTCTACTGGACAAACCTGGACATGTCCAGCCTACCTGCTTTAGGATGACACCATGCCTGTAGAACTTCTGGGCGGTCTCTGCCACTTGTTGAATCTTGACGGGCACAGAGAAGCCGATGGAGCCCAGAAGCCGCACCTCTCTGAGCAGTGTCACCAGCCTCTCGTTGTAGTTGACAATCAGCTTGCCGTCTCTGTGGTTCAACTCCATCAGCTTGCCACTGGTCTCAAGGCTAGGGAGGAAAACATCAGTTGCTAACAACATCTAACATGTTAATGCATTTGTTGTGTGCTCTATTGCCAAACTGTCTGCATTCAATTACAACCAATGCAATTTCTGTCCAGGTTTGTTTAAAGTCCCATACACTACATCTTTAACCAAAAACATACATATGCTACCTACATTTTGTTTTACAAAATAAATAACTAAAAAATGAGGCTAACTCAATCAAAGGGTTCTTAAGTAATTATATCACTAATATTCAAGAGATAATTTAAAAGAGGTTTATTTAAGTTACCAAATCTTATAAATTCTATTTAGTAAACATTTTTGGACATACTAATCAATTTTCAATAATTAATTAAGACCTCATAAATAAATCAAGCAATGTGCTTTTTAAAAATCCGCTTCAAGATGAAATTAATTGATGATAATAAATTCTATCAAAAGCTTTAAAGAACTAGTTAATTTATTGACCAGCCAGATATGACTAGATTACACTCTGTCCCACCTTAAAGGGTTGCGATGGTCATCTATCAAAGCCTGAATATCACGAGACCACTCATCAAACTGGTCCCGACGCCAAGTTTGGAGATCCTCCTTCAAGCTGTCCATGTCTTTTTGAAACTTCTGGAAACCCCCAAGGTCTCCCAGCAGTGCATCAGCGATCAAACGAGTTTCTTCAATCTAAAAGCCAAAAGTTAGCCAATCATCAATCAAACAAGTTTCTTCAATCTAAAAGCCAAAAGTTAGCCAATCATCAATCAAACAAGTTTCTTCAATCTAAAAGCCAAAAGTTAGCCAATCATCAATCAAACAAGTTTCTTCAATCTAAAAGCCAAAAGTTAGCCAATCATCAATCAAACAAGTTTCTTCAATCTAAAAGCCAAAAGTTAGCCAATCATCAATCAAACAAGTTTCTTCAATCTAAAAGCCAAAAGTTAGCCAATCATCAATCAAACAAGTTTCTTCAATCTAAAAGCCAAAAGTTAGCCAATCATCAATCAAACAAGTTTCTTCAATCTAAAAGCCAAAAGTTAGCCAATCATCAATCAAACAAGTTTCTTCAATCTAAAAGCCAAAAGTTAGCCAATCATCAATCAAACAAGTTTCTTCAATCTAAAAGCCAAAAGTTAGCCAATCATCAATCAAACAAGTTTCTTCAATCTAAAAGCCAAAAGTTAGCCAATCATCAATCAAACAAGTTTCTTCAATCTAAAAGCCAAAAGTTAGCCAATCATCAATCAAACGAGTTTCTTCAATCTAAAAGCCAAAAGTTAGCCAATCATCAATCAAACAAGTTTCTTCAATCTAAAAGCCAAAAGTTAGCCAATCATCAATCAAACAAGTTTCTTCAATCTGAAAGCCAAAAGTTAGCCAATCATCAGCAATCAAATGAGTTTCTTCAATCTAAAAGCCAAAAGTTAGCCAATCATCAATCAAACAAGTTTCTTCAATTTAAAAGCCAAAAGTTAGCCAATCATCAATCAAACAAGTTTCTTCAATCTAAAAGCCAAAAGTTAGCCAATCATCAGCAATCAGTTTCTTCAATCTAAAGGGCCAAAAGTATGCTATTTCTAATTAATTCCTTTCTTTTATTTTTGTATCCCTAGTTTTCATATAGAAATACTTGCCTTAGCTTCAAGTTGTCTGACATAGATGATGTTGTTGACAATTTCAGGATTATTTTTTCCCTTTGGAATTTTTCCACTGCCTCCTCTGCCGGTGCAAGAGTTGAACTCTTCGCTGACCTGTCGTATGTATGTGATCAGCTGACCAAGGAGAGTTTCTCTGGAGAAATTTTTTTTAAAACAAAATTAAGACAAACAATGATTCATATGAGGTTATGTTCTGAAACGAGTCCATTAAACACATCTCACCTTTCTGCCATCAATTCTTTTGTAATTGTTGGACGTTTCACCAGCTCTTTGTATCTCTGGAACTCTCTCAGAAGCTGAGGTAAAAAAATATTATAAATGGTAACATGTAAACAAAGTAATTTAACACTGTTGTATGAAATCACACATAAACACAGTATAAACAATAGATGTGTCAAGTGTCAAGATGTTTTAGCTCTCCTTGACCAAAAGATTAATTGTCTAGAGAAAGATGCTGTGGGTTTTTTATTTAAACTTGACATTTGTTTTAAATGCTAAAATTAAAATGGCTTAAAACAAAGATCTGTCTTTCAGTTAGCCACACAAGCAGCAAATGAGTTCACCTGTTGCGTTGTGGGTTCTGATCCAACTGTCTATAGAAAACAATGAAATAGTTCACCTGTTGTGTGAGCTCTGATCCAACTGTCTACATAAAACAATAAAATAGTTCACCTGTTGTGGGCTCTGATCCAACTGTCTATATAAACCAATGAAATAGTTCACCTGTTGTGGGCTCTGATCCAACTGTCTATATAAACCAATAAAATAGTTCACCTGTTGTGGGCTCTGATCCAACTGTCTATATAAACCAATGAAATAGTTCACCTGTTGTGGGTTCTGATCCAACTGTCTATATAAACAATGAAATAGTTCACCTGTTGTGGGCTATGATCCAACTGTCTATATAAAACAATGAAATAGTTCACCTGTTGTGGTCTATGATCCAACTGTCTATATAAAACAATGAAATAGTTCACCTGTTGTGGTCTATGATCCAACTGTCTATATAAACCAATGAAATAGTTCACCTGATGTGGGCTCTGATCCAACTGTCTATATAAACCAATGAAATAGTTCACCTGTTGTGTGGTCTCTGATCCAACTGTCTATATAAACAATGAAATAGTTCACCTGTTGTGGGTTCTGATCCAACTGTCTATATAAACCAATGAAATAGTTCACCTGTTGTGTGGTCTCTGATCCAACTGTCTACATAAACCAATGAAATAGTTCACCTGTTGTGGGTTCTGATCCAACTGTCGGAACTGGTTTCTCAGCTTGCCTGCAATCCTCTGCTGTGCTGGCTCCATAGAGCGCTCATACTGCTGCACTGCTGCGGCCCAAAGGGGTTGGGTGTAAGGGTTGTACTGCAGGGGGTTCAGACCCAGGAAGGGGGTGAACGCCTCAGACACACCCAGTTCTTTCTGCTCTTGGGCAGTCAAAAGTCTCAGCAGCTGCTCATGAACTGTTCTGATTGACAGAATCTGAAGTTTCAAAATGAGAAAATAATTTAAATTTAAATGAGTACATTTTTAAAATTAAAAAGATGGGTATATCTTAGAAAACCTTTCAACAAGAAATCATTTGATTGAACATTGTCGATAAAAATAACACCTAACCTAAAACTGAAGCATACTACAAGCTGTTTATCTTTCCCTAACTTTACAGTGACGTGCCAAAGATAAGAATTGATTTGTTTATTATCATGTATCTGCTTTTGTTTAAAGATGCTACATGGGTTACTATTATTTAACCCTAAGCTTGGCCTGTTGGTTTAACGCCAGCCTTACAGAAATTACCTCCTCAAGTCTTTCTCCCAGCTTTTTAAGAGATTTTGGTCGACAGATCTCTCCCTTCCATGGATGTGGTGCATACCTCTTCCAGAACTGGGCGGTCAAGGTTTCACATGCATTGGTCCAGCGCTCACAGAGGGCTATCCCTAGCCTTAAAGACTCACGCACAGAGTTAAACTGGCCTGTCCACATATTGACCCCTGCTAGTTTCTGCTGGACATATCTGCCTAGAGATCCAGCTAAAAAATTAAATAATACTTGTAAAAATAATGCTCCTGCTTTGATACAAATAAAATGTTCGTAACACTAGGAAAATTCAATAAACTGGCTTGACTATTGTCTACTGTAGCAATGAATGTTTGATCTTAATCCTAAACCAATTTAAAAACCACATTTTCTTTTCCTACAAAAACACTACTTGGTTTGTGTACTGTTCTTAAGGTTTAGACAAGATTTCTGCGATTATAGTCTAGCACCATTAAAAACACAAAATATAGACACTATTGTGATTTTAGAGCATAGAGTAATATGTAAAAATAATTTCCCCAAGATTCAAAATAATAATATCTAGTTATAACTCCATAAATTCAAGCTAATGTGCAACTTACAAATAACCTCCATAAGATGCCTCATTCTTTCTTCTGGGTAAGGGGGGCTACTCTGCTTCCACACATCATCTAATGTGTCTTGTGTTAGTTCTACTAGCTCCATTCCATCAACCAATGGCATGGCATCTAAGCCCCCATAATCCTTTGAAATGGGGGCAAATAATTCTGAATAACTTTCAGCTGCCTCTTTCAAGTCCCCTCCAGCACTTGATCTAGATACTTCTTGCCAGTATTGAAACTCATCCATGGGAGTTAAAATACCTGGTGGTTAGGACAAATAAATATTTTAACAAATAGGTCAATCTGTTTTTCTTTGAGAAACATTGCAGACTAATTAAATATGACTGGCTATGTAAAAACTAAAACAAAATAACTGATTTTATATTTAAAAGAAATTTCAATAGTTAAGAAAGAATAAATTTTTTACAGAATATCAACCAAATAATTGTTAAGCATACTTCCTAAATTTTCCTCGCGCTCTGATCGCCCTTTAAAACTTGGATCCCTTTTACGAATGGCTGAGCCGAGCCCAGCCTCTAGTTCACTGAGTAGGCTCTGAAGCTTGGGGTCAATGGTTCTGCTATACTTGCCATCATCCAGTAACAAAGGTGCATAGACCTATAGAAAAGTATCCAGTTGTTAACATATTTAAAAACATGAGAAAGATAATTGAACATAGAAAATAGCATTTAATACTAAAAATAGATATTGTTGAAAAATCTCACATATCAAAATTTAGATACAGTTAAATAATCATCTGGTAAACAACTAAAAAATCAATGGAAACCCACCTTTTGAACAGCATGATACAAAGTATTTAAAGGGGAGTCAATCATGGAAGATACAATGATGTTTGTCTGCACATTGTCTGGTGTGATTGGATCAGGTCTAATCTTAAAGAAAACAATCACGCGCTCTTTGGAATCTGTTGGTTCAACCTGCGAGGACAAGATACAGTAATTTTTTTGTTAATTAAACTCTTAAAAAGCTTCTAACATTCTTATTTAACATAATAAATCTTAAGATGGCAGAAGTTAATGCTCACCTTATTCTGAAACTCAATTCTGTGCTCTTTTTTAGGATCAATCCTTCCAGCCAAGACCATTGTGCTTCCATCATCAAGAAAATTATTTAATGATGGTGTGTTAAATAGATTTGTGATTGCATTATCATTTACTTGGACTCCAAAGTAATTTGCTGTTGTAACCAAAACAAAATCTTTCCTCGAATCTCCCGGCATGGTTGATTACTGATTATTGCCCAGACTAAAAATAAACATTTTTAAGATAAACATTGTTTTAACAATAAAAGAAAATGCTTTCCTATAATGTATAATTTAGACACAGTGAAAACACATTCTTCAGCATGAGAATGATTAAAAAAATCTTTAAAAAAATAGTTGGAAGTGGCTATTACTATTTGGACCTGAGACCTTTTTAGAGCCATGGCCACTATAGGGACCCAGCATTAATTACAATAAATATAATATAATTACTTATATTACTAGTAGATTCTAATTGCTAGGCCTAATAAACTACTAACTAATAATTTACTAATAAAGTAATGTAAAAAATATAAATAGTAGGCATAAATAGTAATAGTAAAAGTAAATAGGGCTAGGCCTACATTTTAAAATTTACTGTAATCTATCCTTTTTGGTACGTAAAATCGCCCACGACTAGTAATGTGAAAAACAGGTGACTCCTTAAATTTTAATAATTATTTCACATTTTGAGGAGGATTTATATTTTGAAAAATACAAAAATGTTTCCTTGTTTCATTTAGGCCTATGTACCTGTTTTTAAACAATTGAATTAAAACTTTTCAGTAATAAATGAAGACTAGCGATGTTTCCAACAGATGCAACTATTTTTATGCTCATTTAATATAGCAGTCATCTTGTTTAAGTTTTTTTCTAAACTTAGCGCGAGATTCAGGGGGAAGCCACTCTATTTTACAAATGGTTGCTGTTTATATAGCAAATCTTGCTCGCAAACAATGCTACTGTTTAGTGTTAAAAGTTAATTTCTGGCCCATATTTATTATTTATATATTTATTATTTAGCCATTGATTTAGGTTTATTATTCATTTATCTACAATATTTGACACAAACATATCACAATATACTTCTATTAAAGCCTTGACAATGAGGTAACTTTTTCGTACATTACTAGATCTAGCCGCGGGCGATTTTTGTCGTACACAAAATGATAGATTACCAAAATTTATAGTGGCCTGTACTCTGTAAGTATATAAATAAATCCTTACTTTGGCCGCAAAGCCCTATCGCACTACATCAGAAACAATACAGTGCATCAGATCTGTTTTTACTATAACTAGTATAAATTTATTAGAAATCTAAATTTAAAATTAACTTGGATCTACCATTCGGCTTCTCTTGACAACAGCAAACTCAAGATACCTCTTTGGAATGCTTCAGTAATATTCATAGTACGAAGTAAGCGATTGGTTTTAAATTACTCAGCCAATTGAATCCTACCAAACAAACAATAACAAACAGGAATGCGCATCTAACAGAACAACGTCCGGTCTAATTGCACGTTTTATTTCCGGTAGTTTGTATGGGAGAAAAAAACTGCTGAACCGTTATTTTGATGTTCTTACTGGGATTTTGGATACTTAGTAATTGTTTCATATTATGCAACATTTTAACTAATGCATTTAAATCAAGTATAAAACAGTAGTGAGAAATCGACTTTCATTTCTGAAAATCTAGATAGATCTAGATTACATCCATAACATTTTTTTATTTCTCTGCTGTGCTTTGTTGTGAAACTGCAGCTGCATTCATTAGTTTATTAAAAAGTTTAAGTTAGGTACTAGGATTACATCTCGTTTTACGCCGCGCGGCGAGTTTTTCGTCCCCGTTACCCAGACGCCGAGAATTTGCGGCTACGCGAGTGCTATAGTTTCGTAATTTTTATCGCTCGGTGTTATCGCCCGATCAATTTTCGTGCGATTATCGATTTTTCATAAAAAAATGGACATTTTGCGTTTTCATTGTTTTTTTAATTGTGTGCATGGATTATTCAAGATGGAGTGTTTCAGTGAAAATAAGGTAAGTTTAATTTACTCCCTACTGTTTATTTTTATAATAAACAGGGGATGATATTTAGAATCGACCCTTTGAATCCCGGACAGATCGTCCCCCCGGCGTGGCCTCAGCCAACCGGCGGGCTCGTTGCATTGAGTTAAATATAAACTCAAAACAATAATATAAACAATCTCCTTTCGGTCGGTCAGGCCACATACCACGCACGCATAGTGTTGTGTGTCGTGCCTTAACCAAAATAAACTATCTCCCTTCATTATCATTAGACTTAATTAATTAATTAATTTGCTAATTATAAAATTATGTATGATGCTATAGAAGTAGGTAAGTATAATTTCTTACTATGTATTTGTACTATTAAACATATTATTAAAGAACATCGTTGTTTCAATACCACCCTCTCCCCTTCTTGAACTCAAAGTTAAACTTGTAACCCCGTTTGTAAAGACTAGCGGTATGCTGTAAGGCGGCGGGTGGGTAGGGTATATACTCATTGAAAAAAAAATCCACCGTGGTGCGTGTTATTGGGCTTGGGCGACCGTTGTTGGCGCTTGCTGTGAGGGGGAGAGAGGTGTGTGTTATACTCGGTGAAAAAAAAATGCACCGTGGTTTTGGCCTATGATGACGTCGGCGCTAGCGGGAAGGGGTGGGGGGGGGGGGGGAGAGACGTTTTTTTCTTTTTAAACCAAGAACTAGGCGTTTCAAGGCAGTAATGAAAATCAAGGACTGGTATAGTCATGTCGAATTTAACGAGTGATGCTTGCTGGGTCTATCATACGATTGCTTGGCGATGGGAGTCTCGTCAAGCTCAGTTTACATTATTAACAGTGAACTATTGGGATGCTGTCATGCACAAAGTAACAGTACCGAATGTAGCACTTAAAACATCGAGTGCATCCCGCTCATTATAAATCTTTGAAATACAAGTTATGGATAGTCCAATAACTACTAATACTTGAAGGACTACCAGAATATATGCATTGTATTATAAAATTAATCCTTACTATATAACTAAAATGTGTATCCAAATATTTTTAGGCTAACGGGATCTGCATTTAAATAAACACAGTCAAATACCTACCCCATTCAGTAGAAATATTAGGCTACTTTTGCATGGTAGCACTACGGCATTTTTTAGATTTCGTAATGAGTAGCCTAGTCGAGCATTAAACTAGAATAAAGGGTTGTACTCAATAGCAATGACGATAATGAAATGCCGGCTTCAAATACCGGCTTCCCCGTATTCGTGGACTACAAATATAGCTCCGTCGTTTAAATGACCCCACCCTCCACCTTTTGCCTAGTTGAATATAATAAAGTTACACTTTCAACCCCGTTAGGATGCGTGAACTACTGAACTATTGAAAAAAAATCTATTCTGGTGTTAAATTCCCCTCCCCTACTCCCAGCATTTAACTTTGGGGCCATACACATCAGGAAGGTCTAGGTCGGCGTTTTATCTCGTGCAAGTTTACTCACAACACGACTACACACTATGGTTCTATCCAGGATTAAAGCTGCGACACTTACTTAGAGTGGGATTTATTCGTTAGATCATTGTGCTTCAAATTCTGTTTCATTTTAGGATTAGAGTGATAGAATGTTGGAATTCAGTTAGTTTGTTAATTAATATATTGATCTAAATGTCGTGTACCGTCAGAAACTAAATTGGTTGACAAGGCACATGTGTAGGCTAAAGAATGACCTCTAGATCAAGCCAAAGATGGCTGGGTGACATACTGTGGTTTTCAAATTTCATGGTGATGCTTTTCTAAAGGATTTTATTTTGTGCTTTCTTTGGGATTATTTTGTGTGATGTGAATATTCAAAAGTAATTTGTAAGTAGTATGCTTTTCACATTCAACCAACTTAACAGTTTGCGGTCGATCTGCGGCCGGGCTGATTAATTTACATTTAGCGAAACTACACACTACACGGCGCCCTAAGGCCGTTGTTTCAGCATGCCCTACTAGTCAATTATAGACAACTTTAGAATCAACACATGTAGCCAATACATCTATTTTTATTTAATAATCTTCAAAAGCCATTCCTCTAGGCTAGGGTCGTTATTTTCACGAAATTGTCGTTTTCCAATTTGTTGTCAAGAAACTGGTATTTAGTTCACGAGAACGTACGAAAACCACTCATGCGTGACCGAAATCTTCGATCGGGTGCCTTCACGTGGTTTGACACGTGTTGACATGGGCCTTTGTTTACATCGAAACATAGCTCAAAACGGCCCTTTTTTTAATTAATTCTTCGAAAAAATGGCTATGTCCATTTCTAAAAAGTGTCATTTTCGGGCCCATTTTAAAAAACGTAAAAAAATCCGAACTACACGTAGAAAAAATGGCTTTTTCGGCCCTTTTTAGCTCCAAAAACGCCGTGTTTACGGGTCGCGTGACGTCATCGTGACGTCAGCCGCCAACCAAAACGCGTTGAAAGCGCGCGTTTGATTGGTTGGCGGCGGATACTATGAAATATCAAGGGTTTTCTCTAAATTTTTACCTAAACAGGAATTTTATTGCTTTACATGAATTCTACACCACTTTTCTCTATTGTTTCAAAAAATCAAGTTGTTTGGACATAGCGCACAAAAGTTATATGCTGCACAGATTTGCAACCTCTATAAAAAAATTCGTTTGTTTACAATATGAAAGCGAAAGTGGCAAGGGAGGTAATAGAAAAAAAATGTGGCGAGCGATGTTTTGACGCCGGCGATAGTGGCGAACGATGTTTTGCCGCCGGCGATAGTGACGAACGATGTTTTGCCGCCGGCGTTAGTGGCGAACGATGTTTTGCCGCCGGCGATAGTGGCGAACGATGTTTTGCCGCCGGCGATAGTGGCGAACGATGTTTTGCCGCCGGCGATAGTGGCGAACGATGTTTTGCCGCCGGCGATAGTGACGAACGATGTTTTGCCGCCGGCGTTAGTGGCGAACGATGTTTTGCCGCCGGCGATAGTGGCGAACGATGTTTTGCCGCCGGCGATAGTGGCGAACGATGTTTTGCCGCCGGCGATAGTGGCGAACGATGTTTTGCCGCCGGCGATAGTGGCAAACGCTGTTTTGATATTGAAGGTAGTGGGGTAGAGGGGGGGGGGGGGGAGGTTTGGTGCGGTAATAGCAATAAATGTTCAATATTTAATTTTAGTGTCTAGAAAAACCATTTTATTTATTTTGATGTGAAAGCAAATAATGTACTGTTTACTTTTCCAGATAGAACCTACACTTCTAAAACCAGCATACGATATGATGAGCAGTTATGTGGCCTAATGAGGGAACACTATGTAAAGAGGAATTAAAACTATTACAATAAATGTGTTCACCTTTTATTTAGACAAATTAAGTAATATTTTTTAAAATAACTTAAATAAATTTTGAAGCAGTACATTGAAAGTTTAGTAATATGAACTAGTTCTAGATTCTATATCATGTTAAAACCAACCAATGTTGAACTTCTTCTGAAATGTAAAATACTAATGAACAGACAGAAACACATCTTTTTAATTAAACTATATATATAAGTAGACTAACAAGTTAATTACATTTATACAAATAAAAGACCTTACATTTCTAATAGATCTAATTTGCCATCATTTTTATTTTCATATATTAGTTCAGTTTTTCAATTATGTCAGGCGCGTCGATGACTCAGCGTTTTACCTTTTTACCATCTTTTACCTATTTGTCAACTATTTAGATACAACCATCAAACACACTTATTTCAGAGCTTCACTCTGATTAGTTTTTAGCTTTAGATTCAAATAGTTTGGACCTAAGCTGATATTGTATGAACAAATTTCGTATTTAAAAATAGGGGGTGTACCCTGTTCCACCCCTTATTTTTTGTCAAACAGATAGATTTAAACACATATTTTGATTGTTTCTGTTTAAGAATAGAGTCATCTAGAGCCAGGCAAATTTTGAGACTTAAGTGCTTAATAACTCAAATTTGCCATCATGTTGCATTTCACATCAACAAGACTTCGGTTTTGCGAAATTGCATAATCTATCAGCTTTGTAGCAGTTAAAACAAAAAACTTTTCAGTTATGAATATTATTTTGATTGTAATAACTGACACATCCATAGCTCAACATTCTCAGCAAGTTTGAGCTTAATTTTTGGAATAGTTAAAATTTTAACTGAGATTGTATGAATGCACTGTATATGAAAAATTAGGGGGGGTACCCTGTTCTACTTCTGTTTTTGTTTAACTCTGCCCATAAATTTCTAATTTTATTGTTTATTATGCTTCCATATATAATATATAAAGACATTGCAAAGTTATAACAAATTTGACCATATGGTTTACAAGCTAGGACAATTTTAGTAAACGCTTAAAAAAACTCTATCACAGAAATTGGAGAAAATCCTATGTTAAAAAAATCACATTTTTTAATACGAAAAAAAATCATAACTATTTAACCGTTTGAGCTACATCAAAAAGGAAAACTGTTCTGTTATTGTAATTTTCTGCTCCTATTAACTGTAGTAGTTGTTTCCCTAAAAAACCAATATTAAAAATTTATCCTAGTACCTAGTTTAAGTTATCCTTTCTAAGATGCCATTCACGGTCATTCACCCGATAGAGAGAACCTCGGCAGCAGCAGTCAACCGTGATTGTGTTGTTTCTTGTTAGACTTGTACTAGATCTAGATCTAGTAGTAATTATGATCAATCATTACTTAGTAATTAGTATATATTATATATATATAATCACTAAGACACTAATAATCATTTCATCAGTGTAGGCTAGGCCTAGCAAATTTGAAGTTTAGTTTAGTTATTTTAACATAGTAGTTAGTAGGCACACTAACTACAACTAGATCTACATTAAACATTGCTCTACACTAGTCTACACTATTTCATTTGCTATATTAGTAAAAGTGATAATAGGATTTAAATGTAATTATTGTAATTACAATGTACCATAAATAGGAATTATGCAACAACTTTCAGCAATTCCAACAGCATTGGTCAACTGGCAGTGGTTTCTTCTCCTCCCCACCCCCTTCCCATATTTCTCTGAGTTGGGTTTTCTCTTTTTTGTTTGGGGCTGTCAGTGTGCTGTTAAGGAGTAATTATTTTATAGCAGTAGCTTATTTGAATCTGTAATAATTCATTGCTTACATTATGTTCTGTTGTATTTGTTATGATTAGACCTTGTTTTTTTGTTTTGTGTTTCTAATAAATTTTGAGTTTTTAAAATCTTATCCTGTAAACACTTGTGACATGTTTACAAAAAAAAAACATTCCATATAGTTTTTGCATAGCTAACTGAAGCATAATTTATTTTACTGAATTGTTTCAGTCTTCAAATTGTGTATATATTTATAGAATTCTGTGAACACTGGATCAAAACATCCATTCAAGCTTGCCAAGTAGATTTAATACGCTGGTATGTCTGTTTTAAAAATGTTCTACTTTAAACATGGTATTGTAAAATGGTAACATGATTCTTGTTTATTGTTGTAATACATTATGCTGTAATGAAAACCAGGCTAAAACAACTTATTCAACTTCTGTCTAAAACTTGAAATTCATTATAGGGCCTACACTTTCTTCCTTTTTAAAAATTTTAGTGGTTTAGGAAGTTGTTACCCCTCTTGTTTATAACCAACTTCAAATGCCAACTCTTTTTTTTCTCCCCTTACATTTAAAAAAATAACCTTTTACCTCTAAGAAACAACTACCAAAGCCCCTAGTAAACTTGAAGGGGTACTGTTTTCTACTATTTAAAATTTATCAAGGATTGATTCATTCTTAGTATCTAATTAAGCTCAACACAAAACTACATACATTGAGATAGATCTACAAATAGTAAATGCTACTCCTGCTGTTCTGCTCATAAATGATACTTTTAGCTTTACCAGCTTGCTTTTTTCATACTATTTAGTTAATGTCTATTTCAATTTAGCTCTTAATATATTGTCTGTTCTATTTTTCCTCTGACATCTTTATACGTCATCTCAGATATAAACCAGTAACATTGAAACATTACTAAAGGTCAAAATTCTGTGCTTATTCTGTTAAGTGCTATTAGTTTCTGTCAGCTTATTTATATTTGAATCTAAAATAATTTAAAGCTATTAAAAAAAATGTGCCTAATTGAAAGTTTGAAAATTACTTTATCCACACAGAATCTTGGTATCCAAAATCAAGAAGAAAACCTACCAGAAAATCAGCAATTGTACTATAATCCTTTTAACATCATGCCTTCACGTCGGCGAAGACGTGACAATAGCAGTAATGAAGAAACTGCTGCTAAGAAAAGTCGTGCACAACAGTATGTTGGAGAATTTTCATCTTTTTTTTTAAATTATTAAGTACTTACTACTTTTTAAGTCTTGAAAAAAAAATTATGTGTTACAACAGTGTAGATGGTTGTGTTTAATATGTACAAAAAATAATGTTTTTTACTTTTCAGGCCAAAAAAGGAGGTATCTACAGAATTTAATAAGAAGCGCTGTCTAACATGGTTTCATGAGTATACAGGTGTGTCAGTATAATGAGCATTGTCTATTTATTTGTAACTTTCTTTGATGTGTGAGGATACTAACACTATCTGTATTTATCATTATACAAACTACACTGGAGCTTCTATTTTCATTTATTCTGTTAAACTAACTTAATATTACAGTAAGCTCAAAACTTGAGGTTCTGGTAAAGCAAAACATATTTACTTTATTCATTATAAAACTTACTTATGTGTTAACTAAAAAAAACCTTTTTGTAGGTACAAGTGAAGAAACATTAGGTCCAGAGGGCATGGAAAAATTTTGTGAGGACATAGGAGTGGAACCTGAAAATGTATGTTTTCATCAATTGAATTAAAACTTTTAAATTTTAGATCAAGTTCTCTAGTTTATTTTTGTGATATCTTTTCATTACATTTTTTTTTCAGATTGTAATGCTGGCACTAGCATACAAACTTAATGCTAAAAATATGGGCTTCTTTACTGTTGAAGAGTGGATGAAGGGAATGACAGAATTACAGTAAGTTAGAGTTATATTCAAACATATTAGATTCAATGTCCTATCTGTTTAAACAAGTAACTATATCATCTTTTTAGCTGACAGTTTTATATTTGCTATTTATTTTCTGTTTTAAAATAATTATTTATAATTAAAATTTTGCTTTAAATCTTTAATCCTGAAAGGTGTGACACAATAGGGAAACTTCAGAACAGATTAGACTACCTCAGGGCAATGTTAAACGATCCAGCCATTTTCAAAAACATTTACCGTTTTGCATTTGATTTTGCTAGAGTAAGTAAACAAAAACAAATTTTTTTTTTTTATTTCTGAGTTTAAAGAAGTAGAAAAGAAATTAACAGAATTTTTTAAGGTTTTGCTATAAATAAATAAAGAATGGTATAAAATATAAGTATGATGTGGCTAGTTTTGTTTTTGACAATATTACTTGTAACTCCAAAACTTTCAACAGGAAAAAGATCAGAGAAGTATGGACATAGATACAGCAAAAGCAATGCTCTCTTTGGTACTTGGAAAAAACTGGCCTCTTTTTTCATCCTTCCATCAGTTTTTAGAGGTAATTTCATTAATGGCTCTGAGACAAATCTTTAATCAATGAAAATAAAAACTTATTCAACATTCTCTTATCAACCATAATCTGCTTCACACTCAGTTATTGCATTATATCTACAATGGAGTTGAAGGTTGTTTATGTTGTACCCATGAATTCCAAAGGTAGCTGCTCTAGACTACTGACTTTGGTCACCACTATCACAATGTTTCTAAAAAATCTATGGTGGTAATCAAGGATGCCTTTTTATTCCTTGCATTTAAATTATAGAAGCCTTTTAATTAATGAGAAAATGAGATTGTTTTTTTATTCAAATAATTCTCAATAATGGTTACTAACGTAAATTAAAACTTTTATGTTGGTTATTATTCATTTTTATTTGGCTTTATTTCTAAATTAAATTGTTTTTTATCTATAGCAAGCCAAATATAAAGTGATAAATAAAGATCAGTGGTGCAATATATTGGAGTTTAGCAGAGCTATCAGACCAGATTTAGAAAATTATGATGAAGATGGCGCATGTAAGTTGGTGTTTTATTTACCTTTTTTTTTTATTAAAAAATTTCATTAACGCAACAAAAACTACATATTCTTTTGACACATTTCAGGGCCAGTTATGTTGGATGAATTTGTGGAATGGTTAAAGGAACATAAACTGCATGCAGATGATCAAATGCCTTTGTGAGTCTGAATGGTCTAAAGAATGATCTTATTATGTTATTTTAGAAGTTTTGTACAGCTGGCATAATGGATGTCTGTGTGTCCATATCTGTTCACAATTTAAAATGATTCGTTTTTTAAGATTATTTAAAATTATTTAACATACCTGCTAAACATTTAATAAAAGGTGTACAGTTATCTGGATTCTTTACAAACTGCAGATTATGCATATTTTCATTTATTAAAAGTATTTTTAAAATGCTACAAATTTTTTTTTAGTTAGTTGAAATTTTAGTTTGTACTTTTTTATTTTTTGTGTTCTACAATAGATTTTTAAGTTAGTTTGTCAGACATCTCATTCCAATTCAATGATAAAAAATGTTAACACAAGGAACATTTTTTCTTAAATTTTTTCCTTGTGAAGACTGCTGGTTAACAAAAAAAAAACGTCAACAGAAAGAGCCTCGAATTTCTGTGCATTGACTATAAACTTCCATACACAGCTGGTTTTTAAACAAATACTTCAAGTTCAAACTATAGATTTCCCCTACATTTGGGATCAGTCTGATGAAGATACAGTAAGAGTAAACAGTTTTTAACCTCTTTATGGCAAGTATTTAAGTTTTAATAAATTTCCCGCACTATTCAGATCCAAAATATGTATGTGACGATCATTGAAACTATTTTGTTTGCTTGTTACTGTGTTGCCGTCATTTAAAAAAATAACTGCCAATTAAAACATTTTAAAAAAAATATATTTTAGGCATTCAGAAAGTTAAAAGGTATTACTTTTATTCTCTTAAATATATTACTATGAAAGCATTAAGCTTTGAGATATCATTGACAAGTAGCAGTAAAATGTAAAGCTAAACAATTTATACAGCAGTTTCTATCAGGTTTTTTTTTTTTTATTTTGTTTGTCAGAAATATTGTAAAAAATACATTACTAAATATGCCTAGAAAAAAGATTAGGGGGCTTTGATGACGTGTTACTAGGATTCATTTGTATATTCCTTCTGTTTTTTCTTTCTATTATTAAAGAATGCCTATGTTTATAGTATTTTTTATTTCAGAGTAAGCATGTTATTTAAGACTGAATAGTTCATCTAAGTCATGTTCACACTTTAACATCAACTGCTGGTTTATTTGTCTTTAATTTATACTGGGAGAAATCATTTCAATCAGTTAGTCACAGTGGTATCTTACGTTAGAAATTCTTTACCATATTATTTAAGTTTCAGTGCTTGTAAAATAGCCCATGTATATATTTGTTTTATCAGTATTGTATTTGTATCATATTTGTGTCTGGTTGAATGTGGGAGGTGAGCTTTTAATTCAATTGATCTTGCCATTTTATGTCTGATTTGTGGTTATGTAAAAATACTTTGGACATATTTTTAAAAAAACCACAGGTTTCTTATTTCTTTATATTAAACAAACTTGCTTGGTCATATTGGGAAGATAAAAAAATTTAGTTAGCTTTGTTACTAAATTTGTCTTCCAGTACAAGAACAGTTATACCATTAGCATTTAAAGAAAGTGATAAAGTATTCATCATGACACATGCCACTTAAATTCTTACTAATTATTAGTTGCTCCACATCACATTTGGGGCCAATTTGTGTACCATATATGTAAATGAATACTATACAGACCTCTATAATGAAGAAAGCAGAAGAGGTTCATTTTAAAAGGAATCAAATACTTTTGTTACAAAAATAAGCTGAAATTAAAGAAATATGTTTTTAATTGTGTGGCCTGAAGTTGTTACAGAACATTTTTTCAATTTTTCTTTTTAACTTCAGAGTAACTTTGGGTATTCATAACACAGAAAATTTTTAAGAATTTTTTTTTTACTGCTGTATACTGCTTACAAAGAATGTTACCATACACACATTTGCAGAAATATTTTGTTGTTTGTCTGTGAAACAGAGCCTTGTGTTTAACTGCTCATCCGCTGGTTGTGTCAGATGTTTGTGTGTACTACATACATGTGTATGATGAATTGTTTGAATATGCAAATATGTTATATAACTTGAATGTAAATAAAATTGTTATACATCAAACAACAAACTTGAATTATTTAATATTGTAATAAACTATATATAATATCACAATGAGTAAATAATAAAACAATCAATCAAATAAATCAGGAGTCATCAAGTCAGTAGGTGGTGCATGAGCAGAGAGGCAGCTTCCCACAACTGGGCTGTTGAAGGTTGGGGAGAATAAATCTTGTGATGTGTCAACATCATTAGGTTTTTTGTGTCTCCTGGGTGTGCTGCAGTGGGGGTCTGGGATGTATGTTGGTCTGTAGTGTAGTGTTAGGGGTGTGCTACAGTTTCTGCCTGTGATATAACTAGGCTTGTGTGTGAGGGGTGTGCTGCAAAATGGTTCTGTGATCCAAGTGGGCTCAAGTGTAGTGGATGTGTTGTGGTTTAACTTAGAACTGGTTTCCACTGTAGAGTCACTGGTTGCTGATGGAGACAGAAGTGGGAGCACTGCATTTGTGCTCTCTCTGTGACTTGTAGCTGGTGAAGGAGCTTCACAGCATGAACTAGAGAACAAATCCTGGGACAACCAGCTAGACACAGACTTTTCACCCTCAGATCTGCTTTTTTCAGTCTGTTGTTTCTTCAGGCAGGACCTGACATTTACAGCACATCTGGTCACTGGGCGGTTACTGATGACTGATGCAGCATTAAAACAAAGCTCCTCTGTGGTCTGTGTAAACCTGACTTTTTTGGCAGAGATCTTTGCCTCACAGTCTATAGGTTCCAAGTGTGTATTTTTAAATGGCTTTTCTATTCCATTTTTTGTCACAGAAGAGTTCGTGTGTTTTGAAATGTAACTGTTGTCACATTTGTTGACCCCTTGCTTATCACAAAGTTCTTCCTCAGCTTTGTGATTATCTTGAGATTCAAATAAATCTTCGGAATAACCCAGTTCACTGTCATGGCCATTTTCTTCTAGCCAACTCTCCGCTATAATTTTACTTACATCCGCCACTGAAGAATTAAAATCATGTGATTCTGTTTTATTTTCACTCCTTTCTCTTTGATGATCAGTACACCGTTGAAGTGAGGGAAAATAGTTTTTGTATTCTGGCACGGGTTCATGCTGGGTTGAAACAGGACTAGGTAAGCTAGGGTGAAAAAATATTTGTTTCATTTCAGGTCCTTGCCATTTGTTGTGTGCAAGTTTGTGGTCAAGTGAATCTTGTTGCCTGCATAAGGTTTTGCTGTCAAGTGAATCTTTGTGCATGCATAAAGTTTTGCTGTCAAGTGAATCTTGGTGCCTGCGTGAAGGAAGCTTAAGACATGTGCTAGCGCCTGGGTTAGAAAGCTCAACCTTATGGCATGTGTGGTCTTTATTGTCATCGGCTGTGACAACATCAGTGTCAGCTGTGACAACATCAGTGTCAGCTGTGACAACATCAGTGTCAGCTGTGACAACATCAGTGTCAGCTGTGACAACATCAGTGTCACCTGTGACAGCATCAGTGTCAGCTGTGACAACATCAGTGTCGGCTGTGACAACATCAGTGTCAGCTGTGACAACATCAGTGTCAAGATGCTTGGGTGGCTCTCTAGTGTGGGAAGTGACAGGACTCTCAAACATGTCCTCAGAGCAAATGTCTCCATCTTCAAGCGTGAGGATGGTCTGAAGGAGAGATTCAGTTTCCTTACAAGCTTTCACCACCAAAGAGCTGTTCTCTAGTTTGTTGGAGGTTATCTTCTCACCCACTGCTGGTGACAGGGAACAGTTCCAGGTCAACTTGTTGATGGTTCCTTCCTTAGACATGTTATGTGTCAACTTGTTGATGGTTCCTTCCTTAGATATATCTGTCAAAAATTTTGAAAGATCCTCTGAATCTGGTAGCTCAAGAATTTCACTTTGGTCTGCTTCAGTATTGCAACTTTGATCTAACAATTCTTGTGCAACATCTTCAGTATTGCAACTTTGATCTAACAACTCTTCTTGTGCAACATCTGAACTTCCATCAGGAACAAGCACACCATTTAATAATTCATGTGAAAAATCTAGACTTTTATCAGGGACTAGAACATTATATGATGGTGTATCTAAACTTTTATAAGGAGCTAGTAAATAATCTGACATTTCATGGGAGGTATCCAGAAGTTGTTCAAAATCTGACAACCCAGGTATTGTGAACTGTGTGCTGTGGAACTTGCGCGATCGTCTTAAAGTTATATTACTGGAAATGAATTGGGCATTAACTGCACTTAAGTTTTGATCACAATCTTCAGATACCTTATCTATAGTGGCATTGGATATTTCTTCTTTCTTGTCATAGGCTAGTTCAGGCTGTTGTGTAGCTTGACTTACACATTCACTATGTCTATTTACACCATGTGCCAACTGAGTGCTAATGCCAACATCTGAAGTATTAAGAAATGTATCCAGTCCTTCTGATTCAGGCATATCTAACATTGTAGGATCGCTACAAAGTATTTCCTTCACACCTTTGGTGGAAAGGTCTAATTCAGCAAGGTGTTGAGATGAATCATTAAAAACAGATTGAGATAATTGCTTTTCACAATTTTTAGCTGCGTTCTTCTGTGGCTCTTTTGTTGAGCTGCGGTTCAACAGTGAATCATAACATGACCAGGGCATGTTCACTTTTCTGTCTGAAGTTTGTTCCACTCTCTCAGACAAAGATATGTCTTCAAGTTTACAATGTCCACTTAGATGAGAGTTTTTGGATGTACATCTATCTCCCTGAGCCTTTGTTTTCTCAAGATTTTGATGCTGCAGCTGATAACTTTTAACACACCATGTTACATTATCCTTTTTACTTGGATCTACATTTTCAATACCAATCTCTTCACCACCAAAGCTTCCTCTGCTACTAGAATACTGTTCCACACTGCAACATTTTATAGACTGATTTAAAATTACTCCCTTACTGTAGTTATCATTTTCTGTTGTCTTGTTCAATAAATTGTCTAAAAGATTTGTTGACTTGCCAATTAAACATTCAAGTTTTTTAACTGGTGTGATTTCACTTTTATTTTCAACATTAGCTTTGCTGTTGGGTGATTTGGGATTGTTGTCATAATTTCTGGAAACTTTACTATCATTCAAGGAATTATCACAACTTAAAGCAACTGAACTTTCATCCTCTATTACACTGCAGCTACTAGACACTGAAAGACACATCCCTGATAAAGTATCAGCATTTAAAATTATACCAGTTGGCTGAATATCTCTTGTACTGCATAGACGGTACAGTTTGTACTTCCCCATGCAGTCATTTTCAGACAAATTACATGTCTCTATCTTGGTTAAAATTGCTTGTAAATGATCAATGACAGTGTGTGTGAAGGTAGAATTTGTCTGGTGTAAAATCTGAACTGCGATTAAACATGGTAATGTTCTAGGAAAACTACTATAACTAGCTAGCTTGGATTCACAAATATCTTTAAGTGTCACTATCTCGTTGTGGTTTGGTAATCTGGCTTTGAACCCAAAGATCAAGTTCTGCCCAATGAACGTTTTCTCCACAGCAGTCTGCAGAATGACATCACTTGCCTGGCCATATTTTTCTCTCAATTTGAGAACATATCTGAAGAATGTAAAAACAAAGTGTTGCTTTGTAAATAAACTTACTAAATGAAATTTAATCATTGTACTTCATACATTTTCTTCACATATCTATGACTTCTTTTATCTGTTCAAACACTCAAACTTTTAGCACATTTACTTACTTATGATAAAATTCTGAGCAAGAGGAACCAAAAAAACGATCCAACATCCCCCCAAATGAAGTGACTTCAGCTAAACAAGTGCCATCACTTATTGTAGCATGCAGGCTGTACCGATAATAAGCTTCAACTGGATAATAGGTGACATTGCATTTCTGACATCTAAAAGGAATGTACAGTTTTATAATATTTCAGCTTTTAATCTCTTATAAGTATTGTCAGATACAAAATTTTATATAGAGAAATAGTATGACTGTTATTTTACAAAACATACAATATCATTTTTAAGTTACATATACATGGAATTAAAATGTTTTCTCTAAATTAAGACAGGTTTTCTATCTTACTGGAACAAGTCTGCATCTGAAGTTAAAAGTTTAGAGTAACACAGCTGACACGCTGGATAAAGAAAAGAGTTGTTGCCAACTTCAGTAATGGTTGCTGCGATGAGTACCCTGCCAGATGATGCCATTATACAGCAAGTTATCCAACCACTGTTTGCTTTGCTTCATCATTAATGTGTCTGTTATAATTCTGGAACAGAGAAATTTTTTTTATTTAAATTAGCCAGTTCATGCTCTAACTGAGCCTAATAAGCATTAAGGACAGTAACTAGAGTCTGGAGAACGTCCTTGACTGAGTCCCTCAGCTTCTGATGGGTACCTCTACTTTGCTTCTAACATCCATATGGGCCATAGGCCTATATATTTATTAATATTAACTTCTGGTTGGGGAGTTCTCATTTTTGCATGTCATCAGATTTATATTTAATTTATTTTTAATTTTTAGTCAATTTAGTAATTTAGTTTTAGTCATATAAACTAATATAGTAATAATTAGGGCCTATTAATATTAAATTATGGCAATCTATCATTTAAGGTGCTTAAAATCGGCTGAGGTTAGTAATGTGCGAAAACGTTGCCTCATTGTTAAGGACTTATTAGAAGTATTATACAGTATATATTATATAGGTAATCTATCGTTTTAGGTACGTAAAATCGCCCGCGACTAGTAATGTGAAAAACAGGTGACTCCTTACATTTTAATAATAATTTCGCATTTTAATGAGGATTTATGTTTTGAAAAATATAAAAATGTTTCCTTGTTTCATTTATGTACCTGTTTTAAAACAATTGAATTAAAACTTTTCAGTAATAAATGAACACCAGCGATGTTTCCAACAGATGCAACCATACTCATTTACTACAGCAGCCATCTTATTAAAGTTTTATTTTTATAGACTTATAGCGAGATTCAGGCGGAAGTCACTCTATTTTACAAATGGCTGCTGTTTATATAGCAAATCTTGCTTGCAGACACTGCTGTTTAAAGTTAATTTCCGGCCTATATTGATGTATTTAGCCATTGATTTAGGTTTATTATTCATTTATCTATAATATTTGACACAAACATATCACAATATACTTCTATTACAGCCTTGACAATGAGGTAACGTTTTCGTACATTAATAGCCGCGGGCGATTTTACGTACCCAAAACGATAGATTACCATTATATATTATATATATTGTGATATATTTGTGACAAATATATAACTGAATAATAAATTAAAATCAATGGCTAAATAATACTAAATATATTAATAGGCCTATAGGCAAGAAATTAACTTTAAACAGTTGTGTTTGCTAGCAGGATTTGCTATATTATATAAAAAGCTACCATCTGTAGAGTTAGATAGAGTGGTCTAACCTAATGGGAATGGGCATACCAAATAATTGGCAATAGTGTTACTAGATCTAATACTAACTGTTACTAGATCTAGTACTCCTAGTGTTAATTTAATATGGTCCTATTATGATATATAAACTATTAGTATTATTAGACAACATAAACATTAAACAGACTGTAGGCCTATTGTTTGTTTACATTTTACATGTTTTTTTTTCATTTTCAGCCTCGGTTGAGCTAGTTCTAGTAGTCGCGACACACAAAAATAACAAAACGTCGGCTATAAAACATAAAAACAAGTCAAGTTTTTAATTGTGTTGAGTAGAAAATATGAAATGTAAGCTAATAAATAATATATTAATATTTATATTATTTGTAAATTTGTTTAAATTAGCCAAATAATTTAAAGTTTTATTTTCTTTGATAGGTTTCTTGAAAAAGAGTCCAAATATTCAATATTGTATGTGCTATTTATTTTTTTGCCAAAAAAAAAGTTCCACATCTTTTGACTTTTAGTGTAGCCTGCTTTTCATTTGCTTTGAAATTATATATTCGTTCTTCTTGTAAAGTAATACCAAATTTCGATTATCATTGAATTCATGAATCATAGTATAGTAGACTATGTGACTATATCATAGAAGCAATTAATTAGATATTAATTAATAATATATTATTAGACTATTGTTAGTTTTAGTAGGCTACTGAAAAAAATACTTTTGGTATTTAGTAGGCCTATTTAGTTTAGTATGTAGATTCTAGATCTAGTAGGTGGGTTTCTGTATTATTTGGGCCTATGGCCTATTCTAATTTAGTAGGCTAATTTAATTAAAATTTAATAATTTTATTTTATTCTTAGATTATTAGGCCCTAGATATATTATAGATTATAGATCATATAGAATTATACTATAATTTATAGATTCTATTTTTAGATTGACTTTTAGGACGATTTAGGTTCTAAATTCTTGGAAAATATAATATTAAATAAAAACTGACACATTTCAAAGTTCTTAGTCTTTTATCTTTAATTAAACACCCTAAACCTGTCCCCCAAAACTGTTTAGTTTAGTAGGAACTTCAAGTTATGTAGATTTTAATAAATTTAAATTAACGTGAAATGGCATAAAGACATAGATCTAGTTACTATGACTTGCTGTCCTCAGCTCATTGCAACAATAATGCAACCACGTCCACATGTACTGCCCACATTTATCACGCTCATTACATAGGCCTATACACTATACATAGTACATAGGTTCCAAACAGAAAGCAGGTACAATACCATACAAGGCTGTCGTTGACGCAAAATGTCAACAACACACAATACTGACTGTTGAGAAGCCGACCTAGGAAAGGCCTACGTCAAAAACATGCAAAATACAATGATGTGCCTAAATTAATAAATTTCTTTAACTTTTATAATTAATTTTTCTACCGCACTTTTAACTAGATCTAAATACATAACAAAAGTTTAAGTTGCTGTGTAGATTATCTTATAGTATTTTTACTTATTATAATTGCTTTTAAAGTTTTCAAATATGATACTAAAAAACACCACCCGATAAAGACCCAAAATTTTACAATTCACAACAATTAATTTAAAATATTTCTAAAAGATTTTTGTGACTTTTTCTGTTGCTTTATTTCTGTGACTTTTTCCCTGATAAAATCTTTCCTTTGTATTTTTTTGCCTGTGACTTTTTTCCATTCACCGAGGGCATACTGTATTAAAAGCTCTGAGTATACATTAATCACCCACCAAACATCTTAAGTTTATTTTTATATACCATACTCGCACGCCCCTCCAAAATGTTTACTTTCCTAGCTTCACAAAGTTTCATTTCAATCGGATTAAAGATGTAAAAGGACAGGCAAACATACTTTCATTTATATATATATATATATATATATATATATATATATATATATATATATATATATATATATATATATATATATATATATATATATATATATATATATATATATATATATTGTTTTTACAATTGTAGACATACAAACCAGATGGTTTACATTGTTAGCTGTTTCTTGTTATCACTTATTTTATTATTATTTTTATCATAGCATGGGCTGTCAGGTACAATGTGTAATTTTGTCAAACAGTAATAAAAAAGTATTATAGCAAAATATTTAAAAATTGTGTTTCACAGTATGGATGACATAGATGGAGATGAAACCCCTCTGGTTGAGATTTTTACTGTCAGGTATAGTTTTGGTTTTTGTACACTTCTGTGTGGTGTTAAACAGGATAGGGACTATCATATTTAATACACTCTACAACAGACTCTAGATTTAGCTTACACTACAAAAGAGAATTTACTTGGAAGTTTCCAGTGTTGTGAAAAAATGTTATCATGGGTAGTTACAAGTGCTAGATTGAGAACAATCAGTGTGGAGTATAAGAAATAATTTTTTACACTAAACAGAGGGTATAATTGTAAATATATTAACTAGTTATTTTTTCCTGATCTTTAAACAAGTTTTATTCACATAAACACTTAATTTTCACTGAGCGAATCTAACATGTTCTGTTGTAGTGCTGAGATCACCACCCACAACAACTTTGAGAACAAAACTGCTAAAACATATGAGAATGTCATTCCTGATACATCTGAGAACATCATCCCAAAATCCTCTGAAAATGTCACCATCAACACCCCTGAGAACATCACCATCAACACCCCTGAGAACATCACCTTCAACACCCCTGAGAACATCACCTCCAACACCCCTGAGAACATCACCTCCAACACCCCTGAGAACATCACCCCCAACACCCCTGAGAACATCACCAAAGATATGTCTGAGAATGGCGACCCCAACACTGAGTCTTTAGTTAACCATTAATGTCCCATTCATTCTACCAAAACTCCACCCATGACGGCCCAATGTAAGGAGCATAACTCTGTATGATCAAGTGAATAGTTTCACAAAATATTTGTTTTTGTCTAAATGAAATTGAAAATTAAGATAAAAACTACTGCTTAATGTTGGGCATAAACCTGGCTTTCCAACAGTATTAAATAGAATATATTATATTCGGTAAAAGTACAGTATAAAAATAAAAAATGTCGGAGAAAATTCAAAACAGGTCATTTTCGGTAGTCAACTTTATTTATTTTTGTCTAAACAACTATGCATCGAATTTAACAGTTAAATATCAATTTGGTTATGTTTAACATATATAATTCATAAAATACATGCCTAGATACGTTTAGAGGCATTAATTTTTTTTATTTTTAATATTAAATCTACTAAAAATACGACAGATGAGTCGAAAATTTCGAGATAGAAAGAAACTATTATTTTTTATCTTTCAAAAGCGCCATTGAAATTAGAAGGCCGGAAAAGGATGCTGAAACCATCCGACTTCCTGTTTAGTTAAAAATTAGGATTTGTAGGCCAAATTTTAATGAAACAAATTTAATTTTTCTATGCGTATTGTAAGCGGGCGGCAGCGGGCGTTACGGGACATTAACGGTGTCGGGCGGCAGCGGGCGTTACGGGACATTAATGGTTAAACTAGATATGCCCAGGTAAAACTTTGTCAAGGCATGCATATATAAATTACAGATAAAACAATAACTGATTATAAATTGTGTATTTTTATTTTGATGTCTGTCCTACTGAGTTCATTCAACCACCTGAATTTGTCTATTTTACATAAGTCTCTCAGAGTTAGCTCCCTAGTGCATAGATATCTTTTTGAGTTTGCCCCTCCTATATTAAGTAGGTTTTCTGTTCATCTTAGGTGGGTGATTCAGTTTTGTTAGGTTTTCTGTTCATCTTAGAAGAGGTGTAACATTTTAGTTTTCTTCATTTAATTCCATAAAAACTCTGCAAAAACTAAAAAAAAACCAATGTATGTTTAAGTTTAAATAAAATATTTTTCCACAGAGCTACAGAGAAGCATAGTCTCAGTGATCTCTATCAAACTTTGGAGAATTATAAAACTATAGAAAACTGTATCATCACAAATGGCCATGTCTTATGGCTTTTATTTCGCTCAAAAAAGGTTAAGTGTACAGAAGTGGCAAGGCAATTACAAGCTGAACTAAACCAACAATCTAATCCTCCTGTATATAGCACAAAAACATTGGTGGCTAAAATAAGTAAATGTTATCAACAATTTAGTACATTTAAGAAAAATTTAAGTCGTTTATCATATTGGTTGAATATTTTAAAATATTTAGGGAGTGAATTTGTGGTTAATAGTAGGCCTAAAAGATGGGCTAAACATTCAAGACAGATTGACTTATTAACCGAACAATTAGGCACTCCAGTTACTGACATGAGACTTGATTGTGAGAAATGTTCCTTAAGCAGAACTTCCAACCAGAAATTCTCCATGGAGGTTGAACAAGTGAGAAAAAAGATTTTAGAGGTTAAGAAAGAGACTGATCAAATTCAGAGGGAGTACTCACCACGTGTGGTCAAGCAGAAACTCAAGAGGTTGGAAGAACGCATTAACAAGAAAAATGTGGAATTAAAAGACTTACAAAAGCTAAGCCGCACTCAAAGTAGGAAAATTTTTCAGCTGGAAAAGATAAAAGAGAAACAAAAAATGAGATTAAAATTTGTAAAGAGTAGGTATTTAAAATTGTGTGCTGAAAGATTAGCAAAGAATATTGGGGAACATAGTTAACTTATAAATGATAATTCACTAGAGATGGCGTAATGGATGGGACTTACACAGTGAAACATAAGACAAGTGTACATTCCATATCTCCTATTACTATGTTATTAAACTATTTGTTTAAACTTGTTCCATTATTTTTTTTTATTCTTGTTTGTACTTTTTAATTATCCAAGAACGATAATCAGTAGTATAGTAGAGTATTGGATTTATTATGATTAACCAGCTGTGGATTCAAAAGGGTTGAAGCAGTAGAGTTCATTAACATTGAAAGCATACAGGAGGACCGTGGTTAGCAGCCAAACTTAGAAATGATGGGAAAAGAAAGAATTAAATCTCCTATATATAGCTAGACATTTGACACATCCTTGTGATGTTAGAACTGGTTCTCCCCCTTGTGCTAAAGATGGATTCCACCTAATACAAAACTTGTTTGTCTACTCCTGGATTTGTATTTGACATCAATAATTTTTCCCTTGTATTTGGCGGTACGGAACATTACCCCCTCCCAGTTAGGGTTAGGCTTAAACCAATGTCTAGTTTTGGTTTTGTGTTTTAGGCTGAGGTGGATGCTTAGGTTTTGGTTTTTTTCTTAAGATTAGGATTAAGGTAATATATAGGTATAGATCTAGAATTCTAGTAATAGGATTCTAACTTGAGGGAGGGGGGGGGGGGGTAATGTCCTGTAGCCATATTTGGCATCCATTATTGGTTATATATTGTATTTGGCATACAGTATCAATTACACAATGTATGTGAAATCATGTTGTATCCATTACACAATGTATTTGGCATCCAGTATTGATTACACATTGAGTTGAACAAGATCAAGCGTTGACCAGTAGTTAACAGTCTAATTTGTTTAAAACACGTCTTGGAAATCTAGATCCCAGGCTAAAAAATCAAAATTGTGCAAAAAAAATTGATACTGGTGCCTAGGTTTATCAGAAAGTTATCATTATACATAAACATATTTCTATTCGTTTGGATGGGTAGTGTTTTTTTTTTCTATTTCAACCATGACTTCTCTCAGGTATTTGATGTGTGAATAGGGGGGGTTATCAGAGCTTTTAATTATTTTAAAGTATATATTTTCTATTTCTTCCTTAGGAGAGAGCAATGGTCGTGCTCCGGGGGTTAGTGGACGGGGAGTTCCCTGAGAGATACAATGATTTTTCAACTATGTACTTTTTGTGGTGTATCACAAAATTTGAGACGTAGAGGGCAACTACTCTACCAAATTAATTCTGATTTCTAATTACTGAGTTACGCCCCTCTTCAAAGTTACGTTTTCAAATTCTGGATTCTAAGAAAGTAGGGAAAAAAACATAGGCCCAAGATAATTTAGATAATAAAAGAAACTTCCTTTGGTAAAAAATTATGGGGGCTCATAAAATCTTTACAGGCACCAATGCTATTACTAAAAAATATACATTTGTTTTATTTATTTTTTATTCTTAGTGCATTTAAACTCAAACACTTCATACTATTACGTTTTTTTTAAAAAAATATTTTCTGTTTGAAACTACTCCAACTCAGGGGCGTAGCGAGGGGGGGGGGGGTGGACCGCACCGGGTGACACTAGTTAGAGGGTGACACTAAGGCAAAAATGAGAAAAATGATAATTCCACTTAATTAAGTGATTAATTCGAGTACGTGTTAAATAGTCTTTTAAGAGGTGCAAATCGAAAGTTTGAGGGGGTGGGGTGGCGCAAATCGAATATTTGTCCCCGGGAAGGGTCGCTACGCCTCTGGGGTGACACCATTAAGTGCCGCACCGGGTGACACCCGGCCTCGCTACGCCACTGCTCCAATTTCAAGGAAAAGTGTTTCTTTCAGACTTTTTTCTTTGGGGGGGGGGGGAAGGGGGGGGGGCACTTGAAATTTTTGGAGGCAGGGCGGAGTAAATTTTCCATGGGTGGGGCCGAGATTGGTAAAGTATTTTATTTTCTATATAGATTTTATTTCTTGGGGGGGGGGGGGGGCGCCCCCACCCCGAAGAGATGCATGGAAGAAACTGACAGGGAACGTGAGAGTAAAAAACGATAACCTATAAATATGAACGGAAAATCCCATTGCATGGAAATGTTTGTACACTGGCGCTACCATGTCATGGACTCAAAACATTTGAGCGTGTCTGTCGTAAAATACTTCGGTCAAACTTCCTCTTTTAAATGTTTTAAAATCAAGGACTTCTAATTCGATTAAAACATGCAATGCTTTGTGTTTTGCACCCACCTCAACACCTGCCCATACGTTTTTATTTTTGTTACCCAACCATGCACTTTCGTAATGTCATGAATGGCGTGTTTCTCACATCACGTGAATGAACCAATGAAAATAATGATGCAAGTATTCTATTTTAAGAACTGGGTTACAAGGAGTTCCTCCTCCCTTTTTACTACGACAGCAACGTGTAGCGTGCTTTGTTTTTTTTTACAGATTACCAAGGTACGCTACTCCTGCGTCTCAGGTTAATCTCAGAATAATACAAATTTAAAACTGTAATACATCTGTATACCTGTAATAGATCTGTGAACCTATAATAGATCTGTACTCATTGCTCAGCAGACACAAGTTTGTACCGTGAGTATTATTTATATTTCATGTGTACATACAATAGAACATTAAGCTTCGGTGTATTTTCATATGTGAAACGTTAACGTACAAATCAGTTTAAGAGATACCTATGTAGCATATATACAGAGTTTCTTTCTAAGAGATACCTATGTAGCATATATACAGTTTCTTTCAAACACCCCATCGGGGGGGGGGGAGGGTCTGCTCCCCAGGAGCACGTATATCATCCCCCACCCCCGGACGAATTAGAAAAACATGTGTATATAGAAAACATATAATACAAACTGTGTGTGCACCCCTACCTCCGGAAATTTTTAAGTGTGCCCATTAGAAAGTTTCATCCCCTCCCTGCCACACCCCCCCCCCCCCCGTATAAAAATGTACGTAAGTAACCCTGAGTGAAAGAGTATCATATCGCACTGGTCGCTAGATGTACCAGTTACACCACTACTTGAATGTGTTGACTAAAGAATGTTATCACCTTAAATACTTTCGTTGGCGGCTGTCTTAAGATTTCAATTTTTTTTTTTAATTGTTCATCGTAGAGGAGGGCAATGGGTGAGGATTTAGTTTTTAAAAACGCCCTCCCCCCCATACACACACCAAGGTCAAACCGGATGTTATTCTCATTTAAGGACGCGTATGATGACATATTTAATGCACACACCTGTCATAGGCTGTTGGAGTTAAGCAGCCACGATAAAAGCTGATGCAGCTGTTAAATCTCCAGGTGATAATGATATGTTAATGAGTAGCTAATCGACTAAAGTCTGTATTTTCTGTGGGACTTGAATTAATTTGCCTGTAATTAGCTGAGAGCTTATGTAAACGTTTTGACAATTTGAAACCGTTACTCTATATTGGCATATGTTGAAGAGTAGGCTGAGTGAATATGCAAGCACAGGGGAGAGGGGAGGGACAGTCTACGTTGGAAGCTGACATCTGTAGCCATGATGCTGTTGTCAAGGAAACAGCTCATCATTGAGGGCCAACAAAATACTCACCAAATGTCGGCTACAGGGCGTGCACACGGCTAAATTAACAATATAAAATGGTAGGCCAACCAAGTGATAATTGGATGGCCAAACAAGTGATAGTTGGAAGGCCAACCTAGCAGAGGCGTAGCTAGGGGAGGGCGGGTGGGGCAGCCGCCCCGGGCGCCGACCCTAATGAGGTGCCAAACTGGGCAAAATAATAATTAAAAACTTAATTCTGAGCATTTACTGAATGATACACGGTTGAATTTAAGAAAATAGACTACTGCTTTGCTTTCCTGACTGACATAACTGTTTTCAGTTTTGTTACATCACAATGTGGTTCAAATTTGATAGTTCGCCCCGGGCGCCAGAATGAGTCGCTACGCCCCTGCAACCTAGTAATGATTGGAAGGCCAACCAAATGATAATTGGGAGGCTAAACGAGGGATACTTGCCTTTAGACGCCTGTTAGATTGAGCAGATTGACCTTGACCCAACCTTGAATAATTGCTGCGAGCGCCCGTATGAATAGGTCTATCACTGTTGTTGTAAAATCTACTTTGCCAATGAACTTTCGATAAAAACTTATCTATAAAAAAGTCAAGATATTGTAAACATTGTAAAGTGGTTGAGATAACTACCAAGATGTAAGGAAAGCGTCGTACAGGTGACAAACCGTTCTTAGAATATAACTTATCTAATGCTTTGAAAAAAAAGGTACTCCAGATCGAGGCTATCAATAAAATTTGACCACTTTTGTTGATTTCAGGTTCAAAAAACCTCTCCGTACTTAAATACATACGTTTCCATTTATCTCCCTTTGTACCGTTTATCTCCCCTGACTAGAATAATTGTTGAGACTATTAATTTAATCCTAAAAATCTATTTGGGTTGAGGTGGTGTCCCATCGTTTCCAGCTGCTATGGTCAGTATGGTGAACCCATAGGATTGAACTCAGCACCAAATAACCTGTACATTACAGTATACTAATATCAACCCCAAAAAATCCAACTTTAAAAACAAGCCCATTAAATCATGGACAACCTAGAAGAAATCAATGACCATCTTACTTTATGCAGATTTTCCCCCAACTCCCTTTCCATACACGCCATTACAAACGTCGCATTTCTTTATCCCTAACCTCGCCCATGAAAAACATCATCATTAACGTCAGAAATCTCTTCACCCCCCCCCCCCCCCTCCCACCTTTAAAAAAAAAAGAAATGACGTCAGAGGCGTAGCGACCCTTCCCGGCGCCCGGGGACATACTTTCAATTTGGCGCCCCCTTGGGAGCAAATTTTCGATTTGCACCCCCCCCCCTCGAACTTTTCATTTGCACCCCCCCCCTCGAACTTTTCATTTGCACCCCCCCCCCCCCCTCAAACTTTCAATTTGGCGCCCCCCTAAGGTCGGCGCCCGGGGACATGTCCCCCCCCCCCGCCCCCCCCCCCCCCCTCGCTACGCTACTGAATGACGTCATTTATGACCACCTTCACGTACTACGACATTCTACTAGATCTACTACTCTAGCGATAGCCTATTTATACCATGAAGCGGGGAGGGTGAAAGAGCAACCGGAAATAAACTGAACTTTAACCCACGTGTTATCAGCCACCTCGAGTCTCGTCGTTTCTTTCTGTTATAAAGTTTATTGTTTCGTAAACATCTCAGGTCGAGTTTTATAGCGCAGGTTGGTTGTTTATTTCAATTAATAGGACTGGATCATTTTAATTATTTATGTTTTTAATTATTGTAGTGATATTTTATTGCGTACTTTTCAAATATCAATGTACATGTATTATTAAAATTGTAAACCGATAGTTGTATACAAACTTTAAAATAAAATGTAGGATATTTTTGTGGATTACTCTGTGTGTGATTTCAAATGTGAATACGGTAAGATGAGAAGCATGCTTAATAATACACATCTACTTAGGCCTACTAGTGCCCTAAGCGTGTGGGGGGGGGGGGGGGGGCAATAAATGACATGCACTCTAGAACGTTGTGGACGGGAGGAGGATTGAAGAGAATAAATGGTGGCAGTTTTGACAAAAATACTTAATAGCAAGTGGATAAGCTACGAGTATCAAATCAAAGAAATTAAAACAATAACAGCTTTTTCCGATTTTCTATGCTAAACAATGACTGTCATTAAGTCATTAAGTGGGGTTAATAAGTCTTACATTGAGATAAGAGTGGCGTGGTCGGGCAGGAGTGCGCATCAATAAGAGGCGTAGCTATGAGAGGGCGGGTGGAGCGGCCGCCCTGGGCGCCGAACCTAAGGGCACCAAAAGGGTAGGGGGGGGGAAGCTAATTCTGAGCAGCATCACTGAATAACATAGTGGAAGTTAAGCAAATAGTCTGGTACTTGGTTTTACGGACTTATTTAACTTTTGTCCACAATATGTTGTGACACTGAAAATAAAAGTGTTAGCCTAAGGGTCAGTCACTAGTTGAAAGCGTCCCATATATTCCAGCCAGAGGATGTGTTTACCACGATGGTCAACCATATGTCAGAGTACCAAAACGGCCTCCATATCATTCCCTTTATTAATTTCCTGGAAATTTTAAACAGTCGATAACTCTACTCACAATGTAATCGTGGCTACCTTTCAGCACTGTAACACATTGTTAAAAATCGAAACTCTACTTACAATTAATGTAGCCGTGACTACATTTCAACAGTGTTACATTATAACTTTGTTGAAAATTAGCAACAACACGTTTAGAATCTTTGTTAAGCAGTGACAGACAAGTTGTCTTTTGAGCCGTCTTGGTTTACAACAAAAATATTTTAAAATATTCTTTTGTGACTTTGTATACAGCATAATGAAGTCCCTTTAAAATGAGTTATCACTCTTAGCATCTGGTGCGCAATCATTTCAATAAAAGTTTCTTTGATCAAACGCTTTTCTTATGTTAGGTAAATGTCAATCAACTACCAACAGTTGCCGATGTACATCAAATGGGTTTTTTATTTCTTGTCAGCTGTAGGATGACTGGTCTCTCATATTAATTTTTTTTCGTTGTAAGCAATCAGACATCATCACTAGTCAAGTAAACCATACCCCCACTAACCTAGAATCTACAAACGGTAATCCCTGAAAGTAAGCCGGCAGCTAACACTACACGGAAATACCCTCATAATACTCATACATGCCCCGCCAATTACAAAACTCGAATTAAGTTTTTAAATGAAATATTGAGCTTGTAGCGTACACTTTTTTTTTGTAGTCCTACTTTATTTTGTTTACAAAATGCCCATTCCACAAGAGTGGCGCCTGTCTGTTTATAGGTCATTCTTTGCACGTGACTGTCTCGGGTGACGTCAACTGTCGCACTCAGGACTCAGAGAAATCGATGGCTCGCCCGCCGCTCGTTTGGGCACGAGTGTAGAAAACGAGGGCAAGAGAGCATCTTTCTCGATGTCTCGTGGACTGAATAAATTTAATAAAACCTAACATTTTTTTAACGTTTTCTTAGCGTTAGTAAAACGTTATCTTAATACTCGATTTAGCTACATCAAAATTAAATATTTACACACAAAACAACGTCATCTGTATAGCGGTGAGTTGTGTGTTATTATCTGTGTTGTAGGCCTAGTGTGGTGTGCTTGTTTTTAACGTTGAGTTTTCTCTTGCGTTTGTCCCAGCTGAACGAAGATTTGGTTTAGAGAGTAGAGGACTCAACAGGCGGCCTGTTGTATCTGTGTAGTGATGTGTAGTATGTAGAACTACAAGCGAACAGCGTGTTGTCTGCTCGAGTGTGGCCGTGGGCTGTGGGAAACATGCATTTTAATTTAAAATTAATCCTGTGTCCTTGCTATGCCGATTAGACATCACATAGTATTCTCTATTTAGTCTATTACAGATGTCTGGCATTCGACTCTTCAGAAATTAGATGTTAGGTTGGTATTGGGTAGAGAGTAGGGTTTGGATTAACGTTATGATATTATTATTAAATTAGTATTTATTAGCCAGTCACATTTGTACTTAGTTAATTGCCAGTAATTTAAAACTTCTTTAAGAAGATTAAGTAATTATGGCATTACCAATGAAGTCACTAGGTCGGGTGTCACCCGGTGCGGTAACTGAGGGTGTCACCCCACCCCCTTCCATCAGTTTTGCATTTTCGGTTTGGTGTCACCCTTCTTTCCTTAGTATTTTGCTATCTTAATTGGATAAAACATTGTTTTGACGGTACATCTTACAATTTTTCGTCAAGGAGTTACCCGGTGCGGAACGTACCTCCCTCCCCCACCTTGTAACGCCACTGGGATTACCGGACGCTGGTATAACACCTACCCCCCCACCTCGTTATATTGAAGGAGATATCCTCCAACACAATTACATGTCCACATGTTATGCGCCATATGACGCGTTGATTCCGACTTTCGTCTTTTTCTTTCTGGATTTGCCTCTTGTAGCCTTTGTCCACCCGAAACTACATGTAGTCTATATGCTTGGCAGCTTTTGGAGTTTTCTCTCTGAGATTGGTTGCTACCCCCAGCTATCGACCTTCATCTGCCTGGGGTCCGTTCTCGGGGCTTTTGGGGTTAGGGGGTTGTCCATATATGACGTCACTCTCCAAGACGGGAGGGGTTGGGTTCGAAATTTTGTGACAATGGAAAAGGGAGAGGCTCAGAAAATGTGACGTCACATTTTTGCATTTAGAAAAAGTAATGTTACGTATTTAACTTCACCTGTTATTTCGCATTTTAAAAATGTTTTTTAAAAATTGTGATAAAAATTGAATAATATACTTTTGTTGACCTAGCTCTGTCAAAATTTTAGAAAGAAATCGATGTTTTAAAAAACGAATTTTTTTTAGTAACGTTGGGAATGGGTGGTAAAAATTGTCAAAAAAGTTTGACGTCATTTAAAGATGACCCCTTAGGGATGATAGCAACCGACCCCCCCCCCCCCCCCCCCCCCAAGCACACTCACACACCCAAACAGCAGATTTTTAAAAAATGGCACTTTTTGTAAGCTAACAAAAAGTGCTTACACCCACCATTAGATTCTGCTGGAGTCAGTGCTGGAAGATTCAGAACCCACCATTGTCATCACTAGCCCAGATCTGTCACCAAAACTTGATACATATCCTTGTAAGATGATAGAACAGTATCATAACAATATTGCTGGGGTGGGGGGGGGGGGCAACTCTTCAGCAACTTCTTTTCAGTTGTAAGAAAAGATAACATTTATTTTTCTTTACTGTTACATGTTTTGTAAAATGGTTGGTTAAAGTACATGAACTTTTATAATCTTGCTGAAATTTCAAACTTCAGAATTGGATTAATTAAAAACATTATCTCTGTGAGGGTGTCAGGATCTCAAAGAATGCACAACCAACACGATTGAGGCTAGGTATCACAGTATCACCTAGTCCCACATCAACCTGTTTGCTTTCACTCCAACTTTCAACTGCCCCCCCCCCCCCCCCCCCGCATAAATTCCCACACACAACCTTTCTCTCGCTCACAACACAGCCACTGTCACCCGACCAGTCGCTTCACTTGTACCCTCGTTCACTCCGTACAACAACATACACGTCAACACACCCGGCCTCGCGTCTCACTACATGATACATACACACATGCAGTGATCCGCTCCATGTATTCACCTTTCATGCACATTACATCACCACAATCTCCTATTGAGTTTTGAAAGCAGGGCCTACATTATCTTCCCCATGATCTAGCCAAACAGGTTCTGGTGCTTGAAAAAGGCTGGCAGTCATCATTGGATGCAGAAAACTTTGTGTAATATCTAATAACTGTCCTTATTAGCCCCAGACAACCTATTGTTGCAACTAATTTATATTTTTATTTATTTTTAATCTTACAGTTTGTGCATCACAAGGTTTTAAGGACAAGAACTCAAATTCTGAGAACATTTAAAGTTTTGTAATTTTTTTGACTTGTAAAAGTAACCTGAACAAAAACAAAATGGAGTATGAAAAGGCTGGTCTCCTACAGGAACAGTTTGTGAAGCAAGCCTTGTTGACTCCAGATGCTGTGGCTGTTGTTAGCCCAGAAGGTGGGTTTCATGTTTAGATGTTGTTGGCACAGAAGGTGGGTTTCATGTTTAGCTGTTGTTAGCCCAGAAGGTGGGTTTCATGTTTAGATGTTGTTAGCACAGAAGGTGGGTTTCATGTTTAGATGTTGTTAGCCCAGAAGGTGGGTTTCATTTTTAGCTGTTGTTGGTACAGAAGGTGGGTTTCATTTTTAGCTGTTGTTAGGCCAGAAGGTGGGTTTCATGTTTAGCTGTTGTTAGCACAGAAGGTGGGTTTCATTTTTAGCTGTTGTTGGCAGAGAAGGTGGGTTTCATTTTTAGCTGTTGTTGGCAGAGAAGGTGGGTTTCATTTTAGCTGTTGTTGGCAGAGAAGGTGGGTTTAATTTTTAGCTGTTGTTGGCAGAGAAGGTGGGTTTCATTTTTAGCTGTTGTTGGCACAGAAGGTTGGTTTCATTTTTAGCTGTTGTTAGGCCAGAAGGTGGGTTTCATGTTTAGCTGTTGTTAGCACAGAAGGTGGGTTTCATTTTTAGCTGTTGTTAGCACAGAAGGTGGGTTTCATTTTTAGCTGTTGTTGGCACAGAAGGTTGGTTTCATTTTTAGCTGTTGTTAGGCCAGAAGGTTGGTTTCATGTTTAGCTGTTGTTAGCACAGAAGGTGGGTTTCATGTTTAGCTGTTGTTAGCCCAGAAGGTGGGTTTCATGTTTAGCTGTTGTTGGCAGAGAAGGTGGGTTTCATTTTTAGCTGTTGTTGGCAGAGAAGGTGGGTTTCATTTTTAGCTGTTGTTGGCAGAGAAGGTGGGTTTCATTTTTAGCTGTTGTTGGCAGAGAAGGTGGGTTTCATTTTTAGCTGTTGTTGGCACAGAAGGTTGGTTTCATTTTTAGCTGTTGTTAGGCCAGAAGGTGGGTTTCATGTTTAGCTGTTGTTAGCACAGAAGGTGGGATTCATTTTTAGCTGTTGTTAGCACAGAAGGTGGGTTTCATTTTTAGCTGTTGTTGGCACAGAAGGTTGGTTTCATTTTTAGCTGTTGTTAGGCCAGAAGGTTGGTTTCATGTTTAGCTGTTGTTAGCACAGAAGGTGGGTTTCATGTTTAGCTGTTGTTAGCACAGAAGGTGGGTTTCATGTTTAGCTGTTGTTAGCACAGAAGGTGGGTTTCATGTTTAGCTGTTGTTAGCACAGAAGGTGGGTTTCATGTTTAGCTGTTGTTAGCACAGAAGGTGGGTTTCATGTTTAGCTGTTGTTAGCACAGAAGGTGGGTTTCATGTTTAGCTGTTGTTAGCACAGAAGGTGGGTATCATGTTTAGCTGTTGTGAGCCCAGTTGGGTTTCATGTTTAGCTGTTGTTAGCACAGAAGGTGGGTTTCATGTTTAGCTGTTGTTAGCACAGAAGGTGGGTTTCATGTTTAGCTGTTGTTAGCACAGAAGGTGGGTTTCATGTTTAGCTGTTGCTAGGCCAGAAGGTGGGTTTCATGTTTAGCTGTTCTTAGCACAGAAGGTGGGTTTCATGTTTAGCTGTTGCTAGGCCAGAAGGTGGGTTTCATTACCTCTATTCACAGTGTAGTTTTACACCTAGAAAATATTTAGGTTCCCCAAGGGTGTGTATAATTATGGTTGAATGTGTAGCTATAGATCACATATGATATCAATGTGTGTCCACAGAGGATTTGATACCACAAGGGTGTGTATAATTGTAGTTGAATGTGTAGCTGTAGATGACATATCATGATATCAACGTGTATCCACAGTGGATTTGACTGGTGGTTGAATGTGTAGCTATAGATCACATATCATGATATCAGTGTGTGTCCACAGAGGATTTGACTGGTGGTTGAATGTGTAGCTGTAGATCACATATCATGATATCAATGTGTGTCCACAGAGGATTTGACTGTAAGTTTTGGCCAGCTGCAGACATGGACAGACATCCTGGCTGTCAAACTACAAACTCTGGGCGTTCAGGCGGAGACTTCTGTGGGGATTTATCTGGAGAAAAGTGTCGACTTTGTGTCTGCCTATATTGCCATTCTCAAAGCAGGTAGGACATATTTCCAACCACACGCCACACAATGTTACAGTATATTTCTAGTATTTATTTTAAGCAATTTAGTTAAAAATTTTAAGTAACATGTTGAATCTACATCGACTTTAAAAAAAATGCTCTGTAATTATTCTTTTCAAGATACATGTTTATAAAAAGTTCAACTTGTAAACATTTTTTAGATCATGTATTATCCACGCATAGGTTTTGTGAGATCATATGAAAATGTATCTAACTTGTGAAACTAAAAGTACATTCATGGTAAAATGTATGATTTATCTCCCTTTAGGTGCTGGTTATCTCCCTCTTGACACCTCTTACCCAACTCCCATGCTGGAGTCAGTGCTGGAAGATTCCAAACCCACCATTGTCATCACTAGCCCAGATCTGGCACCAAAACTTGATACATATCCTTGTAAGTTGATAGAACTCTATCATAACAATATTGCTGGAGGGGGGGGGGGGGGAACTTCAGCAACTTCTTTTCAGTCATAAGAAAAAAATTACATTTATTTTGTTTTTCTGGAACTTTTATAATATTTCTGAAATTTCAAACTTCAGAACTAGTTAAGTTAAAAATACATTATCTCCTACATTTCTTTCCCTCGATCTAGCCAAACAGGTTCTGGTGCTTGAAAAAGGCTGGCAGTCATCATTTGATGCAGAAAACAAGGACAAACAGGCAACTCTACAAGACCCCAAGACTCATCTTGACAGTTTGGCCTACACTGTCTATTCATCAGGCACAACTGGCAAGCCTAAAGGTATATTTTTTGTTCTAATAATTGTTAATGATATGGATTAAAAAACACAGTTTGATTATAATTACTGCATGTAATTGATTGAGTGAATATTTTGTTGTTTTAAATCTGAACCTGTTAAATACCTTAACTGTTGACGATGGTTGGGGATTTAGAAGCAATTTATTTAAAATTGATCTTTATTTTTATGTTTTTTTAATTTAAAAATCCATTTCTCTAGGTATCACTTGCCCACAGCGAGGTGCTGTGTATTCCTACCATCATCGACACACTTACTTCCCTTACTCCGAGGGAGATCGTGAAGCTTGCAACATTTTCTTTGTGTGGGAGATGTTGAGGCCCCTGATGAAAGGGGTCCCCTTGTACATCATCAGCAACCACGTGGTGTACGACCCACCCTTCCTGTGCGACTTCCTGGCTAAACACAGCATCACCCGCATGCTCTTCACCCCCAGCCTGTTGGAGACTGTGGTCAACACTATCTCGCCTGAAACACTCAAAGAAAGCTTCAAAACTGTCCGGTAAGTATACATCACGTAATGCTTTCATTTTTCTGTTGCTGCTATATCTCTTATCATCCACCAAAAGATGTGAATTTTCACATTTAGTTGTTGTGCCAAGTTGGAAATTTATTACATTACAGGGGAGGTAATTCTTAAAGGTTAATAACTCTTCCAAAACCTAATTCTTCCACTTGTGATCTAATGCACAGACAGAAATTAAGCTGTGTTGATTGGGGTTTCAAATAGTCAATGTTGTTATGGATTGTATTGTCCATGTAATTGTGGTTCATGTGGGCAGTAATGAATGGATTGTTGTCCATGTGATTGTGGGTCATGTGTTCAGTGTGATTAAGGATTGTGTTGTCCATGTGATTGATGCTCATGATTTCTTTATTATTGTTGTCTCAATTATTGTAGCTCATTATGTAGGCCTAAGCAGGAGTGTATAGAAGATGACTGTATTGAACTTCCACCAGTTTAGGCCTACTGGTCTGAAAGTGTTATCAGAAAATGTCTTAACATTATTACCATCACCTTTCTGACACCTGGTCCACTTTCTCACTGATCTCTCTCTCTGGCCTATCTGTGAAGATAAATCTTGAGTGAGAACAAGTATCTGATAACCTTAGACATCTTATATCAAAAAGCACATATAATTATAAAGGTTGCTTCAACAAAAATGGATTAATAAATGTCTTTGGTGCTCACATACTGCATACTGACAGTGTAATCAGTCAATAGTTTGGATCAAGTGTAGTTTTATTGCAGATAATTGTCCTGGCCTATATAATTCTCTTGCCATTACAAGAAAATCCTCAGATTAACCTGATAATCCTTAATAAAGAAATCTTCTTACTAATCTTGTGATTTTGCTTTGGTTTTGCAAGTTACTTATTGTTTGATAGACTCAGTTAATTCATTACTTCACTGGCTTATCCCCCTTGTGGAAGGTACCATGTAATTTGTTTAATTCAATAAAAACCAAATGTACATTACATTATAGTTACATAACATCAAACAAGTTAACCATGTTGTAGAGATCATCTGAGTAATTTAAAAAAAAAAATAGTTAGGAACAGTGTGTAAATGTATCAAATAATTTCCTTTTGTTTATCCAGCCAGATTTGGTTTTGTGGGGAAGTGGTGACAACTTCGCTGTTGGATCGCTGCATGACTTACATGCCCTGGGTGCGCTACATAAATCTGTACAGTATATCCGAGTGTCACGATGTAGCTTGTGAGGACTTGAGCCAGTACTACAGAGAGTTTAAGGTACCAGCTCTCATCTTTACATTCATTCATCTAATTCATTCATCTAATTCATTCATCTAATTCATTCATCCAATTCATTCATCATAAACAAACATAGTAAAGGTAATGAAAAATTTAAATCAGAGCATTGGAAAAACCAAATGTTAAATTTAAATAAACAATTCACTTACTTTAGGAATCTTTAATGGCCCGTAAATTTTGCCCCGTGGGTCACATAATGGAAGGGGCAGAGATCACTATACTGAATAAAGAGGGCAAAGTTCAACCAGTAGGAATGTCAGGGGAGGTAAGTTTAAAAAAAAATTGTGGTTCAATTTTAAAGTTAAAAATTAAAAAATCAGTTGCCTCAAAATCACTAATAAGTAAAGCTGTTGATTGTTTGTTATATTAAACATGTGAATATAAATGTATTTAAATATGATAAAAAATGTGCTTTACCAGATCTATGTAAGTGGTCCAGCCTTAGCTAGAGGATACCTCAATAGACCAGAGGTTCAGAAACAAAGATTCATCACCATGGAGGTGGATGGACAACCAAAGTGAGTGGGGGATGAAACATTTTAGAGTGGTCAAATTGTTTGAGATTTTGAGTTTGGGCCACTTGGGCATCTATAATTATTTGTCATACATTTCCCCATATTTAACTTTAATGCCTAAACAATGGATGCTAGTAGCTTACATTAAAAAAAGTAATTGAAGTTCATTAGAAATAAATGTTTTTTGCAGACGCTTGTATCGGACTGGAGACTGGGGTTACATGTTGTCTGGGGGTAGCTTGGAGATCTGTGGCCGTGTGGATTCCATGGTCAAGATACGAGGATACTCCATTGAAGTTCAGGTAACTGTTAAATGTTTACTTCTCAGTTTATATTCCATTGAAGTTCAGGTAACTTTTAAATGTTTACTTCTCAGTTTATATTCCATTGAAGTTCAGGTAACTTTTAAATGTTTACTTCTCAGTTTATATTCCATTGAAGTTCAGGTAACTTTTTAATGTTTACTTCTCAGTTTATATTCCATTGAAGTTCAGGTAACTTTTAAATGTTGCCTTCTCAGTTTTAATCAGCAAAATCCTATGTAGATTATTCAGATGAAAAACTCTGCACACAATTTTTTGACCAGGCTGTTGAGTCATGTCTCCTGTCCCTGCCAATGGTGAAGGCCTGTGTTGTGCTGGTGCGAGGGGATGAAGGCGATGACAAATTTCTTGTGGCTTATATTGTCTGTGAGAGGGAGACCACAAAAAAAGAGGTCAGGGCTGAACTTAAGAAGAGACTGCCCTTCTACATGATACCATCATACGTGTTATTCCTTCAAAGGTTTGTGGGAAAAAACTTGATAAAACCTGTACCCTGCTAATAATTTTACTATTTTCTCATTGCATATCTAAGTTCAAGGTATGTAAGAGTTCTGACCTACTTTCAGTATACCTGTAGTGGCAGCAACAGGAAAGTTGGATAAATCAGCATTACCAGATTTTAACTCCCAGCAAATAGAGGGAATCAGTGCAGAGGGGAGACCATCCACAGTCACTGAGGTGGCGCTGGCAGAAATCTGGATAGAAGTCCTGCAGCTGAAAGAGGTGGACATTCAGGAAAGCTTTTTTGACCTGGGTGGGTGAGTGCACATACAAGTTTTCTCATGCAGCTTTAACGTAGGCATAATATCAAATGTACTGTCTTACTTTAAATGCTAAAGCTAAAAAATCTGCATTTAACTATTGTGTTTATGTGCCAATAATTGCTGTATTTTTTAAAAATAATCTAAATGAGGAAATATCAAACTTTTTAAAATTTATATAAAAATTTAAGAACAATTATTTTTAAAAAATCAACCTTTTGAAATCAAAATATAATTTGGTACATTAAAATTGATTGAATGCCTTCAATGAAAAGTTGGTTTTATCCCTGTAGATTTAATGGATCTATTTGATGTGTCAACAAAGTCAAACTTTTGTTACCCAGTGTAAAAAGCTATACATTTTGTTTCAGACATTCTCTTATGGCCACAGAACTTCTACAGAGAGCAAAGAAAAAGTTTAATGTAAACCTGGCAGTGCGTGATCTCTTCCTGTATCCAACAGTTGCCAGTTTGTCTAAGCTGATTGATGGTCGTATGGCCAGCAGCAATGGAGATGATGCACGTTCAAACACAAATGGTGATCTTTCTGAGCCCACCATAGATTTGAATGCTGAAGTTATTCGCCATGATCAAGGTGTATCAAAGTAAATATTGCTGCTATCTCTTCTAAATTGCTCTAAATTTATTTATTCCTATTATTTACCAATATCCCTTTCAAAAGTTTACTTTAAAATGTAATTATCTTTGATTCTATTTTCAACCTAATTTCAGCCTGGATATGCAGCTGCGTGCCTTCTGGCGTACGTTCCAACATGGCCACCACTTTAATCATGGGAGAGTTCTGTTAACTGGTGCTACTGGGTTCTTAGGGTCTTTTATACTAAGAGAGCTTCTTTTGCATACTAAGGTGAGATTTATTGTATCAGCTAAGACAATTCTAATATATATTCTTTACTACCTAGTACGTATATAATGTGGGGACGATTGTTGGAGTAAAAAACAAAAGCTGACTTCACAGAATTTTTATTTGGTGAATATATTATTTGTTTTCAGCTTCGAGTCTACTGTTTGGTTCGTGAGCTGCCACAAAGATCTGCGCTGGACAGAATTCAGACAACACTGAGGAAGTATGGGATACTTTCCAGTGATAAATCAACAGAGACTGATGACCAGGCTCTCATTGAAGAAGCTTTGAACCAAAGAGCTGTTGCTCTTAGGGGTAAGGCTGTTTTATTTTTACTTTTACAAAATTTGCTTTCATTAAACTCTTAAAATCCAATTAAAGTAACTCATAAGATGTTTAGTAAGAATTTGTTAAATATTGTATTATATCCACACAGTTTGATTTACAAATGAAAGAAAAGATCCTGTTTATTTGCAATTATAAATGTTATAGAATCAATTTTCTCTATAAAAATGTAAGCGTATGTTCTAAGGTAAGCAAGTTTAAAGCTTTAACCTGCTACCTGTCATTTCTTAGGTAATGTTTCCCTGTTACCTGTCATTTCTTAGGTAATGTTTCCCTGTTACCTGCCATTTCTTAGGTAATGTTTCCCTGTTACCTGTCATTTCTTAGGTAATGTTTCCCTGTTACCTGTCATTTCTTAGGTAATGTTTCCCTGTTACCTGTCATTTCTTAGGTAATGTTTCCCTGTTACCTGTCATTTCTTAGGTAATGTTTCCCTGTTACCTGTCATTTCTTAGGTAATGTTTCCCTGTTGCGTCTTGGTCTGAGTGAAGAAGACTATACATACTTATGCACTGACATTGATTTTGTCATTCACTCTGCTGCATCTGTAAATCTGGCATATCCTTACAGTGTAAGTATGAATACAGATGTGTTAATTAACTGTCCCACCCCTTATTTTTATCAATTTAAAAAAAATATTTTTGTTGGGGTTATTGGACTTTAATGTTGTGTTAAACATTAATAGGGTTAAACAAACATCTAAAACACTGCTTTAAAAACTAATTTTAATAGTTTGAAATTTTTCTGGAATATAGATCTAACATACGATTTGATTACACAGGAAATTGCTTATTTATTTTAAAATTTTAAATTACTAATTAATATTTTTCTGATATTTAAAACTAATTAAAATTTTCCAGGCACTACATGGACCTAACGTCATGGGCACAGCTAATGTAATACAGTTTGCCTCAACTGGGAAGGTTAAAGCTTTACATTATGTTAGGTATATCATTGTCTAATAATATAAACACCATACAACATTACATTATTCATATCTGTTTAAAATGTCTATTGTTGAATTAAATTCGTGCAAAAATACCAATGGTGAAAATTTTAACATTTGCTTTTTAAACTTGAATGAGATGAAACTCCAGCAATTAAAAACCCATATGGATAAGAAGTTACAAATTAACAGCAAAATAAATGACTTGTCTCCCCATAGCACCAATGGAGTTTTCCCCCATGGCATGGTAAGGTGTAAGGAAGATGCAGACATCTCAAAGTTCTCTGACAAGTTAACTGATGGCTACTCCCAGTCCAAATGGGTTGCTGAGCAGCTGGTAGCAAGAGCTAGAGACAGAGGACTCCCTGTTACTATTTATAGACCAGGTTAAAATTTTCTTCATTAACTATTTTAAACTTATGTGATGCCAATCTCTGAACTACATAGTACACTCATCATACTCATTATCAAGTATGCAAGCAACAATTGTTTCAAAATCCAAATGTATCAAATCTAATTTTATTTTTTAATGTAAATGGGTTTTTTTTTTTAGTATCTTTTTTACTGGTGCTCCTGACATGCAATTGTTCCCTTTCTGATATTAAAATTTTTTTCAGGTAATTTGTCTGGAGATTCCAAAAAAGCTTACTGGAACCCTCAAGATTTCACACTTCTGCTACTTCAGGCTTGTGCCAAAACTGGTCTGGCACCAAATTTGGACTGGAGTATGGAGATGACACCCGTAGATTTTGCTGCCAGTGTTATTGTAAAACTGACTCAATACCCAGACTGTGCCCTGGGCAAAACTTTGCATCTGGTCAATGATAAGCCAATGAAATCCAAGTAAGGAATCTGTGCTTAATAAACTGCTGTTATTATACATACTTTATCACAATTTAATCATACTTAATTTCTATTACTATGATCTTTTTATAGTTGACTATTTTGCAGTTACTCTCACTTTATTAAAGTTTAAATTGACTTTACATTGTTTTCACTTTTCAGACAAGTATTTCAGTGGATGAACAGTCATGGCTTCCCACTGCAGTTGTTAGATTTTGATGAATGGAAAGTCAGGTAACTCCTACTATACTGCCCACTTTTGAAACAAACAATAATATTTTTAAAATAACTCCCAATGAAAATAAGTTATTTTTTTAAACTAATACACTATTAATGCTTACAATGATAATACAAACATTATACTAAAATGTGTCTCTGAAGATTTCCTTGGATTTTAATATTATTTAAATATTTAATAGAAATTAACAACTAACTTCCTTCTACTCAGAGTAATCCAAGAGTTAGCCTCTACCAATGGTTCAAGTACTCCAAGTGTTGAAGCCATGGAGCCTGTTTTAGAGTCCTACATTGGGTAAGGTTGCAAAGATTTGACGTAACTTATTTTCTTCTGTCGTGGTGAATTCCCATGCCATGTTATGATGACTTTTGTCTCTCTCAGGGATGCTCACTTCCTGCCCAACCTGAGCACATACAATAATGAAACTCTTCACAAGGTTCTCACAGAGTTGGGGATGTTGTACCCCTACACTGATGTTAGACTGTTACGGACATACTTCACAGAGCTCTCTAGCAGGAATGTCATTGGTCGAAGGAAAAGTGCTAACTGTAGGTGTTTTTTATTTAGCATAAAAATGATGTAGACTTTTATTTACAACAGAAACAAAATCTGCAGATTAATTTACAGTGCTTTTGATTATCAAAGAGGAAATATATGTTTAGTTTTGTGTTAATCATAAACAAGAGAAAAATGTTTTACTTGCACACTAGATTTATATAGGCCTACTGTTAATTAAATGTAATTAGTTTGTCAGGTAGAACATAAAAATATTCCAGTGATATCATTATGGGATATTCTAATAGTTTGCAAACTTTCTTTTTCATTTCACTTAGCCAACAAACAACTTATTTATCTCCACCCATGACAGTCTGGCTCCCTTCCATCAAAAGTTATCTCCCATCACATAGTTAGCCTCCCCTTTCCTTGTGGATTAAACTCTAGCTCTTGTCAACTGGTGTTACTATCTGCCTTTTTAAGGATGTGCCACATCAACCCCCACTTCCTTTTTAGTATTTCATTCTCTGCAGCCTGCATGCCTCCTGTAGGTTTTCTTTGATTACAACATGTACCCATTGCTCCCCAGCTGTCCACCCTTTAGCAGACAGAATAGCTTTAGTCACTGGGGCATCAAGTGGAATAGGCCAGGCCACGGCTACAGCTTTAGCTGCTGCTGGGGCTAAGGTGATTCTAGTTGCAAGACGAGACCAAGCCTTGCAGGATATTGTAAAAACTATCAAAGATGATGGAGGAGAAGCTGTAGCTTTTAAAGCTGATGTTACTGATAGGACGCAGGTTAGAAGCTTTTGAACAACATTTCAATGTAGTTCTGAGATAAATTCCATCAGATACAGCAGTGGTTGATATTAACAAGAAATAGTTCATACGAAGCTAATGATTTGCAACTATGTTTTTAAGTATGAATACAAAATTAAACTAAAAATTAGCAGTAAAAAATTTAAAGAAATATTGCACAGATCCAGATATTTTTTTAAATTGTGGAGAGATGTAAAAGTGTAAATACAATAGATACAATTTTTGTATTAAATATTTTTTTTTATGTCATTAAAGAAATAGAAACTAAAACTTAGTCGCTGTATATGTTTACTGTAGGTAAAATCTGTTGTAAAGCAAGCCGAGTCATCCGTAGGACCTATAGATATTCTAGTCAACAATGCTGGGGTCATGTACTACACCATGATGAAAAACCTGCATGAGGAGGAGTGGGAAAGGCAGATTGATGTCAACTGCAAGGTAAAGTAAGCATTGCTAACATCTTGTGATTTTTGGCATATAAATTTAAAAAAACTTTGAAAATCTTTCAGTAACCGTCACTGAAGAATTTGACAAAGTTGGGAAATCTTTCAGTAATTCTCACTGAAGAACCCAATTTATTTCCATTCTTAGGGTGTGACTAACTGTATAGGTGCAGTGCTAGAAGGGATGCTGAAGAGAGGGAAAGGTCACATTGTCAATATTTCCTCAGATGCTGGGAGAAAGGTATGGCAATATTTATTTAAAGTAAAAAACTATTGATTCTCCTTAAAAATCTGGATAACTTTTTGCATCTTTGTTTTTTTTTGCTCAGGGTTTCCCAGGTTTAGCTGTGTATTCAGGAACCAAGTTTTTTGTGGAAGGTATGTCCCAAGCTTTAAGACATGAGATGTCAGGACTGGGTGTTAAAGTTACATGTATCCAACCTGGTGACGTCAGAACACCTATAGGAGCTAATGCAACTGATACAGAGGTTTGTGCTACACTTTTTCACTTAAAATGCTTTTGTTTTGTGCCATATTTATGTCTTTTCACTAATCATTTATTTATCATAATTTAAGAGTGTTTTTAAAAACTACTTAAAGTTAAAGATCTTTCTTTTACTGTACTGGGTCAATAAAGAATTTGTTTCTGAACCTTCCAGGCTGTTTCTAAATATGATGGCAGTGCTAAAGTCCAAATCCTAGAACCTAGCGATGTCGCAAGAGCTATTGTTTACGCTGTTTCCCAACCCAAACATGTGGCAATCAATGAGATACTAGTGGAGCCCAGAGAAGCACCGATCTAATATTTTCATTAATAAATGCACCATGATTCAGATTTTCAGTTAAAATAAAGTACTTTATGTATTAGTAAGTAATGAAGTGATTTCACGATACCTGAACATTTCAAACTTGTTGAAACTTTAACTTTTGTTGTTTATTTGGAATAAGATGACTAGTCAAGATAAAAATTATACATACATATAGTTCTTCTACTAGATCTATGTATTTTATCATGATTTTGCTGTTAAAAAAATCAATTTTTAATTTCATTGTATTTATTTTTAACTGACTGTAATAAAAAAAACAATTGACGAGCTCTTGTTCTTAAGACTTTGTTGAATGAACCTACAGTATTGGTAAATCTTCCTATTTAAATCTATCCTGATGTATTTTAATGCTGATGGTTGTGATTGCATTATCTAATATTGTAATTTTAAAATGTTACTTCTGTAGAATTCTTTCATGAACAAATTTTACAGTGCTGATTTTATGTTGCGGCTTGCAAGAAATACAATATTTAAAAAACAAAGTTATAACATGCATTTTGATTTTTTTTTTACTTATTGTTGCAATAGGATCACTCACTAACAGAGGGGGATAACTGTATATTATATTTTCTTCCATTGTTCTTGAGATTTAGATATGACATTTTGTTTAGAACTGTGTAATTTCATTATTGTAATTCACATACAAAAGAACTTTTTAAAATTATACAGTGTAGCTTTTTGACATAATGTGCCAATAGAATATATTGAAACTGAATAAATTTAGAAAAAAGCTACACAAAATATTGAGTCGACTTTTTTGTTCTTAGCTGTGATCTATATTACTATGTACTTCTAAATTTCAAGATTGTTATATGTTTATATTTTTATGCGAAACAACACTTTTATCTTAAATACTGTAATTTTCACAACAATTTAAAAACTAAGTAATAAAGTTGCAGATTGAAATGTTTAATTTAAAAGGCTACATTATAAAGCTTAATTTTCTTTAACAATATATCTGGGTTTTTTCTGCTGTCCCCATCTAACGAGTTTTCTCCCCTAGTTGGATTGCTGTCCCCATCTAACGAGTTTTCTCTCCTAGTTGGATTGCTGTCCCCCATCTGACGAGTTTTCTCCACTAATTGCATTGCATCCCAATGTTTAATGTATGGTAGACAGGGGTGACCCAATAGAGAAATCTGATGCAGTTGTAAAGAACTGTACGAGTGTTGAAAAGGTTAACGTCTCGAAATTATAATAACAAGTGGGTGAGGATTATTGTCCTTCACGAGCTACTGATTTAAAGCAAAATATTTTCAGTCGCAGCATTGGTAGTGCTAAATTCACAAATTATGAATTACTAAAAAGTAGAAAATAAAACAGCTAAATAGCGGGGTATGCTTACGGCGCGGGGCAGATCATAATTTATTATTAACTTTATTAAGCGATACGTTTGCATAAAGTATTATTTTCACGTGACTGTAATATTTGATCATGTGACTTTCAAAAGCAAAAGTAAACAATATGAAATCCTATCATTATTAAAATTATTAGTTTATTATTTATTAGTACTACAAAACTAGATCTACATATTTTTTTCTAAATGCAATATAATTAATTCATTATTAATATTATTACGTCTAGATCTAATTTAAAATTTGTAAATTAATTTTACTTTAGCAGCCAGTTTTACTATTTTAAAGTTTTACAGTTTTTAGTTTTAGCTAGAAAATGCTAGATCAAGATCTAAATCTAGATTCTAGAATCTAGTCATATTCTAATTTCTAGTCACTCTCAGACTCAGGCTGTTAGTACTGTCTTAGTACACTAGTAGTGTTAGTACTACACTTGATCTCTGCTAGATCTAGTAGTAATTACTAGGAATTCTTATGAATACTGTAATTTGGAACTCTTATGAATACTACTATATATTACTAACTATAGACTATACTACACACTACACTTATACTAGTAATCGTGTATGGGGTCATCCATTCTGATAAATGACGTCACGCTTTTTTTGACGATTTTTACCTCCCCCCCCCCCCTCCATCACACAAAACCAGACCCCCCCCCTAAAATGATGTCACACCTCAGCCTACACCCCCCACCTCAAAATTCCTGTTGATTTTTTCTTTAAACATAATTTTTTCCAGAATCTTGCCAGAACTCTGTCAACATAGAGTATTTTGATCAATTACAATTTATTAAAGCCATTTTCTAAAATGCGAGATAATGGATAAAACTCGTTTTATAACATTGCTTTTTTATAATGCAAAAAAGTGACTTCACACCATCTGAACCTCCCACTCCCCACACACCGTCACAAAATTACGGACCCACCCTCCCCTTACGAGTGTGACATCATTTATGGATGACCCCTGTAGTATAGCGCATAATTTTTAATTTAACTTATTGCTCTAAGTTTTAACTCTTCTTAAACTTAAAGTAAATATTAATTATATCTTCTATTTAACTTCATCGTGCTTTTGTCTGTTGTAATTAATGCTTCATCATAGCTAAAAAAAATTGCTAGCAAAATTTTGAAAATTTTTAACTGCCCAATTTCTTTGGAACTTAGCATGTGAGTCAACATCCAATGACAATGCAATGTGCATCCCATTTTTAAAAATTGGATGCTTCATCAATTTTGTTTGAATCAAAATTTCCTATATATTACTATATACAATGTCCGTGCCAAACCCACGCAAAGACTAAGTTGCTATACCAATATGTGACTGACACACTATCTGGCTGCTTTTTTTAAATATATAGATTATGGTTTCTTTGTTGCTCATTGAAATTCAAAATAATTTTATTATCATATTATCTATTCTATACAATTTTGACAGGTGTAGCATATGAAACATACATCATAACAATAACAATGAAGCAATGTGAACAAGGCCAAACAGCTTTCAATCTCCTGTTATTACTATCAACTGTATTATGTATAGTTGATAGTGAAAAAAGACCCAACATTGTATTTGTCGTAGCTGATGACTATGGGTTTCATGATATTGGCTATCACAATTCTGAGATTAAAACACCAAACTTAGACAAACTGGCAGCTCAAGGTGTAAAGCTGGAGAATTATTATGTTCAGCCCATTTGCTCTCCAACAAGAAGTCAGTTAATGACTGGAAGATATCAGGTACACTTTAATTATTTAATTAAATCATAATTCATAGGTTTAGTTAAGTGAGATGAACATTTGTTTATAAAATTTAATTTAATTTATGTAAATCACATTTAAAAAAATTGTATTACATTTTTCCTTACATTACATTGTTATTGTTAGTAAAGTAAGTAAACTACTATATTTTATTTAATATCATCTAATGTCATCAGGTTGTTTAAAGTTAGTTAAAGGTGTTTGATAAAGTTATCCACCTATCTTGATGTACTGGTTAGAAAGAAAAATCATCAGACTTTACTTTTTATTCTGACCACTGCCTGTTGCATTAAGTGCTTATTCAGTACAATTTCCAAATGGCAGATTTATTTTGTATTTTTAACTGTAAACCATTTAAATTGTTTAAGATCCACACAGGACTACAGCACAATATTATTTGGCCGTCCCAACCTTATGGCATGCCTCTTCAGTTTCCCACTGTTGCAAATTTTTTAAAAGATCAAGGCTACTCAACACATGCTGTTGGCAAGTGGCACTTAGGGTTTTACAAGAAAGAATATACGCCTTTAAATAGAGGATTTGATACATTTTATGGTGAGGATGTCATAATTTCAATACATTTTTAGAAGTAATTTTTTTTTTATTCATGTGGCTTATCTATAATATAAGCTTATATGCCTTATTTTGTATGAAATAAACCATTAACTTGAGCTTTTAAGATAGATTTTACATTGAGTTTTCAAAAAATAAAAATAAATGCAAAAGTTTTAAAAATGTCAATGCTACCAAAAAATCATGTATTTTCATGTTATGTTACATGAATTTTTAAATTAATGATGAAAATAACAAAGTATGGGACTAGTGCACCACACACACTTTGTATTCTTTTTATTCTAACAAAAGAATAATTGTAATTATTTAGGATATTGGGAAGGTGGTGAGGATTACTACACTTACTACAACTGTGACACCTATCATAACAGAACAATTGATAAATATCTGGGGATTACGCAATCCCACTCACACAAAGAAATACTGTCAGGCAAACATGGAGATGAAGTGAAATGGTGTGGCTATGACCTGAGGGACATGGACAAACCAGTGACCACAATGAATGGAACCTACTCAACTCATCTCTACACAGAGAAAGCAAAGGACATAATCAATCAAGCAAAAGTGTCAGAAAAGGTTAGTAGGACTGCTTTCCTATCATCAGCCACATGTTAAACTATAAAATATGTCGTGCTATTTCATTTATAACTGCTCAAACAAATTTTTAAAATAGCTGGTACTGATTTAAAAGCTAGTATAAGTATTTACACAATTGTTTTCAAATTTTCAGCCTTTTTTCTTGTACTTAGCTTATCAAGCTGTACATTCCCCCATGGAAGTTCCACCAGAGTATGTAAAACCTTACTCTTTTATTAAGGATGCTTACAGAAGGACATATGCAGGTATATACCAATTCAAAATATGAAAATTTACTTGGTTGGCCTACTAGATTAGGTACATTTTTAACATTAGTGTATATCAAAATTCCCTCTAGGCAGCAAAAATGTGTTTAACTTGTACTTTGTGTGTGCATGCTCTGAAATACAAAGTTGTCTGTAGCAGGTTTCAGAAAAAAAAAGTGCAGATTATATTATATTAGTAAAAAAAACTATTCTATCATGCATTTTTAGTCCATTTCATGTTAGTCAACTTGTTAATAAATTTGTTCTACCACTGTTATTCTCAAGGTATGACCAGCTGTATGGATGAAGGTGTTGGAAATGTCACTCAGGCCTTAAAGGATGCTGGGTTGTGGGACAATACAATTTTAATATTTTCTACTGGTAATTACATATATGAGGTCAACATAAATAAATACTATTATAAATAAGTAGACCTATTCAGAACTGAGTTTGAACTATCCTTAAAATACAACAATACTTTTTGTACATTCAGATAATGGAGGAGAAATTCTGGCTGGTGGGAACAACTGGCCTCTTCGTGGCTACAAGCATACATTATGGGAAGGTGGAGTAAGAGGCATAGGCTTTGTAACTGGTCCTTTGGTCAAACAGCCAGGAAAGGTCAATGAAGGGTTGATGCATGTGTCTGACTGGTTCCCAACAATAGCAGATATGGTCGGAGCACAGATCAACAGCAGCCTTCAGTTAGATGGAAAAAGTCAGTGGCCAATGATTAAGTATGTATATCTCATACTGACAACACTAATCCATTAAAAATGACAAACTTCATCATGCAAATGATTATTAAAAATATCTAAAAATGTAACACCTTTCATCAGTTTTGGTAAAGAAAGTCCTAGAGGTGAAATACTTCACAACATTGATATCCTGGAGCCTCTAGTGGGGAAAAAGTTGTATGAGGATACATTCGACACACGAGTTCGGGCAGCTATTCGGATTGGCAACTACAAACTCCTAACTGGTAATCCAGGTAAATTAAAAGAAATTTCTCTTAACAAATATATTTTTAAATATTTTTTATGTATCTGACTATTGGTTAGAAACACTTATAACTTTTTAACTCCATGTTGTTGAGTTATTTATGTTAAACGTAACTCAAAGTTTAATGAATTTAGAATTTCAAATGCATTTAACAGTGACAATAAAATGTAATATAATTTTAAATAATTGAATACTTTATCAGGAATCAATCACTATCAGATGCATTAATAAATTAACTATGACAGAACAAAAGCATACTTTTTATTCATGTAACAGATTGTTATGTTACATCATTTATACATTTTAAAATGGCATCTCATGTGGTAAATTTTCAGGAGATGGAAAATGGTATCCACCACCCCATTTAGAAAAACACAATGTGCAACACTCCAATGTTACTGCAGCTAGTGATAAAAATGTTTGGCTCTTTAATGTCAGTGAGGACCCTAGTGAGGTCATCGACCTATCAAACATCCTGGTTGGCCAGGTACGATCAATGCTGGAGAGGCTTCAGTACTACAACTCCACGGCTGTCCCTCCACAGTACCCAGACTCTGATCCCAACTGTGACCCAAAACTTCATGGTGGATTTTGGGGGCAATGGCTGGACTAAATAATTCAGCTATTTAGACATTTAAACTTTATTGTTTTTAATTAAGCATTATTTTTTAACATTTGATTTTTATGCAATATATATATATATATATATATATATATATATATATATATATATATATATATATATATATATATATATATATATATATATATATATATATTACTGAACATTCCATTACATCTTTTTTTTACACGTTGAGGGTGCTGTTATATTGCAATAGTAAAGTGCACTTTTAAATGTTCAAAGTTATTTTTAGCAAAAAATTTTCATAGTATTTTATCTTTAAAACTGCAATTCTTTGTTTTTATTTACTGGTATGTATTTTTACTAAAAAATACAAATACTTAACTGATTTCAAAACTTGTTTTTTTTATAGTATTTTTAGATGACATTATATCTAAATATATATAATTTTGTCTGTCTATAGATATGTTATTATATTATATTGCAATAGTAAAATGCACTTTTAAATGTTCAAAGTTATTTTTAGCAAAAAATTTTCATAGTATTTTATCTTTAAAACTGCAATTCTTTGTTTTTATTTACTGGTATGTATTTTTACTAAAAAATACAAATACTTAACTGATTTCAAAACTTGTTTTTTTAATAGTATTTTTAGATGACATTATATCTAAATATATATAATTTTGTCTGTCTATAGATATATCTATATGTATATTTATGTATATATGTATTTATCCCATAACAAGTATTAAAAATAATATTGAAGTCTTCTGTAGAAGTAGTACCATTGTTCAGCTATTGAGATCCTTTTTTGTAGCATAAAGTATAAGTAGGCTAAGGCTAAATTGATTGTTTAAAATATTTTAGATTAACTACAGTAGCTGATAAGTGTAAGCTACACATTAAATATTTAAGTATAAATTACTATTTTGGGGTGTCCATAAATGACGTCACACTCGTAGGGGGAGGGGGGTCCGTAATTTTGTAACAGTGTGTGATGAGGGGAAGGGGGGAGGGGGGTTCAGATGGTGCGACGTCACACTTTTGCATTCTAAAAAAGCAATTTTAGAAAACTAATTTAAACACTATTTTATATTTTAGAAAACTGTTTTAATAAATTGTAACAGGAATTGATTAAAATACTCTATTTTGACAGAGTTCAGACAAGATTTTATAAAAATATCGATGTTTTAAAAAAAATTCAACTGCAATTTTGAGGGGGGGGGGGTGTAGGCTGAGATGTGACGTCATTTTAGGGGGGGGGATCTGGCTTTTTGTGACGACGTGTGATGGAGGGGAGAGGGGAGTTAAAAATCGTCCAAAAAAAGCGTGACGTCATTTATAGATGACCCTTTAAGTAATTTGCAAGACAAGAAATATTACTTTACAATGTAAAGTTTCGTAGCAAAAAAAAAACAATAAAAAATATTTGTCCTATAGCTCTTGACTTAATCCTGTTTAATCCTTGTGGAGTATATGGCCTCAATCATAACCTTCCATTTTCCCAAGCTATTGGTAACTTATTATTTTATTACGGCAAGACTAATTATTAAAAAATATGGGGTGTATGTATTAATTTTAGGCCTGCAATAAACTAAGCATTAGACAGTCCATTAATTTCTTAGTTAAAAATAAATAAATTGGGTGACACTGAGCATCCCGGGTTCCACTATAAGCAATAGGGTACCTATATTCGTTGTAAAAAAATCCTACATTAGGGACACAGTGAGATAGTTGATTCGATGACTAAATCGAACAAAGGTCGTCCTACATTCCACATGGTTGCCATGTAGATATAGAAAAGACAAAAAAACACCAGGGAGGGGAGGGAATGAGCATTTTAAACCAGGGGGCGGGCAATAATATGAATGGTGAAAGTATAGGCCTATATTTTCCTATTTAACTTTAACCATAATTTTTGTAGTTTCGTTGAGGGAGGGGCGGTGGACAGACCCCCCCCCCCCACTCAATGGTGCTTGGTAGGAGGGTTTTCAACTTTTTCTATTAACGATGTTATCTATTATTGCTTTCGTTTGAAGTAAAAAAAAACACAATTAATATTTCAGTTATTACTGTTATTTCATTGACGTTTTGAAACGTGCGGATAATAAGGTGTTACTTTTTTTTTTATGTTTGCTAGACTAAGTACAAAGTTAGATAAGAATGCACTTTGAAACATAGTTTAAAGGTCGTTTTAGGTGACCTACTTTTCAGTATGTCGTACAAAAAATTTACGACATAATATTGCAATGCCTAAATAATGAAAGAAAATGCCTACAAATATGTTTATGCGATAATTTGAATAATTGCGTTATATGTTCTGTTTTAATTCTTCAGTAAAATTCCATTATATAGATCTATTTATATATTTTTTACAAGAAACACCTTTAGAACCGAAAACAGGCCGAAAATAGGTATATACAAACAATAATGGCGATGACATCAAACAGAATAGCACTTCTTAAGCAAGGTGAAGTTATTAAGTAATTTTAAAAATAATTTAGTCCTAGGCATATTTTTAAATTTCATTATTTAAAGTTATGGTAATTGTAAATTATAATAATGCAGTTTTGTAAGAACAGTTGTTACTCACTTTGAGTGTACTAGGACTAGAAAGTGCCGACTACACCACTGCACTTCCACTGCACTGCAGACTGCCGAGTTAGTTACGTAATATTTATTTAATATACAATAAAATAGTTAATAACTTAATAATCATAGATCTAGTATAATAACAGTAGGCTAATATCATAATATGTATTGAGTGAAATAGGCCAATTTTTTAAAATAGGCCTAGGCCTAATTATTACTAATTAATAATTGTGATTGTCATCAGTATCACCAAAATAGCCTATTTTGACTATTTTGAAGTTTCACTTGGCCTGGCCTACCAGTTTCCTAGTCATTAAAAATAATTATATTATATTTTATTAGATCTTGCTTAGTTAGTATATTTAGTGTTGATTTGTTGTAACCACAAATCTTATATGCCATATGTGTGTGTTGGTTATGGCATGAAGTTTTGTTTTATTTAATATTTATTTCTAATTTTTTGTTGTTCCATTCTTGTTGATGTTCATGTGATGTGTTAAAAACAGCTTAGTTTAACTTTTTGGTTACCTCATAGGTGTACACCTGCTACAATGTCAAAGATTATTGGCAACCGAAGTACCAAAAATTACCACACACTACACCATTCACCCAAGAGACAAAGACCCAAGATGGAAAGGTAATAGACCATTGTTCAGACATTTGTCGAAAGTAATTTTTTTACTTTTTCTTTTGCTACCAGCCTGCAAAGCCCTCCCCTAATTTATTATTCATAATTACATGATTATCTTGACAAATTGTTTTAAAAAAAATTCACTTGAAATTTGCAGATATAAACATGGAGAGGGATGGTGATGAAGCTGATGTTGTTATTGTTGGTGGTGGACCATCAGGGTTATCTGCCGCTATTAAACTGAAGCAGCTGGCCCAAAGCAGTGGGAAAGAACTGAGAGTCTGTCTAGTGGAAAAAGCATCAGAAATGGGTAAGCTTTGTAACTTACAAAAAAATTATGTGTTGTTCTTGCAAACAGTTCTTTCTCTATTTGATGTTTATTATTGATGACCAATCTGATATGTTTACATAAATGTTGTTTACAGGAGGTCACCAGCTCTCAGGGGCTTGTCTTGAACCTCGGGCTCTTAATGAACTCTTCCCTAATTGGAAAGAGATGGAGGTAGCTTTTGTTCAACTATTGTGTTCATAAAAGTGTAATTCATAACTGGGAGTATGTGTCTGATAATGGCACAGTAACAGAATCATTTTAAAAAGGGGGGGTTAGTTTACTGTTAGTTTACTATGACTGGCCAATGTCAATACTAACCATATCCTATCACTAATCCCAACCCAAGTTCTACCATAGCCCTAACCTTAATTTCTAACCATAACACTAAACTTGAGATAACAAATCTGCTAACAACCTAACACACTATTGTGGGACATTATTATGTTAGGATCAATACACCTATGACTGTTCTATATAAACATTTTTTGGTTAAGGGCTTTAAAATTCTAAAAATAGTTTGCTCAGTTCAAACTCAAATTCTAAGGAAAATTTAAGCATAAACTACTGTACATGTTGATAAAACTAGAGCAGAGTTGCTTGGAAACCAAGTCTACTAAAAAGGTGTTGTTCAGTTCGTCAGATAAGGGGCGTGTAGGAATGTTGTTGCAGCTCTTTTACTCAACATTTTTACTTATATCTTAAACAAAGCAAACTTTAAAAATAAAAATCCTTAACTTTTAATTTATTTTCAGGCCCCAATCAAACAAGAAGTCACATCAGATAAATTTTACTTTTTAACGAAGAAATCCAGAATACCTGTGCCTTTATTACCTGGTCAGTACTTTGTCTCTCTCATTTTTCAGATACAGTATCTGAAAATATTTTAAACTTAAAGCACTGTCATATTATTAGGAATTTTTTCCAGAAAATTAAGAAAATTCTGTATGCTGTTTATGTCATTAATAAATTAAACTCTTATTGATTTTAGGTATGCCAATGTTAAACCATGGGAACTATATAATTCGTCTTGGTAATTATATAAGATGGCTTGCCCAGCAAGCTGAAAATTTAGGTGTAGAGTTGTATCCTGGTACAGCAGCCAGTGAGGTAACTATCTTCAGCTGTTTTGTACATTTTTTTCTAAATTAACTACCCTTTTAATAAGTACCATTATAGAATTCATTATAGGCAGATGTCATAGAATTCATCTGTTTGTGTAGCAACTACATAAGGAAGTGATTATATTGCCATTGCCTTCTCATATTTATTATATTTTTTAACTGGGATTTCCCTGATGTGATGACCATCATGATAAAGCTTTTTAAAATTCATTTTACAAAAAATGATTCCACTCATACTTTGCATAAAATAAACTGGATAAATTGTATTATTTCTTCAAACAGTTCACATACTTATCACTGGCAAAGTAATATATTTAACAGTCTCTAAACTTAAACACTTGTATTGTATGAATTGAGCCTAGCATGAAGCTGCAGACATGAGTTTTTAAATCTGATATTGTTGAAAATTCTTTCCAAAGTTGTAATTGTTTCTGGAAATCTTGTACAGGTGCTGTATCATGAGGATGGTAGTGTTAAAGGAATTGCTACAAATGATGTTGGAATTGCTAAAGATGGTTCCCCAAAAGTAAGTTCCAGTAGTTTTATTCAATTGATACGGGAAGTTATCAAATTTGGCTTGTTTATTGTTAAAATTTTTTTGTATTAAACTTACAAAGGTTTTAAATCTGTTTAAAGGATTCTTTTCAAAGAGGAATGGAGCTGCATGCTAAAGTCACAATGTTTGGAGAGGGCTGCCATGGTCATTTAGCAAAAACACTTTTCAAAAAATTGAATTTGAGAGAGAAATGTCAGCCTCAAGCATATGGTATAGGAATAAAGGAATTGTGGGAAGTTGATCCGTCCTTACACATACCAGGGCGAGTAGAGCACACTGTGGGATGGCCATTAGTAAGTTGCTCAGTTTTTCAGTTGCTATGTAATATTTAGTTTAATTTAGCACTGATTTCAAACACATCCATAGCAGGTGAAAATTGTGGTTAAATAACCATGTCGCAACAAAACAAATTAAAAATGGTAATTGAATACCCATGTCACAACCATAACAAAATACTCATGTTCTCAACAGGATTACAGCACATATGGTGGAACTTTCCTCTATCATTTGGAAGATAACGGTGCTCCCCTAGTCTCTCTGGGGATGGTGGTAAGAAGATTTTTATTTATTCTGTTTGTTCCTATATAAACTGGGTAATACAAAAACACCATTTGATATCAATAAAATTAAAGTGCGAATTATCTGCCTTCTAATCAAGATGATTAACTTTATTCAGACTTTATGGTTGCTAATATTGATAGTTAAAAAAAACAACTGGTTCTGCACAATGTTAGACATAAATAAATATGTGCTTATTAAACTAACCCTATACTTGTGTGCATCTTTAATTAATTGTGTGGTCTGTTGAAAAAAACAGACTTTGATTTATTTTTCAAAATATATGAGAAGTGGTATCTTAAATAATTATGCCATTATCTTTTATTTTTGTAGGTTGGTCTTTCCTATAGCAATCCTTATCTTAGCCCCTTCCAAGAACTTCAACGATTCAAAACCCACCCGGGCCATATCAAACTCTTTCAAAGTGGCAAGAGGATTGGTTATGGAGCTAGGGCACTTAATGAGGGTGGCTTGCAGGTAACTAGCCTTTGAGTTGTTATAATTCTGTCATTACTTTATTTAGAGATATTTTATAGCATGTTATTAACCCCCAACAGAGCATTCCCAAGTTGACCTTCCCTGGTGGTTGCCTGATTGGCTGCAGTCCAGGCTTCCTTAACTTACCCAAGGTCAAGGGTATTCATAACGCAATGAAGAGTGGGATGGTTGCTGCTGAATCTGTGTTTGAAACAATCACAGATGAGAAAACAGTATCAAGTTCAAAAACAATAGGTTGGTAGTCAAATGTACAACTTTTTGTTTGTTATCTGATGGACTAAAGATTTAAATTTGTACTGCACACAAACAGTCACTGATAGCATGTACACTAAATAAACATCAATTGTAGTAAATATTTTTTATATCAGACTCGTAGATTAAATAGTTTTTTAATATAATGATGTGTAATTTATTATTAATTTTTAAAAATCTATTGCTTAAACTAAACAATAGATTTTTCAAAATAATTATTTTGTTTACCTGAAAGTTTAGAGTTATAACCAATCTAGGCCTCAACCCTGAAAGTTATGAGGATAAAATTCGAGCCAGCTGGACGTGGAAGGAGTTGAAAGCTGTGAGAAATGTTGGTCCATCTTTCCGCACCTCTCTGGGTTTATATGGAGGCATTTTGTACACTGGAGGAATATACTACTTCCTTAGGGGCAAAGAACCTTTCACATTAAAACATGGAGGTAGAGAGTAATTGTATTTCTTGAAATGTGTGTGAAATTACAATTGCTGAGTTTATTTTGATAGTTTTTTTTTGTTCTAAAATTTTAAAAATTAATTTATTAGTACCAGACCATGACACTTTAAAGCCTGCCAAGGAATGCAAGCCCATTCAGTACCCAAAACCAGACAACGTTGTGACCTTTGACTTGCTATCCTCTGTGGCCTTGACCGGAACAAACCATGACCATGATGAGCCTCCTCACTTGACTTTGAAAGATGACAGTGTTCCCATGGCTAGAAACTTTGCTGTCTTTGATGGACCTGAGCAGAGGTTCTGTCCTGCAGGTAATTAGTTCATCTAATATACAGGCAGTCATTCATAATGTTATTTGTTTAGTCAGCAATGTTAGAACTTCTAAATATCCAACTGGATAACTTCTTTTCTAAATAAACAAAAAATGAAAGTAATCATTTTACACTCATAAAATCTTAATTATTTGATGTTTCTATCACACAGGGGTTTATGAGTATGTAGAAAATGAAAACGGCAAAGGTCATCGTCTGCAGATTAATGCTCAAAACTGCATTCACTGTAAAACTTGTGATATAAAAGACCCCAGTCAAAACATCAACTGGGTCTGCCCTCAAGGTGGGGAGGGTCCTGCCTATAATGGGATGTAAATCTTTATATAATTTATTATATGATTAATTTTATAATCGAACATGATTAAGTTTTCTATGAAACAGGTGCAGTATTTTTTAGTGTTGATTTTTAATTCTCAGGGGTATAGATTGTATATCTTTTCTTAGACATCTTTTAGACATGAATAGTTCATTGTTAACCAATTATGCTTATGAGAGCAATTGATTCTGAATGCACCTAAAAAATTAATTAGCTACAAATCAATAGAATTTTTTAAATTGGAATACTGATGCAGCTAGATTGTGTGTATTATAAATTCTGGATGCGAAACAGTATATGATCAATTCATTTTCTTAGTGTGGTTTTAATAAATATTATTTCTCATTTTTTTTTGTTGCTAGTCACATGCAATCAATAAAAAAGAAAATTGATTTATACATAATAAAAATTTGAACCTATTTTCGTCATTTTTTTTTTCTACTTGCATGTAAAAAACACAACTAAGTCTTGCCAAAAGTTGTATTATTGAACATTATAAACTGGAAGATAAAATGTCAGAATTATGTATGAATATACTAAGAGATGCAAAAGCTACAACAAATTTTAGATTATTTCTTTTATTAGTTTTAATTATACATTTTGCTAAGTGTACTATTTTTTTTATTCATTTACTTCATAATTTCAAGTTTTGAACAATGTAACAGAACAAATTCAAATAACCTCTCTAATTAGACAAGGGCTAAATTGTTAGATTCCTAGTGCTTGAAATTAGAGAATGCAGTTTGCTCCCTTGAAAATTATTGCAAATACTAAGATGTTTGAGTGCATAATCTGACTTTCACAATTTTGGTGTACATGTGTTTAAATGAAGCTTCATCAGCAATGTTTTTTTTTTTTTAAAGAATGAAATATTTCATATTGTTAGGTGTTAAAATACAAGGCTGAAAGAATGTATGAAAGAGATGAATTTGTTTCAAATATTTGTAAATATGACACATTTTCTGTTGAAGCATACTTGGTTCAAAATATACAAGTAATAAAATGTTTTGATTTTGAAATACATTTTGATTTTCTAATGTTTTTTTAATGATAAAGACGTGTGCTTCTTAATGTTTTGAATGATAAAGGCATGTATTCTTTATTTTACTGCTTTTGTATTGTTGCAATCAACATAGTACATACACACTCTATGCTAGTCTTTGCAGGGTTTCTTCCAGACATTTAACCACCCCCCACCCCTAAAGTGGTGGGGGGGGGGGGGGGGGGGGTGAAGATGACAAAGATTTAAATTTATGTTCTGTTTTAATTTATTAATTATATTTATTTTTTTTTATTGAAGGGAGGATGGGGTGAAGAGAGATTGGTTATTAGCTAACTACAACTTACATAATTCACAAGTGAAACAGTTTTAATACTCTTTAGTTAGTTATAATTTTAAAATATACCGAGAAATTTTCGAATGTATCTGGGTACAACATAATAGACAGTAATATCTATATGGTCTCTGTCATTTTTACCCAGCTTGTTTCATATTTCAGAAAAGTAAAAATGGAATGCAGTAACTTGTATAGGCCAAACCAATTACAGTTTAGAAATTTCTTAAGTTTGATAAATAATTATTTAGGCCTACAGACAATATATTTACAGTACATTATGTGCGGTCAGTATTTTCTAAAAATTATTATTTTCTAAATTATGGTACAGTTACAACGTATTATCTAAAAATGTGATTAAAATATTGAAATAAAAAAGGTAATCAATAACACAACGTCTTAGGTTTATTAAGAAACTGACGATACATTTTTTGCTTTTTAGAAAGTGTTAGAAACTGAATTTTAGCTGTTATTCTGTGTTGAGACTTTTGTCCATATATAGACTAGGGTCCATAAATGACGTCACACTCGTAGGGGGGGGGGGTCCGTAATTTTGTGACAATGTGTGATGAGGGGGAGAGGGGGGTTCAGATGGTGCGACGTCACACTTTTGCATTAATCAAAAAGCAATGTTAGAAAACAAATTTTAGACGTTATTTCGCGCGCTAGAAAACTGTTTTAATAAATTGCAATAGGAATTGATTTAAATACTCTATTTTGACAGAGTTCAGACAAGATTTTGGAAAATATCGATGTTTTAAGATAAAATTCAACTGCAATCGTGAGGGGGGTTGTAGGCCTAGGTGTGACCTCATTTTTTTGGGGGGGGGGGGGGTCTGGCTTTTTATGACTATGTGTGACGGAGAGGAGGTAAAAGTCATAAAAAAAAGCGTGACGGCATTTATGGATGACCCCCAGTACTCTATGTAGACCGAGCTCAGTATAATTTTAGAAAGAAATCGATGTTTTAAGAAACATCTAACTTAATTTTGAAGGGGTGATAAATGTAGGCTGAATTTTGAATCGTGATGGGGAGAGGAAAAAATCTTTTCCGATCTCAGAAAATAATATATTCATTTTAGACGGGTTATTTTCAAAATATTATTATTAGGTTCTTTATTTTTTTTTTTCATGTTTTCTTTTTAACATCACGCTACTTTTTGGGATTGAAGTTAAGTATGTAGTAATCGATAATATGTTACGACGTTTTATTTGTTAGCCATATACTTTTGTTGATAAATTGAGTTGACGTGGTCAACATTCAACAGACTTCTGAGATCTTTATTCTATCAAACTGTAAATTTCATAATTCTAAATACTTTTTTTTAAAAAATTTGGATGCTTATTGATTAAATTATATCTAATTATCTTGGTTTAATAATGGTTTGAATTATTTTTTATTAATTAGTAGCTCATTTTGAGTCATTACTTAGCCTACCTAAAAGTTGTTTTTGTTAATGTTTGGGCTTGGTTTCCAAAAAAATCTGAACAGTGAATCTGAGTAAAATTTTAACAAGTAAAAATTAGGCCTAAAATAATTTATTTTGCTAATTAATCTATCATTTTGGTAGTACAGTAAAATTGTCTGAAGCTAGAGATCTAGTAATATTAAATGTAATAGGCCTATTAATATAATATAATAATATTGTTTTGAGTTTATATTTAACTATTTAACTTTATTAGGCCTAATATTTATATTTAACTCGCCAGTTGGTTGAATCCGCTGCATGGGTTCGTTCTGCTAGGGCTAGGGATACAAAGTACAAAGGGTCAACTCAAAATATCATCTCGATATTTAAATATTGCATTTGGTTTTATTATTTAAATTTAATTATCTATAAACTTGACACAAATCTCTATATATAATTCTCTTATTCGATACCCTAGAAAACACCAAGCTGTAAGCGAGCCTTGCAGTCCCCTCTCTTCCTCTCTAGGCACCCCCACATGGTCTGGTGAGCTGTGGTTCACGCTAAATGTTTACAATCATAGAGCCGGGTTTAGTGACAGCTATTAGGGGCAGATAATTTAGTTTGAAACTATTTTAAACTTAGAGGAGGTAACTAAGATGAGGCTGCTTTCACGGGGGGGGGGGGGGGGGGGGGGGGGTTGGTGGAAAAGAGAGTGGGGCAAATATTTTCAGTGGCAGCATTGGTACTGTCGAATTCACAAATTATGAATTACTGAAAAGTAGAAAATAAAACAACTAAATATGATATGCTGCGGGTCGGCTCGTATATTATATTTGACACATAGGCCATAATATATCATATATATTGAATAGGCCGCTATAGGCTATTGCAATATACTTTTATTTAAAGCCATGGTCTGTGGATATTATTCTTTAGGATAAAGTTTTTTGAGTTCTTATAAAAATAGCATTGATCTCCTATTCTACTTGACTATCAAAATGAAATAAGCATTTAATAACAGTTGACTAAATAAAGTAGTCGAAATTGCCGGCCTATGATGTATTGAGCAAAGGGCAGTTCAAAAGCAATATCATGTGCATTTATTTATACATCGTGGTAGCTAAATACCTTAACTGTCACCTATAATGAGGCACACACTTTTAAATTAATCACACTGAAAGCATTTGCTCATCTGCCACCAATGTTGACTTGACCAAGAAGCATAGCAATGTATTTAGTCCCATAATTTAAACACAAATCACCTTAGATTTTAAAATCTATCAATCATGAGTCTCATTTCATCAAGTAGCCTACAATATTTAATACTGCAAGGAAATGTTTTAAGACCATGAATTTACATGTTTAGCCTGTTTACACACATACAAATATCAGTTAAATTAGATTAAAATTTAAAATCCTTATTTCAAGATGTCTGAATCTGAAGAGGATGCATCATTTGCAAGTGCAGATGAAGGAGAGGAGGGGAAGCATAAAGCAACAGGTGTGGTATTTTTAAAAAATTGCTAGTTAAGTTTATTTTAGTTGTTTCACAACAATAGAATATATGCAATTATTTTTATATAATTGAATAACGGAAAATGCAGACTTAAATATATTGAAGAGATACAGGCTAGGGTATTTTATTTTAGACCAGGGTGCCATCTCCACGCATTACCGCGTGGTTAGAAGAAAGTCCAAAGATAGCCTGGGGCAAATCGAAACCTACAGGGGCGTCGCCGGACGCGCCTGATTCAGTTCAGTGAATGACTATAATGCCTTATTGTATCCATAGTCTATCACACTGTTTAAAACTAACGTAGGCGCTATCGCTGTATGTTTATACTGGTTTTAATAACTCTTTTGTCTGATTCCTGTTAATAGACAAACTATGATCTTGTAACTAACAAAAATTACTAATCACTTACAAGTTTAACAAAAGTATTTTAAACTTATATCTTGACTGCTAGTAGGTCTTATGTTTTCTTGTGTTTACCATATTTGAAGTGACTAAACCAAAGGAGGGTGTTGGGACAGTGAGTCAAGGAGACACAAAAACAAAAGCACAGACCAATGTATCAGCAAAAAGTGGCCCAGAGAAGCAGAAGCAACAAAAGCAACAGCAGCAACGAAATAAGAAAAAAAGTAACTAGAGATTTCTGCCTGTTCTTTGTTAGTTTTTGATAATTATAAAATAATACAGTTGATAATTTTGGAGGCCTATATAAATATATATTTGATATGAAAATCTAAAATATTATTCCTTAAGGCAATAAACTAAATCAACCAACAAATAAAGAAAAAGTCACAGAAAAGCCAGTGAGTCCGTCGTCATCTGCTTCTTCCACTGAGCTTGAAGCCAGTACATCTGCAGCATCACAAGATGACAAAACTTCTGAGAAAATATCACCTGCAAGCAAAGTTGAATCAAAAGAAAACAAGAGCATTGAACCCTCCAATATTCCTCCTACACAGATTGAGGTACCATCTAAGCAAGCACAAAGTGATGCACCATCTAAACAAGCACAAAGTGATGCGCCATCTAAACAAGCACAAATTGATACACCATCTAAACAAGCACAAATTGATACACCATCTAAGCAAGCACAAAGTGATGTGCCATCTAAGCAAGCACAAAGTGATGTGCTATCAAAACAAGCACAAAGTGATGTGCTATCAAAACAGACTCAGAAAGAAACTGGAAGTACAAAGCAACCGAGCATAGATAGAAACTCAGAGACTACTGAGAAAGATGGTACAGGAAGCACCAAGACGCCTGACTGTGAAGATATTCCGAGGGTCAAAGATCACACACCACAGCAAGAAGAAGTACTTAAGAAACTTGGAGAGTCTGCTGAGAAAGTAAGAAATACAACTGGTTAAATGTTGATTTCTTGTTGAAAACTTGTAGGGGGGTGGAAGCAGGCGTTGTAACTGAAATAGCAATATTAACAGAGAGTGATATTTCAACGCCAAGGGTAGACAAAGGTACAGAAAATAGTCCAAGTTGGTGTCTGACTGCTTGTCTTTACTTGGACTATTTTCTGTACCTTTGTCTACCCTTGGCGTTGAAATATCACTCTCTGTTAATATTGCTATTGTTGAAAACTTGAGTAAAGTTTTTTCTGTAATTACCTTAATTAATGTCTTGCATTAACTAATGTTAAAATTTAGGACACAAATTTATCGTAAGATCACTTTAGATTGTTGCCTTGACTGCTGTTAAAAGTTGGGAACTTGATTTTATTTCATAATTTCATCATCGAGGGCTCTGGCTGGGGTTGGGGCAGCTGGGGCTCCTCACTTATCTCAGCAGCCACAAGCTCTGTGCAAGTTTTCACCCATCAAGTTGGTGAGTACAAAATGTCTTGAGTATATTTCACCTTGTTCTGTCATTTAGATCTGACATGGATATTCATCTGTTTTTATACTACGAGGATGTTGGCAAAAAAAGCTTATGTTGTGATTGTAAAGACTGTGTTGACACACAGCTCTAGTTTATACTGATGGTTAAATTTGTACCATTCTCAGGCGATGGTTTCTCAACGATCATAGACACAGTGGAGTCCTCACTTGGTATCCCTGACCCTCTAGTTTATACTGATGGTTAAATTTGTACCATTCTCAGGAGATGGTTTCTCAACGATCATAGACACAGTGGAGTCCTCACTTGGTATCCCTGACCCTGAAGAGATGGCGAGGGCCCAGGGTGTGACAGAACCAACTCCAACAACAGAGGAGGCTCCCTCTGGTAGGTTAACCCTGTACAGAATGACAAAATCAACCTCTTTTGTTTTTGTTGAAGTAAAGATATTAATGAGTACAAATATTGATATATTGCAGGCATACTACGCTTATTGAGATAGTTAATTTCCAGCTTATTGCGATAGTTAATTTCCAATTTTATATTTGAAAATTTGAATTTGTAGTAAAAAAAATATCTATCACCATGCTTACTTGTGACATGTATCCACCACCCAGCTGTCACATCTCAACCAGAGGAATTAAAAATTGAGCATGAGGTTAAGGCTGAGAAAACTCTAGAAGGTTCTGGACAAGGAGATGAACTTGGTGAACTGGGAGAGAAAAATAAAAGGGAAGAAGAGAAGAAAGCCAAAGACAGTTGGTTCTCTAGTTGGGGAGTCTCTGATCTGGCCAAGAAGGTGACAGACACGGTAGGTCTTTGTCCAGTGTGATAGATCATTGTCAAGCCTGGTAGGTCATGTCAAAGCTTTAGGCTTGAATGTAAAGGATTTATGTTTAATGTAGCGTTTACGTAGTCTATAGTGTTACGACCCGACCTACCTAGATCTTTCGATTTAGGAGGGGAGGTAGACAAAAACACACGTTAAATTTAACGAACACCTTTTTAATAACAACGTAAGTTTAATCTTCACAACAGAGATACAATATATTGAAAAGTAACCGTCATCAAAATACAACACAAAAATCCTACCACCTATTCTAAACTATACTATCTACAACTACACGTCCTAACTGGTGAGCTGCCGTACCCTGACTGTCTCTAACGTCTTTGTCTGTCCCCCAACCAAGCCTAACCTAATTTGGAGGGCGCCATAGTTCTGTCGTACCTAATTAAAAGGTCAGACCCTAATGATAACTTCCTAGGTTTTACGTCCAGTCTGCCCGCCATACTGTCTCCCCCAACGGTCACAGGTTAATATGGCTGTCATCCTTAATAGCAATCTAACTCTAACACGTGCGTCGTCCCCTATACCTGCATCCTACGTCCCCACAGTCGTAACACCTCCCCCCTTCAAGAAATTAATTCGCCCCTGGGAGAATTAATTGAATTCAGGCTACTAATCTACAGTGCCCAAAACAATAATCAAATAAATTACAGAATATTAGGAACATATTTCGGACTACCACACTCTAAACATCATCGTGAAGGCTGAAAGAAGAGTAAGAATTTAGTCAATACAATGACATCAAATATCGACATAGGTATGGTTTTCATGACAAAGATATATAGCATCGAGCACATGAAAAAAACTTTTTTTTAAAAAAATAATAATACAAAAATAATAATCACCAAAAGCCGGGATAGAACACAGTGGAGCGTTAGGGGAAACCTGATTAGGTTCACCGACACGTTGGCAAACTTCATATGTCTTACAATCCTCCGTCACTTTCTGCGGAGACTCTCGTTTCTTAACTTCCGCCCGAATTAACACACATGAAGAGTACTGGTTGTTGGTGTTACCGCTGGTGGACTGGGTGAACGGGTGTTCACCATAAAAACAATCTGGAAACACCTTGTGTCCCGCAAGATCATTCCCCAGGAGTAATCCAATCCCTGGCAGGGGTAAGTGCGGCCTCACTCCAACAACGACATCACCTGTAACTAGACCCGAGTCTAGCCGTATGGTGTGGAGAGGGGCGCTCACTTGGTTTGACTCGATGCCCTGTAAGATAGTGTTGTCACCAGTAAACGAATTACCAGGTAGAGGTAAGATTCCCTCCTGTAGCAAGGTCAAGGAGGAACCGGTGTCGCGTAGAATTTTTATGGGTCGTCGAGTCGATGCATCTCCGGGTATCGACACATATCCGTCGAAAATAAATGGCTGGAACTTCTGCAATGTTTCGGCTGATATTGCGTCACGGCTGGCGATACCATCACCGACCACACCAACATGAGCATTCACAGTGTGGTGAATGGCCTTAGGGGCAGGCTCGACACTTATCATTTCTTGAGTGTATTCTGGGATTGGGATGCAAACCTCAGAATTGTGTAGATCTACCGGCTGGCTAATTTGTTCAATGCAGCCATAACCTCGGGTGATATCTAGATCACGATCCAGGTGACCCCTCGATTGTTGGAGACAAGATATTGGGTACACCCTATTGTCCTTCACACGCTTACTGCAATGTCTAGCCAAGTGCCCTTTTGCTTGGCAGTAGTAGCAGATAATATCAACTGGACGCGATGCAGCTTTGACTGGCTGCTGCACTGAAGATTGGCCTGGGAAGTTGCCTGCTCTACCCAGGGCTGGTCTATGAGAACCTTTCTGTATTGGTGTCTCATAATAGTCCTTGTGGTTCAGCGTGTAGTTATCAGCCATCTCGGCCGCCTGACGAGTCGACTTGACCCCGTTGTCTTGCAGCTGAACTCGTAGTCTACCTGGAAGGCAGTTTTTGAACTCTTCGAGCAGGAATAAGGAGCAAACGTCTTCAAAGGTAGTTACATTTTCAGCAGTCAACCACCTGTAAAGAAGCTTTTCTTTGTTGTAGAGGAACTCAACGTGAGTTTCTTCTGGAGCTTTCTTTAGGCTCCTAAACTGGCTTCTGTAAGCTTCTGGTGTCAGTTCGTAAGCCCTCAGTATAGCTTCTTTAACAAGCTGGTAGTTGGTCTGAATGTCAGGGCTAAGGGATGTAAAAACATCCGCAGCTTTTCCAGTTAACACAGGACTAAGTAGTGTAGTATATTTGTCTAAGGGCCAATCATAACTCCTACCTGCGAACTCGAATGATTTGAAAAACCTAACTAAATCCTCTTCACTAAACTTCGGAACACTAGACTGTAAGGAAGTGAGTTTTATAGGAGGAGATGTAGAGGAGAAAGATCACAGCTCTAATTCCCTAAGCCTAATTTCCTTTTCGGAAGCTATCTTTTCCCTCTCTACTGCTAACCTTTTATCTTCCATTTTCTCTTTACTCTCTATCTCAAGTTCCTTTAATTTAACAACTTCAGAGGTAGGATCACTCTGTACAATGGTGTCCAGACACTCCTCTTCTAACAACCCAAGGTTCACTAGCTCTACCACAATCTCATCACGCACTACCCTATTTTTAGATGAAGCTTTAAAAGATATATTTAACTTGCGCGCGATGGCCACTAGTTCTACGCGTTTACAACAATCTAACACCTCCAATGTTGGACGCTCTAAAAAATTCATTATATCCATTGTTAAAGTTAAACGGTGGTGGTTAACTCAAACCAAAACAAAACGGCTTATACTCACAACTGCAAGTACAACTAAAACACTAAAAGTAGGGCTATCACCTTTGACACTTCAAACAGGTAGACACCAGCTATACTGGGCCAACCAAACTAAATATCCAGCTACACTGGACCACAAACAATTTACTCACGTATACTGGGCATTGACCCTCCAGCTATACTGAGCAAATCATAAAACTCCAGTTCCACTGGATCACATAAGAACATTCGAGTACACTGGGCATTAATCCCTCCAGCTATACCGAATCAGCAAAAAAAAAGAACAGCCTCTAATGAATAAATCAGTGTCAACACAAAGGTGATAAGCTCGCTACTTACTCAATGTTTGGAAAACTCTCCTGATTCCGTGAACAACTTTACTGTCACTATTTCTAAAACTTTAAACTAAAACACAAGCTCGTGAGCCCCCAACTGAAAATGGCATCAAAAGAAACTATTCAACTCCGGCCTCGTTGTCTGTCCAATCCCGGGACGCTAGCCGCCAATTGTTACGACCCGACCTACCTAGATCTTTCGATTTAGGAGGGGAGGTAGACAAAAACACACGTTAAATTTAACGAACACCTTTTTAATAACAACGTAAGTTTAATCTTCACAACAGAGATAAAATATATTGAAAAGTAACCGTCATCAAAATACAACACAAAAATCCTACCACCTATTCTAAACTATACTATCTACAACTACACGTCCTAACTGGTGAGCTGCCGTACCCTGACTGTCTCTAACGTCTTTGTCTGTCCCCCAACCAAGCCTAACCTAATTTGGAGGGCGCCATAGTTCTATCGTACCTAATTAAAAGGTCAGACCCTACGATAACTTCCTAGGTTTTACGTCCAGTCTGCCCGCCATACTGTCTCCCCCAACGGTCACAGGTTAATATGGCTGTCATCCTTAATAGCAATCTAACTCTAACACGTGCGTCGTCCCCTATACCTGCATCCTACGTCCCCACAGTCGTAACAATAGTATATATGTATATCTACTTAACAACTGGAGATAAATTGTGAAAACAAAATAGCTTTACATTTTTTTAAAAATAGCCTGATATTTTACTTTCAGGGAAAATCTATTGCATCTAAAGGCCAAACTTTAATGGCTGAAGGTTTTGATGCAGTTGAGAACCTTGCAGCTGGGGGGATTGATGTTCTAGAAACCATTGGGAAGAAAACTTACAACACAATTTCTGAGCATGACCCTGCTTTTCGTAAAACTCGAGATTTCCTAACCCCCAAGGGAAACAAACCAAACCTTTCCAGTGTACTAAGGGAGGCAAGAGACCAGGCTGAGTATGAAGTAACACAGGCCAAAGAAAATGAAGAAGCTAGGAAGGCCCACTTTGGAACATTGTTTGATGATTTTCAAGGTTGGTTTTTGTATCTTTCATTGGCATTTCCAAAGTTTCTATTGGAACATGATTTTTGTTACATAAAATTGTGTGTTTACTGTCTGTCTGGTGTATGGTCATTGCTGGCTCAAGTTATGCTCATTAGCTGCGGACTAGAACAATGCTAATGATCAAGTATTTCTCTCACCCATGTTACCTGCTGCTAGACACATGGGTTTCTGCCAGGCTTTTGCTTCCTTTTCCTCTGGTTTTGGACATGGGAGAGGTGGGGGTAGCTTAGTCTGGGACAAACTTCTGTCCTGATCCCTAGTTACCTTCAGGTTAGATCACCCCATCCCTTATGTATGTTTACCATATGTTACAATTTAAAATAATGTTTTAATCTAATAAATTCCAGGGATCTCCCACCTAGAAGCATTAGAGATGTTGTCCAACCAAAGTGAGAAGAAGGTGCACACACTCCTTAAATCACTGTCTAAAGAAGATCTGGCCACCATCAAGCCTCTGCTCATCAACATCAAAGAAACATTTGAAGTGGATGAAGAAAATGAATCAGGTAGTTGGCTAAGGAGAAAATTTTTTCTAGCTGGAACTAAATAATTAGACTACTTTAAAGTTGTTTAATATTGATATTTTGTCTGATCACAGAGCACATCTGATCCAAAAGCCTCATTCATTATTTAATGTTGATATTTAGTCTGATCAGAGAACACAACCTATCAAGATTTCTCAAAAGTTGTTTAATATTGATAATTTGTCTGATCAGAGAACACATCTGATCAAGACTTCTCAACTCTACTTCACCAATGCCTGTCTGAACTGGAGCTGGGGACTGCGCCAGATAAGCTGAACAAAGTTCACAGCATGGTCAAACAGTGGATACAAGACTTTGACACTCACGAGACCCATGAGGGGGATAATTTAAAGGTCATTTAGCTTGTACCTGTGGATTGTAATTAGACCAACTCATTTTAATTAGTTATTTTTTTTGCTTTTGGATTCCATGTTAAAAAGATTAAGACTTGAGTACAACTAATCCACCAGTACACATTTTGTACTTGAAAACACATTAATACTTCTGCTAGTGATAAAATCATTACAAAAAAAAAAACAATGATCTAAATTTCACTTTTTTTTATTTTTCAGGAATTGCATCAGAAAAGTATTCAGGCTCTGGCTGAACTGACAGCTAAAGGTGTAGAGCAGTTTCACAAAGCTGGAGAGCTCGTCTTGCTGGAGAAGGATAAAGATAAAGATTGTTTAGAGAGAGCAAAAAGCTTGGCCAGGTTAGTCTTAAAATGTTATATCTGCGAGAAATTAACACAGAAAATAACAAATTTATTTTTGTGTTAGTCATTAATTAGAATAGATATTTAAAGTTCAGTGTATTTACTTCAAATCGTGTTTTATTCTATATGTCATAGTTTAATTTCTAATTATTGTTCTTAGGTTAACAAGTGTACTGTGTCATGAAATTGGAAACTTGGCAGCAAAATTTGTTGCATGTTTAAATAAACTTGCAGTAAGTCAAAAACGCATTTATTTTAACCCACATTTAAAATAATGAATTATTATTCCATAATATACAACTTTATTAAGACTTATTTTTCCTCAGGATAATATTGTATTTTTTCATATTATATGATTTCATAATATTGTATATTATATATTAATATTCTTTCCTCAGGATAAACAAGAAAAAGGTGATGATGTGACACCTTTAGTGACCAATGTTTATCTTGAGGTGAGGGGTCCAATAATTATCTGTTTGTTATAGAAACTACTACGACTACTAGGCCCACATTATGCTTTAATTATTGAATTTTTAATGACAATTTTTTTAAAGAATATTAAATGCTGTCTTTGTCAACATTATTTTTTCTGAAATACATTTTGCCAGTGAATGATCATCTTAACATTAACATGATATTCTGAAGAATTGAACTTTAAGCCTATGGACCTACCTCAAAGCAACAATGTTTAAATTTTTAAAAATATTATTTAAGAGGAAAAAAAAGTTACTTGCACATTATCATACATTTAATTCTTAATGTTGATGTATTTCAGGCTACAAGGACCTACCTCAAAGCAACAATGTTTAAATTTTTAAAAATATTATTTAAGAGGAAAAAAAAGTTACTTGCACATTATCATACATTTAATTCTTAATGTTGATGTATTTCAGGCTACAAACAGCAGCACATACATTCAAGATGCTTTCATGTTGCTGTTACCTGTCCTCCAACATGCAGCTATTGAGCACATGATCATGTCTAAACACTCATGACCTTTGTGACCTCACATCAGGGGAAGACTATCCTGTCCATGTAAATAGTTGTAAATCAGAGTGATGCAATACTACCAATTGTTATTTGATGGAATTGTGTGATTGGGAGATTTTATACACAACATACAGTGTCATCTTTTTATTCAAGGTGATAGCATTGCTGGTTATTGTTGGATTGTTGCTGATATTTTATTGATCTGTTGGAAGGGGAATTTCTACTATAACGCTAAAAAATGATCTGCTACTTAAGTATTTTTCACTTCTCTCCAAGTTCTGATCAGCACAAGTGTTATTTTAACCTTCCAGCATAATTAAAGTTCATTATATTTGTCTGGATTATCAGTCACACTATCTACTTGAGGAAATAGTTGTATTAATTGGTAAGTTTTTTTGTAACAGTATAATTCTAAAAAAAAAAAGTAATAATTCTTCGACTTAATTTTTTCTGTCTACTTTAAGTTGAGTCTACTTTGTGCTATATTCACAACATAATAAATGCAGATTGGGGCTACTTAAAGTTGAAATGTTTATATTCAATGTCCAATGATATATTTTTTCTTTTGTTTGTTACCTCTACTAAAAAAAAAACAAGTACTGACAGATCTGGGCTAAAAATGTAATACATAATGATAGAGTGGCATAGTCAAGCAGCAGGGCAAGTGACTGCTAAGCTGAAGATCCCAAACTCTAGTCTGTGGGACATATATGAGTCCACCCAGCTCTGATGGGTACCTGACTCACGTTATGGAAAGAAAAAGTAATGGTATAGAAACAGGTTGACTTTACTTTATTTGCTCCATCGACCCCAGGTTTATAAGGGTAACTCACTGTATGTTTATGAGACATATTGTTTTTCAAGTTAAAAAACTTCTGAATTTCTATACTGTTGGGGTGTATATAGATGTACATTGTTTTATTTAAAAACAGGGGTGTATTAGTTTTACTTTATACCATTGTCATTTAAAGTGAAATGTACACAATTTAAGTTAGTTTTATTGATACAATTTTTGTATTTGACTTGTATTGAAACAACCACATGTCTAACCTATGACCCCTGAAGATTTATCACTTGTAAAGATGCATTATCTCCCATTTATGAATATTTATTACAAATGTTTTAGTCATTTATTCATAAAGATATAACCTAGGTAAAAAGAAAATAACCTTACTTTCCCAAATTACCCTCATTTATACTGCAATCTTGTCATGTGACATTCACTGAACTGTAAACCTTTTAATATTCGCTATTTTCTAGCTTATTGTTTGTATATAAAGTGGAGATAAAAATGATTGGAATATTAACAATAGAAACAGGTATATCTCTAGCTAGAGAATGTAAATTTAGAACACAATTGTTCAGTCACTGAATTATTTATACAATTTTCAAAAAGCACTCCTGCAACAGCTGACTTAGTTTATCAACACTGCACAAAGCTCCACTTCTGATTGGTTGTTAGCTTTGTATTTATTAACATAATTTGTTGTGGGTGCAGACTTAAGGTCCTCTACATGATTTCTACCTACTTTGTGTTCTAATTTTCTGTCATGATTTTAAAATAGAGCTGTGATTTGTACTTGACACTTTTAGTGCACTGTATGTCAATGAATTTCAAATAAACATTGTAGAGTTCCAAATTTGCCTGTTGTTTATGAACATATTTATTTTTCTGAGGCTTCTTAAATACTTAGAAAAAGGATGGTCATGTCTGAAATGTATGTTATTGCTACATGTATGTGTAAATCTCACTTTTTTTGTGCCAACTGAACTCTAAAAATTCCTGTCCTTTCTAGTCTTTAAAATTGGTATTAAATAAATGTACTACCGATACCAAAGACAGTGATGAAAGAAACAATCAAGAAGCTACATCAAATGCAAAAGAACTCAAAATGGTAGTATTAAAATTTTTTTTAATAAAAAATAAATTTTATATTACAAAATCAAGTAAACATCAAATATTTATCAAGTGCATGTTGTATGTAAAACTAAAAAATTAACAAATACATATTTTAACCATCTCTAAATGAAATATTTTCTACACAATTTAGGCATGACTCACAGCTGATGGTTAGAAAAGAATTTAATTGACCACTCAGCTTTCTTCAAAAACTAGTTAAAAATAACCTAGAAATTGTCGTAACATTTGAACTATGATTTTCAGAAATATTTACCCACATAAAGCACTCACATATAGTATAAATCCCATTATGGTTCTCTTTATTTGAGGAACCAGAAGAGACAAGCAATTTTTATGGACGGAATGAAACTTAAGAGAATCAATTGACAGCAATAAGGACAAAACTTTTTGTGCCAGCCACTATATCAAGTTTCTAAAATTTGTAAGAAGAAAAGACAAAAAATAAAACCTAGATTAATGAGTTAAAATAAAATCATGACTTGGGACAGCTAGTTTAAAATAAGTTGGAATGAGTCCTCATAGCTAGACATAAAAACATCTGACAATGGACACCACTAAACTCTACTGAAATGTACATAATGCCACTGAAACAAAAACAAACAACCTAGAAATAAAATGAAAACAGACTTCAGTAACAGTTTGTCAAAATGTTTAACCGCTTTCTTTCAATATTAATATTAGAAAAGACTAGTCCAATTAGGCATCTTATTTAGAGTTGGCTTTAATAGGTGGTTGGAGTAACTATTTTGTTTAAAAAAATTAAGCTTAAGTGTAAAGAAATGCAGATAAATTATATCACAGATGGTGAGACTATGCTTTAGGAGTCGGATCTTGTTTTCATTCTTTTTAAACATCCAAACTGACAATGAACCCAGGTATGAACCCAAGTCAGCTTTGGGTGTCAGATCTTGTTCTCATTCTTTTAAACATCAAAACTCACAATGACCCTAGGTCCTGATACCTGAACTATGTCATGTGTTTGTGTGGTGTTAATAAAAGGTCAAGAATAAAGCTAGAGACTGCATCCTTCCCTCTAGACAATCCCACAGCAGCAGAGACTTGAAGGTGAGCAGTGTGACAGAACCAACCAGCAGTCAATTCAACAGAGAATTTATACTTGAGTCCTTGCGCTTCCTAACACAAAATAAAAAATAACATAATTTTTGTAGCAAAACAGTGATTTTACTGTAGACAGGGAAGTATTTTATAGTCTCATTTTATGATATGGTTTCTAAAAATAAAGTAGTAAAATAGTTTTCTGAACATTTTAAAGCAAAATTAGCTTAAGATAAAGAAAGTCAATGAAAAGAATGATGGAGCTGTCAAGCAACCTACTTTCTGGAACTTTTAGGTCTGTTGGCAGTCTTTGGTCTACTGGACTTTGATCCTTTGCTAGTCTTGGCTTTCAACGCGTCTGTTTCTCCTTCTCTGGTGTAGGCTAGGTATACGTGGGACAGGTCAATCTCAGGGCTCTGTAAGGGATTGGAGGTTTGAACATGAAGGATAAAGAGATTGTGATGTGTGTGGGATTGGAGGTTTGAATATGAAGGATAAAGAAATTGTGATGTGTGTGGGATTGGAGGTTTGAACATGAAGGATAGAGAGATTGTAATCTCAGGGCTCTATGTGGGATGTAGCTCTCTAGAAAAGTGACAGAGTATTCTAAGTGAGGAAAGATCTAGCACAACTAGAGCTACAGCTACAACCACCATCAAAATTAACCTCATAAAAATGTACTCAAGTGGAGGTGACACTGAAGTCATGTAAATAAAACATCTCACTTTTTCTTTCTCTTTGTCAGGTTGGGGTGTCTGTTTCCTCATGTTGTTCCCTGTGTAGGCCACACATCTAAGCTGCCACTCCCCAATGTCATCATTCCAATGTACATGTCTCTCTATCATGTCCTTCAAATTAGTGGAAATTTTTATTATTCCTTATGGATACACTTTATAATGAAAAAGGTTATTTAGCTACTAAACATAAGGGAAATCATAAAATAATATTGTTAAATAAAGACAAAATTTGAAAAAACTGCAATTAAATCGGTTCAAATGATATGTTTTATATTTTAATTAAAAAAAAAAATCAGCTGATAAGTCTAAATTCATGTTTAAAGTAAAACAAATATTTAAATTATTCAAATTTCTTTGAAAAACTGTAAAAATTGATGAAAGCATTTTATAAATATTTGTACATATATTTTTTAAACTACCTGAAATTCAGGAGGAATAAAGCTGTCTATAACTGTCATCTGTAGTTTGAGGTCTCGGCTGAGTTGCCTGACATTCTCCAGCAGTCCCTCCATCTCCCTCTGGTGTTCCTGCTGCATGTCAGCAATCTGGGACCACAAAGGTCAAAAGTCATGGGTCAGTTCAATGTGTCCAGAAGGTCAAAGGTTTTAAGTCATGGGTCAGTTCAATGTGTCCAGAACTAGAGCTTTGTACAACTTTCTATAATCCATAACATGGCACAGAATATTTAAATTTTTAATTAGGATTAGGGATGTCAATGGTACATTACCTCTGATTTAGCTTGCATCAGCATTGTCCAAACTCGTTTAAGTTTTTTAGTTTTTCCCGTGACTTCTTCTTGTAAACTTGAATATTTTTCCTCAATGTCCAATCTCTCTTGCTGTGGAGGGGATTCATTCATTAAACACAGCACTAAGCAAAAAACATCTAACATTTGACTAACAGAATATCAACTTTTTCAACATGGTCATTTCATAATTGTACAAGTCATTTTTGTTTTAACAAAAACTATAAACTAACTAAATAACAAAATGTTTCAGTTAAGACAAATTAAAAATATTTTTTTCTGACTGGCTAAGGATAGTAATACTAAAAAGAATGTGTAAACTATCCCAAAATCCACAAAAATGACTAAGATATGGCTGATAATTTGACCAAACGGATGTTAACTAATGTTGACCCACTTCTTTCTCCTCCAGTGCTCTCTTTAGCTCCTCCTCTTTTTCTTTACGAGCTTCTAACTCTCTGGCACTTTCTTCTAACAACCTTTCCTGCTCCTCTGCCTTCTCAAGAAGATTCTCTCCTCCCACAATAATTTTCTTCTCAATCACTGATAATTTTTGCTTCAATTGTTCTTGCTCATCTCTTAAAGAAACATACAAAAGCAATGTAATCAATAGTAATGACACATCGTCTTTCTTAATTTAAATTCAAAGAAATCAATTACATTTTCAATTATACTTATTTTACCAGATTATTTTGATATTACAAGCATCTAGCTATGTGTTCCATAATTGATTAAAATGAATTTAATTCTTCAAGATATAAATTATATAAACCAAAGTCAGGATATTAATAAAATAACAAATAGGAAACAAAAACAGAAAAATAATAATAATAGGAATGCAGAATACCTATGCAACATAAAACTAAGAAAATATTTCACATTAAAATAAAAAAAACCCCGTGAAGTTTGGAAAACCCACTGATATTTTTTCAGCTCTGATTCTTTCTTCTCCAGGTCTGTTTTGACTTTGTTCCTTTCTTCCTCTGCCATGTCCTTCTTGGACTCCAGGAGTCGTCTGTCTTCTTCAATTTTTGACTGAATCTCTGCCATTTTCTCCTTGGATATGTGGCGTTTAGCTGATGGGGAATAGTTAACTCTTGTAGATGAGGGAACAAAAGGGAGAGACTCAAACTAAACAATAGAAAATTTATACTTATATTTTCTAGACTTTGTAAATTTTAATATACTTTGTGTAATATTACAATAAAAAAAAATTACTGAAACAAATTAGATAAATATATGCATGATATGCTTGATGTATTTGAAGAAACAATTAACTTTTATAATTGAATACTCAATGATTTATTTAAACAACTTGTCATCGTGATATTTGAGCCTGTTGTTATCAAGTGCAATAAAAAACCAACCAACAGAATAAAACCAAAGGAAAAAAATAATCTGCAAAATGGGGTGATGCAAACATTAAATAATGTGTCATAACTTTAGCAAGCTCAATAACTCAACAGGTATACAATGTGTCATAACTTTAGCAAGCTCAATAACTCAACAGGTATACAGCATCCAGCAAACACACTTGGGAAAATGTATACACATCTAAAAGGTTAATCAGTTTTCTCCTGATTGGTAGGAGGACCATTTCTAATAAATGAGAACTAAAACAAACAAAAATAAAACATTACAAAAAGTAATGCATTTATAGATCATTTTCACAAAATCTAAAATAAAGTCACGGTGAACAAATTAAAGTGTTGTTATATAAGTGACTGATCTAACATGTTTGTAATATGCAGGACCATGCTCCTATGTGATGTGTCTAAACTTTTAACAATATCCAACTCCCACTACTGTCTTCTTGTAGCTAAAAAATAAATTTCACTAATTTGATAATCTTACAGGTGAGCATGAGCAACACACTCATGAATGGAATCAAAACATGTTTTGTGTGTCTTAGAGGCCAGAATAAGCTCAAACCTAAAAACATTTTCACTGCCATAATAACAATCAAATGATTAAAATATAAACAAAAGATTTTCTTCAATTTATGACAACAGAAGCAGCATATCTATAGTTAGACCAAGCAACATTCAGTCTTACCCACATCAACTGTTTGTTTAAGGTTTAGAAAGCAGAGTGCAATGTATTTCATTCATCTATTTAATATTAAAAGTCTACAGTTGCAATGTCAGTATGTCATGTTCAACATTTGATGAAAAATAAACTTGCCATCTATTTGCCAAATGGGTGAATTATTCATTAATAAAACAATTGGACTATTAAAATGAACTTGCAATCAATTCAAACAGAATTTTTCTTACTTCAAACATCTCAAAAAACAAACTTCTAAATAAAAAATAAATTAAAAGACACTTACCATCTATTTGTTGGTGTTTAAAAAAGATTTAGGAATAAAATAATGAAAGAGATAAATGTTATATTAAGTAGTACCAGCAGTAAAAAAAATTATTTTAAAAACTTTTCTAGTTCAGTTGAGCTAGAGCAAAGAAAGAAATAAGTCATCATTGAAAATTGGCCTCCAGCTTCTCATTTGCCACAAGCAGAGAAAGTAGCTTTAAAGAATAAGTGTTGTATAGGCAACCAAACCTATGTCAAGCCACGGCTGCAGTCTGTAGTTCCACCCTTTCATGCTTTAGAAAGATTTTATTCTCCGTCAACTACCAGTGAGAAACGTTAGCATCACTTAGCTCACCTTTTCTTTTCTTTTTGACCATCCTCTTCTGTCCATTTTCATCAATGATCTCTTCTTCAGATCCTGATTCATCTTCACTTCCCTCCTCCTCAGATCCACCACCTGGTCACACAATTTGTTCATAGTTACAACATTGAACTAGTCAAACAACACTATCTTAAATTACAGTTAGATGTCCATTAAGAGAACACTGTTACAAGTACTTCAGTAAGTTACCATCTTCAAGCTGTTTCCTCAGCTCCTCTATCTCTTTCTGGAACTGTCTGAGCAGTGCATCTTTGGGATCTTCATTGATCTTAGCCTTGTTCTTGATGTTCTTGGCCCTGTTGGCGTACCTCAGTGTACTTATAGACTCATCATAGTTGTAGTCTGCAGGCCCAACATTTGCCACCTGGGAATAAATAGTCACAAAAACATAAATAAACAGAAATATTTAGTAGAACTTTAGAAATAACTCACAACATTATTATACTACTGTGTGCATTAACGAATCTGGTACAATCTACTTGCACTGAGTGCATACATTCACAGCAGCAATGTGAGTTCACACAAGTCAAATTAAAATAACTAACAGGTTAATAGTTTATTCAGAGTCTAAGGGATTACACTCCTGTAGGACTGAATGATTCTAAAACATAAACTAATGTATACAGTATGAATAGTCAACTGTAGCTTTATTACATGTTCAGTTTTTTAAAGTCCCTTTTTTATAGATTTCATATTTTTACTTGCCTTTGAAATTTAAGTTTCCTCTTTTTTTTTTGTTTAGTAAAAATTTTTGACACATAAAACAATGAGTAAACAAATATTTGAGTATTAAAAAGATGAGTTTTGACATATAATTACCATAACAGTTTTAGAAACACCAAATATTTGAATATAAAAAAGATGAGTTCTGACGTATAATTACCATAACAGTTTTAGAATTCCCCCCCAGGGAGTCCTGCAGCAGACGGGTGAGCTTAGAGTTCCTGTAGGGGATGTGTGTGCTCTTGCCATCCACCAGGGCTGAGATCACATTACCCAGGGTGGACAGGGACAGGTTGATCTTGGTGGCTTCCTTTAACCTTTGACCTGTGGCTCCAGTTTTGGCCTGGCGTTCTGACCCCTAGTGTGAAATAAAATGAGAAATACGACTTCATATTTGACCAGTTGCAATCATTCATAATATATTTGAAGAGAACTAATAGCATCACTGTGTGGGAGGGAGGACTTACAGCCAAGTCCACCAAATGTAGCTTTCCCACCCTGACATGCTGCTCCCCATCTGGTCCCTTCTCACTGCACTCAATGGTCACAGTAAAGATGGCGTGAGATCTTGAGCTGTGCATGTTCATGTTGGTGGCGCCCACGGATCCTATAACACAAACTCTCACATTTTACATACAGCCAAACACAAACTCTCACATTTACATACAGCCAAACAAACTCTCACATTTTACATACAGCCAAACACAAACACTCACATTTTACATACAGCCAAACACAAACTCTCACATTTCACATACAGCCAAACACAAACTCTCACATTTACATACAGCCAAACAAACTCTCACATTTTACATACAGCCAAACACAAACACTCACATTTTACATACAGCCAAACAAACTCTCACATTTTACATACAGCCAAACACAAACTCTCACATTTACATACAGCCAAACAAACTCTCACATTTACATACAGCCAAACAAACTCTCACATTTTACATACAGCCAAACACAAACACTCACATTTTACATACAGCCAAACACAAACTCTCACATTTACATACAGCCAAACACAAACACTCACATTTTACATACAGCCAAACAAACTCTCACATTTTACATACAGCCAAACACAAACTCTCACATTTACATACAGCCAAACACAAACACTCACATTTTACATACAGCCAAACACAAACTCTCACATTTTACATACAGCCAAACACAAACTCTCACATTCTACATACAGCCAAACACAAACTCTCACATTTTACATACAGCCAAACACAAACTCTCACATTTTACATACAGCCACTACAGCCTAACTAGACTAAACAAAACTATAATTGTACATTAGAGTTTACTGGATAAATTAGAGTATACTTTAGAAATTAGAATTAACAGGATAAATTAGTTTACTGTATAAATTAGAGTTTACTGTATAAATTAGAGTTTACTGTATAAATTAGAGTTTGTTGTATAAATTAGAGTTTACTGTGGCATACTATTTTTATTTCCAAGTGTCATGATTCGGTCCATGTCATCAGCGTTGTTCACAACAAAAGCTGACAAGTCTTTAACATACACACCAACATCAGGCCGCTCTTTTACCTACAGAAATTTAAAAATTCTAGAAATTAGGTACAAATGTAAATAATTAACGCTCTTTTACCTACAGAAATTTAAAAATTCTAGAAATTAGGTACAAATGTAAATAATTAAAACCAATTAGTTAATTTTACAAATGCAAACCACAATTAGAATTAAAATTAGTTATGGTTGGTTACCTCCAGTCTCTGAGTCTCATCTTTTCCTAACAAATCACGAACTTCTTCATTGTAAATCTCAAGGTAGGACACACGCACTAAGAACCTAAACAGTAATTAATACTTTAGAAAACAACAGGTAACTCGTTCAATTCATTACAGTTAATGTACACAAATAATAAATACATTACAAAAAATTTGTTTTACTACATAAAGTGTAAAGCCAAGCTACCTGGTATCCCCCTCTGCCTTGGCAATGTGGCCAAATATGTGAGCAAAAGAATTTGGGATGATACCTCTCTTCTCTGGTATAGCTCTAAGACCTTCCATAGTGTAGGTCTTTCCTGTGCCAGTTTGTCCATAGGCAAAAATTGTTCCTGTAAAAAAAAAAATTGGAGAATTATAAATTCCTTTAAAACATTCAGGTCACCGAACTCAGGAATGACTTAAACTCCACACAACAAACCATTGTATCCCTCCAGCACGCAGTCCACCACCGGTCTCGCCACTTTGTTGTAGACATCCAGCTGCTTACAGTCAGGCCCAAACACAATGTCAAAGGTGAAGGTTTTTGGAGGCTCTGCCTGTGAAGCCTGAGGATTCTTTACAGTCACTGAACCTCTCATTTCATCAATCTTTAAAAAAAAAATACATTATTAACAGCAGCATACATGTGGCTTTGGACTGGATGTGAAGGGACATGTGTTCAACTCAGAAGATTGTGTTTATTGAGCTTTGTTAACCTTTTAGGTAGGCCTATCTATTATTTTTTATATTTATACTAACATTGTTATCTATTTATCTTAGTAAGTAAATTGTGTTGACATAAATTGCAATGTTGTCATGTATGCATGACCCCTAAACTCACATAGGAGAAATCTATATAAATATAAGTGTATATATATATATATACCTTAGTAAATATTATATCTATATACTATTCAGGTAAATACTTACCACTACAACTATGTTGCAGTTAGTTTCTTTTTCTTTATCATTAAGAGGTCTTGATCTTACTATAACTCTTACATTTTCCACATCTTTCATACTTTTATTTTCCTTAAAAAGTTTTTAAAAATTAGATATAATAAATCATTTCTAAAAATTACAAAATCAGGATTAAAAAAATAGAAACAACTTTAAAACAATACAATAGATTCACAAGGCAAAAGTCTAGCTAAGACTGTTATTTTAAAGAAAATCAATACATTAATTACTAAGTGTCAGTGTGGTTGGGTCGGTAAAGCTCACGGTTGCTAACCCAAAAACTCATGAGTTCAAACCCCCTGGTAGATGAGTAAACCATCTAGAAAAGAAAACTAAAAAATCAAACAACTGATGCTAACACAGCATCACTGGGCATATGGCCTTCCAGGAAAAGGTCACCAGCCGCTAGAGTTTCTAGATGAACTTTAAGGGTCATGGCTTTGTGACCAAGGTGAAGGACCTAGATGGAGGCATCTGGCTGTGGTCAGACAAAGTGAGGGGTGGGCACTGCCATGCAACACTTAGCCCCCTCCTTAAGGGTTAAGGGATTATTTATTTATATTAAAAAAAATATTATTAATACTACTAATATAATAATCACAACTAATCAATACAGTTTAATAATATTTGATGGTGTGTAGGTAGTTACACAACAAGACTAAAGTACTATAGTATTTAGTTAACTAAGAAGTCAGGGCTGCTATCTCAGTATCTGACTGCTAATTTCTAGATTCTAGATCTAGACCCGAGACCGGTAAAACTCCATTTTAGCATATTTTATTCTCCGCTTGTCGTTTACCTCCAGTTGAGCGTATTTTATTATAATAACCGAAACACACCAAAACATTAGGAAAACACAATTTATTTATTTGTATTGTATTGTTGTTTTCACAAATGAATAAAAAGGAATATTTAAAAAATACGACTTATTTATTTGTATTATATTTTTTTAAAGGCATTTGTCTCATGGTGAAACTGATACACTATTAATTATTCTGTATGATATTTTTGTATTTATGCTATAAATGTACAAACTCTGTTTTTTAATACTGAAAAAAAATATTTTACTATAGAGTTGTATGTTATTTAAATTCATAGTAAATCTACCATCTTTCCCAATATTTTGATATAGATCTATGTATCAAGTATGATTTTTTGTATGAGTAAATTTCTGACTTTAAAAAAAAATAATGATGTGGGGTTGTCCATAAATGACGCCACACTCGTAGGGGAGAGGGGGGTCCACAATTTTGTGACGGTAAGTGACGGAGGGGAGGGGGGCAGAGGCGTAGCGACCCTTCCCGGGGACATTCTTTTCGATTTGCACCCCCCTCAAACTTTTGATTTGCACCCCCCTCAACCTTTCAATTTATTTTTCCAACCCATTTTGGCGCCCCCTAAGGTCGGCGCCCGGGGACATGTCGTCGTCCCCCCCCCTGCCACGCTATTGGAGGGGGTAGGTAAAAATCGTTTTTAAAAAGCGTGACGTCATTTATGGATGATCCCTGTAATAAATTTGTAAATTTGTATTATTTAGCTGTTCGTTTTACTATTTAAATTCATGCATTACGATTGCATTTTTTTTTTACAATATTAGTTAAATTAGTCTATTACTGTACAGCCTTAGAAATGCGAAATAACTTATGAAATTTAGTGTCTAACACTATTTTTTAAAATGGCAATGTGAGTTGTCACACTTTCTCTAACACCCCAAGCCATCCCTCACCAAATTCCACCACCCCCCGCCCCACTTTCGGCAGCTTTTTAGGGGTCATCCATAAATGACGTCACGCTTTTTTGACGATTTTTTCCTCCCCCTCCCCTCCGTCACACGTCGTCAAACAAAACCCAGACACCCCCCCCCCCCTAAAATAACGTCACACCTCAGCCTCTGTCAAAATAGAGTATTTTAATCAACTCCTATTACAATTTATTAAAAGTTTTCTAAAACGCGAAATAACGTCTACAATTTGCTTTCTAACATTGCTTTTTTATAATGCAAAAGTGTGACATCGCACCATCTGAACCCCCCTCCCCCTCATCAAACACCATCACAAAATTACGGACCCCCCTCCCCCCTTACAGTGTGACGTAATTTATGGACGACCCCTTATACTTTTAATACTTTTATTCTGTTAGTTGAAATTGGAACACTTATTTGTACAAAGTGTGCATCTCTATTTTTGCAACCAACAAACAAAGCATTTCAGTCAGTCTCTTTGTTGTTTTTATTCATTTGTTAAAACAAAAATACAAAACAAATAAATATTAAATAAGTCGTGTTTTTTGAATATTCATTTTTATTCATTTATGAAAAACAACAATACAATACAAATATTAAATTTTTTAAATTCGTGTTTTCCTAATGTTTTGGTGTGTTTCGGTTATTATAATAAAATACGCTCAACTGGAGGTAAACAAGCAACGGAGAATAAAATACGCTAAATGGAGTTTTACCCCCGAGACCCGAGACCGTCGTAGACTCGTAGCCTAGGCTAGGTCGCCTAATAAAATAAATTATAAATCTAGGCCTAATATAATAAATATCTACTTACTGGCATTTTCGTTGACTTTATTATCAAATACACAAACTATTAAAAATTAAGAAAAAAGGTTTGACTTTATTTTTTCGTGGTCTAAAATATAAAACAAATTCCAGCTTCTTTCATTTTTTTTTCTATTTTGGTAGTTAACATAAATATGTTGAAAAGCGCAGCCGCATTTTTCACATCCGTATCCTGAAGCCTAGTCCAGAGGCTAAAATTTAAGTAAAATCTGATTATACGAAACAAAACATCTTTATGCTTTATTGCCTATCTTTGTTTTAAATAAAAACATTAATTTTACGTTTGTTTTTCTTATTGCTAACAAAAATCCTGCCAAAATACATTTATCTTAGCACCGATGTTTCAACAGTTGTCTGTTGAAAGTCAAAGAGTTATTTTTTTTCTATTTTAGAGGTCGTCCATGTCCATAAGTAATAATATTATAAGTATTAACTTTATTAAGTAAGCCTCGGACAACCTACGTACGCTTTTTTGTCGATTAACTCCTCCTCACGTCGTGAATAAAAATCAGATACCTCTTAATGATAACATACAAAGATTAAAAAAATAACTTCCAAAAACATTAAAGTTCATGCGGACCTATTGGTTCCACTTTTAAATTTATTTTTAAAATTGCTGAGTTCTGTCGTAGTCTGATCCTTACAATTTCAATAAAATGCATTAGGTTATTGCAAGCTTTATCGTACTTTTTAAAAAGTGCTTCTCTAAAAAATTACATAGATCAACAGCCTTCATACCATAGTCATTATTTTTTCATTAATAAAATTGTTTAAAACGTTCAAAAGATGTTTAAATGCTAGCTATCATCAAATCTAGAACTGGTAAGGGAAGCTATTCATTTCTCTTTAACAATGTTCTTATTTAATTATAGCCCCCCTTTAATTTTTTAAGGCGGTATGAAAATAAATAAAATTTTGTAGGCCTAGACTAGAGATTAGACACTTGATTTCTACACTTGATTTTCTGTTTCTTAGCAGAGGCGCGTAATATAATCTAGTCTAGACTTAAGCATTAATAAGTAATAATAACCCAATAGAAAATCTATTATAATTATCGTCTAGACTAGACTGAGACTCTAGACTAGACTCTCTAGTCTAAGTGACTCTACTAAGTCTAATTCTAGTCTAATCTTAATAATCTCAGTCTGCTAGGCTGAGTCTAAGTCTAGGACTCTACTCTCAGCTGTAGTCTAGTATACTAGTAACTTTAGTACTTTACTAATAAAGTAAGTAGTAGTAGTAAGTCTCGAGTCCCAAGCCTAAAGTCACACTAAAGTGATACTGATAGTAAAGTGACACTAAAGTCTGTCCAGTACTAGAATCTAGATTCTTCTAGAACTTTTAGTTTTTACTTTTTAGAGTTGTTCTAGATCTAGATCTAGAATAATCTAGATTCTAGCTAAATTTTAAAAAAAAATGATTTTAAACAAAGCTGATGAACTCTATTCTATACTACTCTAATAACCTATATAAAAAATATAGTATACAGTATAGTCTCTAGATTTATTAACTACCTTTCAATAAAAATCCAAGTAGAATGCATTTTGGTTTTCCCGACTAGAAGTGATATAATTTAAGCAACCCAGCACCAGTGAATTTTATGTAGATCTATATAATACTATATAATTATCATCTTTTCCTGTTCGTGTTTAAGACACATGGGGCAGATAAAGTTCATCTGTTTTAATGACCTTGGCATACAAGGGGATACTGTGATCAGCACTATGCCCAGCCGCGTTTTGTTTCCCTAACGAGAGTTAGTTACCCATCAGAACTTGGTGGAATCATGGACGTTCTACTGATTTGAACCCACCCAGATTTGAACTCGAGACTTCCAGGTTAGCAGTCTAGCTCTACCGCTACGCCATGGCATCCTAGGTAATGATAGTCCTAATAAAATGGGCGTCGCGATAGTAATGAGAGAAGACGCCTTGAGTATTGGGTGTTAGGGCAAGTGATGGGAGATAGATCTAGATACTTCCAAAACAACAACCCTCTAATACCCATCTGACCTTGTTTTTAGTACTTGAGTTGATTATCTTGTCTTTTTCTATCTACTAGTGTTAGAATTTTAACACTTATTATGAGTAAAGACGTTAACATGGCATACACAAAAGATCTTAAGACAATATAAGATATAAGATATAAGATGTGTTAGTTCCCTCCTAGGATTAGATGGGACTAAAACAGTTTTCAAACAAATAAAACTAGGATCATCCACACAGAACTTTCAGCAGTAAATAAGTACACTCTAAGTGTTTAAAAAAAATTCTTAATGTGTTTCAGATATTAAACTTACAGATTAAAATGGAAGAGTTCGATGATGATGAGGATGACAGTTTACTACTTGCAGCCATGGAAGTTGATGAGGTGGAAGAAGTAAAAATAAAATCTGAAGCCACTGAAGTGAAAAATGTTATTAATAACTTAGAAGAAGGTAATGAATACTTTAGCTGTGTTAAATGATAAGTTACCATTAGTTTTGTGGATGTTCCAGAAAATAGTTCCACTTCCCTTTAACTGTCACCTGTTGTACTGAAGTCACATACTAACTGTTTATTTAAACAGGTCCTGTCGATGTGCCAGAAACTTTTCCATTTCCTTTTAACCCATATGACATACAGAAGAATTTTATGAGAAGTTTATATGAATGCCTTGAACGAGGCAAAGTTGGAGTTTTTGAAAGCCCAACTGGAACAGTTAGTACATTTTAAATTCATTACTGAATGCTTTTTACTTGGTGTGATTTTTTTTTAGATTTAAACAGTAACCTCTGAATGTATAATTGTATATTCATGTTCCTGCTGAAGGAATGTGTTTTTGTGGTGTGATACCTTTCAAAATACAAATCTTACTATGTACAGGGCAAATCACTGAGTATAATCTGTGGCGCGCTGAAATGGTTGCGGGATTTTCAAGATAAACAAAGAAAAAAGTTAGAGGAATCAATCCCTGACACAAGGTACCAGCATTTTCTATTTTACTGGTGTCTGTTTTGAATAATTCCATTACTGCTGTATTTAAGTGCTTTTGGTGTGTCAACCTTTAAAATATTTATGTTTAGATTTGTTATCTCCAATAGTTTATATAGCTATCTATAGTTCATTCAAGTGTGATTATCCTTTAAATTTGACAATATGTTTTTTTTCAACAGAAAGCAGAACTCCTCTAAGGAAGAAAAAGGTGAGCTTTAGGGGAGATAATCCTTTAGGGGATGTAACTTTAGTAATTTTATGTATTTTCATTCTATTAACTTTAACTGGTTGGCAGGATATGCCAGTCCTCATGAATAGTCTAATAAAATTACCAACACAAAGTATTAGAATATCATTAAAAAAAACAGGAACAATTTAACATTTATCTATTGTTGTGCATAAGTTAAAGTGAAATAATTAGCTGCTCTTACTTCTTATTCCAAAATTGTTACATTCAATTTTTTTTCCTTAAATCTAGAGCTGGATTGGATCAGCCAATTTGCAGCCAAAAAAGAACAGGAAGAAAAGCTGGAAAAAATTAAGGTAAAACTTCACAAATTCAGTGTTGAATATAGTTTGCCAATATGCATAGTAGGAATTTATCTTATTGTTTGTTGTACCCAAAATATAAATGTAAATATTACAAGTTGTATTATTTCTGAACCCACATGTTTGAAAATTGTCATTTCAGTTAGAGCAAGAAGCCATAAAGAAAAGAGAATCCAAGCTTAAAGAACTTCAGAATTCTAATTATTTTGTCAGAAAAAGGAAGGTATATAAAGTATTTGTGATAGTTAACTGGTGCTCTTCTGGAACTAAACTTGTTAAGTTAAATAACAATTCAAGAAAAGTCACACTTTTCTCAGTGCGCTATGTTTTTCTAAATTTTCCGTTAGCTCAAGTCTAAGCTAGACACGGATTTTGAGGAGCTCATGGGCTCAGCCTCTGAAGACATCAAGCGAGCTTGCATGGAAGAATTGAAAGCTGTGGACCTGGAAGTGGACCAAGCTTTGTTGGACAAAGAGGATGATGATGTTGTTTTAGCTGACTACAATAGCGAGGATGATGAAGAGGGCAAGCAGAAACAAGATGAAGATAATGATGAAGAGGAAACTATAACTAAGGTGTTACATTTTATTAAAAATACTTTTTAAGCCTACAAAATTGTTTTTTTATACACCCAACAAATTTTTTTTATTTTTCTAAAAATAACAAATCAAAATCTCGAAATAAGTAGACTCTTGATCCAGGTATGTACGAGATGTTAAAATATGCATTAAAAATAATTGATTTCCTCTAAAAGAGAACTGAAAATCTTTTCAGATTTATTACTGCAGTCGTACACATTCTCAGCTTAGTCAGTTTGTAAGGGAGGTGATAAAAAGTCCCTATGAGGATGTTAGAGTAGTGTCCCTTGGCTCTAGACAGGTATGCAACTAAATGTTGTTTTTATTAAAGTTTTGAGATACATTTTGTTCTTTGCACATCTTTTGTAATTTTCAAATTTGTATTTTATAGACACCTACACTGACATTAATTTAATAAACTAAAATTAAATTCCATTTAAAAAAAAATCTGTTGTTAATATTCTTCAAGAACATGTGTATAAACCCAGCAGTGAAAAAGCTGTCATCCTTGAACCTCATCAATGACAGATGCTTAGAACTGCAGCAGAAAAAAAGTAAGTCTCTGATATTATAGTTAAAAACTTTCTCATGCTTTAAATATCATATCTTAGCAAGTTTACCAATAGTGACTCTAGGTGGTAGTAACCTGTCTAATTTTACTCAGGCAAAAAGAAGCCTGGCTGTCCCTTCCATAAACAAGAGCTGCTTCATGTGTTCAAAGATAAGACTTTGGTAAGTTCTTAGGGGGGTTATTCATTATTATTATACAGGATGTTAGGCAGAAGCTTTATCAAGTTGATGTCTGACTTTTATCAAACATTATTGCACATAAAATAATATATTTGTATATTTGTGACACAATCAGTTGTGTTGATCAAGATTTACCATTAGCTGCCTCTGTAATTTGTGTAGTTAGCTGTAGTTAAAAAGTTGTGGATGTATTTTATGTTTTCAGCTTGAAGTAGCAGACATAGAACAGTTGGTGACCACAGGCAAACAGATGAAAGCGTGTCCCTATTATGGAGCCAGATATGCTGTTCCACAAGCCGAAGTAAGCATCAGGTTTTTGACAGTTTTAAGTCATTTGATTTGTGTATTTAAACGTGTCAAAAAGCAAGGATGGTAGAGCTCACATCTGTTGACCCAAAGATCTCAAGATCATCCCTTAGTCCACCCAGCCCTAGGGTGTGGAAAGGGGATGGGCATAGTGCTGTCCACACTATCCCATTATCCTAAAGGTCACAAAAACAGATGAACTCTATCTGCTCCATGGATCCCCAGGTTTGCGGGGGTAACTTTATATGACATTTCACTTTCTTGTTTAATCCCTACATCATGAATTTCTCTATATATTTGTACCTTGTGACTCAATCATTAATCGTCCTGTTGTTTAAACATATAGATTCTGTCATTAGAATCAATTATGTTTGTAACGCATCCATTGGGTTTGTACATTATGACTCAAAAACCTTCTCTGTATGTTTTTAACTCGCTTGATCTGTGATAATCATCCATCATGTTTGTAATTTGCTGATCCTATCATTGGCAGATTGTAGCCCTCCCCTACAACACACTGCTACACAAGTCTACGAGAGAGGCTTGCGGAATCAAAATTTCTGGCAGCATAGTCATCATAGATGAGGCACACAACCTCTTAGAGACAATCAACAACATTCACAGTATTGAGATAACTGCTGGCCAGGTAAGCTACACAGTTATCTTCAAACATACAAATCTCTTTCTAAAGAGTTTATATCTGATGATTTAAAAACAACCTGTTACATTTTTTAACATTCGGCTGCTTTATTATTTTAAAACTTAAAGATGTTTACCCTTACAACTTTTTCAGATGGTTAAAGCTCATTGCCAGCTAAGTCAGTATGAGAAAAAGTTTGTTTCTCGCCTGACAGCAAAAAATTTGATGTATGTCAGGCAAATACTTTTTGTCTTGTCTCACCTGATTGCAGTCCTGAGAGGTGAGGGCTTGAACATTCAATGAACTTTTGCTGTTTGACATGGAATAATTTTTTTATTAAAATCTTTTTCCTTAGTTTGGTGATTACTACCTGAATCAATTAATAAGAGCTGAAATATTAGATCTTCTACTACATATGTGGAATTTACATACAATAATTTTAATGCTTTTAAATAAATGAATATCAACTGGAATTTTCTGTGAATCTGCTAAAATTGATATACATTTTCTTTCCAGGCAAAACCAACTACACAGTAGATTCACAAACAAATGATAAATCAGGTGAGTACATGGCAGCAACAGTTGATACTCAAAGATAAACATCAATGTGTTCAATAAAACTTTTATTTCACCAGTTGCAACAGTTGATACTCAAAGATGAACATCAATGTTTCAATACAACTTTTATTTCACCAGTTGCAACAGTTGATACTCATAGATAAACATCAATGTGTTCAATAAAACTTTTATTTCACCAGTTGCAACAGTTGATACTCAAAGATGAACATCAATGTGTTCAATAAAACTTTTATTTCACAGACACATCACTGTTGAACCTGAATGAGTTTTTATTTCGAGCTCAGCTGGACAACTTCAACATGTTCAAACTGCTGAGATACTGCCAGCATAGTCAAATGAGTAAAAAGGTAAGAGGTAGAATATGTCCTTAACTAAGCTTTGGCAACATTTCACATAAAGATAGTGTCAATGTAGTCAAATTAGTAAAAAGGTAGAAGGTAGAATATGTCCTTAACTAAGCTTTGGCAACATTTCACATATAGTGTCAATGTAGTCAAATTAGTAAAAAGGTAAGAGGTAGAATATGTCCTTAACTAAGCTTTAGCAACATTTCACATAAAGATAGTGCCAGCATAGTCAGATTAGTAAAAAGGTGAAAGTAGAATACGCCCTAACTAACTTTTGGCAACATTTCACTCAAATGTGGATCTTAAAAAATGAACACTAACTAACCTCATGGCAATTTTTATTTTAGCTTCATGGATTTGTTGAAAAGTATCAAGAACCAGAGTGTCAGTCTGGTAGGTTATAAATTGACTTAACAGTTTTGGAAAAAAATATTACTTTTTTATAATAAAGGGGAAATAACTAAAACAGGTCTCTATTACAATGAACAAAGTCATAGTTGTATTTTTTAAACAAATAAGTGTTTTTTTAATTAATCTTCCAAATGGTACTACAACTGTCATTGAAACAGGAGAACAGACATGTACAAAACCAGTCTCTGGATTGACTAAATTTTTACAAGAAATAAAAACACCAAAAGACAAGGTTGACATGAAAACACAAAATGAAGGTATGAACCTTAAATACGTCATGCCATTACTTATATTATTTTAAATAATAAAAGCGTAATGAATTTTTGGTTTGAAATGTTGAATGACTGTATGACTTGAAATGATAATAATTAAACAGTTGTTTTATAAACGTGACACTATAATGACTAAATATGATCATCTGGGTTGAGATGATGCAGAATGTATGTGAAATAAAAGGAGCATGTTTCTCAAATAAGGGAGGATGTGTTTAAAATAATGGAAATGTATGTGAAATGATGGAAAATATGTTTTTTTCTCTGACTAGAGCAATCAAGCTCAGACCAACCAACCAACACCAGCATGAACTCACCTTTGATGCAGGTTGAAAGTTTTTTAGGTGCACTCACCAATGCGGACAAAGACGGTCGGATTGTGGTTAATAAACAAGGTTTGATTAGTTCTATAAGATTTTACTGTGTTAGAAACAGAAAGCTCATCTGATATCTTCAAAATGTAACTGTCTGATAATTTGAGAACTTATAACAGTATGTTCAGTAAATAATTTATAAATGTAGCAGTCTGCTAATTTGATAACTTATAACAGTATGCTCAGTAAATAATTTATAAATGTAGCAGTCTGCTAATTTGATAACTTATAACAGTATGCTCAGTAGATAATTTATAAATGTAGCAGTCTGCTAATTTGATAATTTATAACAGTATGCTCAGTAGATAATTTATAAATGTAGCAGTCTGCTAATTTGATAACTTATAACAGTATGCTCAGTAGATAATTTATAAATGTAGCAGTCTGCTAATTTAATAATTTATAACAGTATGCTCAGTAGATAATTTATAAATGTAGCAGTCTGCTAATTTGATAATTTATAACAGTATGCTCAGTAGATAATTTATAAAGTTCATCTGATAACTTCAAAATGTAACAGTCTACCAGTTGGATCTGAAGTTAATAATGAATCGAATATTCAATAAGTGAAGGAAATTTTATTATAAAGTTAGTTTTATGTCAGATTTGTAGAAATTCACAATCACCTTATTTGTGTTTTGTATTTTTTCATCTGATGCAATCAATTTTTTAAAAAGTTTAATTAATTTTTACTGAAACAAACCAAATGTTTCACCCCCAGTAAAACTGAGCCAATCCAGCCTGAAGTTTCTGATGCTGAACCCCGCTGTACATTTTGTCAGTGTGCTGCAAGAGGCCAGAGCCGTGGTTGTGGCTGGTGGCACCATGCAGCCTGTAGGTGCACATTGTCTTGTTTTCATTCTGTGGTTATGGCACCATGCAGCCTGTAGGTGCACATTGTCTTGATTTCTTTCTGTGGTTGTGGCTGGTGGCACCATGCAGCCTGTAGGTGCACATTGATTAGTTTTCTTCTTTTCGTTGATTTCATTGATTTCACAATTTTGTTGAGCAGGTTTTACCCTAAAAAATTTTTTAATACAACCAAGTTGATTTAATGAAAGTGAGAAAATAAAGGTTAAACAGGTCTAGTAATTTAAATTGTTTATTTTAAAGGCGATTACAATTCGAATTATACTATAGTAAATATTATCCTTTATTAAAATTTACATTTTTGAAAATAGATTAATAATTATTCATTTTATTCATCTAGCAGTGCCCATGTGTTTTTACTACATGAGACAATTACAGTGTCTTGTTGTAAAAGTATTGGAATATTTTTTTTACAAATTTGAACAGGTGACAGAATTTAAGGACCAGCTGTTTCATGCTGCAGGGATCTTACCCAGTCGCATCATGGAGTTCTCTTGTGGTAGGTGTTTAAATTACTCTCTCTGTCTACATAGGGCTTACTTCAGTCTTTGTTTACATACATTTTCTGACACTCTTACTTAGTCTACTCTGAATATGCCTATGTATGTTTTATTTGTTCAATTTGTAAACTCTATACTCTTGATTTTTATTTTGATTAAGGGCACATAATTCCTGGGCATCAGTTACTTCCCCTGGTTGTAGCTACAGGACCCAGTGGTATCCCTTTGGAGTTTACTTTCCAGACCAGAGAAAAACCTCAAATAGTAAGTATAACTAATGGGGGGGGGGGGGGGGGGGGGGAGGTCAATGTAGTTTTTTTAGTAAGTGGGGAAAGGGAGATATTTATGGGGTCAGCTTATGTTATGACTATTGGGTAAGAGTTTTACAGGGGGTCAAGTTATTTTAGAGTTTTTGGGGACAGGGTTAAATGGGGTCAACTTACTTTACAACTAGTCTGGGAGTGGTTATGTGGGGGTCAGCTTCCTTAATAGATATTGGGAAGAAGTGTGTTGTAGAGGGCTGACAAAGAGAAGTTATATATTCACTTTTTTTAAAAAGAAGTCATATAATCACATGGTACAAAGAGAAGTAATATAATTGCTTGGTAGAAAAAGAAATCATATAATCACTTAGTATAAAGAGAATTTATATAATTACTTTGTACAAAGAGCATTTGTATACTAACTTGGTCATATAATCACTTGGTTATATAATAACTTGGTCATATGTGACTCTTTGAGACCTGGCACCAATTGCAGGAATTTGTTTTTATTTATGTTACACGATCCTTTTTGTTTGCTTGTTTGTGCCAAATCTTGTATCTTAATTTTGAGCCACTTCTAATGCAATGATTTCACGCTCACTTCCCAGAGACATTAGTCTCTGATGACAATACAATCTATATACTACTAAAAGTCAAGTTTGTTTACATGTTTGAATATTTATTTTTTTGTTTGTTTTTTTGTTTGTTTGTTTGTTTGCCTGATCGACTATTGTGATATGTTCGACTCAATCTGGATAGCTGTAAAATAGTATGTAGGTAGAGAATAATTTTTTAATGCAGACAGACTGTTAATCACACATTTATTTAAAGACGTTAATTAATTTATTGATTTATTCATACGCAGAGTAACCCATTTTTTTAAAAAAGATTAAAACGACCACTACACTCGGCGGGACCGTGACGTCACAGGTTTTTGTTTACTCTTTAGTACAATAAAATGGCGGCGTCTATCGAAGAAAATTGTGTTCCCATTCAAAAGTTTAACGCGTTCTAAATCTAATTTTCTGTCGGTCATAACTTTAACAATACGTCCGTTTGCTGTATTTATTACGTTCCAACACTTATATCAATTTTAAACTGTCTTTTTTCATTTAGTTTTACAATAAATTTCTCTAGATCTAAAGATCAGCTGTCGAAGGAAAGTTATGAATCTAGCCTAGATCTAGATCTAGCCTAGATCTACTTCACTAGACTTAATGTAAATTCTACATCTAGAATCTATTTCAGGCCTTAATACATCTAGAATCTATTTCAGGCCTTAATTATTTTATATAAATCTTTGTTTGGCTAATTTAAGATAAAATTTAATTTGAAAGTTACTAGATTCTACTACTAGACTTAGATCTAGATCTATGCGCGGAGACTCAAAAGTATAGTATAAAAATTCATTTGTGACGTCACGAGTAAACAGACGTGACAGACGTGATGTTTTTTGATGGATGACCCCCGAAACCCACAGTTATCCAACGGATGACGGGTATTCTAGTAATATCTAATTTTAATCTAATTAGACATTAGATTGGTCATTAAAATGTTGTTAAAATATCAATGAAGTCAATAATAAAAGGGATATAACAAGAATAAATAGTCAGTACTTTTTGCTCAAGCAGCTGTCCGAGGACTGTGAACCTTTTCGCGGCTGGGTGATTTTTTTGGTGCAGAGTCGATTACAGTTTATAAATTTAAATAATAAGATTTAAATCCACTGAAAATAAAACTAATTTGCATGGGTCGCCAAAATAAACGACCAATGCTTTTATTAAAGAAAGAAAGTTAGTTTAATTTGCCTTATTTTCAGTGCATTTAAATATAATTTAAAACCTTATTATAGCTCAAGTGTTTTAATTTTTTGCCTGATTTATTTTCTCTAAGCTGACAAATTATAAATTGTACAAAAATATCGAGTTGTCCACCATGATTGTGACTAAACTAGGAAACATTGTGTATTCAAACGTTAAAAGTGCACCTTAATCTTATCTTCTGCTATTATAGAAGAGAGAAGAGAATGACATCACGTGTGAGGACCAAAAGGTTCACTCGGTCACGTTGTAAAATCTTATGTTCTATTTTGGTCTGGGCAAAGCTCCACGCTTTCTTACCTCGCTTTCAAATGAATCCTTCCAACGCGTTAAAGTGCAATGCTGTCTCCCCCCACTTGACTTAATGTACTCCACCGTCGGAAAAGAAATGCAATCCGAAACAGTTAGGGTTTAACCAATGTGAGGGGTGGTTAGTGTTACGCTGATAAAAATGAACGAGGCCACGAAAAAAAAAAAACACTAAAAAATAAGGAAATAGTTAATGTGGTCTTGTCTATTTTCTCTTTCATATATTTGTGTCAAGTTCGCTTTGCTATTTTCATTTCTATTTGCACATGTAAAATTTACAGTAAATACGTAAAGAAGAAAGGCAATAGCCTGTTTGTTTGATTATAATTTGATAAAATTCTTTCTCATGACCGAATTTTTCTACTATTACACCAAAGCTTAAATAGAAAATATTTACATCAACTTTTCTCTGCACTATTAGAGTTGTTTAGAATGGGGGCAGCAGGAGACAGACGATATTGGTATTGTTAGTTCGCTCAGCCGCTATGGAGTGCAGACGTATGCTAGCAGTGCTTGAAGACGGATGGGCCGGTACGTGGGACACGGGTTGGCCATTATGACGTCGGAGTTCGTTTTTTTTTTTTTTTAAACCTGACCTCACCTGTTTGCTTGTTGGTCTACTTTTTAAAATATTTATCCATTGTTTTTCTCTAATTAAAACAACACGTTGCTGTAGTTAATGTTGGGAGCGTGCCTTGTCACCCTTCTCCCTTCCACCCCCCCCCCCCCCCCGTTTAGAATAATAGTTTTTACACCAGTGTCCGATGGAGTCTGATGTAATGGAATCTTCTTTAAAAGGGGTGTTAGGCTTATGGTAGTAGGTAGAACCTGTACTAAATACTAATTTAGGCCAATGTGAACTCTAACATCATCCCTAACCGAAATCCTACCATATCCTTTAATTTCTGATCCTAACTCTAAGCCTGATATTGATATCACAATACTTTTAACAACCTAACTCATATGTTCACAAGTCTGTTATGGATCGCGGGTAGCACAAATACCCCGAATAAGCAAATAGTGGCCCATAGTTTTTTTTTTACCGCTTAACTCTAGTACACGTTAGCGTGGATTGGTTACTTAATGGAGCATTGATTAAGTAAAAGACAAATTGTTTCGGTGACCTTGACATTTTTAACATTCACAATGCCCGTTGAAGACAGCGACATGATTTGTACACGTTGACACGATTTGTACACGTCGACACGACAAGACGGGCGACACGATTTTCCCCAACACCCGACGCGGGCCCATTCAAGTCACTCCGCCACAGAACTGACCTGGGTTGTTTCGTCGCCGCGTAGCTGACCTGGGTTGTTTCGCTTAGTCTAGCATGACCTTTTTTATGCCGTGACTTTTTAGTGGTAGCTGGGCGTCGAGCCCCATGGTGTCAGGGCGAGGCGAGATCTGAGGCAAAGGGGAGAGAACGCTCCCGATATGAATAGCTTGCCATTACGCATGTCCCAGATTCGCGCGCATGCTCCCGATACCATTCCCGTTTGCTCTCGCAGTCGGACAAAGTTTGTCTGTTAACCGGCGCATCCTGCTTGACATTGTGCCCCTTTCCCTCCGAGAAGTGGATCCGCCGTAGGGCTGGGCACAGTAACCTTTCCTTTTAATGTAGGACACTCGTTTAATACTGCTTGATAAAATCACGACTCCCCCCAACCCAGCTTTTTAAAAAGTTTTAAAGCAAACAGCACATATAGTTATTCTTCTTTACCCCCTCCACCCTCCCCTTAAAAAAATAAAACCAACTCGCGCAAGTAAATCTAAGCATACAGCCGATCATACAAGCATACACTAACTCAACAGTGCTATACTATAATATTGATGCTGATGTTTATTTAAAGCATAATATTTGATCAAACTTTATAGTACGATATTTCATTACAAAAATTATATTAATTATAATTTCTATTTACTTGATTTTATGTCTTTGGCATACTTGGACGTACAACTTTTCAATAATACATCTCTAGGTCTGTATTGTTTTCATTGTAAATAAAATAACTTAATTACGTTTTCATAATGCTCTTCTTCAATTAAAATATAGCCTTCATTTTTTTTCTGCTTACTAGTTCAATAAAGTAACGGAACTTCATGTTTTAGAATATAAAAATGGCATCTCAGTTTTTTTCTTACTTCAAATGTCACGACGCTTTTAGGAACAACCCCGTCGGCAACTATAGATTTTTACACCAAACACCGCCATCCTTTAAGCATACATGACCCCATTACCAGAACGTCGATTTTTTCCTAAGACCTCCTTTCGAAGGTTCTGGCAACGTTCTGTGAACGCGACTACAGCGTTACAGAATAATAATGTTGGTTTATGTTAATTGTGGACGAGTCCATTTCTTATTACCCAACATTCATCGTAGTCTATGTCAGATTTGATTTTTTATATGTTCACCTAAGATAAGGTTTATAAAACGATTCAGACTTTGTTTTATAAATATGAGTAAGATTAATAAAACAATACACTAAAATTCACCTGTAATATATGCAAAACAGCACTTATTTTAAAAATGTTAAAACGCATTAGAATTCTATCATATATACAAATTATTAAAAGGTTTTTTTTTTAAAAAAAAACACTATGCTACCTCCCCTCTTAATTTAATGGACGTGATTTAAAAATACAATCAAGTGACCCATATTTCTATTTTCTGCAGGAAGTAGGGGTGACAGGATTTGGAATATAGGATTACTTTCAGGGGTGTCAGCTTGGTCTAAATTGTATCACGCTCCACTATCGATTCGTCCTTGTAGGTCAGATAAAGAAAAATGGGGACGAGGTGACTTTTTGACTGCTACGCTTGCTAGATACCGAGTACACGGGGAATTCTCGCGGGCTTCGTACAGTACAAAACTGTCTAGGTCACAGAGCAGGCCGAACTTAGTGCAAAGTGCCGGTTGCACTAACTTGGCCTGGTCGCCTCTGATTAGGTTTTGTAGGCCAACTAGACTTGGCTTCGTTCATTGTAGGGGTTTGAGAGGTGAACGTGGGCCAGCCCATGGCAGTTTACGATGGCCTCGGTGGGTACGGTTAAATCCAGGTGCACCGTTTATGCACTGACTAGAGAAACATGCCCGGGGTGTGACAGCAAGGAGCGAACCAGATTCACGTGCGAGTTGTAAACATTTAAAAATGGCACGCGCCTGTTCTATTTATAAACATGGTCATGTGAGAAGAGAATGAATGAATACATAGTGGGAAGGGCGAACACATTGGCATAGGGGTGTTCATTCTTTAGAGGCTCTTGTATTAACCCAGCCACATGATAGTACCTGGAAGACGAGCAGTAGGCAGGGAGAGAATGGGGTGGGTAGAACCCCTTCCCATATGACGAGGACGACAGCTGTTTCACGTTGTTACATCTATTGTTTTGCTTTATGTTTACAGTTTTAAAAATTGAAATGCGGTTAAAATAACATAAGCGTGTATAAAATAGTTATGGAATGTGTGTATATATAGGCACACACACACACACATATATATATATATATATATATATATATATATATATATATATATATATATATGTGTGTGTGTGCCTATATAACAATTTGACCCCCCCCCACAGCAAGTTTTTTGCCCATGTCACCCCCTGGGATGTTGCCATAGTTATAAATGTAATAAAAGAAATCAGCTTAAGCTTTTTGTAACCATGCTAATTGTGGGCCTGTTTGTATGTTGATGATTTGCCCCTTCCTATGTTCAGGTTTTTGGGACCTTCACGTTTAGGCTATTGGAACATTTAGGCCTATTATCAAATTATTTACCTCCATTATATTTATCTGTGGAAATCATTTAAGTATTAATCTAAATTTTGTGAAGCAATGTTATATGAAAAGTTGAGGCATTTTTATACCTGAACTTTTCTTTCTCTACCTGGTTTAATCGTGTTTTTATTTTAAAAACAGATAGAAGAATTGGGTCGTATCCTAATTAACATTTGCAATGTGGTGCCAGGGGGAATCATCTGTTTTTTCCCATCCTACGACTACGAGAAATTAATTTATGCAGCTTGGGAAAAGAACGCTGTACTCAGCAAAATTCAGACCAAGAAGAAGGTAATTAAAATATTTAATAAGCTCTTGTTTTTCCCCATTTAATCAATTTAATTAAAAACAATATTGTCACACTATTACAAACCTCAAAATAAGTCATGAATTTGTATAGAACTGAGACACATTAACCACATTAAAAATGTATTCAAAATATTGCCTTTTAGATCTTCAGGGAACCAAAGAGAAGTGGCTTGGCAGATCAAGTCCTGACAGAATATTCAGATTCCATTAAGGTTAGCCATGGCTTACGATAGAAAAACTGATGTTTAAATAGCAAATGTTATTGGATGTTATTGAAATTTTTTGTGGTCACAATATTTGTTTCTTTAAAACAATCTCCTTATTATATTTTTAAAGAGATCAATGGCTTGGCAAGGCACAGTAACAGGAGCCATCCTAATGTGTGTGGTAGGTGGGAAGATGAGTGAAGGAATTAATTTCTCAGATGATCTTGGAAGGTTTGTAATATTCACTGTATTCCTTGATAGGGTATTCCCTCTTGTTGTCCATATTTTATTTTACATTAGCGTCAATTCTAAAACCAGTATACAAGTATTTTGTGATAATTACACGACAAAATTAGTTGATATTGTTTCCACTAAAAGTTTCTAGAAAAAAAAATGTACATCGTAATTGTCTTGGTAGATCGATATGTGATTTCTAAAATTGGTGATGACATTTAGATAAATGATCAATAAATTATTGTTTTAAAAATGTAAACAATTGGTACCTGTGCCAGATGTGTGGTAATGGTGGGTTTGCCTTACCCAAATATCCACTCCCCTGAGCTGAAGGAGAAAATGAACTATTTGAACAATCATTTTGTAAGTTGGCTATCTACTTTGAAAATTATTGTAAAAACATTTAACTTTATGAATATAATTTTTTATTTTTCAATGTTGTAAAGCTAAAAAAAAAAAGCAAAAAATTAAGTTACATAAAATAACTACAAATTAAGCCTCATTTAGAAAACTAGTTTGAGAATTTCTCTTTAAAAAACAATGTATATTATACAGAAACCCTTGTATTTAACATATTAACCTTATTATCATGAAATGTTACCTTGATATGCCCACATTTAGACAGTAATATTAATGTCATTTCTGTATATTATAGCCCAAAGATAAAGAAGGGAGACAAGCAGGTCAAGTACACTATGAGAACTTGTGTATGAAAGCTGTCAACCAGTCTATTGGTAACTACACATTATAATTTAACTTTTTTTTTCTCCTTAAAAACTCAACTAACCATAAACTTGTAGAAATACACACAAAAAAAAAGCATTTTATTGTTGTATATCTTTCTGTTATTTTCGCATTGCTATATTTCAAGTCAATAAATAGCTGTCACTGTTACAAACCTGGAAGAGTGTTTACTGTACACTAGTTGCTCTGATGATTGTATCTTTATGTTGGAGTGTCTGTTTACACTTGTTACTCTGATGATTGTATCTTTATGTTGGAGTGTCTGTTTACACTAGTTGCTCTGATGATTGTACCTTTATGTTGGAGTGTCTGTTTACACTTGTTGCTCTGATGATTGTATCTTTATTTTGGAGTGTCTGTTTACACTAGTTGCTCTGATGATTGTATCTTTATGTTGGAGTGTCTGTTTACACTTGTTACTCTGATGATTGTATCTTTATGTTGGAGTGTCTGTTTACACTAGTTACTCTGATGATTGTATCTTTATGTTGGAGTGTCTGTTTACACTTGTTACTCTGATGATTGTATCTTTATGTTGGAGTGTCTGTTTACACTAGTTACTCTGATGATTGTATCTTTATGTTGGAGTGTCTGTTTACACTTGTTGCTCTGATGATTGTATCTTTATGTTGGAGTGTCTGTTTACACTAGTTACTCTGATGATTGTATCTTTATGTTGGAGTGTCTGTTTACACTTGTTACTCTGATGATTGTATCTTTATGTTGGAGTGTCTGTTTACACTAGTTGCTCTGATGATTGTATCTTTATGTTGGAGTGTCTGTTTACACTTGTTACTCTGATGGATTGTATCTTTATGTTGGAGTGTCTGTTTACACTTGTTACTCTGATTATTGTACCTTCATGCAGGGAGAGCCATCCGCCACAAAGATGACTATGCTTCTATTCTACTTGTGGATCAAAGATTTTCTAAACCAAATGTTTGTAACAAACTGCCGCAGTGGATCAGCAAACATCTCCAGAAGCCTGAGAAATTTTCTGCTGTCATGCAGGCACTGCCTAAGGTAAAGTTTCACATTTGTAACATGATTATTATTATGCTGACTGCTATTAAAATGAAAAATATGAAGAAAATAATTGTTTTGACCAATCAAAGGGACATAACCACTTTTCAAATTTGAGGTATAATGTGTAAAGTAAAAAAATCCTTAAAATTAATTGCTTTTTTATTCATATTGCTATTTTTTTTTACTACTAAATAATAGGTACATGAAATTGAAAGCTTCATTTTATTGAAAATTTACTGCATGGGGCTGCATAAATGTAAAATTGGGTAAAAAATCCAAACAATTATGTTTTTAATTGATATTTTTACTTTCCCCTCAGTTTTTTAACTCTCACAAAGTAAAATCCTGATGAACAACCTGTGAGTCAACATTAACTCGACGAAGTAAAAAAAGCATTAAGTTGAAAAAACAAATTGCGCTGAGCCAAATGGAGAGTACAATACTGACACAGATGTTAAATACTGACACAGATGTTAAATACTGACACAGATGTTAAATACTGACACAGATGTTAAATACTGACACAGATTTTAAATACTGACACAGATGTTACAAATTGAACTTATTTGTCACAGGAGAAAAGTGTCAAACCAGCACACCATTGAGGCGAGGGATTCAAATATAGCATTTATTGTGTAGAGTGAAAAGATTGAGACGAGGGATTCAAATATAGCATTTATTGTGTAGAGTGAAAAGATTGAGACGAGGGATTCAAATATAGCATTTATTGTGTAGAGTGAAAAGATTGAGACGAGGGATTCAAATATAGCATTTATTGTGTACTTGAGTGAAAAGATTGAGACGAGGGATTCAAATATAGCATTTATTGTGTAGAGTGAAAAGATTGAGGCGAGGGATTCAAATATAGCATTTATTGTGTACTTGAGTGAAAAGATTGAGGCAAGGGATTCAAATATAGCATTTATTGTGTACTTGAGTGAAAAGATTGAGACGAGGGATTCAAATATAGCATTTATTGTGTAGAGTGAAAAGATTGAGGCGAGGGATTCAAATATAGCATTTATTGTGTACTTGAGTGAAAAGATTGAGGCGAGGGATTCAAATATTGCATTAATTGTGTACGTGAGTGAAAGATTGAGGCAAGGGATTCAAATATAGCATTTATTGTGTAGAGTGAAAAGATTGAGGCGAGGGATTCAAATATAGCATTAATTGTGTACTTGAGTGAAAAGATTGAGGCGAGGGATTCAAATATAGCATTTATTGTGTACGTGAGTGAAAAGATTGAGGCCAGGGATTCAAATATAGCATTTATTGTGTACGTGAGTGAAAAGATTGAGGCGAGGGATTCAAATATAGCATTTATTGTGTACTTGAGTGAAAAGATTGAGGCGAGGGATTCAAATATAGCATTTATTGTGTAGAGTGAAAAGATTGAGGTGAGGGATTCAAATATAGCATTTATTGTGTAGAGTGAAAAGATTGAGGCAAGGGATTCAAATATAGCATTTATTGTGTACTTGAGTGAAAAGATTGAGGCGAGGGATTCAAATATAGCATTTATTGTGTACGTGAGTGAAAAGATTGAGGCGAGGGATTCAAATATAGCATTTATTGTGTACTTGAGTGAAAAGATTGAGGCGAGGGATTCAAATATAGCATTAATTGTGTACGTGAGTGAAAAGATTGAGGCAAGGGATTCAAATATAGCATTAATTGTGTACTTGAGTGAAAAGATTGAGGCGAGGGATTCAAATATAGCATTTATTGTGTACGTGAGTGAAAAGATTGAGGCGAGGGATTCAAATATAGCATTTATTGTGTACAGTGAAAAGATTGAGGCGAGGGATTCAAATATAGCATTAATTGTGTACTTGAGTGAAAAGATTGAGGCGAGGGATTCAAATATAGCATTTATTGTGTACGTGAGTGAAAAGATTGAGGCGAGGGATTCAAATATAGCATTTATTGTGTACTTGAGTGAAAAGATTGAGGCGAGGGATTCAAATATAGCATTTATTGTGTACGTGAGTGAAAAGATTGAGGCGAGGGATTCAAATATAGCATTTATTGTGTACGTGAGTGAAAAGATTGAGGCAAGGGATTCAAATATAGCATTTATTGTGTACTTGAGTGAAAAGATTGAGGCAAGGGATTCAAATATAGCATTTATTGTGTACGTGAGTGAAAAGATTGAGGCAAGGGATTCAAATATAGCATTAATTGTGTACTTGAGTGAAAAGATTGAGGCGAGGGATTCAAATATAGCATTTATTGTGTACTTGAGTGAAAAGATTGAGGCAAGGTATTCAAATATAGCATTTATTGTGTACTTGAGTGAAAAGATTGAGGCGAGGGATTCAAATATAGCATTTATTGTGTACTTGAGTGAAAAGATGACCTGACATCACTTTTCCATCTACTGCAACCATTTGTTCTATACATTTTAAATGTCACATAACAGGATGGACATCCTTCTACCTCTTGAAGAGCCCTCCTGTATTAATAATTAATACTCCACATTTTATTGATGGTATGCAGCTGTTTATGTAAAATTACATGTATCCAATTTCATGACACTTTATTTTTGTTATTAAACTTGTTAAATATACCCACTGAGACTTATTTTTTAAAACCAAAAGGTTTTGAGTCATTGATTTTTTTCCTATGATTTGATATGTTTGTTGCATAACTTAAAATAATATTAGGTCTTTATTAAATAGTTGATGTTTTTGTTTCCTTCAATCAAACATTTTTTTAAAAAGTTTTCATGCCTGGAAACCACACATTATTCTGCCTATATAATGGGATAGTGTGGTTATTTCAGTGACCAGCCACCTTTACTCTCCCTAATGTGGGTCAGGTACCCATCAGAGTATCCAGAGCTGGGTGGACTCAGTATCTGAACTTGAGACTTTCAGCTTAACAGCTCTTGTCTTACCTCACTGCCCCATAGTATTAGTAATATTGAAAAATGCATAAAAACTTTTTTTTGTTGGCATTTTACAATTTGTGTATCTTTTTTTTAGATACACATATTAAAATTAAATAAGCTTATCTTGAACTTGAACAAAAACATTACAAGAACTGATCCTCACCTTAACCAAAAAAGGTGTAATTAAATAAAATAAAAATACACAACAATGCTGACTTTAAAAACAAATAACCTCAACACAAGTGGGCACACACTGAATAGAATTTAATTTCATAAGATAAAAAATGTATAAATAGTAAATGTGTGTACAACTTGCAGTAAGCTGATACAAATTTCAACATAATAAACCTAACAAAATTCTGTCATAAGCTTTTAAAGCATACATAAATTTTAGGCAGGAAAAGCCAAAGAGGCCTAAAAAAATAAGCTGTAATATGGGCCATAATCTAAGGGACCAGACAAATATTATACCGTTCATATTTTACTGTACTGAGAATTGAGATTATTAGTATGCTTTAATTTTTTTTGTATACATAATAAATGTGAAAATATATTCACAGTTGGTCTCCCACCACAAATTATATAGAATAAGAACTTATAGACATTAAAAAAAAATCACATTTCTCTTTCAGCTGGAAGATCAACATTACTTGTCAGTGTGTTTGAGAAAAATGTGTTATATGCAGGTGCTAGTATCACATGTGACTACCAATCTTCATCATCACTGTCACTGTTACCATCATCTCTAACATTCTTTGTTTTGCTTGGCTTTCCAAATATTTTTCTGGACTTTGCGCTCTGTTTCCCAAATGTTGGGGGCTCGAGAAGGTCACCCTGGTATGAAATCATGTCACTACGACCTAACCTCCACTCTAGCATTTCAACTGGGAAGTCATCCACACCACCCAGCTCATCAAAGCCAACAATGTAGTCGACAGTCTTACCATCCTTAGCTAAACAGATTGTGGGGATCACTTTAATTCTCAATCTTTCAACCAAAAATTTACTTCGCTCAGCATCTATTTTAATGAATTTAGTTTCAATATGTTTGCTAGCTATTTCTGTGAGATGTTTGTCTACTATCTTACACCTGAATGTGGAGTCTCTGTAAAAATGACAAACCACCTTTTTGCTTTTTTTACAAGCATCAAAAAATTCTTTCTCATCTGCCACTTCACTGTACTCTCCATGTCCTGCTGCCAGCCATTCCTGTTTTTGGGTGGCTGCCTTCTTCATGGCATCCAACCGACGTTGGCGTAAAACTTCTAAGTCATCATCGTCCAATTTCTCAAGACGCTCAATTTCAGCATCTAGCTGACTTTCTATCATCTTTGTGGCTTGCAGCAGATGATTCTCTAAGGGGTTGGCCATTCTTGAAATTAGTAATAAATCTGAGAAAAAAAAATGACATTTTGTTTGTTTCACAGCACAATTTTCTCAGTTTTAAGCTCAGCTTCCCTTTGATTCCTCACTAGATATTCTAGACTCTCTATGATCTATCTAGTCTAAAGTATAAAAGTACTAGTAGATCCAGTATAGGCCTACTTTACTTAGATCTATAGGGCATATATTAAAAAAATCTAAGTCAACTTGAGGAATGAGATCATCATCGTTCCTATTTCATTGTTGATGATTGCTTGCCTAATTACTTTCAATACTCTGATTATGATTGACTGTACTCAACTGTACTGAACATTTTCATTTCATACAACTCCAGACATTCTTTTTTATTCTTTCTAACTTCTAAAATCACAATAGCTTACTATCACTTACTAATTTAGTAATTAGTAATTTTAATTAAAATTATAGTTTAGTAATTAAATTACTAAACTAAACTATAATTAATTTTAATTAAAATTAGCTTAGGCCAGGCCTAATTAATAATTAATTATTATTAGGCCTAATTATAGTAATTAACTTAATTAAATTAAGGCTTAAGTAATATCTAGAATCTAGATCTAAATGTAATAGTGTAAAAAGATGACGGTGCGACTCACAACAAAAATAGATGGCAGTAAACTGTTGATTTAAGAAAAAAGACAAACCTTTGAGTTTATTATTAAATTATTATAATTTTAGCAATTCTGCGTTTCACATATAAACAAGAAAGGTATGTTGCTACTTCGTTTCGTTTCGAAATTTTAGAACAGTTTTAGGGACTTCCGTTATTCTAATTTTAAACAACTTTTTAATTGGCAGAAAAAATCCTAAATAATAGCGATCAACTAATCATAAAATAGCTTACAACGTCAACATGAAGTAAGAGAATGTTGTCATGGATATCGTGTCTAGGCCTAGGCCTATCAAACAAAGTTTCATTTTATTTATTTCGAGATCTTTATTACCCACTAACCAATCTTTGAATATTGAATTAATCCTCAAAAAATAAAATAAAATAAATAAATAAATCAAGCTGTTCAAAGTATAATCAACTTATAGAAAATAGATTAAGATGATGACAATATAATTAATAAAGAAAATATATACTTTCATAATCATATATAGGCCTACTTTTTAATATATATATATATATATATATATATATATATATATATATATATATATATATATATATATATATATATATATATATACCATTAGGGGTCGTCCATAAATGACGTCACACTCGTAGAGGGCAGTGGCGTGCAGACCTATGTAGATGCCCGGGGCAAAATCAAGCGGAAGATGCCCCCCATAAATACTTATATATATATATATATATATATATATATATATATATATATATATATATATATATCATTTATTTAAAAAAATGTACTTATCTTAATTGAGATGAAAACGTTGACTACAGCCAGCTAAATCCAAATGGAATGAATGGTTGGAACTTGGGAGAAGGGGGGGGGGGGAAGACAATTGCGGGACGGGTCGTGGTGGGGAGGGGGGGGGGGCTGTGATGCACTGCAAAAGAGTCTCATCCGGTATTGTATTACCACCCGGGACCGCAGGGACAAAAACGCTGTCCGTGTCTGCAATTAGGGCGTCAGATACGCCTTTATTAATGGGATGTTTCTCTCTTGGCCTGTTTAGGAATTCCTATAGTGTAACTAATACAGGTGAGAGTGTGCATTGAACTAGAGATGTTTCAGATTTTTCTCTCTAAACCACTTGGTCAAAACGTCAACTCTTTAAAGAGATGGGTGATGCTAGCTAGATACTCTGAAACTATCTTAACCTTGAATATAACAGAAGTGTACCTTGGTTGGCTAAGGGGTCATCCATTTATGACGTCCACACATTTTTGGGATTTTGGACCGCCCCCCCCCCCCTCTTCCCTGTCCACAAACGTCCACTTTTGACGGACCCCCCCCCCCCCCCCCATCCCGTGGACGTCCACACTGACTATAAGTTTTTGCATAATCTTCTTCCACTATTACTCAAGCTACTGCATTAAGTGTGTATATACTCTGAGTGTATATAGTATTACAAATACTGGTACAAATGTGTTTTATTGTCCTTCGTGTCCCACACCTGAACAGGGACAGCGTGCTAACCCCCCCCCCCCCCCTCCACCCCTCTCCCGTCTCACAACTGAACTGGGATGACCCCGCCTACCTAGAGAAGTGGTCGCCTGGTATTTGACCTGGGATGCAAATGTGGGGAAACTTGTAATTGGATATCTTATTGTATTCCAGGTTAAGCCAGGGCATAGACCCAAGCTGGGTGGTTAAAGGGCCAGAGAGATAGGATAGTTGAACTTTAGCTTCGCTAGGAAATATTTTTCTTTCACACTACCAAAAATAATGTTAGATTTAATGTGTGGACGTCCACATTGGGCCAACCCCCTCCCTCCCCCTGTCCACACGCGTCCACAAAAGTCAATTTTTTCGGACCCCCCCCCCCCGTGTGGACATCATAAATGGATGACCCCTAAAGCTGCCAGTTTAAAAAAACATTTCTACATCGGACTGTGTTTAAAAATCCACTATGCTATGTCAGACCCTCCCTGGGCTTGGACGCGTTTTCACAAATTTAACACCCAAATACGTCTGTCTAGTTCAGGTGGGGGATAATCCACTAACGGCTTCCATAGCCTAAAAACCCACACCGCATCCCAACATTTCATTACATCATTATGGGCTCAATAACTCTATAGATAGCTCTACTATTAACTGAAATAAAACTGGCTCTGCATGTGCTCCCAATTACTTTAAAGAAAGCTCTACTCAGAGTTAAAAACTTTAACTTTAACACTACTTAAAGCATGCTCTTCCTATTTGTAAAAATCAATATGGGCGCAATTATTCTGAATGAGATCATTACAATTTATCGAAAACAATATGTTGATTCGTATTCTTAAGATTGTCGCTAATGTGTATCAAAAACATTATATGGGCATTCTTATTCTTAAGTATGCTTATATAATGCATGAAAAAAAATATATTCTAATGGCTGCCAGTGGCTTAGCTACCGTAAAGCTAGAGTAAGCAAGGCATAGGGGCCCAAGGCAAATAGGGGCCATTTTCCTTCTTTTAAAAAGTTAAAACTTTTACATTGGAATTTTGATATTTATTTTATATAAATAATTTTTTTAAAATTAATGAAATCAAGTTTTTTTTTCTACTGTAGAAATAATTTAATTTAAAAAAGGCCCCAAGTCCTTTCTTAGTGTACAGGCAGTGGCATTCAGTGTGGGGGAGGACGGGCGACTAACATTATTTACATTGTTAATTTTTGCATAGGGGACCGAAAATCCTAGCTACGCCACTGAATGCTGCCCATACAATTTAACAAAAAAAGTTATTACACTGCAAATGGCCATATATTTCACCAAAGATGCCCCAAAAATTTATAATAATAATATGGGCATAATTACCCTTTGGATGCCCTTAAAATGGATAATAATGAAGAAGTACATTAAAAAATAGCTTTAGAGATGCCCCCAATGTTAACAACGATGATTGGTGTAATTACTGTTGCATGTCCTTCGAGTGTAATACATGAATATAAGCTTAATTACTTTTAAGATGCCCCTACAATATATAAAATGAAGATGGGCATACTTACTGTATGGATGCCTTTAAAATGTATTATAAAGTGAAGTGGGCATATTAGTAAATGCTCATAAAATATATTATAATGAATATACGAATAATTACTTTAAAGATGCCCCTATAGTGTATAAAAATAAATATGATTTAATTACTCGACGGATGTCCTTGAAAATGAGTATAACGAATACGCGCATATTACTTTAAAGATGCCCTTACAGTGCATGGGAATAACTTGGTCACAAGTACTCTAAACGATGCCCCTACACTATACTAAATAAATATGACACACATTTATTAATGGAATATCATTGACTTCCGTAGGACTACCCTTCATTGATGCCCGCTGATTCTATATAAGTTTTGCCATACGGACAGTGTAATGTTAAAACGGCTGACAGACGATTGAGTGTTACAATTTTTTTGAGTGAGATCGCAAAACATAAGGAAAGTTACGATGACACCATGACACGACATATCACAACAGTTTTTAAATTACTAAAAAAAAAAAAAAAAAAAAAAAAAAAAAAAAAAAAAAAAAAAAATTAATTAATTAATTATTTTTTTTTTTTTTACCTCCGCTGGATGCCCCCCAGTGGTGGATGCCCGGGGCCTGGGCCCCGTCCGCCCCCCCCTCTGCACGCCACTGGTAGAGGGGAGGGGGGGGGTCCGCAATTTCGTGACGGTGTGTGGTGAGGGGGAGGAGGGGGGTTAGATGGTGTGACGTCACACTTTTGCATTATAAAAAAGCAATGTTAGAAAACGAATTTTAGACGCTATTTTGCGTTTTAGAAACCTGTTTTAATAAATTGTAATAACAATTGATTAAAAAATACTCTATTTTGACAGAGTTCAGACAAGATTTTGGAAAATATAGCTGTTTAAAAAAAATTGAGGGGGGTTGTAGGCTGAGGTGTGACGTCATTTTAGGGGGGGTCTGGCTTTTTGTGACGACGTGTGACGGAGGGGAGGGGGGAGGTAAAAATCGTCCAAAAAAGCGTGACGTCATTTATGGATGACCCCTTACCAGTGTCGACGTCCCCCCCCCCCCCAAGAAAATTTAGCCCCCCCCCCCCGGAGAAAAAAGAAACACTTTCTGAAACTCCACCCTCTTCGTCGCGGGCACGTCGTCACTGAAGTCCGAATTTCCCTGTCCAGTTAGGAGCAGACGTTGTTTATGATCGACCCCTTACCAACAGCTTCGCCAGAGAAAAAAACAAAAACAAAATTATAGATCAATGATGTGTCACGAAAAAAACCCAACAACAACAAAAAAAAAACCAAACAGAAGTACATTAGTCTAATTAAGTTGTGTTCCGAATAAAAACTTTTTTTGTTGATGATAATAATAAAATAATGATATCTAGAATGTACATTAGATCTGTAGACTTTATCCAGCAGTTTGGACAAGAAAAGAGAAGCTACATTTTTCAAAATTTAAACGCTGTAGGTCTAAATAAAACGAACAAAAATTGATTTTAAAAAATACCAATAATCTTGGTGTGGTTGGAAAGACCGTTACAAAGCGTATTTTGAAATATTTAAAATAAATACTTTTTAAGTACGTGTTTTTTTTTTTAAATTTACAATAATATCTCCCTCACTGAGTAACAGGTTACCCGGATGAACGCCCGGATGCTTTCTTCGCCATTCAAAACATTCTGACAGGTGATCTGAAAAGTGAAAAGATTTCCCTGCGGACGATCGTTCGCTCGGGACTCACGGAAAATTAAAATGGCAGGCAAAGATTTATCTAAAACTTTTGAAGAGGTGGAGTCAGAAGATTATAGTATCGAAACAAGTATGCCAACAGATATTACAATGTCTCCAGACCATAGTGATGGGGAAATTCGAAACAAGAAGAAACACATCACAAAACATTTAATAGAACGTAAACAAATGATACACGATATGCAGCTACTTAAAATTGAACTTTCACAGAAGAATCTAGCACTTGAAAATATGAAAGTCGAACATTTGCAACAAACCGAGGAGCTTGAAGAACGACTACATGATATAACACATCAAAAACAGATTTTGCAAGTAAGAAGAATCGGTAATCTATCGTTTTGGGTACGTAAAATCGCCCGCGGCTATTAATGTACGAAAAAGTTACCTCATTGTCAAGGCTTTAGTAGAAGTATATTGTGATATATTTGTGTCAAATATTATAGATAAATGAATAATAAACCTAAATCAATGGCTAAATATATCAATATATGCCAGAAATTAACTTTAAACAGCAGTGTTTGCGAGCAAGATTTGCTATATAAACAGCAGCCATTTGTAAAATAGAGTGACTTCCGCCTGTCTCGCGCTATATCCGCTATAAAAAAAAAACTTAAACAAGATGGCTGCTATAGTAAATGAGCATGGTTGCATCTGTTGGAAATATCGCTAGTCTTCATTTATTACTGAAAAGTTTTAATTCAATTGTTTAAAAACAGGTACATAAATGAAAGAAGGAAACATTTTTGTATTTTTCAAAACATAAATCCTCCTCAAAATGTGAAATAATTATTAAAATTTAAGGAGTCACCTGTTTTTCACATTACTAGTCGCGGGCGATTTTACGTACCCAAAACGATAGATTACCGAAGAATCAATCAAGTCACAAATGCAATTGATTGAATTGACTTTTTTGTTTTGTTTTAGTTCTTACTAATCTAGATTGTTTTATGTTAGAATTTTAAGATTGCTAGAAGTTACTGCTATGATAAGTCAGTGAAAAAAAGCTATCATGCCTTGTATTTACTACACATTATTTACATAATTATAAAAATTATTTCCACTCACTGTTTGGACATCCAAGTATTATAGTATAATTATAGAATATAGCCGTATCCCACTCCTTAGACCAAGTTGTTAGGCTATTAATACATTAAAAACAGAGCACATAAAATAATAACTAGGCTATATTTTTATTCTTTAATCCCAAATACTCAAATACAGTTTTAAATAAAATTTAACTTACAACTTGATTTATTTGATTTTAGGCCAGACTTGAATCTGAACTTCACATTCAGTCTGAAGAGGCACGTAAGCGTCAAGAACTCATCAAGCGAGAGTTAGATGCTGTTCGTGCCAGGCAGCAACAGCTTGAAGCAACCAATGAAAGGCTGCAAGAAAAGGCTGGAGATGTTAGAAGATCTCTCAGAGACTTAAGTCTATCTGAGGAGCGTTTCTTCCAGCTTCGCTCTATTTCTGAAGAAGACTTATCTCTGAGAGAGTTTGTTGCTGTGAGTTTTTTGTATACTTTAGTCTAATTTTTAATTGTATGAGAAAAGTTGGGTATTTTTTCAGTATAAACACCTTAAGATGATCCTTGGGTTGCTGTGTTAAAGATTAAAGCCACTAAGATTTCAGCTACAGAGTGAAACAATTGTTAGTTTAGTATGTACCTGATATATTTTTAGCTTAGTATGTATACATTTCTTTTAGATAATTATAAAAGCAATTGCTGGCTATTGTTCCAGATGCGTTTATACGAGGCAACAAAACCCCTTCAAACAGAGATCTCACAAGTGAGGCTACAAAACAAAACATTGGAGGAGGAAGTGGCTGTCATGTCTAGAGATTTGCTGGACTTTCAGAAGGTTAGATTAAAAATTGCAAACTTATTCCCACAGTGTTACTAAAATATAACTGTTTAGATTGATACTTATTTCCAACGCTGAAATCAACGAGTGACCAATTTTTATCTTGCAGAAGTTGGAAGAGGAGAGGCAGGCTCATGGTGAGCTGCGGGTCAGGTACCAGAAAATTATGACGGAACATGTGGAAACGTCAAGTAAACTTAAGCTGGATGATTACAGGGTTGAAAATTATGACAAAGTTAAAAAGTGAGTAGTCATTTAGTGAAATATTCTCCCTAGTGTCTGGATGGCATATTATATTGATTGAAACTTTAATCTTTGTGTCTGAACTTACATGCTTTCCCATCTATGCTTTTAGTAGCCATTTGTTATCACCTCTATGTAAATGCTTTAGTTGAAACTGTCGGCTTATTAAAATACATGTATCCCAGTGAAAGAGATTTCTTTGAGAAAGATCACATGGAGTCCGCCAGACAGCTAGTCACACTGGAGGCATCTTTTGCCTGTCTACAGAAGGAGAGAGATGAGCTCAGCTCAGATGTAAGTAGTCATGTGAAACTTGTGTGGTACAGCTTTCAAGTCTTCCATCATTATTAAGTGCATGTGGTCTCATTTTGAAGTAAATAATCAATCACTGATTTTTCCAAAGTGACCATGCTCATTTAATCAGTTTATTATTTGTTTCCTTGTCCCCAGCTCTCAGCATCAAAGCAAACAATAGCTCTGCTAAAACAAGACAAGGACTACCTGACACGTCAGTACTCCGAGGTCACACACAAACTGGCATATGGGGAAGAACGGTTGCAACAGCTGACACGTCAACTGGAAGATGCAAAACTGGCCAGGGAGGAGATGTACGAGAAATATGTTGCCTCAAGGTAATTTTGTGTACGAGAAATATGTTGCCTCAAGGTAATTTAGTGTACGAGAAATATGTTGCCTCAAGGTAATTTAGTGTATGAGAGATATGTTGCCTCAAGGTAATTTAGTGTATGAGACATATGTTGCCTCAAGGTAATTAAGTGTACGAGAAATATGTTGCCTCAAGGTAATTTATTGTACGAGAAATATGTTGTCTCAAGGTAATTAAGTGTACGAGAAATATGTTGCCTCAAGGTAATTTAGTCAACTCTTTCTTTAATTTAGGAGTATGTTTCCTACATCTGCTTCAAAGCAAAATAGTTACAATTGATTTAAGAATTGATTATCCGTATGTTTGGACTAAATCATTGGAATGTTTGTTTCAGGGACCAGTACAAATCAGATTATGAAAATAAGTTGAAAGAAGAGCTGGAACAGATTCGAGTGCGAACCAATGGAGAGATTGACAGGTTGCGAACTTCTACCAGAGAGATGTACGAAAGGGAAAACAGGTACACATTTTTTCTGGTCACACATTATCACATACACAACACTTCACTACATAAACACAGTAGCAAACAACACCTCACTACATAAACACAGTAGCAAACATTTAGAGAAACGCAAGCAGCTAACCATCATGGCAGCAAGTCCACTACAAATATTTTACAATTCTTGGTTTTTTTTTCTGTCACTTAGTTTCACCTTTATTAACAATTATTAGTATTCTGTGTTACTATAAATCAACTATGATGATTTTTAGTTATTACAATATTAAAAACATGATATTACTACAATGATCAAACGCAAAACATAATTGTTACTGCAATGTTAAAAAATGACAATTGTTCCTGCTATGTTAAAATATGACAATTGTTCCTGCTATGTTCCCCAACAATTGTTCCTGCTATGTTCCCCAATGACAATTGTTCCTGCTATGTTCCCCAACAATTGTTCCTGCTATGTTCCCCAACAATTGTTCCTATGTTCCCCAACAATTGTTCCTATGTTCCCCAGGAACTTGAGAGAAGCCAGAGACCTGGCCTTGTCTGAGAGGGACAGAGCTTTGGGGACAGAAAGGGAGACAAACACGAAATTTGAACAGCTTTTATCAGAGTAAACTTTGTACATTTTTTGTTGTTTTCTGTTTTCTGTAATCTTCAGCTGGTAATTGTCCTACTGTCCTGTGTTAGCTGACAACAACTGTCCTGTCTTTAGATTCAGACAGCTAAAAGCAACAGCCCTGTCTTTAGATTCAGACAGCTAAAAGCGACTGTCCTGTCTTTAGATTCAGACAGCTACAAACTACTGTCCTGTCTTTAGATTCAGACAGCTACAAACAACTGTCCTGTCTTTAGATTCAGACAGCTACAAACAACCTCAGAGAGCCGACTGTCTGAGATACAGAATGAGCTGAAGATTAAAATGTTTGAGGCAGAAAGAACACAAATGATCCACAGTGAGACTGTAGCCAACCTGTCACATGCCAATTTGGAAATAGAAAAGTTGCAGAAAAAACAAGAAGTAACTTTTTTGTTGTTGTATAATTTACTAGATTCACATTATTTGTTTTGTTTATAATTTAGCGGATTAACATCGTTTATTTTTGTTGAGAGTATTTATTTTAGATAATTGGTTCTCTTGATACCCCTACCTGATGTCTTTTCTGTTCTCATGATTTAGGTTTTAACAAAAGAATATTATGCACTTCAAACTTCTTTTGAAAAAAAAGTAGTAGAGCTTGAAACAGCAATCTCTGAGAAGAAAGCCAAACTTGAAGCGTACGAAAAGTTGGAGCAGGACCTTGATGCTGTAGTAATGCAGGCAGCTGAAGGTAGTAAAAATGTTTCTTGGTTTTCTAGTGAGTTTTTTAATACACTCTATTCAGATTAACTTAAGCCTAAAGTTTTGATGTGTGTAAATATTGACTTAAACATGAGTAAATGAATTATTTCCCATCATCCAGTTGAAGATGAAAAAGATGCTGAAAAAGTTTTGTTTTCCTATGGCTATGGTGCCAATGTGGCAAGTACTGCCAAGAGGAGAATGCAGCAGAGGTCAGTCTGTCATTCACATTTTATTACAATGTGGAATTTAGGGGGTGGGGGAGAGACATTTTTAGTGCTCTCCCTTTATTACCTTTCATTACTGTATTGTAAATGGAATTTTAAGGTTTTTTTTTTTTGTTAGTAGTTTTGAAACATTTTCCTTTTTAGTGTTCATTTAGCCAGAAGAGTTCTACAACTGGAGAAAACAAATACTGGATTGAGAAGGGAAATTCAAGAGGACAAAAATAAAATCAATTCACTTATCAAGGAGGTGAGTTTTCTTTTGTTCAGTTTAAGGTTGAACAGACTAATGTCTAGAGAAGATTTTTGCTGGCTGTGAGTCAGTGACATTAAAACTATAAACATGTTGGACTAGTTATTCAGAATATTTAAATTAAATAATAGCTGCACTATTACATGGGTAATTAATTAAGCTTAAAATAAAAAAATGAGCCTGCCACCTTAAGTTCCACCGTGTGTTGTACAGGTGGAGTCGACCAACAGCTTGTTGGAACAGTCCCATCAGCCCTACAGCTACCTCATACAGTCCATCAAGGCCAGGGATGGCCAGATAGAGAAACAGATGGCTGTCATCAATGTTCTCGAGGAGGAAGTCAGGTTAGGTTTGTTTTTAAAGTCAGGTTAGGTTTGTTTTCTAAGTCAGGTTTATATTTTAAGTCAGGTCTGTTTTGTTTTCTAAAGTTTTGGAGGAGGAAGTCTGGTTGGTTTTTTTTTAAATTTTTCTCCATAAACTAGTTTTCCCCCTCATGATAGTGATAAAAAAGAACACATTAAGTTAGCTTTTTATTTTCTAACCTTTCCCCTTTGTACATCTGTAATCTTCAGTTTAAACTGAATTTTTCAATTATGTTATGCAGAATTTGAGCTTGCTTTTTCACAATACAGATTTTTTCTGTTTACATATTTGCATTTATAATTTATTTGGTATGGTTTAATACCAGTTAATGTTTTTTTTTAAAATAACAAAATTAAAAGAGAACTAAAATTGTGACCCATCATATGGATAATGTGTTGACAGAAAACTGGAGAAAGAAAGAGATGACTTAGCTCGCACACAGAACCAAATGAGTTTAGATTTGGAAAGGCTGCTGAATCAAAAAGAAGTAAGTTTGTTTTTTACCATGTCTGGTAGGTTTTATTTATTTAATAAGATCTGGAGGAGACAGAAATTCCTATGTTGTTCTCATGTTGTTCTCACTTTGTTCACATGTTGTTGACATGTTCACATGTTGTTCACATGTTGTTTACACATTGTTCACATGTTGTTTACATGTTGTTCACATGTTGTTTACACATTGTTCACATGTTGTTTACATGTTGTTCACATGTTGACATGTTGTTTACACATTGTTCACATGTTGTTCAAACATTGTTCACACATTGTTCACATGTTGTTGACATGTTGTTTGCACATTGTTCACATGTTGTTTACACTTTGTTCACACATTGTTCATACGTTGTTCACATATTGTTTACATGTTGTTCACATGTGATTCACATGTTGTTTACACATTGTTCACACGTTGTTTACACATTGTTCACATATTGTTCACATATTGTTCACCTGTTGTTCACATGTTTTTCACCTGTTGTTCTCACGTTGTTGTCTTGCCAGGAAATGGCAGTGATGAAGCAGGTTGTGTTGAGTCTCTCTGAGCGCAAGTTTGATGACGACAAAGTCAAGTCACGTGACTTCTGCGCCCCAAAGAGTTCCTCTACCACCAGCTACAGACTGCAGCGAGACTTTGAGATGCACGATGATCCAGATGTCGTCAAGCCAGGGGCCCTGCACCTGGTGAGGGGGCCCACATCAAAAGGAGGGGGGGGGATGGGCTGAGGAGTCTTATTTGTACACCATTTAGTTGATTGGTACCTAGAATAAGTTGTTTAAACAGTACTTTTATCAGTTCCGTTAATAACTAATTAGATTTAATTTAGTGTTAGTACACACTGACACCTGCAAAGGTCTCAGTTTTTTTACACTGGGACTCAGAGGTCTCATGTTTTAAATCCAGGGCTCTGAGCTTCATACCCCTGGGGTCATAATAAATCCTAGTGATCAGTGTTTTAATATTTTTAGTAATATTATTTTAAAGAAATAGGAGTGCTGTCTTTCAATGATATTGAAAACTAATATTCACAACTGCTTGAGCTAAATGCCAATTGTTCTGTTTAGCCAGTGAACAAAAAATGTATGTCAATCTCATGCTTACAACTGACCTGCTTTTGTTTTTTTCAGACCAAACCCAGGTCACCCCAGAGGTCAAGGCCAGATGTGAAGCCTCAAAGTTCTAAATATTCTAAAGTGTATGGAGTGGTCAAGTCTTGACCAGAGTGGACAGTGGTCAAGTAGGGAACAGTTTTATCATCAAAGCTTTTTCTGTGATCTTTAAATATAACTTCTGACTTATAAAAAACAGCTCATTTAGTACCAAACATAGCTCAGTTAGTAACAAAAATAGCTCATACTCATATATTTGATTTTCATTGTACTATAATTATATTCTTGTGTATAATAAAATACTTACAAATACTTAGCATTTTTTTTTACATGATTACACTAATTACAGTAATTACTGAATTACAATCAGGGATTATAAAAGTAACAATAATTAAATTCAACCCTACAGTAATGTGAAGAAAATAAAATATCACAGGCAGAGAATTTCATTGTTTCTTAATGCTGGGTTTATTAAACAAATCCCACATCCCTACAGTCTAAACTCTCAGAATATAGGGCAAGCTTGTGTAGTCCAGTCTGTTGTCTTCTGGCTTCACAACAGGTGGATCAGCCATAACTGTATCCACCAATAGCTATAACTTTATCCACCAACAGCCATAACTTGAAATAATGATAGCAAGACACAATACAAGTAGCAGGTGTAAGTTTAATTGTTCAATAAATTAATTAAATAACATACATTTCATTGTAAATATTAATAGAATACCATTCAGCTATGTTTGGATACATATGTCTATGTACATATATACAGTAACTTCATACATAGAGCATTGACTGGGTCAACATATGGGTCATGTATGGAAGCACGCAATGTTCAAAGCATTCTTATCCTAGATACCTAAATGCTTTGTATTGGCTTTGTTAATGAGATAATTTGCCTTTTTTAATGAGATAATGTGAGGTAAGTGAATAAAGTATTTAATTCCCATCTCTGTATACAAGTTGTCTGATTATTGAATGAAGGTTAAGGACCTGGGTTATAAGATTACATACACACATTTGAATCAAATCAGTAAGATATTTTTTAAAGAGAAAATAAGTACACCTATATGCATTGATAATAACTTAAATAAGATATCTGGCAAACAAAATCTTTCTCATTCAGGATGCCATACATCGGAAGTATTTCTCCCACATTCAATTTTCCATGGCAAATATTCCTCCCACATTCAATTTTCCATGGCAAATATTTCTCCCACATTCAATTTTCCATGACAAATATTTCTCCCACATTCAATTTTCCATGGCAAGTATTTCTCCCACATTTAAGTAAAGTGGCATTATGTATCACAGATGTTTACAATCACAATCTTTCTGATACAACAAATCATGGGAACATCAAGGACTCTAGATGACCAGTTCACAGGGTCACCTCAACACTGAGACATCAATGGTCAGGTACCACGTGACATCAATGGTCAGGTAACACGTGACGTCAGTGGTCAGGTACCACGTGACATCAATGGTCAGGTACCATGTGACGTCAGTGGTCAGGTACCATGTGATGTCAGTGGTCAGGTACCATGTGACGTCAATGGTCAGGTACTATGTGACATCAATGGTCAGGTGCCATGTGACATCAATGGTCAGGTACCATGTGACGTCAGTGGTCAGTCCAGCAGGTATCCATACAATTGAACATGATGATAACTGAGACATTTAAGCCATGATCAAGTGCAGTACAACAACAAAAAATAAATTAGAGACATCAACTGATTAGAAGCCAACAGTACAAGTAGTTTGTTACATGTAGGCCTCTATGGGAGAATTATGGGACTGATTCAGTTCCTCGTGGTAGATCTAGTGGCACACAGCTCAAGCTAGTGGCAGACAGCTGAAGCTAGTGGCAGACAGCTGAAGCTAGTGGCAGACAGCTGCAAGCTAGTTGCAGACAGCTGAAGCTAGTGGCAGACAGCTGAAGCTAGTGGCAGACAGCTCAAGCTAGTGGCAGACAGCTCAAGCTAGTGGCAGACAGTATAAAACTAATAATCAGCTACTACTAGTGACTGACAAATAATTAATCAAATGTTTTTTAAACTATACCTAATTAAATTAAGCAGCTGTTACAAATAGTATCCAGTGCACTCAGAAAAGTGAGTGATGAAAAATGACAGAAAATAAACAGTGAGATACATGCTAAAATAAACTTGAACTTATGTAAGAAGTTTACATGAACTTTGACCTTTGTGCAGGTCACTGATCAAACTGACCAGACCTAGCTGTGTGTGTCTTAGACTTTCTACCTGTCTTGTCTTGCTACATTTTCCTCCACCAGACAGGGTTAAGTAACCCAAGGCATGATGGGAACTTGATCAATGACAAAAACACTAAACCCAAGATGACAATATAGTGATGCACCCCCCCCCCCCCCCCTGCTTAGAGTGTGACATACAAGTCACATGACCAGAATGATGGCCAATTGCTGCCAGGTACCAGTGTATGGCTTGATCTACCCATTAAAATACTTTTTCTATTAGTGCTATGGGACTGTAGAAAATAATCTTATCTAAAGCTACAATCTTGTTGGTATGGATCAAATGCTAGTGTCTGGTGTGAATAGATGGAATAAAAATGTTTTAAATATGATCAATCATTGCCCCATTAGTCAAGCAGGACATTAGTCCCCTCTCAATTACCCCACAGGTATTCCACACCATCATCAAATAACTGCAGTAGGACATTAGGATCAAGTAACCCACATTGTCATTACCCCCAGATCTTATTACCTTACCCCCGTACTAGACCAAACTGTGGTACGCCTGTTTCAACTCTGGTTAGCCCCAGTGTTCCCCTGCTGAATGTCCTTGACCGACTTGACCAGCGCTGAGAGCATCTGGACCAGGTTGATGGACTGCTTGACCAGGTACTTGGTGTTGGGGTCCTCCACTGCCCGCCCCACCGCGGAGCTGGCGGCCATGACGGTGGACTTGAACGAGTTGGCTGCCCGAATGATCTGATGCCCGAGTTGTTCCGCGCTGACCGAAGCTTTGACCATCAGCATGGTGGCCTGGCCGTGGAGGAAGAGCAAGGCCAGTGTGTGCATGGCCACGTCCAGCTGTTTGGCCAAGTCGTCCCTGCTCTTGCTGGCACTGGCCACCAAGTTCTTGGAGTTGAGGATGAAGGTCTGGGTCTGGGTCTGGAGCTCCGTGACACACATTGACAGCTGGGTCGGGTTCTTGTCTATACGCGAGCCTTTGAGTGTGTCTAAGGTCAGCCTCAGGTCTGCTACCAGCCGGTCAATATCTCTGGCAGCGAGGTCTACGTCACTTCCTGTGTGGGTGTACCTGTGGGAGAGGACCTCTCGGATGGAGCTGGTGGCGCCATCACTGACCAACTGCAAGCTTTTTTGTTGGATGGTTAGGTTTGTGTTGGTTGATGTGGGCGGGGCATTGACTCTCGTGGTCTGGTTGGTGGGTGGGGCATTGACTCTCGTGGCCTGGGGTTGGCTGCTGACCCTAGTGGCCTGGGGTTGGCTGCTGACCCTTGTGGCCTGGGGTTGGCTGCTAGGCTCGGCCATATAATCCACCGGGATGTCAATGTTAGCATAGAGCGGCTCCTCCCCCTGGGCCACCCAGTCCGACAAGCTGTGGTTGCTGTTACCTTGACCTTCATCAGAAGAGTTCCACTCCCCCGCAAGTTTTTTACGCTGTAAATCAGCGGTGAGCTTGTCGGTGCTCATCACGTGACCAGTGACGGGGAGCCTCCCCTTGTTGAGGTCAGTGTCCGAATCGTGACGCAGGAAGTCAAAGTTGGTCTCCTCCCCCAGGGGGTGGCGGTCCCAGCTGTTGCTGGACATGGAGACTGGCCGCCACATCTTGATGGTGGCGTACGGGTTGGCCTTGAGTTTCTCCCTGACCTGCCCCATGGCGATGTCGTCTTTAGAAGATTTCTTCGTCTTGGTGCTGGCCTCAGCAGGTAGGGCCTTCAGTGGCCCATTCTTGCGCGACTTCGACTGCAGGAAAATAAAAGTTGAAAAAGTGTGAACATATTTTACTGATGGGATCATAAATTAAAAGAAAAAAACAGTGCAAGTAGTAAAAAATATTTTAATCAACATTTAAGATGAAATTTCTTAAATTGATAAATAACATTAAAACATCATTAAAATTATGTTCTAAAAATTGATTTTTAATGTTGCTTTTGATCAGTTTTGTAAATTTATAATTTCAAGCAACAGATGCATTAGGACAACACCTTAGGCCTTAGAGTATTGTAAGGACAAGTGCTGAGCATAGAGTAGACACAGACATGTAACATTAACATAGAAATCTACAGCCCAACATAGAATTTTTTGTTACAGTACAGATTGCTGTAAGCTAAATTTACAGGGGTGTGTTTATGTCATCTAGGGGTGTGTTTATATTATGTAGGGGTGTGTTTATGTCATCTAAGGTTGTGGTTGTGTCATCTAGGGGTGTGTCTCATCTAAGGTTGTGTTTGTGTCATCTAGGGTTGTGTTTATGTCATCTAGGGGTGTATGTCATAATGTCAGCAACACATGTGTAGATCACAAGGGCAGGTATGTCAAAGAATGTTTTTATCTGAGCTTCTGTTGACATTATTTTAAAAGAATGGGTTATCTGAGCTTCAATTGACATTATTTTACTTCTATTTCACGATTCCTATAAAGCAAAAATAACATGCAGCACAAGGGGAAGTAACTCAATAAATTCAATCTTTAAAAAATGTCAACAAGGAAGAAAATTAAATCAAAGAAAAGAATGACATTATAAACACAAGTATTTTGTAATCTCAAAACGGAAATAAAACGGTTATGACATCCCCCCCCCCAATCAACATAGGGCCGTGCCCACTACTGTGTCGCCGCTGTTCAGGCCTGCTTCAAAACAAACATAATCCATGGGCAGACTCAGAAATATTTTTTGTTTACAGCAAATCTTAACTCGGCTAAATTAACCACTTGGACAGTGGCGAGATATAAAGTAAACATTTCATCGGGTTAAAACTAAAGAAACCAAACCTTACCTTTCTGAACATTTTGTCACCTGCTAGACGTCAGTCGTCATCCCAAGAAGTGCACACACAGACAGACAGACATACACACACACACACACACAGACACAGAGGCAGGAACTAGTCAAGCAGAACATGACAGATAACACGTCAACGGTTCTTAAACAGGTAGGGGACAGGTAGCAGGTTCTTATAGAGGACAGGTAGCTGGTTCTTATAGAGGACAGGTAGAGGTTCTTATAGAGGACAGGTAGCAGGTTCTTATAGAGGACAGGTAGCTGGTTCTTATAGAGGACAGGTAGCAGGTTCTTATAGAGGACAGGTAGAGGTTCTTATAGAGGACAGGTAGCAGGTTCTTATAGAGGACAGGTAGCTGGTTCTTATAGAGGACAGGTAGCTGGTTCTTATAGAGGACAGGTAGCTGGTTCTTATAGAGGACAGGTAGCTGGTTCTTATAGAGGACAGGTAGCAGGTTCTTATAGAGGACAGGTAGCTGGTTCTTATAGAGGACAGGTAGCAGGTTCTTATAGAGGACAGGTAGCAGGTTCTTATAGAGGACAGGTAGCAGATCCTCTGATTCTTACATCTGACAGTGGGTGAATCTAGAGACTTTTATGTCATTTCATCCTATTTAAAATTTCTTGTATCTCTTCTAACCCTATAGTGTTGGTCTACCACGGGCCTGACGTGGGACACACCTGTGGGTTGAGAACCCCTGGTTTATGACACGGTGTTGACTTCAATCACTGCCACAACTGCGGGGGCGGGCTGGTGGTAACAGCGGGCGCTGGATGCGGGCTGGTGGGTGCTGGATGGGGGGCTGGTGGGCGGGGCAGGGTGAATGGATTCATAGGACGTCGTGACATAACATTCAAAGAATTTACGACCGCTAAGTGGAAAGTTTTTTTTTATATGGCAACACTAGAGCTATAAGATATAAATGTGTGTGTTACACTGTGTGTGTGTGTGTGTGTGTGTGTGTGTGGGAACTGTGTGGCTGTAGGTATAAGTATGTGTGCGTTTACTGTGTGTGTATACAGTGTGTGGTGTGACAGAAATAAACTCAGACAACACCCCAGGTTTTATGAGGACAAATTCAGCACATATCTTTTCATTGGACATACACACACACTTTTTACAGTAGAGCTAATTATAGTTTTATTAAGGAAGTCATCCATTTGACTGACATAAACACAGGCACAGGAGGTTAAAAGAAACTCATGGTTTAAGTCAAGAAAACCTCATGACTTGAGTCAAGAAAACCTGGTTTGAGTGAGCTAAGAATGTCAACAGACTGATGTGATTTGATGTTGTCGCTCTCTACCACATTCTCCCAGCACCAGACTTGCTGTCGCCTTCCTGACCTGTGACCTTTCGTGTCTTTTTTTAGACAGAAACTGTCACATGACTTGACCTAGCTAACATCAAGATCTATTGGGTAAATACTGACGCCATACAACATACGTAGACTATTCAAGTCAAATAAAGAGTGAAAGGACATTGAACATAGAAAGCTATTCTCAGGGCTGTTCAGTTAAGATCCCCATAAAAATCACTAAGGGTTAAAAACGTGCCTATATTTTCATAGAGCTGGTAAATCTAGCCAAATCTTGTTCCTCCCAAGGAATTTTTTTTCACATAAACAGCAGACGGCAGACATTTTTTTTCCATCTGTAAGATGTGGGCACTTGTTGGGACCCACAATTTATGATACAGTAGATGATAGGTGGGGGGGGGGGGGGGGGGGGGCGTGGTGGTGTCAGGGGCATGGTGGTGTAAGGGGCGTGGTGGTATGTGGGACGTGGTGGTGTAAGGGGCGTGGTGGTGTAAAGGGTGTGGTGGTGTAAGGGGCGTGGTGGTATGTGGGACGTGGTGGTGTAAGGGGTGTGGTGGTGTGGTGGTGTAAGGGGTGTGGTGGTGTAAGGGCGTGGTGGTATGTGGGACGTGGTGGTGTAAGGGGCGTGGTGGTGTAAAGGGTGTGGTGGTGTAAGGGGCGTGGTGGTATGTGGGACGTGGTGGTGTATGGGGCGTAGTGGTGTAAGGGGCGTGGTGGTGTATGGGGCGTGGTGGTGTAAGGGGCGTGGTGGTGTATGGGGCGTGGTGGTGTAAGGGGCGTGGTGGTGTAAGGGGCGTGGTGGTGTATGGGGCGTGGTGGTGTATGGGGCATGGTGGTCTAAGGAGCGTGGTGGAGTGTGGGCGTGGTGGTGTAAGGGGCGTGGTGGAGTGTGGGCGTGGTGGTGTAAGGGGCGTGGTGGTGTAAGGGGCATGGTGGTGTGTGGGGCGTGGTGGAGTGTGGGCGTGGTGGTGTAAGGGGCATGGTGGTGTAAGGGGCGTGGTGGAGTGTGGGCGTGATGGTGTATGGGGCGTGGCGTTGTAAAGGCGTGGTGATGTAAGGGGCATTACGGTGTAAATGGTGAAGGACGAAGACAAAAATATACAGCTAGCGGTGATTCAATGTTGGATAGTGAAACAAAGTTGGACAGTGAAACAAAGTTGTAGAGTGAATTACTAATTTATCAGATTAAGGAGTGAATCCGCTACACTGAAACATCACATCGAATTTCATGCAAGAATTACCCATACAGACTTCCATGCAAGAATTACTCATACAGACTTCCATGCAAGAATTACTCATACAGACTTCCAAAACGGCGTGGTCGGATAGTAGAGCTTACGACTGCTAACCCGATAGTCTCGAGTTCGAATCACTGGTTTGAGTGTGTATGGCGTATCTAAACCACATTAAGGAAACCAAAGCGGATGTGCTGACCAAACCAATGGTCAGGTTTTCTTCTTCAGATACAAGCTATGCCAGATAGGCGTTCTCTCTACAGGCCTAGTTGTGAGATAGGAAGGACAACTCTTAAAATGATTGAGACACATGAGTTACTGCCCTGGAATAGGTTCAACTAATTGCCAAATATTGAGTGAAGTCCCGTCATTGTAAGCTATTATAGAGGATCTAAAATTACGACAGTCAACAGAATGAGGCACCATAAAGCAACCATAAGCCAAGCCTGCATGCAATGCTAAGGTAGGGTAGTGAGAAATACCTGAGTAGAGAACAGCTTTCACTGAAATAAAGACAATGGTTGATCACATTTAGCAGACATTAATTCAATGAAATGATTTGTACAAGTATAATGTTCATTATAGTCACAGTGCAGGAGGTAAATGTTATAGCAACTTATAGTGCTGTTGACAAAATATTACAAGGTTTTTTGTGTTCTGTTGTAATATAAAAGGTAGATAACCAAGAAAATGAAATCTTAACTCCCTTAGTTTTTGACAAAAATCTACACTGTACACTGGATCACACACAATCCAACACTGCTTATACTAAGTTTGGGGAGCAACAGTAATTTTTAGCAAAGTAAAATAAAATGGAAGATATATTTCCATGCTAATGAGGAAGTATAAGAGCCATTGGATAAAATATAGGATTAAATTAGGTCCACATTCGACAGACATCTAGCTTTATACACTTAATAGCCTGTTTACATTTTAATTATCAAGTAAATACAGTCCATTTTTTTATTTTTTCAATGATATTTACTGACTTATATACTTAAAAAAAAGACGAAATTACTGCACAGAATATTTTGTTTTGCATAAATATTTGTAAAAAGTTTTTAATCATTAAAAAAGAAAATCTGAAAATAAAAAAGTATACCCATATGGGGCAGCATCAAATGTATGAAACAAACAAAATGGAAGAGTATAGCTGGTACAGCCATGTTAAAAAAATAAAAATGAATGCTGGTTAGGGTATGTAGTGTACACAGACATTAGATATTCAAATTATAAAAGTAATGGAGAAATAAATATCAAACCAGATCCAACTTACTTGGTTTAAAATAGAATTAGTGACTGGTCGCAGGGAAGGTCGACTTAAGCCTAGAGGGTCTCTGACGACAGGTACACGTTTCTCTGACGTCATTTCTGGGCTGACGTCACCATTTGGCACTGACTTGGCCTCCTTCAGCTGCCAGTTGCTGTCACTGTTTGTCTTCTCTGACGTCATGTCACCTTCACCCTTTGAGCCTCGCCTGAACAGTTTACTGAAAGAGTTTGACCTCCTGAGAGAAGACTTCTCGCCGTGCGTCCCTTCTGAGCTTTTCCTGGAGGCACTTGACTTGGTCTTGTTGAGGAGAGAGTCCCTGTAGTCCCTGAGCTTAGCCTTGAGGGCGGCAAAACTCTCAGAGCTGCCGGAGCCCTTGTCCTCGAGCTGCTTGCTGCCAGACTTGGTGCCAGACTTGGCACCTGGGTCAGAGGTCAGCGACTCGGAATTGGATCGGCCTCGTAAGGTCGAGATGACCTGAGCAGACATGGGATCGAAACTGCTGCTCCTGTGTCTGGAAGAGCTTTTGACCCTCAAGGAGGAAGTCCCAGAATTTGTTCCATTGCTGGGCTGGGAGTTTGGCCCGGACAAGTTTGTCATTGACTTGAAAGGAGAGGCTCTGAAATCTAGCGAGCCGAAGTCTACTGAGGAGCTACGAGCCATGCGAGGTGGGGGCTGTGAGGGGAAGCTGGGCAGGGATTGTAGCAGGGTGGCCAGTCTTTGTGACACGGTGGCCGGGGAGTCACCTGTCATGTCAGCAGCTGTCACATGGCCAGCGGTCACATGGCCAGCTGACAGATGGCCAGTTGCCATGCTGAGATCAGACTGAGGCTGTAGGTGGCCAACATTGTTCTGGTTGGTGTCCAGCGAGACACTCCTGCTCTTAGGGTCCAGTTGTTGGTTGGAACTTGGTAAAGTTTTTATATCCAGTGATGACGAGCGTTTATGTCTGGTGAAGTTTCTCATTTTTTTCCTATGAGAATCTGACGCAGGTTTTGTCGTGGAGTCAGGACTGACCACAGATAAAGGAATGTCATCTGAAGCTGCAGCCAACATGGAGGGTGGGGGTGGAATGATCAGATGCGTCAGGTCGTCTTGAGATGAGTCAGCGGTGACGCGTGAGGCAGGGTCATGTGACGCAGGGGTGGAGGATGGTGGTGGGGGGATAGTGAACTGAGCGATGAGAGCATCAATGTCGTCATCCAGGAAGTCTGGGCAGTCCCCGATACTGGCAGATCTCTCTAGACGGCTGGCTGGACCAGGGAACTTTGGCGGGAGGCTGGTCAGTACTGCTGGACCTGAAACAGGACACACTTCAGGCTGGGGACTTAGAGGGCTGTGTTTTTAGATGGTGGTCATGTTTTTAGATGGTGGTCATGTTTTTAGATGGTGGTCATGTTTTTAGATGGTGGTGGTGTTTTTAGATGGTGGTGGTATTTTTAGATGGTGGTCGTGTTTTTAGATGGTGGTCATGTTTTTAGATGGTGGTCATGTTTTTAGATGGTGGTGGTGTTTTTAGATGGTGGTGGTATTTTTAGATGGTGGTCGTGTTTTTGGATGGTGGTCATGGTTTAGATAGTGGTGGTGTTTCAGATGGTGCTGGTGATTTAGATGGTGGTGGTGTTTCAGATGGTGGTGGTAGTTTGTTGTGGTTTGATGCTGCAGATATTTGATGGTCTTTTGTTTTATGCTCGGTCACATTTATCAACAGCAACATTCACGTCTTGTTAAAAATGTAAGCTTTCATTCAAGGCTGTCCTATGATAAGCTAAAACAGTTAACAAATTAGCTGACCAATAGAATCAGCTGACCAACAGAATCAGCTGACCAATGGAATCAGCTGATCAACTATTTGAGGATCTAAAAAATACATCACCTGCATGACTTGAGTTGAGGCTGGCCAGGGAAGAATGTGACGTGAAGACAGGAGGTGGACAGCTGGACAGTTGGGTGAAGTCCAGGACAGCATCATCATCTGGTGTTTCTGGTGGGGGGAAGTTGGTCAGGTCTGGGGGAAGAAAGGTCATAAGTTGGTCAGATCTGGTGGAAGAAAGGTCAGGTCATAAGTTGGTCAGGTCTGGGGGAAGAAAGGTCATAAGTTGGTCAGGTCTGGTGGAAGAAAGGTCAGGTCATAAGTTGGTCAGGTCTGGTGGAAGAAAGGTCATAAGTTGGTCAAGTCGGGTGGAAGAAAGGTCATGTCATAAGTTGAACACAACAAGACACAACACCTGTAGCAACAGATAGAAAGTGAACAATGTACAGACATCCAGTTCCAGCCATGATGGTGATGGCCATGGTACTCACATAGCTGGTACAACAACACATGATGCATGATTAATTAGATGATGGACTAATTAATTAACAAGTGTATCAGACTGACCAATCATCTCAGTAATTAGACGATGGACTAATTAATTAACAAGTGTTTCAGACTGACCAGACATCTCAGTAATTAGATGATGGACTAATTAATTAACAAGTGTATCAGACTGACCAATGATGTCAGTAATTAGACGATGGACTAATTAATTAAAAAGTGCATCAGACTGACCAATCATCTCAGGGTCGTAGTAAAGTTTCTGGCTCTCCTCCACCTCCCCATTCTGTGTCCTGTTGTACTGCTGGCTCAGCTGGTCAAACTCTTCCCCAGGTACCATGTCAGGGCTGTGTAGGCCAAAACTTTGTTGGACTGGATATAAAAAGACAATTTAATTTCCTGTGTAGGCCAAAACTGTTTTGGACTGGAAGATAATAGACAATTTAATTTCATGTGTAGGCCAAAACTTTGTTGGACTGGAAGATAATAGATAATTTAATTTCCTGTGTAGGCCAAAACTTTGTTGGACCGGAAGATAAAATGACAATTTAATTTCATAATGTCTAGGCTGTGGAAGTTAAAATTGATTTAAAAGAAAGGGACTTAATAAAATCTTCATCAACAACTTAACCTTGGGATATATGGAAGTAAAAATAATCTGACCATCAGAATTTTGGTTACAGTTCCTGGTCAACTGATAAGCTGTAGGTCAAGTGAATTAGAGAGGAGACATTGGAAAACAGCCTTAGGTCACAAATGATCAACATACACGGAGAGCAGTCACAAATCTGTGTGTACACCATGAAACATGAGGAAATACCAACCTGACTCAACCGATGAATTCCTGCGCAGCAGTTTGACCTTAGCCGGGCTGCCTCCAGGTGTCCCTCCACTGTCAGTGTCATCACTCTCAGGGTCAAGGCCACCGTTCAACCTTGGCCCAGCGCTGAGCACTGTGGGTGACAGCCGTCTGCTGGGGCTGTCTGGCAGCAGTTCCTGCCTCTCGCTGACGTCACTCTCCACCAAACTGCTGTCACTGCTGTTTCCTGCTGCGCTGTACTCCCCCTCCCCCCTCCTCCCAGGATCTGTTCCGTTGTACAGCTTTGACCTGGAGCTGTCCGCTATCAGCACCGGGTGACCCCTGCGGGCGACAGGACTGGCTTGGAATGTGACCAGTGAGATGGGGGAGGAGCGGTTGGAGGCGGCGGCCATGAGGTCAGTATGTGAGCCCGCGGGGGAGGCGGCCAAGGAGGGCTTGAAGGTCAGACCCTGCTGAGAGGACATGGAGCTGTTGAGGGAGCTCCAGTCGTCGTCGTTGGTGGTGAGCCGACCAAAAGATGTGACGCCCTCCTCGAAGGACTGGGTGTTGGTGGTGGGGAAGTCTGACAGGGGGTCCAGTGCTGGGGGCAGGGGCTCCACTGACACGCTCAGCTACATAAATAGACATGGATATGGTTGTCATTAGACACAGTTGAGTCATCAGCTAGAGATATGGTCAGAACTATTCGAATATTTGTTTACCTCTCTTAAGATTGAATTCTATGAACTGATACAGAAAAAAACATATAAAGCTTAATACTTCTAAAATCTTTAGCTAGTAGGCGTGTAAGCCAGCATTTTTAAAATAAATAAAAACTTTTTTGGAAACACTTTAATCTCAGAAGATTTCATAATATTAAAAAAAAAAAACTTGCTTGCCGGATTTTAAAACTAAAGTTTTTGCCAGATTTTTAGAACAAATTGTTTTGCATATTTTAAAATAAAATTTCGGGCCATATTTTTAGAACAAATTGTTTTGCATATTTTAAAATAAAATTTCGGGCCATATTTTTCAAATGTATTTCCTGTAAAAAAAAAACGGTTGGCATAGACTAACCTTGACCTTGACTTCAGGCTTGGCCTTGGAGTAGTTGCCCTCGTTGTCCTGGTACTTGGGAGGACCCTGAGACAGGTCAATAACCCTCTCGTCCTCCCCAACATTCCCTGGCTGGTCTGGTCCAACAACCTCAGACACCAGGTCCTCAGGGTAGGCCCAGGGGGAGGGGAGGACACGGTGCTGGTTGGTGTAGGAGGGAACTGGGGAGAGACACATTTTAGTACAGACATTTTTGGTACAGACATTTTTAGTACAGACATTTTTAGTACAGACATTTTTAGTACAGACATTTTAGGGACAGACATTTTTGGTACAGACATTTTAGTGCAGATATTTTTACTACAGACATTTTTAGTTCAGACATTTTTAGTTCAGACATTTTTAGTTCAGACATTTTAGTACAGACATTTTTAGTTCAGGCATTTTTAGTTCAGACATTTTAGTACAGACATTTTTAGTTCAGACATTTTTAGTACAGACATTTTTAGTACAGACATTTTTAGTACAGACATTTTTAGTACAGACATTTTTAGTACAGACATTTTTAGTACAGACATTTTTAGTTCAGACATTTTTAGTACAGACATTTTTAGTACAGACATTTTTAGTACAGACATTTTTAGTTCAGACATTTTTAGTACAGACATTTTTAGTACAGACATTTTTAGTACAGACATTTTTAGTACAGACATTTTTAGTTCAGACATTTTTAGTTCAGACATTTTTAGTTCAGACATTTTTAGTTCAGACATTTTTAGTACAGACATTTTTAGTACAGACATTTTTAGTTCAGACATTTTTAGTTCAGACATTTTTAGTTCATACATTTTTAGTACAGACATTTTTAGTTCAGACATTTTTAGTTCAGACATTTTTAGTACAGACATTTTTAGTACAGACATTTTTAGTACAGACATTTTAGTTCAGACATTTTTAGTACAGACATTTTTAGTTCAGACATTTTTAGTACAGACATTTTTAGTACAGACATTTTTAGTACAGACATTTTTAGTACAGACATTTTTAGTACAGACATTTTTAGTTCAGACATTTTTAGTACAGACATTTTTAGTACAGACATTTTTAGTACAGACATTTTTAGTACAGACATTTTTAGTACAGACATTTTTAGTACAGACATTTTTAGTTCAGACATTTTTAGTTCAGACATTTTTAGTTCAGACATTTTTAGTTCAGACATTTTTAGTACAGACATTTTTAGTACAGACATTTTTAGTTCAGACATTTTTAGTTCAGACATTTTTAGTTCATACATTTTTAGTACAGACATTTTTAGTTCAGACATTTTTAGTTCAGACATTTTTAGTACAGACATTTTTAGTACAGACATTTTTAGTACAGACATTTTAGTTCAGACATTTTTAGTACAGACATTTTTAGTACAGACATTTTTAGTTCAGACATTTTTGGTACAGACATTTTTAGTTCAGATATTTTTAGTACAGACATTTTTAGTTCAGACATTTTAGTTCAGACATTTTTAGTACAGACATTTTAGTTCAGACATTTTTAGTACAGACATTTTTAGTACAGACATTTTTAGTTCAGATATTTTTAGTACAGACATTTTTAGTTCAGACATTTTTAGTACAGACATTTTTAGTACAGACATTTTTAGTACAGACATTTTTAGTACAGACATTTTTAGTCCAGACAGACATTTTTAGTCCAGACATTTTTAGTACAGACATTTTTAGTACAGACATTTTTAGTACAGACATTTTTAGTACAGACATTTTTAGTACAGACATTTTTAGTACAGACATTTTTAGTACAGACATTTTTAGTACACACATTTTTAGTACAGACATTTTTAGTCCAGACAGACATTTTTAGTCCAGACATTTTTAGTCCAGACATTTTTAGTCCAGACATTTTTAGTACAGACATTTTTAGTACAGACATTTTTAGTTCATACATTTTTAGTACAGACATTTTTAGTACAGACATTTTTAGTACAGACATTTTTAGTACAGACATTTTTAGTACAGACATTTTAGTTCAGACATTTTTAGTAGACATTTTTAGTTCAGACATTTTTAGTACAGACATTTTTGGTACAGACATTTTTATTACAGACATTTTTAGTACAGACATTTTTAGTACAGACATTTTTAGTACAGACATTTTTAGTTCAGACATTTTTAGTACAGACATTTTTAGTTCAGACATTTTTAGTTCAGACATTTTTATTACAGACATTTTTTGCTGAGACATTTTTAGTTCAGACATTTTTAGTACAGACATTTTTAGTACAGACATTTTTAGTTCAGACATTTTTGGTACAGACATTTTTAGTTCAGATATTTTTAGTACAGACATTTTTAGTTCAGACATTTTAGTTCAGACATTTTTAGTACAGACATTTTAGTTCAGACATTTTTAGTACAGACATTTTTAGTACAGACATTTTTGGTCCAGACATTTTTAGTACAGACATTTTTAGTTCAGACATTTTTAGTACAGACATTTTTAGTACAGACATTTTTAGTACAGACATTTTTAGTTCAGACATTTTTAGTTCAGACATTTTAGTTCAGACATTTTTAGTACAGACATTTTTAGTACAGACATTTTTAGTACAGACATTTTTAGTACAGACATTTTTAGTACAGACATTTTTAGTACAGACATTTTAGTTCAGACATTTTTAGTAGACATTTTTAGTTCAGACATTTTTAGTACAGACATTTTTGGTACAGACATTTTTATTACAGACATTTTTAGTACAGACATTTTTAGTACAGACATTTTTAGTACAGACATTTTTAGTTCAGACATTTTTAGTTCAGACATTTTTATTACAGACATTTTTTGCTGAGACATTTTTAGTTCAGACATTTTTAGTACAGACATTTTTAGTACAGACATTTTTAGTTCAGACATTTTTGGTACAGACATTTTTAGTTCAGATATTTTTAGTACAGACATTTTTAGTTCAGACATTTTAGTTCAGACATTTTTAGTACAGACATTTTAGTTCAGACATTTTTAGTACAGACATTTTTAGTACAGACATTTTTGGTCCAGACATTTTTAGTTCAGACATTTTTAGTTCAGACATTTTAGTTCAGACATTTTTAGTACAGACATTTTTAGTACAGACATTTTTAGTACAGACATTTTTAGTTCAGACATTTTTAGTACAGACATTTTTAGTTCAGACATTTTTAGTTCAGACATTTTTATTACAGACATTTTTTGCTGAGACATTTTTAGTTCAGACATTTTTAGTACAGACATTTTTAGTACAGACATTTTTAGTTCAGACATTTTTGGTACAGACATTTTTAGTTCAGATATTTTTAGTACAGACATTTTTAGTTCAGACATTTTAGTTCAGACATTTTTAGTACAGACATTTTAGTTCAGACATTTTTAGTACAGACATTTTTAGTACAGACATTTTTGGTCCAGACATTTTTAGTACAGACATTTTTAGTTCAGACATTTTTAGTACAGACATTTTTAGTACAGACATTTTTAGTACAGACATTTTTAGTTCAGACATTTTTAGTTCAGACATTTTAGTTCAGACATTTTTAGTACAGACATTTTTAGTACAGACATTTTTAGTACAGACATTTTTAGTACAGACATTTTTAGTTCAGACATTTTAGTTCAGACATTTTTAGTACAGACATTTTTAGTACAGACATTTTTAGTACAGACATTTTTAGTACAGACATTTTTAGTACAGACATTTTTATTACAGACATTTCTAGTGCAGACATTTTTAGTACAGACATTTTTAGTCCAGACATTTTTAGTTCAGACATTTTTAGTACAGACATTTTTAGTACAGACATTTACCAATGTAGAAAGACACACAGACACACAACAACTCTATCATCAGCAGATGGATACATAGAAGCACAACAAACCCACCATCCATGGATAGACACACAACAAACCCACCATCCATAGACAGACACACAGACAGACAACAAACCCACCATCCGGGTCCGATGTGTTTTTCCCAACAGTTCTCTCCACAATCCTCTTGTCCCTGTCCACAAAAATGTGGTAGTAGCCCTCCACCATCAGCACAAAGTTCTGTCCGTCTTCCATCAGCAGTCCTAGGCCTATAGTCTACAATACAACAGTGGGATAATTAAAGTTTCCATCAGCAGTCCCAGGCCTATAGTCTAGAGTACAACAGTGGGGTAATTAGAGTTTCCATCAGGAGACCCAGGCCTATAGTCTACAATACAACAGTGAGGTAATTAGAGTTTCCATCAGCAGTCCCAGGCCTATAGTCTAGAGTACAACAGTGGGGTAATTAGAGTTTCCATCAGGAGACCCAGGCCTATAGTCTACAATACAACAGTGGGGTAATTAGAGTTTCCATCAAAAGTCCCAGGCCTATAGTCTACAATACAACAGTGGGGTAATTAGAGTTTCCATCAAAAGTCCCAGGCCTATAGTCTACAATACAACAGTGGGGTAATTAGAGTTTCCATCAGGAGACCCAGGCCTATAGTCTACAATACAACAGTGGGGTAATTAGAGTTTCCATCAGCAGTCCCAGGCCTATAGTCTACAATACAACAATTGTAATTAAGCTGCAATAGGTTTTTAATACACATGAGAAGACATGGTAAAACACTACAGCATATAATTGATTAATTGAAACAGTTCTTTAGATTGGTTTTCTGAATTCAGTTGACCACACCACTACTTCACATGTGGACTCTACTTCAGCTACTTTATTTATCTTTAAGTCCTGAAAGGATACATTGCTTTTTTTTTACAAGCTCTGTCCAGTTCTGTTGTATTAGATATTGGATGCATTAATGCTTGCTTTAATCCCAGGGACTAAAAATTTGGAATAGCCATAACATAATCCAGCGGAGTATCTAAACACAACAGCCTGCCCTGTAGAGACCTACCTCTATTTTGTTACTTTAAAATGTAAACACAATAGCCTGCCCTGTAGAGACCTACCTCTATTTTGTTACTTTAAAATGTAAACACAATAGCCTGCCCTGTAGAGACCTACCTCTATCTTGTTGTTGACCTTGACCTTGAGGTCTACACGCTGCATGTTCTCCCCATCTTTTGTGACTTTGATGACTTCAATTTGTCCAAAGTCAGCCAGCTGAGTCAACTGTGGAGAGAGACAATCAGACGTGTTTAGACAGGTCGGTCAATGTCAAGTCACATGACTGTCAACCAAAACATTCTGCCCATGTTGGTGGACAGGTAGGAAGGTTAATTAGTGCACTGACCGTGTAGGACTTGATATTAGTGACCACACTGATCCCTGTCTTAGGACCCACCAGGACCATGGCCTCAGACTTCTGGTCCTGTGGAACAAGGACATTTGTTAGGGCAAGATATAGAGGTAGGACGTGTGCAGGGAACGTGTCATGAGAACTTATCCAGAGAATATGTCAATAAAACTTGTGCTAAGGACATGTCCATAGAACATATCAAAAGAACATGTCCATAGAACATATCCAGAGAACATGTCATGAGAACTTATCCAGAGACCATGTCAATAAAACTTGTCATAGGAAAATGTCCATAAAACATATCCAGAGAACAGGTCATGAGAACAAATGTGGGTACAAGAAACTAAAATCTAAAGCTGCAGACAGTCTATCACTTAACACACACACTAACAAGACCACTAGAAACAGCACTGACCAAGAGAGTGACCATAAAGACTCTACAACCAAAAGACTTGAGCTCAGACACAATCTTCATGTAGTGGAGCTTGGCCTGTAGAGCAGTCAGCTGCTTCTGTCCAGGGGCGGTCAAGCTCTGGTTGGCCTTCATGTACTGGGCCAGCATCTTGCGCAGGTCTTTGCTCTTCATGTTCTCTATCAGGCTGCGGGCAACAAACTTGTCTAGGCCGGAGGCTTTCCTGGTCAACATGGTGGGAAACAAACGGTAAACTTTGGGTTGTGTGATGGTAAACAAATGGTAAACTTTGGGTTGTGTGATGGTAAACACAAATTAGACCAAACAACATGATGCTGTTGCTGACAGACTTACTGTATAGCTTTGATGGATGACAGACTTACTCTATAGCTTTGATGGAGGACAGACTTACTCTATAGCTTTGATGGACGACAGACTTACTCTATAGCTTTGATGGACGACAGACTTACTCTATAGCTTTGATGGACGACAGACTTACTCTAATGACAGACTTACTCTAATGACAGACTTACTCTATAGCTTTGATGGAGATCTTGCCCATGATGTTGTTACTGACGGCATGTTGCTGTATCTGTAGGGCCGCCAGCCTTAGAGCCGTGTCGTACTTCATGTCTGACGTCAGACGTTCATTGACCACGTCATTACAGCACTGAGGAGACGTGTACAGTTGTAGCACATGTTAGGCGTGTATCAAATGGGAGCTGTGGGGGGGGGGGGGGGGGGGGGTTCAGACGAGTGACAGTGTACAATGGGGGAAGGAGGAAAGGTCAATTTAGAACGGTCTAGCTTTCTGTGACGATAATTTGTGTCAGGGGATAACAAAAAGTTGAGTCCAGTTATAGTTGAGCCAAGAGGCGTAGACCCTCCCAGCGCCCGGGACAAACTTTCATTTTTGCGCCACCCCCCCCCCCCCCCCCATATTTTTTATATTTTTAATTCAAAACTGCAGCTAAAATGAGTTTTTAATTTCTTTAACCTATTTTGGCGCCCCTAGGGTCGGCGCCCGGGGACATATGTAGCCTACCCTCCATTGTGTGAAATGAGTTAGACTTTTGTATTACATAATTGTGTTCATTTAAAATTGCCGTGAACAGTTACATATTTGGAGGTTATGTCTTGTCACGTGACCTCACACCCCATCCACCATTGAAGGCCAATATTGGGATGTGTGTTTTTTTCAGTGCTCACGACTATGGTGCTGTAGGTGTACTCACCTGCATGTAAAAATATTCAAACGCGACTGGGTCCTCCTTGAGTAGATCATACGCGTCGTTGGGGACAAAGGCAACTCGAAACAAACACCGGAAGTGACGTGCACTCGGCCTGGCTGCGAGCTAAGGAAAGATATCGATTATTTATAGATACAAGCTCGAGGTAAACAGTGTGAGAAAGCGCTGGAATAGAATTAATAAGCTGACGGTACAGGATACAACAACTAGAGGAGGGAAGCGGCCTAACATAGAGACGACAGAATCCAATTTAAATTTGCATGGCGGAGAAGATTCTTCACTTGGCCAGATAAAAAGTTTGTGACGGTTTTAATTTATTTATTATTTATTCTTCTGACAGCTGTCTTTCCCTCTCTCACTTCTGCTGCTTCCTCGAGCAGAGCTTCAAGTCTGGTCAGAGACATTTGGTTGGAGGAGTGTATTGGGGAGGGGGAGGGGGGATAATGTTAGGAGAGGAATATCTGGGGAAATGGGTGGGGGAGAGGGTGGGGGAGAGGGTGACTTCTAAAAGCATGTGGTGCCCCTGTGTCGCAATAAAATTGCTAAAACAACCAGTATCTTGTTTTAAAGCCAATTTCTCCCCCCCCCCATAGTTCAGGCACATATCAACCTAATCTTTTAGACCTAAACAATTACTAGGTAAGGAAAGTGGTCTTTAATAAGTGAAGGCCAGTTTAAAATTTCAGTCACTAAATGTGTCCTGCGATAGGTATAAAAATGCCACACGTCTGTTCAGGTTTCTGTATAAGATTTTATTTAAAATAAACAGTGGTCTACCCAGTGGTCTACCCATTGGTCTCTACAATGACCAAGCACAGCTGTCTGATGTCTACTAATATACAATGACCACATACTAACAATGACCACATACTAACAATGAACAAACAATGAACAAACACTGACCACCTACAAACACTGACCACCTACAAACCCTGACCACCTACAAACACTGACCAGCTACAAACACTGACCACCTACAAACACTGACCACCTACAAACACTGACCACCTACAAACCCTGACCACCTACAAACCCTGACCACCTACAAACACTGACTAGCTACAAACACTGAACACCTACAAACACTGACCACCTACAAACCCTGACCAGCTACAAACCCTGACCACCTACAAACACTGACCACCTACAAACACTGACCAGCTACAAACACTGACCACCTACAAACCCTGACCACCTACAAACACTGACCACCTACAAACACTGACCACCTACAAACACTGACCACCTACAAACACTGACCACCTACAAACACTGACCACCTACAAACACTGACCACCTACAAACCCTGACCACCTACAAACCCTGACCACCTACAAACACTGACTAGCTACAAACACTGACCACCTACAAACACTGACAACCTACAAACCCTGACCAGCTACAAACACTGACCACCTACAAACCCTGACCAGCTACAAACCCTGACCACCTACAAACCCTGACCAGCTACAAACACTGACCACCTACAAACACTGACCAGCTACAAACACTGACTAGCTACAAACACTGACCACCTACAAACCCTGACCACCTACAAACACTGACCACCTACAAACCCTGACCACCTACAAACCCTGACCAGCTACAAACCCTGACCACCTACAAACCCTGACCAGCTACAAACCCTGACCACCTACAAACACTGACCACCTACAAACCCTGACCACCTACAAACACTGACCACCTACAAACACTGACCAGCTACAAACACTGACCACCTACAAACCCTGACCACCTACAAACACTGACCAGCTACAAACACTGACCACCTACAAACCCTGACCAGCTACAAACCCTGACCACCTACAAACACTGACCACCTACAAACCCTGACCACCTACAAACACTGACCACCTACAAACACTGACCAGCTACAAACACTGACCACCTACAAACCCTGACCACCTACAAACACTGACCAGCTACAAACACTGACCACCTACAAACCCTGACCACCTACAAACACTGACCACCTACAAACACTGACCAGCTACAAACACTGACAAGTGCTGTACTTACATCGACCAGCGTCTCATGCTCCTCCAGTAGCGTCACGTGACCAGGGACGTTACTCTTCATGTTCTGCAGCATCAGGCAGAAGTGTTGTCTGCAGGAGATGTTCAGTTTCTCCAGCAGTGAGTGGACCACGTCCTGGTGGTAAACAAACAGACTAGGATGGTAAACAAATAGACTAGGATGGTAAACAAACAGACTAGGATGGTAAACAAACAGATTAGGATGGTAAACAAACAGACTAGGATGGTAAACAAACAGACTAGGATGGTAAACAAACAGACTAGGATGGTAAACAAACAGACTAGGATGGTAAACAAACAGATTAGGATGGTAAACAAACAGATTAGGATGGTAAACAAACAGATTAGGATGGTAAACAGATTAGGATGGTAAACAAACAGATTAGGATGGTAAACAAACAGATTAGGATGGTAAACAGATTAGGATGGTAAACAAACAGATTAGAGTGGACCTGTTGATGGTCACCGGCTCTAGGATTAACTCATTGTGACCCCAACAACCGAGGATAAACAAACCTTCATAACGTGTCGGTCTATGGGACTGATGACGTGAGGTACATCTATAGCTGTGATTTCGATATATGAAGAGATAGTGTGGTCAGATGTGCTTTCGATGTGAGTCGGATGCCTGTCGGAGCTTATTTGAATTAAGCCAGGGATCCGAACTCGGGTGTTTTGGGCTAGCAGGCGTACTCTCTGCCATCTGACCACACAGTCCCCCTCCCAACAAACCCAGCTGATGCACTTTTCAGCGGCTGCACATCCCATTTTTTAAAGCAAGATCTGTCGAAATAAACCAACGGGCCGTGTGGGGTGGGGGGAGTAAGGGGGTTACGGCAAGTTTGGCTACAAGGGAGAGGTGGGATGTAGTAGATAGGGAGGAATGGGGGGGGGGCAGATGGGGACGGTAGGGTAGATGGGGGAGATGTTTTCTAAAAAATTCAGAACCAGAGATGATGTTGGCACGCCGTCTGGATCGATACCACTGAATAATCGACCATCGATGCTTAAATCTGTGCTGGGATATTAAACTCAACTCTCCGATACCCACCCCCCCCACACCCAGTAAACAGCTAAGCTTTCCATTCTGATCATTACCGCTGGTGCCTGACCTCTGACCCCACGCAGGCCTGGCGACCTTCACACGGCAGACCACGTGTTGGGGAATCTGCTCACCCACGTGACATATACAATGGCAGCTCATTTATTTGTTTACACGCGTGGGAGGGGACAGATCTGATAAGGGTTCATGGGACATGCGCGGTGTCAAACTTCCGCATGTCAAGTCTCCAATTAAAAATAAATTCTCGCGTGAAGATAAGGGTGGACTTGGCAGTTGAACGTTAGAGCCGGGGAAGGGGAGAGGAGGGGGGGGGGTAGAGAGTTGTCAAAACTTTTTCAAACGCTTGTCATTGTCAGCCACACATATGTTGTTAGATGGTAAACACAAAAGCTATATATATATATACATATACATATATAAATATATATATATATATATATATATATATATATATATATATATATATATACAATTTATATATCAGAGGACGAGACTGTTTGCTTCCCGCCTGTCATAACTTCACCTCCTCTCACCCCCCCCCCCCCATACCCAGCTGGTTCCAGCAAACGCCCAAGTCTGGTAAGTTGGACGGATGGACATAAGTGGCCGTATTGATCTGAATCAGGAAAGGTTTCCCTTAGATAAATAAATCACTGGTCTAAAACATCACAACGGAAAGGGGAGGTAATTAGCAGTGAGGAAGCTGTGTAGACTGGATAAGAAAGTACTGTCTGTAGTTCGTCTCGTTGTCAATAGAAAGTTTACATGGGTGGATATATATATATATATATATATATATATATATATATATATATATATATATATATATATATATATATATATATATATATATATATATATATATATATATACATCCACATTCTCCAACACCTTTTTAGCCTTTAAAACATTATTCAATTATCATGATCATGAGAGCTGTTACAATAGAATACAGCTAGAGGTTCTAGTGACATCCAGCAGCTAGGTAGGGGACTTAAAACGTTTAACTCTCAAGGATGACAAGGACGGTCACCCACATCTCCAAACTTTCTACACCTCTGACACAAACATTAACGAACTTTTAGGAAGTATCGATACCGTCTTCCACGCCAGCGATCATTTTGGTAATAGAGGGACGTTTTACGATACAGGGTAATCGATATCAGCTGAACGAGGCAGATATTGGAATCTTTTAGTTACAAGTTTGAGCTGAACACGAACGATTGCCGGCAACTGAACACGGTTAGGGGCACTTCTCTAAGGTGTTAGATTAATTGGGAGTGACCAATCGGGAGTGACCAATTGGGAATGACAAGATGAATTGGGAGTAACGGTTGAATGAATGATTGCCAGACATGCACGTAGTATGTGTGTCTTCATTATGGATGTCTTTACGGCAGATATCTATCTCCGTGTGGTGTGATCTGATAATTAGCGTTGTGTGATCGGAGACAATTAATTAGATTCAGCAATTAATTAGATTCCAGCAGGTCCGTGTTGTCCTTTGGTACGAAATTCGAGATTCCTAGCCGGCAGCTTTTAGAGATATAACCAGCTCTACACCGGCTTCCACTTATTTGACCAGCTCTACACCGGCTCCCACTTATTGGACCGGCTGTACACCGTCTGCCACTTATTATACCGGCTATACACCGGCTCCCACCTATTTGACCGGCTCCACACCGGCTCCCATTTAATCGACCGGCTCCCAATTCCAGGACCAACTCTACATTAGAGAACATTAAGCTCCCAAGGTCCAGCCCTCTCGAATACAAATTTTATTTGCCTCGCTCTATTAACTCCCCTGTTGAACAAATTACCCCCCTTGAAACAACTCGCACAAGAAAGACGAAATGAGGCGACCAAGTTATTTTTAGAACTTGTGACCGAATCTAATAGCTGGAGATCATTTTTATCTCCATTAAATCAGTTTCAGAAGTTGTTACTGAAAGTAATTGTTGGTAAATCAATTCTCAAATCGAATCTTTACGATGTTCAGAGTTTCCGATCGGGTTTGGCAGAGATGAATGTTCAAGCAATAGTCACGTGACAACCACCAGAATATGCTTACCAGTAAGTTTGAGTTTGAATCCGAGTTCAGGTCAGTAGAGCGTCGTTGTCCACCCAGCTCTGATGGGTTTCTAACACACTTATATAGTAATGACCATACTTCATATGCCGAAGTCACAGAAACAGGTGAACTCTACTTCACTTGCACCATAGATCGTCAGGTTTGGAAGGGGAACTAGTTTACTATACAACCTAAGTTGCGATTAGCCAACTTAAGTAATTGCCGAGCTGCTAAACTTGGCCTTGACCATTTGCTGCTTGATTTGGCCGAGGCCAGACACGCTGCAGCAGGCTCTACTATTTGTCAGCCCTTCTAGAACCCAGGGAGATGTAGCCTCTAGCTCTTGACGTTTTAGAACCACCGAGACAGACGACCCCAACACCGTAGCCTCTAGCTCTTGACGTTTGAGAACCACCGAGACAGACGAGCCCAACACCGTAGCCTCTAGTTCTTGACGTTTGAGAACCACCGAGACAGACGAGCCCAACACCGTAGCCTCCAGCTGTTGAGAGTTTGAGAACCACCGAGACAGACGAGCCCAACACCGTAGCCTCTAGCTCTTGACGTTTGAGAACCACCGAGACAGACGAGCCCAACACCGTAGCCTCCAGCTGTTGAGAGTTTGAGAACCACCGAGACAGACGAGCCCAACACCGTAGCCTCTAGCTCTTGACGTTTGAGAACCACCGAGACAGACGAGCCCAACACCGTAGCCTCTAGCTGTTGAGAGTTTGAGAACCACCGAGACAGACGAGCCCAACACCGTAGCCTCTAGCTCTTGACGTTTGAGAACCACCGAGACAGACGAGCCCAACACCGTAGCCTCCAGCTGTTGAGAGTTTGAGAACCACCGAGACAGACGACCCCAACACCGGGTCAGCCTGACCTCCTGTACTGACAGTTTGTTTGCCCCAAACGTGTCAAGCTCTCATTAAAAAATTAGACATTAATCTATAATTAGCTAATCTTTTGAGTGGATTTCAACGGAGCATCCTAATATGTCTGAACGTGGGGTGTTAACGTTGTTAGCGGCGGGGGAGGGGGGGAGTGACGGTGGACAGGCTGTCGATAAAAAACATTAGCCCCTGTCGGGGTTAGTGTCAGGGGATCTAAACCATGCCAGACAGTGGCAATCTCGCTAGTCACGACATAACCGTGCTGATGTCACTACAGCCATTGTGTAAGCCATTACATCCTGTGTAAGCTATTACATCCTATGTAAGCCATTACATCCTATGTAAGCCATTACATCCAGGTGATGGAGCCGAATAAAGAAAACAAAAGCGAAGACCAAAAGGAAACAATGAGCTATCAGGGCCATCCCACAACGTGGGTGACAGTCTAAAATGTAACCCTACCACCCAGCTGAGGACACCGTATCAGGGGCGACAACTTACCTTGACTGTTGTTTTATTGTCTTATCAGGGGCGGCAACTTACCTTGACTGTTGTTTTATTGTCTTATCAGGGGCGGCAACTTACCTTGACTGTTGTTTTATTGTCGTATCAGGGGCGATAACTTACCTTGACTGTTGTTTTACTGTAGTATCAAGTAGCGACAACTTACCTTGACTGTTGTTTTATTGTCGTATTTAAAAGATTTCGTCTGGCCGTTCTCGAGAAAAACTTTCAGCACGTTGGGCATGAAGGGGACGTAACTCTCTAAAGGTGATTGCTGCTGATAGAGTCATAGAAGGGGCTGGTATTAAATCTACGTGTTAACTAAAAAATATAGCATGCGGTAAAGATTTAGGGCTACATCTTATTTTGACTTAAGATACGTTGTTTAAGCAAGGAGATAGATAATAATAGTCTCAGCATCGGTCTATGTGTCTAAACCCCAGAATCAGCCTATGTGTCTAAACCCCAGCACTGGCCTATATGTCTAAACCCCAGCACTGGCCTATGTGTCTAAACCCCAGCATTGGTGTCTAAACCCCAGCATTGGTCTATGTGTCTAAACCCCAGCACTGGCCTATGTGTCTAAACCCCAGCATTGGCCTATGTGTCTAAACCCCAGCATTGGCCTATGTGTCTAAACCCCAGCATTGGCCTATGTGTCTAAACCCCAACATTGGCCTATGTGTCTAAACCCCAGCATTGGCCTATGTGTCTAAACCCCAACATTGGCCTATGTGTCTAAACCCCAGCATTGGCCTATGTGTCTAAACCCCAACATTGGCCTATGTGTCTAAACCCCAGCATTGGCCTATGTGTCTAAACCTCTACATCAGCCTATGTGTCTAAACCTCTACATCAGCCTATGTGTCTAAACCCCAACATTGGCCTATGTGTCTAAACCCCAGCACTGGCCTATGTGTCTAAACCCCAGCATTGGCTTATGTGTCTAAACCCCAGCATTAACCTATGTGTCCAAACCCCAGCATTGGTGTCTAAACCCCAGCACTGGCCTATGTGTCTAAACCCCAGCATTGGCTTATGTGTCTAAACCCCAGCATCAGCCTATGTGTCTAAACCCCAGCACTGGCCTACGTGTCTAAACCCCAGCATCAGCCTATGTATCTAAACCCCAGCATCAGCCTATGTGTCTAAACCCCAGCACTGGCCTATGTGTCTAAACCCCAGCACCGGCCTATGTGACTAAACCCCAGCACTGGCCTATGTGTCTAAACCCCAGCATTGGCCTATGTGTCTAAACCCCAGAACTGGCCTATGTGACTAAACCCCAGCATGTGTCTAAACTTACTGAAGACACACTGGCTCCATTGACCAAGATGGCGTCAGCAAACCGGACACGAGATGGATTACTTTTCAATCGAGCTTTTTTGGCAGCTGTCAATATGGCCGACTTTCTGTTGGACTGAAAGAGGAAAATATCAACACGGAATTATTGTAAGTTGGGGGGGGGGGGGGTCTATAGAAGATTTGTGTGGGATGGGAGGGTTGGGTGGAGAGGTGGAAGGTTGGGTGGAGAGGTGGGAGGGTTGGGTTGGGTGGAGAGGTGGAAGGTTGGGTGGAGAGGTGGGAGGGTTGGGTGGAGAGGTGGAAGGTTGGGTGGAGAGGTAAAGGGTTGGGTTGGGTGGAGGGATGGGAGGGTTGGGTTGGGTGGAGAGGTGGAAGGGTTGGGTGGAGAGGTGGAAGGGTTGGGTGGAGAGATGACGCACGTCTGACACGCAGACATGACGCAGACACGCAGACATGACGCACGTCTGAGGGATAATTAAACCGAGACAAAAACCAACAAAAAACCTTGTAGGCCATCAAACTAATATAAGGAAAACAATTTTCCTGGAACAAATTGATCCCAAGAATCGATGACTTGGACAAATCTATAGGGCCGTTTCTCTAACGGTTTTTTTTTTGCCTCGTATGAGGCCAAACTTTGAACACAATCAGGGAGAAAGCCACGGTGTAGAGGGCGCCACGGTAACATTCAAACAGCGGGGTGGGTGAGGTGGGGCGAAAAAAAATGGAATGCATTTATTTACATATCCCAGACTCTTCCATTTAAAGATGTACAGAAATAGAAGAAAAAACTGCCAAAGATAGATGTTGATGAAACGTCAGGATATTTAAATCTGTGATCCAAGTCGGGGGGACCGCGGATTTGGTTAATCTCACCGCGTCTGCCAGTTGGTGGGCCAACGGGCCAGGCCAGGAAGCCGTTTCCTGATGGCCAACGGGCCAGTCTAGAAAATCGTTTACAAAGGCACCGAGAATGGTTGATAAAATCATTTTGGTGTGGCTTAAGAAAAACTGCCGGGCACTTTCGTTTAGAAGCAAACATTATTTTAAAAAAAATTCTCTTTGACTACAAAAAAAAAGGGAGAGAACTTTGACTTATAATATTTCAGGCCACTCGATAGCCTAGAAGCCTTGACTGTACCAGCGACATGGAACATACATACACTACAGTGACAGGATGCAAGAATACTACAGTACTATATCGTTTGAGTGTCACCGGCAATGGAGAGGTGAAACTATGACGTTGGTGTGCTTAGAATAACGACGTTGCTGTGGTAAAAATTACGACGTTGCTGTGGTAAAAATTACGACGTTGCTGTGGTAAAAATTACGACGTTGCTGTGGTAAAAATTACGACGTTGCTGTGGTAAAAATTACGACGTTGCTGTGGTAAAAATTACGACGTTGCTGTGGTTAAAATAACGACGTTGGTGTGGTTAAAATAAAGACGTTGGTGTGGTTAAAATAACGACGTTGCTGTTGTTAAAATAACGACGTTGGTTTGGTTAAAATAACGACGTTAATATGGTTAAAATAACGACGTTGGTGTGGTAAAAATAACGACGTTGGTGTGGTAAGAATAACAACGTTGGTGTGGTAACAATAACGACGTTGCTGTTGTTAAAATAACGACGTTAGTGTGGTTAAAATAACGACGTTGGTGAGGTTAAAGTAACGACGTTAGTGTGGTAAGAATAACGACGTTGGTATGGTTAAAATAACGACGTTGGTGTGGTAAGAATAACGACGTTGGTGTGGTAAGAATAACGACGCAATCACTGGCATGTCTGGCTGAGCAGCGAGGTTTGAGAAGAAAATTGTTTTGTCAATAGAAATTGCCAGAAAACACACGAAAGAATATTTATAGACACGAGATGAATAATAAATAGTTCCATTATAAGTGTATTCTATGGCCGACCCGGCTAGGGATGAAGGGGACATAACAGGAGGCTAATGAGAGATAACACGAGTTTCATTGTCAGAGGGTCAGTCTGACACCGGTAGATGACCAGTACTGTCAGACTGACACGACAAACTGACCAGTACTGTCAGACTGACACCATACACTGACCAGTACTGTCAGACTGACACCACAAACTGACCAGTACTGTCAGACTGACACGACAAACTGACCAGTACTGTCAGACTGACACGACAAACTGACCAGTACTGTCAGACTGACAACAAACTGACCAGTACTGTCAGACTGACACGACAAACTGACCAGTACTGTCAGACTGACACCACAAACTGACCAGTACTGTCAGACTGACACGACAAACTGACCAGTACTGTCAGACTGACACCACAAACTGACCAGTACTGTCAGACTGACACCACAAACTGACCAGTACTGTCAGACTGACACGACAAACTGACCAGTACTGTCAGACTGACACGACAAACTGACCAGTACTGTCAGACTGACACAACAAACTGACCAGTACTGTCAGACTGACACCACAAACTGACCAGTACTGTCAGACTGACACGACAAACTGACCAGTACTGTCAGACTGACACGACAAACTGACCAGTACTGTCAGACTGACACCACAAACTGACCAGTACTGTCAGACTGACACCACAAACTGACCAGTACTGTCAGACTGACACCATAAACTGACCAGTACTGTCAGACAGACACAACAACTGACCAGTACTGTCACTGACACGTCAAACAAACCAGTACTTACATTATCAGAGTAGGGCTGGCAGACGGTCAATGTGATGGACTGCCGACAAGACCTGACCAGCTCGATGACCTTCTCTCTAGGAGCTCGCCTCACCTCCTCGCCGTTTATCTTCAGGATCAGGTCGCCAGGCAACAGCTTGTCCACGCTGGGCCCACCTGAAACACAAGGCTGGGGCTTTAGTACAGGTGATGGGGGGGGGGGGGGGTCATATAGGCTAGTGGTCAAACTTGGACAACATTTGACCACGACATTAGGGCTTTAGTACAGGTGATGGGGAGGGGGTCATATAGGCTAGTGGTCAAACATGGCCAATATTTGACCACGACATTAGGGCTTTAGTACAGGTGGTGGGGGTTCTTATAGGCGAGTGGTCAAACATGGACAATATTTGACCACGACATTAGGGCTTTAGTACAGGTGGTGGTGGGGGGGGGGGTTCATATAGGCTAGTGGTCAAACTTGGACAATATATGACCACGGCATTAGGGCTTTAGTACAGGTGGGGGGGGGGGGGGGGTCATATAGGCTAGTGGTCAAACATGGACAATATTTGACCACGGCATTAGGGCTTTAGTACAGGTGGTGGTGGGGGGGGGGGTTCATATAGGCTAGTGGTCAAACTTGGACAATATATGACCACGGCATTAGGGCTTTAGTACAGGTGGTGGGGGGGGGTCATATAGGCTAGTGGTCAAACTTGGACAATATATGACCACGGCATTAGGGCTTTAGTACAGGTGGTGGGGGGGGGGGGTCATATAGGCTAGTGGTCAAACTTGGACAATATATGACCACGGCATTAGGGCTTTAGTACAGGTGGTGGGGGGGGGGGTCATATAGGCTAGTGGTCAAACTTGGACAATATATGACCACGGCATTAGGGCTTTAGTACAGGTGGTGGGGGGGGGGGGTCATATAGGCTAGTGGTCAAACTTGGAAAACATTTGACCACGACATTAGGGCTTTAGTACAGGTGGTGGGGGGTCATATAGGCTAGTGGTCAAACATGCCAATATTTGACCACGACATTTGGACTTTAGTACAGGTGATAGCGGGGGGTGGGGGGGTTCATATAGGCTAGTGTTCAAACTTGATGATGATAGGCCAATACATGATGTTAAAGATGACCACATAACTAAGAACTAAAATGGCCCGATAAAGTGAGCTGAAAATAACCGTCGTAACGTCGCAAATAAAATATCCCAGTTCCAGCTGGAGAAATCACCACGGCAACCACGTCTGGCAAGGTTCTGGTCACAGCTCTGTTCACCACTGGCAGCTAAACAACTGACATTGGCTGTGACAGCAGCTGACACTAGCTGACAACAGCTGAAACTTGTTGACACTAGCTATGATACCAGCTGACTAGCAGATACCAGCTGCCACAACCCTCCCCTACCTACCACATCCCAATAAACAACCGCAAGGTTTCGAACTGACCAAGTTTTAAACGGAATGGAATTAAAAGTCTGGAACCTTTTAGTCACGAGCATTTTGTTTTTACAGCTGACCACACGCTGAGCCTGTATTGATCCACATCCCGTCAGACGTATCGGTAAGTGGATTAGAGATTTGGCTCACTTTTTAAAGAAGACTAACCCCCCCCCCACACACACACTATCCTACGGGGGGAAGCGGACAGGCACCGTGTCACTGTCAAACTAATCCGATGGACCTGCGAATGGAACTTCCGGTGGTCGCTGCAAATGGTTATTAAAAGCCCGGCTCCAACTAAACTGCGATACGTTATCTCCCCTCGTTCTAGCATTTTCTTTAAGGAAAAAAAAAAGGCTTTCCACTGGGCGGCACATTCATCAACCTATCAGATTTAGTTCATGGACCCCTACATCACGCTAGCAGATTCACTTCATGGACACCTCCCCCGCTGAATCTATCAGATTCACTTTATGGAACCCCCCCCCCCCCCTCATCATGCCATCATATTCACTTCATGGACACCTCCTCCCCCTCCCCCCGTTGATGCTATCAGATTCACTTCATACCCCCCCCCTCACATCAGGCTATCAGATTCACTTCATGGACCCCCTCACCCTCCCTACATACCCCCATCACCCCCCCCCCCCCCCTTTCCTATTTTAAAGCTGACGAGAAGAGATTGGATATCCCTTCATTAGATGGCCACCTTAAATAAATATCGATCTTAGTTCATTAGGGCACAGGCCATCACATAGCCATTAAGACGGTACCTTCAATATTACACTGTGCTGAGGGTCACATAAGGACCTTTGTAGGGAGGTAGAGAGGTATGGTGTAAGAGGACCTTTGTAGGGAGGTAGTGAGGTATTAGAGGTCACATAAGGACCTTTGTAGGGAGGTAGTGAGGTATGGTGTCAGAGGACTTTTGTTGGGAGGTAGTGAGGTATGGTGTCAGAGGACTTTTGTTGGGAGGTAGTGAGGTATGGTGTAAGAGGACCTTTGTTGGGAGGTAGTGAGGTATGGTGTCAGAGGACCTTTGTAGGGAGGTAGTGAGGTATGGTGTCTCACATAAGGACCTTTGTTGGGAGGTAGTGAGGTGTCGTGGATTGCAGTATTTTATTTATGAATAGATGCTTATAGGAAGATGAAAAAAAAAACTGTACGGTATAAACAAACAGAGTGACCTGCCCTTATTCTGTGTCACGGCCAACTTCCGGTGGTCTAATTTGATTGAATGGGTCTGTCAATCAGAAGGTGACACGTGACACAGTACGTCCATCAATGGAGGAGAGATACGTGACACGTGACATAGTACGTCCATCAATGGAGGAGAGAAATGTGACACAGTACATCCATCAATAGAGGAGAGAAACGTGACACAGTACATCCGTCAATGGAGGAGAGAAACGTGACACAGTACTTCAATCAGGAGCTGACACGTGACACAGTACGTCCCTCAATGGAGGAGAGATACGTGCGGCCATGTCTACCCTCTAGGTTTGGATTAAGATGAAGGATTCACGCACATATCACCTTAAGTAGCAGTGGTCACCCAAGGTCACAGTGGTCATCTTAGGTCACAGTGGTCATTCAAGGTCAGAGGGGTCATCTTAGGTCACAATGGTCATCTTAGGTCACAGTGGTTATTCTAGGTCACAATGGTCATCTTAGGTCACAGTGGTCATCTTAGGTCACAGTGGTCATTCTAGGTCACAGTGGTCATCTTAGGTCAGAGTGGTCATCTTAGGTCACAGTGGTCATCTTAGGTCACAGTGGTCATCTTAGGTCAGAGTGGTCATCTTAGGTCACAGTGGTCATTCTAGGTCACAGTGGTCATTCTAGGTCACAGTGGTCATCTTAGGTCACAGTGGTCATCTTAGGTCAGAGTGGTCATCTTAGGTCACAATGGTCATCTTAGGTCACAGTGGTCATCTTAGGTCACAGTGGTCATTCTAGGTCACAGTGGTCATCTTAGGTCAGAGTGGTCATCTTAGGTCACAGTGGTCATCTTAGGTCACAGTGGTCATCTTAGGTCAGAGTGGTCATCTTAGGTCACAGTGGTCATTCTAGGTCACAGTGGTCATTCTAGGTCACAGTGGTCATCTTAGGTCACAGTGGTCATCTTAGGTCAGAGTGGTCATCTTAGGTCACAGTGGTCATCTTTTGTCACAGTGGTCATCTTAGGTCACAGTGGTCATTCTAGGTCACAGTGGTCATTCTAGGTCACAGTGGTCATCCTAGATCACAGTGGTCATTCTAGGTCACAGTGGTCATCTTAGGTCACAGTGGTCATCTTAGGTCACAGTGGTCATCTTAGGTCAGAGTGGTCATCTTAGGTCACAGTGGTCATCTTAGGTCACAGTGGTCATCTTAGGTCAGAGTGGTCATCTTAGGTCACAGTGGTCATTCTAGGTCACAGTGGTCATTTTAGGTCACAGTGGTCATCTTAGGTCACAGTGGTCATCTTAGGTCACAGTGGTCATCTTAGGGCATAGTGGTCATCTTAGGGCATAGTGGTCATCTTAGGTCACAGTGGTCATTCTAGGTCACAGTGGTCATTCTAGGTCACAGTGGTCATCTTAGGTCACAGTGGTCATCTTAGGGCATAGTGGTCATCTTAGGGCATAGTGGTCATCTTATGGCATACTGGTCATCTTAGGGCATAGTGGTCTTCTTAGGGCACAGTGGTAATCTTAGGGCATAGTGGTCATCTTAGGGCATAGTGGTCATCCTAGATCACATTCAAGTAGTTTGAGTCATCCTAGGTCGTATGAATACATCGTACGTCATATTTCGTGACAGACTTTGATGAAGTTAAAACAACATGTGGGTGGTGATGTACTCAAGTCTACCCAGCGTCACGTGGACTCACATCAGCCACACAAAGATGTAGTCTTTAAGTTTCTCGTCTACCAACCTACCAACGTTCCATGTCTATAGGTGTAACCTAACCCAAGTAAAAGAGATCTCTACATGTGAGCGAGTGTACCCCATGTTGAGACAAACCTTGTTGCTAAAAAGGAGCCAAGCGAATGGTTGATCAGCACGCACCTTAAGCCAGTCATAGAGCGTTGTGGACGTGACTGAAAGAAAGACACGCCAAGTTAACCAGACCGTCTTGAATTCACTCGCTTAAAACGTTGGCCGTTTCAAATTATTCAGTCTTAATTCTTAACGGATTTTAGTGGGTATCCAGCTCCTGTAATCCACCATCTATTCAGTGGATGTGCATCCAGCTCCTGTAATCCACCATCTATTCAGTGGATTTGGATTCGTCCTTCGAACATCTCATGTTTATTTCTTACAAAAAACAAGCAGAGGAAATGACAGTCAACAGGTACGGATTATTGATAAACTGCCCCCCACACAGATCATCCCTGCCCCACCCCTCACTACCAGTTCCACATCCGAGCCCCACCTCACCTCCCATTTCCATAAAGACGTCCCTGGCCCCACCCTACCAGATCTACATCCCAGTTTCACCCCCGCCCCAATATGGACACCCCTACCACACCCTCAACAACACAAAACAGAGAAAACGACAGCACATAATAAACCAGCTAATTAAACCCGTGCGATGGACTAAATTAGATATCCACATCCAGGTCACTAAAGGAATATTTTCAAAACGTTTGGCGACCAACGTTGTCACTTGTTTCAGCTAAAGAAAACTGATGAATAATTTATATTGGTGGTGAATTGTAATGTAGTATTTGAC